TGTGTAGTATATGTAGAATCAACGGAAGACGAAAAATTAGGGAATAAAAATCCTATGACTTTGACTAAACTATTCACAGAAAATGTAAAGGGTATCGTAGGAGTTCATCGAGTGAACGCCTATAAAATTGGCATCACGTTCAGGAAACCGGCACCAGCAAATAATTTTCTTAAAATGGACCATTTCTTGAATAAAAATAAATTTCGAGCTTTTGTACCCGCATATTTATCAGAAAAAACCGGCGTTATTCGATATGTACCGACAGATATGTCCAATGAAGATATATATAAAAATATTAGCTGTGACGCAGAAGTAATTTCTATTAAACGTTTTATGAGAAAAGTAGATGGGATCCTTACACCTTTAGGTACAGTTGCTGTCACATTTGCAGCAACAACATTGCCACAATATGTCTACATTCAGTTGTTCAGATATCCTGTGCATACTTACATTCCACCATTAGTTCAATGTTTCAAATGTCTAAAATTTAACCATTCAGCCAAAGTTTGCCGAGCCGTACAGATGTGCTCATCGTGTGCTGGTCAGCACTCGTATAAAGAATGTGATGTTGACACGATAATGTGTATTAATTGTGGTGGCAATCATCTAGCTATTTCTAGGAATTGTCCCATTAAAAGGAAGAAAATGGAAGAGAAGAGGAACAAGTATCTCAATCTTAGTTATGCCACTGTTGTGAGTATACCTTCAAATGTTTCAGAGTCAAAAAATTTTCCAAATCTGGAAAAATCCAGTAATGTATATAGCTCTCAGTTAAATTCAAATGTAAATAAATCCGAATTAAATAAAGATGAAATTGTAAATAATGATATTATAATTAATGCTCTCGTTAAATCTCTTGTTGCTCTTGGGAACAACAATGAGAAAATGTCAATAACTCATAAGAAAATTAAAGAAATATTATTGTCTAATTTAACTTAGTTTTATGGATACATATATAAACATAGCACAATTTAACATACAAAGCTTACAGAGTAAAAAAGTTCTGTTACAAAAATATCTTACTGAACAAAATATTGATATATGCTTACTTAATGAGACATGGTTTAAAAGTAATAGTAAAATTCCTAGGTTTGCATCATATAATTTTATTTTCAAAAATTCTACAAATCCACACAACGGAATTGGTATATTAATTAAGAAAAATTTTAAATATAATATTATTAATACTACTTTCTTTGAAGCTGTTCAAAATTTATGCATCTCAATAGAAACATCTATCGGTAAATTACATATTCTGTGTGTATATTGTCCCCCTAGTGGAAAGTTTCACACCAATAAAATTAAAAAAGTACTTCTGGATACTCCTAAACCATGTCTCATTATGGGTGATTTCAACGCACATCATATTTTGTTTGGTTGTAACACAAACAATAGTAGAGGTAATATTATGTTCAGTCTTATAGATGAATTCAATTTATATGTGTTGAACGATGGTAGTCCGACTACTGTTCCAGTCTCAAACAGGCAAGCATCAGCAATAGATTTAGCTTTAGTTAGTCCTTCAATGTCTCCTCTTTGTGAGTGGAAAGTCCATGATGACCCGATGGGCAGTTATCATTATCCGACTCAGGTACGTGTAAATGTGAAGCCATCAATATATGAAGTTAGACCTGTGGAAGACAAATATTTATATAATAAAGCAGATTGGTCTAAATATTACAGTTTATCTGAAATTAGTTTTTCTCACTTAGACATTTATAACAGTACTGAACCTTTACAGTTATATAATGATTTTGTATATATTTTATATAATATAAGAGATAAGACAGTTCCTAAACAAAAGTTAAAACAATCTTTCCAATTTTTGAGAAAACCAGCTCCTTGGTGGAATGACATTTGTGATGATGCTGTTCAAAAGTCTAAAGAAGCCCTGAGACAGTACAGAAATTCTCCATCAATTTCTAATTTCATAAATTACAAAAAAGCTGATGCTAAAAAGAAAAGAATTCTAAGGGAACAACGCACAGAGTCATGGCATCAGTTGTGCACCAGTTTCAATAGAACAACACCTATTTCTAGAATATGGAGTTACATCAAAAGGTTTAAAAGATTAGATAATACTTCAAATAGAAACCCAAATGATGAATGGATACCAGAGTTTTTAGACTCATTGGCAGCATCATCACATTTACAAAATGATATAACAGATATTTTGAATCTGTCTGAAGAAAATGCTAGTAACTCATTTATTAATAAACCCTTTACATTACATGAGTTCCACATTTCACTAAAAAGTCGGAAAGATACAGCTCCAGGGTTGGATGGTATAACATATTTTTTAATTAAACAATTACATCCTAATGCAAAGAAAATATTATTAGATATATATAATAAACTTTGGGAATATTCAATTATACCAGAATCTTGGAAAACCCAGTGTGTTATTCCTATTCTAAAACCCAATAAACCTGTAAATTGTGCATCATCATATAGACCTATCTCCTTATCTTCATGTTTAGGTAAACTCTTTGAAAACATGTTAAAATTTCGTTTGGACTACTATGCTGAATCACAAGATAAGTTGCCAAATATACAGTTTGGATTCAGAAAGGGCAGAAGTTGTTCTGAAAGCTTTGTATCATTAATATCTGTGTTAAAAAAAGCAAAATTAAGTCACTCTAATGTAGTATGTGTATTCTTAGATGTTAAAGGTGCTTTTGACAATGTGAATATAGAATGTTTAATTCATGTGTTGCATAACTTGGGTTTGCCAAGTAAAACATTAAAGTGGCTTTTTAGTTTTTTAAATAATAGAACTGTTTTTGTTAAATATAATAACATTTTACATGGACCAAAAAATGTTAACAAAGGGACTATGCAAGGGGCCACATTGTCTCCTTTATTGTATAGTTTGTACACATCGGAGATCCTCAACTATGTGGATAATTCAAAAGTTAATATTCTTCAGTTTGCTGATGACCTGCTTTTATATAGTGAAGATCAAAATTTAAATATGGCCATTAACAACATTAATTCTGCATTATTTCAGCTTCATAATTACTATAGCAATTTTTTAAAATTAGAAATCAGTTCAGAGAAAAGCTCAGTTTTGGTATTTAGTAGAGAGAGAGATCCATCTGTATTATCCAGAGTGAAAGTTTTATATAACAATAAAGTAATCCCAATTGTTAATCATCATAAATTTTTAGGTGTAGTATTAGATGACAAATTAAAATTTGATAAACACATTAACTATATCTCCCAAAATGCAATGAAAAGTGTAAATGTTTTGAGATGTCTGGCTGGAACTTTTTGGGGTTCTGACCCTAAAACTCTAAATTTGCTATATAAAAGTATTGTTAGGAGTCATTTTGATTATAGTAGTTTGGCTTATATGAATGCTAGCACCACATTGTTGAGGAGACTCGATGTGATACAGAATATGAGTTTAAGAATAATTTGTGGAGCCATGCGCTCCACTCCTATTAATTCTATGGAGATTGAAAATTGCATACCTCCATTATCCCTCCGACGTTTACATTTGGCTCAACGTTTCTGTTTGAAGGAATTGTCTTTCAATAAAAATATGGTCCTTAATAATATTATATATCCAGTAGAATTTTCTTCTGTTGTATCCTCCAATATCTCAGCTTCCAGCATTGTTTCTAACCCCTTGCCTGAAATTCCAATCATAATGTTAAATGTTAAAAATACAGCAAATCATATTTATGTAAATGCTAAATGGCCAATGTACAAATGTCCTTACAATTCATTGCTTAACTATCTAGATATTAAATGTTATATAGACTTAGTACATAACAAATTTGATTTTCTTGAATTTTTGAATAAGAAATCACATTTCTATGTAATCTATACTGATGGTTCTAAAAGTGCAAACAGTGTTAGGGCAGCATATTATGATCCACAAAAGAAACTCACAAAATGTATTAAATTGGAAGAAAATTGTAGTATCTTTACAGCTGAAAGTTATGCTATTCTAAGTGCTTTAATATTTGTAAATAACTTTGTAAATAATGTAAATATATTAATAGTTTCTGATTCCAAGAGTGTATTGGAATCTTTATGTAATTGTAATTACTCATATAAGCAAAATTATTTACTTTATGAAATTAAAGATCTGTTGCGAACATTGAGTCAGAGTAAAAACATAGAATTTGTGTGGGTACCCTCGCACAGTGGCATACTAGGGAATGAAATTGTGGATCGAGCAGCTAGTCGAGAACACGATGAGGATCACTCGGCAATGTTGAAAGTTCCGTTCACAGATTATTACCGACTACTTAAAAGTAATTTAGCAAAAATATGGAAAGACCATTGGGATATAACAACTGAAACTAAAGGTAAATGGTATGCGGAGTTACAGAGAGACTTACCAATTAAACCTTGGTATAGCAAATTTAAATACTGCGGCAGGAAGTTTATTACGATCATCAATCGTCTTCGTTTCGGGCATTGCTTAGTTCCAGTTCACCTCAACAGACTCAATATTATTAGTGACAATAAGTGTAAATACTGTTTTCAAGACAATGCAGACATAAAACACATTATATTTGACTGTCAAAATTTCAACATTCAACGGCTGATACTTGTTAGTGATATTAGTGACATTGCGAAGGAACATTCACAATGCGTTCCCCGCCGCGTTCAAGATTTATTATCCAACGAAGCTTATTTTACATCTGTTTTTAACTTCATTACTAATACTGTAGATAAAGTTTAAGAATTTTTTATGTTATCAATATTGTTAATTGCGTTTATATAGTAATTTGTTCTACATTCCTTTTTTTGTAAATATCATTTATGTCTGCGACTGAAGGACTTGTATCCATGGTCATGAATAAATTAAAAAAAAAAAAAAAAAATCTGTCAACTTTGTTTTTATCTGTTATTTTTGGTTAGCGATGGGCCAACTCGTATAGTTTTGAATTCGAGTAAACCGAATTGAAATGGTGGCTGATTCGAATCGCAGCTCGAATCAGCTCGCATTCACTTCGTATAGTCAATACTGCAGTTGAATATGAACTCAGTAGGTCGGTTACTTAACTCGCTTTAGATTTAAATCGTCGATAGCGCGAACTCGCGGGTTTCAATCAATTCGAATAAAATATACTAGTGTAACGTAGTAAACACTCAGAATTCATATTATCAATCTATTTTAGTTATAGAACAGTTTTGTTCTTTACTTTCGAGCTATTAATTTGAAAGAAAAATACAAAATACTAATATTTAAAATATAGGTTTTTATTTTTAACCGACTTCCAAAAAAGGAGCTGGTTCTCAATTCGACTAATATTGTATGTTTTTTTATTTGTTTGTTACGCGATTACTCCGTCAATTGTAGACCAATTTTGAAAATTATTTTTTTGTCGGAAGGGGTATTATCTTGAGGTGGTCCCATTGTCACCATGTCAGGATCTGATGATGGGATCCCAGGGAAATCGAGAGCAACTCTATACTTTATAGACACCTACAATATTTTTCATGTACTTTCTAAAGCTATTCAGATATTTGCGTTTGGTAGTCATCATCTTATGTTGTTTAACTGATGATGGGTGGTACAACTCCTTAACGGTTAGGAGTTAAGAGGTAATTCCTGAAATATTAGGCACGTTTAGATCGTTAGTAGTTTTTTTCAAGTAATATTCAGATGAGCTGATGATGAAGTACAACTCCTTAACGGTTAGGTTTATATAGGAATTAAGGGATAATTCTATCGCAAAAAAGATTATGAAAATTCTTTTTTTGTCACCAAGTCAGAATCTGGATCCCATGAAAATTGAAGGAAATCCTAAAAATTTGTAATGTAAATATAAAAATATACTAAAAATGGAAAAATAAATAAATTTGAAATAAAATCAACAGACTTCAAAAAAAAAAAAAAACGTAAAAAATACAAAAGTAAAAAATAACAAAATACAAATTTAATCCCAATCAAATAAATTTCATTTCATTTTATAAAAAATTTAAATAGTTATGTAATCACCTAAAAAAATACATAAAAGTTTAATACTTATATTTTTACTATTTATTTTAACATTAATTAATTAACTAAATATTAAAAAACGGAACAGTAACATTTCTAAAAAAAAAAAGCTCGTCGTCAGCCAATCATGAACCAATCGCCTTCTCTTCCTTTAACTTGCGCCTCATGTGATGTTACTATCTCATTCTGCTTCGCAGCTTGTTCGGTTGGTGTAGTTATGTCGAGTATTATACACCACACGCTATGGCATGGTGCAGTGCAGGTAATAGGTACATACACATATAAGTAAATAATTATAATATATTAATAATTATATAATTCAAAATACTTGTACAACGCAAACAGTAAAGCATAGATAATTTACGAAAGTTCATTGTATGCGACAAATCTATGGATTGGTAACAGTAACTTGCTTTTCCAGTCATATAAAAATAATAAATATATTATTAGATTGACTTTGACTCCATAAATCTCACTCAACACTATTCTGTTAATTTATAATAAAAAGTGCCAAAATCTCAACTATCACCGCACCATGATATAGCGCGCGGAGTGTAACTGTAAAACACGCTGACAGAAATATCACGCACACGAGAGTCTTGCTCGTTGTATAATGTTTCTGTTGCGTCGCACGCACACAGCCACACAGCATTCACAGCAACTGAATCGAGTTGACGTTATGACGAACACAGTCGGCCGAGTTGCGTGCTACAGTGATCCGAGCGTAGATCGCATTCATATCACGGTTGTAACGTAGGTAGCGCCGTATTGGCTTTATACGAGTTGATTCGAATTGATAGAAAAGCTAGTTCGAATTGAGCCGGCGGCAATGCAGCTCGAGTAACTCGAGTTTTTTGATTCGAATCGCCCATCGCTATTTTTGGTTATTCTATTGTAATTACTAGCCTTATACTTACATTTCTAAGCTTTTCTATTGTGATTTTATATGAAATGGTGATTTAGCTCTTACTGGACTGATAACGCTTCCTTCAATAATCAACTTTTAGCACATAACTGGACTCCGATCTATTTTTGGCTCTTCCGTTCAGGACTTTATTGACAAATTGCAATCAAATGGCACCCCACAGGTGTTCCTATTTTATGTGCAAAAATAATTCGAATGAGAAATCAATGTTTAGTTTCCCTTGCAATGATGCTGAACGCTTAAAAGTGTGGCTCGAAAATTGTGGTATCTAAATATGTTTACTTATAATCGATAACAGGATTTTTTTATGTGAAAATGAAATGGGAACCCCATATTCGTTATTGATATATGCTGACTAGGTAAATTCACGCCATATCCCACCCTTCAAACTGAAACACAGCCATGCAAACACAACTGCTTCACTGTTGAAACACGAATGGGACAGAGGTACTCAAGCAGTCGACTTTTGTACAAAGTCTCCCTCTGGTATATTTTTCATGATGGGCTAACTGATCTTTTCATTGTCATCTATCATCCCTCACTGGTGCCCGGCCAGTGTATACCGTTAGCGTAATCAGGGTTACCAATCCATTGTCATGTATTGAAAGGAAATGACATAGAATTGCAAGTCTTGTCCTCTCCTAATCAATTTAATATAGAAATCTTTCTTGGTTATAACTTTTCTATGCCTTAGGAGAGAAATAACACCAGAGTCCACAGGAATGGTAACGCGTGGGTATCATGGGCGAAACAGTATACTCTGTTATATCCTTGGTACTGATCGTGTCTATAGGCGACAGTTACCACTTTCTATCAGGTGGGCCATCAGCTTGTTTGCCATTGTAAGTTTCATAAATAAATGCTATTGTTGTTACGTACGCTTGGAACGCACCTCAACACGGAAATGTCAAATGTTCTGTCAGATTTGCGATGTCTGCTATCGCTTGCTTTTACAAAATCAATTATGTATAATAAATCTGTTGTTTGTAATAATAGCATTTAAATACTACACCCAATATAAAAACCCACAAAACAACAATTGTGATTATTATTAAATTTTGGGGTAGGTTCATCTTTTATTTGAAAGTTTATTTAAATTGTCTATCTACATTAATTTTATCTGTGATTCTAGGTAATATATCCATTGCACATTTGTCCAAAAAACGTTTAAGGTCCAGATATTTATGCATTGATCATTTTAATAAAAAGTATGTAAGAAACAAGACTGGTGTTAGAAAAAGACTGTGTCCTGATGCTGTGCCGGCACATTATAAAAATATCGATGTTCCAAACCGCTCACGCTCTCCTTCATCAGGTATTTATTATTGAAAATCATTTCCTAACTTTTTTAAAGATATTGATATGTATGTTATAAAATCTTGAAGTGTTAGGTTGAAAATTTTTACATTCCAAAAGCTTGTTCTGATTATTTTTTTTTTATACAAAAGAATGGCAAACTAGTTGACGGCCCACCTGATGGAAAGTGGTAACCGTCGCCTATAGACATGAGCAGTACCATGGACATAACAGAGTATACTGTTTCGCCCATGATACCCCTCATGCGTTGCCATTCCTGAGGACGCAGGTGTTATTCCTCTGTATCCTACCCTTCAAACCGAAACACAGCCATTCAAACATAACTGCTTCACGGTTGAAACACGAATGGGACAGAGGTGCCCAAGCAATCAACTTTTGTACAAAGTCTCCCTCTGGTAACTGTTTACAGCAAAAAGCTCGCAGATTGCGATCGGTTCCTTCTTCTATTCCTTACCACACTTTTTATCTGTCTTCTCTATTAAAATATTTTTAATAAATACTAACTTCTTTGTTTTTGTTGTTACCTTACCTATTACATTACTGTCCCACTCGATCCACAAACTGCGCAGAGATGTTGCATCTCTTTGCATCTTCTACCGAATTTATCATGGGCAGTGCTTTGAGAAATTATTCGGATTGATACCTGCTGCTGATTTTTACCACCGTACAACCCACCATAAACTACCAGAGGGAAACTTTGTACAAAAGTCGATTGCTTGGGTACCTCTGTCCCATTCGTGTTTCAACCGTGACGAAGTTGTGTTTGCATGGCTGTGTTTCGATTTGAAGAGTGGGATATGGCGTGAATTTACAGGGTACAGAGGAATAACACCTGAGTCCTCAGGAATGGCAACTCGTTGGGAGTATCTAGGGCGAAACAGTATACTCTGTTATGTCCATGGTACTGCTTATCTTATAGGCGTATATTATAGGCGACGGTTACCACTTTACATCAGGTGGGCCGTCAGCTTGTTTGCTATTCTAAGATGTATAAAAAAAAAACCACCATAAACTAAAGTTTCATCTTAACCATCTGGACGAGTGGCGGTCCTCCACTGTGCGTTTCACAAGTCACTTTCTTCCACGCACAACCATTCTTTGGCATCAACTTACAGCGGCAGTATTTCCGAACCAATACGTTAACCTTGCATAATCTTCGAGAAAAGAGCATATTCCTTTTTAAAAGACCGGCAGTACACCTGCAATGCCTTTGGTGTCGTGGGTAATCATGGGCGGCGGTAGTCACTTATCATGAAGTGAGTCGCATGCTCGTTTGCCCCCTGTGTTGTACAAAAAAACCTGTGCTTGATTTAGGACTTTGATTGTGCTTGTGACTTCGACATTGCTTAATTTGAAAAATACCGTTCGCGTACTCGCCTCATGAATATGCAGATGTGCATTTCGACTTATGGAAACCGCCAAGCTGCACGGGAATATAGCAACCGGTACCTTCCTAGCCCATACATACCCCATAGAACTCGTGTCTTGTGGGATCAGCTGAATAGACAGGTGCGAAAGCGTACCACGTCTCAGGAAGACTTGTGGTAAAAACTGCAAGAAGAACGGCAGTAGATAACTAAGGCATTGGATAAATTAGTAGCTAGGTTGCCAAAGCTTTGCGAGGCTATCATAAGAAATAAAGTTGGACACGTAGATGTGTCCAAAATTAAAAAAATAAATTTCTTATGTCTAAAAATGGCTAATAATTATGTTAAAATAATTATGAAGTAGTTTCAATCAATCGGACTTTTGCAAAATGTATTTTACTGGGTGGCCGCGGATACTTTTGGGCCATACTGTATAGATCGGTGATTCCCAATGTGGGACCCACGCCCCACAGGGGGGCAATTTGATATTTAGGGGGGGGGTATTAATAAATAGATTCGAAGCGATTTTAATCCTCTTGCTCCGGGCCATTTAAATGCAATGCTACAAATAGGTATCGGTGCCTAATAAAAAAAAGTAAATAAAAAAATGCTGTAAATATTTATTACGTATAATTTCGTTTGACGTTACCAAAATATCAACTGGGCGATTAGAGTCGTCAAGTAAACTTTGTCGGGAAAAATTATGTATGGGGGCATAAAAGTTTTAGGAATGTTCAAGTGGGGCATGGCACAAAAAAGGTTGGGAAACACTTATAGATAGGGGGAAAGGGATTGTTAGTAATGGAGTCTGAGAATCCCATTGCTTGCAATATACCCAACCAGGTCGACCTCCTCGCGGTTCTCCCTGGAAACTATCATGGTTAATTCCTGATGAATTCATCATGATGGGCTAACTGGTCTGTTTTCATTCTCATCTATCACCCTTCACTGGTGCTCCGCCAGCGTATCCCGTTAGCGCAGGCGGGGTTACCATACCATTTTCACCTATCAAAAAAAAAAAACACTTATAAATAGAACATTTCACAGCATTTAGCAAGCGCCACAGAGATTTACGCCAACTACCGGTTGCTCGCTTTAAGACGATCTATCTGTTATCATCATATCAGTTTTTAACTGTCCACTGCTACACATATGCCTGGGAAAGGGGGGAGTTATGGGTTTCCCCCCTACGAGGGTTGGCAACCACATTTAGATTTTAGAGATGTTTTAAGAGGGACGCTACTGTCCACCCCTCACCTTCCCTTAGTCTTCTACGGTATCCACGGGAATGGAAGGGGTGGCCTATTCTATGCCGGGATTACACGGGCCTACAGATGGGCAAAGCACCGGGTTTAAACCCGGTGCTTTGGTAAAAACCCAATAAACACCCATAAACTCCCATAATCACCCAAAAAAATAGGTTTTTACGTATTTTTTTGAAAATATGTAAGTAATACCAATAAATTATTTTTATAAATTGTATTGATCAATTCTACAATATTAAATAAAACGTTAACTAATAATATTTCAGGAAATTTTAAAAATCTATATATAATAAAATGAAAGTAATTAATTTTCAGTGTTTTCATGTTGCAGTTGATCAACATGTTGGCCTTTTGCTTCCCGTAGATACTTTAAAATTTCTTCATAACACCTCGTTCGCACACATGGCCGTATATATTTAAATTCTTGAGCCACTAACAGTCCGAAATACTCATTTCTTTTATCCTCTTCTCCATAAATTAAGCATTTAGAACAGTTTGTTTCTTCTTTCAGTAAATTTTCTTTTACTTTATCCTCGTTTTTTTCTTTGTTGCGACGACGCTGGGTAAATCATCTGGACACTGGGTCTCACTATCGCCAAATATATTTGGAGATCGGCTTCGGCTACGGCTTGGCAGACATTTTTTTCTTTCTACAATTTTAAATTAAATTTATTAGAATAAATGCTTCGAACACACGCGATCTAAGTACCTTTTGTGTTTATTATACCTTACCTACCTAGGTATAAAAAGAGTACTTACGTAGATTTTCTTTTATTAACTGTTTTATACGAAGATCTTGATCTCTCAAATTAGCATCCATTTTACTTCCAGTGATTATCAACTAAATTAATAATCCACAAAGTATTAAATAACGTTTTTATGAAATATTTAGCACAAAAACAATACCCTTTAAATATCGATCGTCAGTAACTGTGGCTGACTTACCTATATTCTAGCAAGCAGGACTGCCAGATGTGAAGGGGAAATCCCCAATAAATTGTTGCATGTGACTGATGATGTGAGCATGTTCGTTTCATAATAAAAATGTTGCCAGGTAACCAAAAAGTCGTATGTTTTTGTGCGAATTACGATCATAATCTTTACGATCGTACATTAAAAAATAGACAAATAATAGTATGAGTACGATTTAAATCGTATATCTGTCAACCCTGCTAGCAAGACAGCGACAAAATCACGTTGCATAACAATGTAGCCCAAGCTTATATCTTATGAAATATACGGAAGAGATACGGACTTAGAAAAAACAGAAATGTTGTTCTTTGTGGAAGTCATTGATGAAATTCTATGTATTTTAGCCCGCAAACTTTCTTCAAACAAAAACAGCGCCATCTAGTATCGAGTTCTGTAATTATCTCTTTGTTTATGGATTTGAAGTAAGACCGCCACGCATGCAATACATTATGACTGGGGATTCCCCTATTCGTCGACGCTGAATATGAGGCGACGACAATCACTGTCAAACGTGTTCACTATTACTCTGACTCTGGTAACGTGACTTCCTGGTAACGTGTTAGGTAGGAAAAGCAGTAAAAAAGTGCATATTAAGGGAGCAGATTTGAAATAATATTTATACTTAACAAGAAATAATTAAAGGTAAGTGGATTTTTGAATGATACAATTATATCATGATCACTTAACAATTTTAACTTAAAATTAGATGTATTATTACAAGCTTTTATTTAGCTTGCGTTATGTAAATAAAAGTATGTAGGTATGTTCGTATGTTGATGCAATTATCCTCAATCCTCAACCGACTGGGATAAAATTTTCCATACACGTTTATTTTGGATGATAGTGCATAGTTAGCTGAGAGTCGTCATTGGATAATAATGGTGGATAGCCTAAGATGTGTACTAGATATTTATTTTTAACATAATATGCGTAAGTACCTAATCGAATTAAAGAAGTTGCTGAGAAAAATACAGAACAATACGATAATAAACTAGCGTCTGCGTTTAATCCTCCGAGGAGATGTAATTTTACAAAGGTTTTTTGTATTTATTTTATTATTTTTTTAATAAATTTATTGTAAATAACAAGAAATAATCATTGTAAAAAAATAGGCACTCTATTGTTGAATTTTCGTCAGACCAACTAATCATCGTTCATTTTTTTAGGTTCAATGGGGAGACCTAAAGATTTACGCATATGGGAGCACTACCGTACTTTACCAAACAAGTCTGTTTCTTGCAAGCTTTGTAATAAGGTCTACAAATTCAGTAATGCTGCCAAAATGCTTCAACATCTTATCACTTGTCCAAAATCTCCAGAAACATTAAAAGACTCTATGAAACTTATAAAAGATAGCTCGTCCAAAACCAAAATGTCTGGACTGTCAGAGATAGAGACAAATGATTCTTTTATAAGCCCCTCGTCGTCTGCTAACACTACAATAAATGCTGAGTTTCAAGACACCGATGATCATATAAAAACAGAATTAGCGAGAGCTATATTTGTAACAGGGACGCCATTATCGATGGTGCAACATCCTTTATGGATACAATTTTTCGAAAAATTGCAACCAAAATTTAAAATACCTTCACGTAAAGCTTTAGCGACAAAATACTTAGATAAAATATATAGAGAAATGCGTTTTGAGTTAAATGAGGAACTAAATGCTTGTAGTTACTTACACCTTCAGTGCGATAGCTGGTCTAATTTAAGAAATGAAGGAATAATAAACTTTCTTATATCAAAACCTCAACCTGCATACGTTAAAAGTTTGAATACAGAAAGTAATCCTCACACTAGTGAATACCTTAGCCAAGAAGTTGAAAAAGTAATGAAAGTGTATGGAGCAAATAAGTTTCTTGTACTTATTGGCGATAACGCTAGAAATATACAAAAGGCATTCGAATTAACAAAACTCAAATATCCACATGTTGTTCCTCTCGGTTGCTGTGCACATATCCTTAACTTGTTGTGCCAAGATATTGTAAAGATACAAGAAGTAACTGTGTTTATTATGCAAGCCATAAATATAATAAAAACTGTTAAAAGGAGTCAACGATTAAGTTCCTTGTTGATAAAATCAAGGCAGGGTGAAGATTCTACACAAACACTAAAATTGCCTTGTGCTACAAGATGGGGAAGTCATGTTACTTCGTTAAAAAGTTTGAAAGCAAATAAGATAGCTTTGCAAATATTAACAGTTAGAGAAGATGTGGTAATTTCAAGAGATATTAAAGATTTAATTCTAAGTGATGATTTCTGGACGAAGACAGGGGAATGTATAAGTATTTTGGAACCAGTCACTGAAAGCATATTTTACTTAGAGAGCGACCAGAATCGTTTGCATCGCACATACATTACATTTAGAGATGTACAAGCTAAGATACGTTTTGCATTAAATGAGATTTCGACATTGAGCGAAGAAAGCAAACAGCAGATTCTAACATCAGTATCTTCAAGATGCAATATGGCAATGAGGCCAATACATTTTGCAGCATATATTCTAGACCCCAGGACTCTAGGAGTCGAACTTACTCAAGAGGAAGAACTTAAGGGTATGGAGTTTATCTACAATTTAAGCCAACACTTAAGTTTGTCAAATGTAATGGCAGATTTGGCGTGTTATAAAGCTAAAGAAAACTTTTGGGCCAGAGGATTTGTATGGAGCTCATTAGATAGCATTGAGCCCCTAATATGGTGGAAAGGTATTTGTGGTTCCACTGAGTTAAGCAAAGTAGCGATTCGTATTCTATCAGCTCCCTGTACTTCGGCAGCCACTGAGCGTTCCTTTAGTATCCAAGGCTACATACATAATAACAAAAGAAATCGACTTACAACTGAAAGAACTGAAAAAATTTCATTCATTTGTTATAACTGGAATCTTAAACATAAAGCTGAATGCGAGGACATTCAGTTTAATGAAGAAAATACCTTAGAAGCTTTCATTGAGCAAGTAAATGAACATAACAGTTTAGACGAAATAGAGCCTATCGAACCTATACAATTCATCGCTTGTAATAACTCTGAATCTGACAGTGATTGACTGTAGTTTTACATTTTACTTTCATCTCTTTCTTAATAAACTCAAAATCAAATTAAAAGTTTTTTATTCTGTAGGCTGCATAATAATATTGTCTATGTCCAGTATAGTGGACGTCTTGCGGCTGAGATGACGATGATGAAGTACAAAATCATAAACACCCAAAAATTTGGGTGTTTATGGGGTTTAAACCCAATAAACCCAAAACACCCGGTTTTTACCCACCAGACTTTAAACCCACCCAGGTGGATTGCCCATCTCTACACGGGCCTAGAATAGACTACCCCTTCCCGAGGCTCCATCTCGGTAATTATTATTGAATAATAAAAAAAATAATGAAAACTCTTTATCGTTCCCCTCAAAGAATGATACAGATTATAAAGATTATCAATGTGTATACAAACAAAATTGATAATTAAATAAAAACAAGATAAAGGGGCATTACCAGAGGGAGACTTTGTACAAAAGTCGATTGCTTGGCCACCTCTGTCCCATCCGTGTTTCTACCGTGAAGCAGTTGTGTTTGCATGGCTGTGTTTCAGTTTGAAGGGTGGGATATGGTGTGAATTTACAGGGTACAGAGGAATAAAATCTGAGTCCTCAGGAATGGCAACGCATGGGGGGTATCATCGGCAAAAGTCGATTGCTTAGCCACCTCTGTCCCATTCATGTTTCTACCGTGAAGCAGTTGTGTTTGCATGCCTGTGTTTCAGTTTGAAGGGTGGAATATGGTGTGAATTTACAGGGTACAGAGGAATAACACCTGAGTCCTCAGGAATGCCAACGCATGGGGGGTATCATGGGCGAAACAGTATACTCTGTAATGTTCACGGTACTGCTTATGTCTATAGGCGACGGTTACCACTTTCCATCAGGTGGGCCGTCAGCTTGTTTGCCATTCTAAGTTGTATAAAACAAAAATATAAAGAGGCAACAATGGGCGGCCTTATCGCTAAACAGCGATCTCTTCCAGGCAATCTTAGGGCGGAGGGAAATGATTAAAATTGTCTCTGGCTAAGACAGAATAGATAAATAAGACAAAAAAAAAAGGAGAGAAAAAGGCTCAAGTTTAAGTTAAACGCTGTATATATACTATATATATTCATCCTCATCATCCTACCCTTATACCAATCATTTGGGGTCGGCGTAATGATTTTAACCATATTACATAAAGATTTGGTTTATAGTTTTACGACCGGCCGCCTGCCTGACGTCAACCCTCTTTGGGAATGCATTTGTTGGTGGTTTCCGCCACCTACGTTATGGAGGAAAGGATTGAGGAAAAAAAGAAGGGAACGTTGGAAATGCGTGAAGGAAATTGATGAACGTGAGGAATAAGGGACTTATGTGGGAAAGGAAGGGGGGGGGGGGGGAGGACACTGCAGTTGCGGAAAGGACTGGGACACTGCAGCGGCTCGGGAGGCTGGGGTCGCATACTATATATATTACGCAGTATATATATATATAACAATATAAATAAAAATATAATAATTGTTTCCAGGTAACAAGAAACTATTGTCCTGCAATGAGAGTCAACTGAAGAAACGGTTAATATGCGTCCGACATTTCAAAAAGGATAGCGTACACAAAGGAGCGACAAGAACTAGGCTGATCGGTCCCGCAGTGCCGTTTCCTTACGTCGAAGAAGACGCCAATCTTGATCCCAGTAAGTACATTATTATTATTTTTTTATACAACTTAGAATGGCAAACAAGCTGACGGCCCACCTGATGGAAAGTGGTAGCCGTCGCCTATAGACATGAGCAGTACCATGGACATAACAGAGTATACTGTTTCGCCCATGATACCCCACATGCGTTGTCATTCCTGAGGACTCAGCTGTTATTCCTCTGTACCCTGTAAATTCACTGTCATATCCCACCCTTCAAACCGAAACACAGCCATGCAAACACAACTGCTTCACGGTTGAAACACGTATTGGACAGAAGTATCCAAGCAAAGTTATCTATCGTTAAAATTATTGTAGTTTTCGTGTTACATGCATGAAAACTTTGAGTCAGTTTGTCCTTATACCCGTCGTACATAAGAGTGATTTATAATCACGTTTAATTGTCTTCACACGTAGCGATCATTCTTTAGATGTCTCGCCTCTTGTTTCAGTTGTGGAAACAAAACCAAATCCTGCATTGCTCTCCGTAGAAATAGGTAATTTAGAAATACCTGTTCTGGAGAATCAGAAGGTAAAAAAAGTACCATACAATTGTGAACCCCAACTTCAGCCACACACAGGTAAATATTCATTTATTTGGTTAGACAAACAGTTAAATTATATAAATAGTACATTACTGCAGCGGCCAGCAACTGAGGCATTGATGGACGTACGTGCAAATGTGGGCCGAGGCCTAGCCGAGGCACACATACGTAAGTCTATCAATGCCTAGTTGTGGCCAAGGCTTGTATAGTACTTTTCTCAAACAATGCGCGGAAATCAAAAACACAATTTCACTTTTTAAGTTCAATGACGAATAACGAACAATAATAATTTTTCACGCGCCATAATGTTCCTTTGTTTTTTTTCAATAAACAGCTTTCTATTTGCCAGCCAGTTCGAAATTTAAATAAAACCTTTTATTAGTTACCTCCTTGGTAGCCATGTTTCGAAGTAAAAGGTCAGTCCATTTTTAAATTACAGAACCGATATGAGTTTCCATAGTAATTTATCTGGCCGCGAAACACGACAGATATGGATTTTCATACAACTTTTGCCGGCCGCTGCCCGCATGTATCTGGCCAGTACGGCAATTTTGATTTATCTCTAAGAAGATTGACAAAATAATGCTCACATTTCCAAGCATGTTTGAGAAAAAAGATTTATATACTTGTTGGTATTTGTCACATTTATATCATGCTCCAAATTTTGTTTAGCACACACACATGCTATGAATATAACTTTCTTTGTTCTTTTGGTTTAATCTGATTGGATTTACTTTTTTTGGCATAATTTCACTATGTTTTTGACCTTCACGCATGTACTTCTAAGGAACATAGTTATATCTAAGTGAAAATATACAAAAAAAAAAAAAAAATACAATAACAATAAAAAATGACTGTTTTAATTTTAGCTTTACTGGACTGTAATGAAACATTAAAAGTTACGCCTCCAAAAAAATGTTACGAGTCCAAAAAGAAACGTATCCAATTACGCGAATGCATAAAGGAAGATGTTCCACGTTTTAAATTTGAGGTATTAACATTGTATCTTGATCATTGTAGCTTATACTACTTGCATACACCCACTGTAACTTGGCTACCTCGCTTTGGAATCATAATTTTTTTTACAACACAGGGGGCAAACGAGCATGCGGCCCACCTAGTGCTAAGTGACTACCGCCGCCCATGGTCACCCACAACACTAAAGGCATTGCAGGTGTGCTGCCGGCCTTTTAAAAGGGAATGTGCTCTTTTCTTGAAGGTTATGTTGTCGTATCGGTTCGGAAATACTGCTGCTGGAAGTTGATTCCAATAGTTTTTGTTTGTACAAATAAAATCCGTTATTGGCTGTATTCATAAGAGACTTAGCATGTAAGTTATTTTAAAGAGCTGTGGGTTTTAGTATAATAATAATAATATTATAGCCTTTATCAACTTAGTACATTAAAACAAACATAAAATTAAAAAAAAAAACTTAATATAACTTATTCTAATAATTGTTTCTTGCTTTTTTTTTTTTAAGATCTGTTTGCCATTTGGCAAAGGCCTCCTCCAACCGTTTCCACTCTCGCCTATCTTGAGCCACTCTGTCCCACATTTTTCCAACCACTTCCCTGATGTCATCATCCCATCTTATGCAGGGTCTGCCTCTTTTCCGTTTGCCTTCCCTGGGATACCATCTGGGATTTTAGTATAAAATAAAATAAAAAAAAAATGCATCCATCATCATAATCATAACTAATCATCACTTATCTTCATCTCATTTCTGACGAACTTGATGATGTAGCGGTTTTACAAAATTGCCCCATGTTCCAATGGTTGCGGTTTCCATTCCCTTGTGTGTAATGGTCTGGAATCTTGGTGTTAACATAGTGGATTCTCGGTAGTATATATGTTGAATACACTTACAGCTGTCTGTACTTTCCGGGAATCGAACTCACAACGGGGTGGGGGGGAAGTGCCAGTATTTAGCACACTCGGCAGGTGAGTTGGCAACCGCAGTTAGACTTTGGTGATGTTTTAAGAGCTGCTACCCATCCCTTGATCATTAGGTTCCCTTAGTCGTCTCTCACGATACCCACGGGAAAGGAAGAGGTGGTCCGTTCTAAGCCGAATTAGAGCATTTTAGAGATAAGTCTATAGAATGTCATTTATACATCGACCCCAATATTAAATTTTTGTTGATTTAAGAATTTTTCCTACACAGAACTATTCATCACACTCGGACACGGAATCTGATGATGAAAAGGATCCCGGGAATAACGTAGGAGGCTCCCGAGAGTGTGAACGGATCAGTAACACAGATAACGGTACTGGCCATCACCAAAATCATGTAAGTTGTTTATCGCTAAAACCATCTATTTTACCAGATGGACACTTTGTACAAAAGTAGTTTGCTTGACCACCACTGTCCCATTCGTGTTTCTACCGTGAAGCTGTTGTGTTTGAATGGCTGTTTCGGTTTGAAGGGTGGGATAAGGCAGTGAATTTACAGGGTACAGAGTAATAATATCTGAGTTCTCAGGAATGGCAACGCATAGGGGGTGTTATGGGCGAAACAGTATACTCTGTTACGTCCATGGTGCTGCTCATGTCTATAGAAGACGGTTACCACTTTCCATCAGGTGGACCCGTCAGCTTGTTTACCATTTAAAGTTGTATAAAAAAAAAACTACTCGACGGATTTTAACGAAACTTGGTACAATTATTCTTCATACTCCTGGGCAGGTTATAGTATACTTTTCATCACACTACGATCAATAGGAGCAGAGCAGTGAAGGGAAATGTTGGGAAAACGGGAGAAGTTACTCCATTTTTAAGCTTCCGTCGCGTGTGCAGCCTTAATGGCCACTTTTTAAATGTAAAAATGTCCACTCGTGCGAAGCCGGGGCGGACCGCTAGTACCAAATATATATTATCTATCCGTTATCCTATATATTATATCGAGAAAGAAAGGGAAGAAGAACTCGCTCGTAATGGATATAGATATCCGATTGGTATGGGCGATATCGCAAAGGGTGGGCATCTATGTACAGAAGATCTCTGTTTGTAATATATAGATATCAGATATTTACCCATCTCTGTTTCCATGTTCATTGCGCTATTTTAATGTATGTTGGCCTGTATAACACCACCTGTTTAAACAACTTGTTTGTGATCACAGACCCAGATGCAGCCTGGTGATGCCCACACCGACAGCTCGGAACAAGCGACAACCTCGTACCCAGTGATCGATGATGTCATGGCGACCGTGGTAAGAGGCTAATGCATGAATAGATCCTATAGTAGGGCAATTGGGGAACTCAACTTATTAAAAAAAAAATCCTTTTGTCGCCCTCCCTTAGTCGCCTCTTACAACGCCCACGGAAAAGGAAGGGGTGGCCCATTCTATGCTGGGACCACCCGACGATATTCTACATGGACTATACCTATTATTGTACGCACACTGCCCGCGGGTAATTAATGCTCCTTTCCACACAGGGTTTGCTGGAGGAGAACTCTTACAGAGTTAAGCTCGCCTATTGTACACCTTTATTTTATATATATGTTTGTAATTTTTGTGTACAATAAAGAATAAATAAATAAATGAATATGCAGTAAATCCCCAATAGCCCTACTACGGTGTGTATTTGGGTTATAATGTGAAATTACTGGGTACAGAGGAATAACACCTGAGTCCTCAGGAATGGCAACGCATGGGGGGTATCATGGGCGAAACAGTATTATACTCTGTTATGTCCATAGTACTGCTCATGTCTATAGGCGACAGTTACCACTTACCATCAGGTGGGCCCTCAGCTTGTTTTCTATTCTAAGTTGTATAAAAAAATCCATTCTTCTTGGAACATCCTGTATATATTATCATGAAATCGACAGTTATCACACAATGATAATTAGTTACCGCTAGTTCCTGTTAGTAACAATCTCACAATCACTTAATGATGATACATCATTGACGTGAGCAAAATAACAAACCAACCAACCAATAGCAAGGTCGACCTTCATCCGATTCACTCCTGGAAACCACCAAGGTTTTTTCTCGTGGGATTAGTTTCAACACACTAACGGACCTACTGTTATCCTCACCTGTCATCTCTCAATGCTATCCCATCTCCGTATACCCATAACACAGTTGGGGTACCATTCCATTCTTTTTTTTATACCATAAAGGCGGCAAACATGCATACAGCTAGTTTGTTGGTAAACGGTCTCTGCCTATGGTCGCCTGCAACACTAGGGGAGTCACGTGTGCGTTGGGGACCCTATTATTTATCACCCATTAAATATTCTTTATATATTAAAAAAGATATATCAAAGAGTGACATCGCAGCGTAGGTAGTGTACCACCGCGCTATCGTGGTACCCTAAGAAATTTTTTTTTCCAGGTGATTGATGACATTACAAATCCCTCGAGGCCTGTGATGAGAACAATCGATGACTTGCTAACAATGTGTCGGGTTGCGATAAAGGAGAGAGACCACGAGATATCCATCTTGAAGGAACAGGTGGAGGAATTAACGAAAAAGAATGTCCGATTGCAAAAGACACTTGATGAAATAAAGAAAAAGGCAAAAATCAAAGATACAGATTTAGAATCAAACGAAGAATCTTCGAAGGCATCTGAAGAGTTTAATGAAAAGCGCGAACGGAAACGGAGTATAGAAAAAAGAGACAATAACAAGGATTCACTAGAGAAACAAGATAGAAATGAAAATACAGTGAATACAACTAAAGCTCCAAGTTGGAAGGCCAAAAGAAAACGGAATGTTGAACACACAGAATTAAAAACAAATATCAAAATTGCTGAAAAAGATACGAATAAAACAGTCTCACAAGCGAACTATAATAAAGATAAAGAAATAAAAAAAGAAACAGATTCAGACGAATGTAACTCTGAGGACGATTATCTTGTTACTTTAACAGAAAATGGAGTGCCAACAGAAATGGAAGCCGATACAGATAATGTGTCTGATGAAACAAGTGATGATGGAGTCACGTCTACAGATGGATCTGAGAACAGCACTTCGAGTTATGAAAATCTTGAAACACAAGAGGAGAAATTGTATGGGCTAGATACATCTAACGTTGAAAACAATACGAGACCGTTTGAGGTATTTATCAAAGAAGAAATGTATGATGCAAATACGGATACTCGATCTATTTCAATAACTAGATTTAATAGTTGAAAATAAAGAAGTAGCCAGTATTCTGTTTTTTATTGAAACCTTTACCAGCCCATTTTGCTGGTATATTGTATATCCCTTTCAGACCTGAACGATACGGGCGTGAGATGTAACTTTAAAAATTCTACAATTCATTTTTACGCACGAAGCTGAAATAACATGATAGTGAGATTCGAAACCAGCCAATAAGAAATCATTTTAGCGGTTAGGTGGTGCAGTAGTCTCGTGTGTGCCGGTAAGATGGCTTGGCTCCAAAACACGAAAATATATTTAATCTGTAAGAAAAATATCTTGGGTCTGAAAAGGTTATGTTGTTTACCAGAGGGAGACTGTACAAAAGTCGTTTGCTTGGCCATCTCCACCACCAGTTGTGTTTGCTTGGCTGTGTTTTGGTTTGAAGGGTGGAATATGGCAATGAATTTATAGGGTACAGAGGAATAACACCTGACTCCTCAGGAGCGGCAATGCTTGTGGGGTATCATGGGCGAAACAGTATTCTTTGTTATGTCCATGGTATTGCTTATGTCTATAGGCGACGGTTATCACTTTCCATCAGGTGGGCCGTCAGCTTGTTTGCCATTCTAAGTTGCATAAAAAGAAAAAATGTTAATGGACGGGATAAATAGCCTATCTCGTTTTTCATCTCCAATAGTACGTGTGTGCCAAAGGGTCTCGCCGTGTTTCCACATAAAATCTGAGGGCTTACCATGAAATATTTTCCAAAATTTCGGGGACGAACGAAATAGAAATTTGATGTTAAAATTACATAATACATGCCGTTTAATATTATTAAAAATATTAAAATATCGTTCGTTTGGACTATTAGGATAGGATTTATGATGAATGAAATGTTAAGCTCAATTTACAAGGTCGATTTAGGTATAAACAAACACGAAATTGAGCCCGAAAGTTCGGAATTTCATTTCATGGTAGGCCTTCTGCACTGGCGTCTTTGATGGCGTTGGTGCCTTTAATATATTGGTAGTTGTTGGAATAAATTTTTAAGCTATTACCAAATCCTTAATTTGTCGTTTTTGGAGTATAGGAGTTGCACCCCAAACTTCAAAATTATTTTTCTACGAAACTATGATAGATATTTGAACGAGACCATTAGAATCTACCCAACACCGCTTAATCTGTGCTGCTTTTACATCTGAATTTTTGTCATCATAATATCGTCATAGTCGTAGAATACTGACAGATCTATATATGTAATCTTTGTCAGATCTGTCAGTATTCTACGACTATGACGATATTAGCCGTTATCTGTCTGCTGAACATACACTTTCCCCATAGATTGCTATATGGAACAGTCTCGGTTCCTCCTACATCCACTAACTCCCTGCAATGCATTGGTCCTCACTACATCTAGTGGAGGATTGTTCTACATACATTGTTATTACCTGTACGGGGTCTCCACTCGAGAAACTTACTTCCCGATCGGTTGTCGCTTCTTCGAGGTATGTATTTTAATTATTTATACATTTGCACACTTAAAAATATGTCTACAGGTTGGACTTAATGCCCGATGCATTCTCTACCAGTCAATTATTATTTTTAGAAAAAGAAAAATAAAACCACAGAGTAAAGTGAACATTCTAGTAATATATTCTGCCTCAAAGTTTATTTACACAATAAGATTGTACTAAACAACCTTTGACATATAACCTAAGCAAATTAAAAATAAACCTTACACACTATGCGACAAATAGAAATGCACTTCCAATTTGAAATGGCGAGATAAGACTTATCCAATTTTTGACAACTCAAAGCTCCCGAGATGAATGTTCGTAAATTAAATAGCGACTTAATGATTCTGATAAATTGCACTTTATATATATTTAGGCGGATTACAAGCGCCCGTTTCGCTTGGCAGTGAAATCGAGACAAAATTTTGTTCTCTCTAAAATCAGAAAATACTTTTTTTATATTCAGACCTATTGCAATAGAGAAACATAAACGTAGAGGTAAAGAGAACTCCAGCTATAGACTGTAAATGACAGTTACAATTCCCGCCAAAACGGCGCTAGAGTAGTGAGAGGGTACGAAGTTAATATAGCAATTGTTAATGGAGTGAAGTGCTTTGCGTTGAACAATTTAATATCTTTATTTACTATTTAATACATAACAAAAAGTTTTAATATTATTTACTTGCGATAAAAAGCGTAAGTTTTAATTTCTTTATTTACTTCCTTCAAAATTTACCCGCTTGCTACTACTGTAGCGCTGTCGTAATTTAACGCCTTTTTAAGCTCGGAAGTTTCCCTTACCTCTACTCTCTATAATTCAGACTATTACAATAATAAAGCATATAACAAAATGAGAAACGTAAACAATGTAGCGATAGGCGGGAAAATAAGTTATTAAAAAATTTATTTTGCCACCGTTGTCAAGTCACTGTTTTGTCCATAGACTTCCACAAGCTAGCCACTGCTATTTATATTGTAAGTTTATCTATTTTTAAATTTGTTAATGACACTCTCTTTTCAATGTTTTAGAACGTAACATTCCAAAATTCGAAATTCAAATTTTAGAGAATTCAAAACGACTTCCAACACTATATAATGCAGGCGCTTTAAAATTCGTTATTATTGTCAAATATTTATTGTTGACATTGTGCAATTTAATAGTTATTGAATAAAAAAATAAATCTCGAGAGCTTTTAGGGCAGGTTTACATTATCAGTCACTGATTCAAAGTTTAGATTAGTGTTGTGTCAAATCTTAGGCGCCATTTTTAAAAACCAAATTTTTTTAAATCGAGTATTTTACGAAATTCTACTTTATGGACCGTTATGAATTTATAATAATTATGACTTAAATTTTTTAATTTATTTAAGTTCTCATTGGTCTTATTTTAAATTTCCAAGTTTAAAGAAATGGCGCGCAAAATTCTAATTCAGTGGTAAGTACGAATTACTCATCGAGGCCGATGCTGGCCAGCAACTGACCAATGTAAAACCTTTACAAACATTCTGAGAAATCAACAAACGCCGTAAATTTCCCAACTAAAACGTAACAGCGAGTTTAATTTGTGTGACATATTATCATTTATGTATGTTCTGATATACATAGTAAAATTTTTTATACTAGGCCGGATTCTGAAGTGTCATCTTTAAACACAAAATCCCATTATGATATTGTAGTAAAATTACTGTGAGAATTTTATAATTACGAATTGCGTCAAATCCACATTTATATTTTATTGTAATAATTACTTGGTTTGAATCACTTGTAATTATATCAAGAAAGCTCGACTAGTTTCGGCACCAATTCGTGATCCTTAATCACGAGCGCTTGTACAGCTCGCGCTTAACGGGCCGAAACGTGCAGTGAGGTTCCCGCTCGCATTACAGCCGCTCATGATTAAGGATCACGAACTGGTCCCGAAACCAGTCGAGCTTTCTCGACCAAATTACACGAAAATCAAATTGGTTATTATATTAAAATATAATGTGTACTTAAGAAATTTTCAACAATAAAATAAAAATTGTAATTTTAGAGGCAGATTTAAAGAATGATACCTCAGAATTGACCCCTTTATCAATAATGCTAGATGACATTTCTAAAACAGCGGTTTTACTGTATTTAAACACAGCAAGAGATAGACATAGTATGACAACAACTCCATCAATGACACAAGAGCCTTTCTTTAAAATTTTCTAAGGAATAATTTAGTAGTTTAAAATCCAATATTTGAAATTTTCCTCGTCTCTAAAAATAGTAAATTTCTTATTTATTTATTTATTTATTTAGAGAACAATATTGATTTTAGAAGCGAGTGGATGCTATTTAAAAATGTACAATTAGAAGCGATAATGTGTACATAGTCTAATGCAAGTAGATTCGTCATTTTTACTCGATACTAAATATCTAAAGAAAGGCCTAAATTTATTTAAAATTATATAAAACAAGATAATAAGGTATTGCTTCGATTTTAACCGTCCCGGACGGATTGTTTTAGTTCGAAAACCAACGGCGCCATTTTGAATCGACACTGTGAACAAGATGGCCGCCAATGCCAACACACACAAACGGCGTAGAGATGCTCAATGGATGGAACATGTTAAAGTGTACTTACAAATGAGAAAGTTGACGAAACACTTTATGATTAAACTAGTCTTTACTTGGGGCTTTGTCTGACTGATTTACAGGTATAAAATGCACATTAGGTCTTTTTCCATCACAAATACTTTATGGAAAGTTATGAAAACTCTTCTCAAAAATTGATATTAAGTGTCTTCATAGAACCAATAGATATTAAAACAATAATTTTTAGAAAATTTGTCTGTATGTTTATTTCGGCATCAAAGCAAAACTACAACACCAAATTGGATGCAGTCTTTACAATTATGTTTTTGACAGCCTAACTTAAAAATTGGTATGTTTTATCTCAATACGTCATTTAGAACCGGTTTTTTCACTGATTTTCCTACCTCTGCAGTCCACTCATAGGGAGTAGCGGGCAGAGAGTTTATTATAAAAATACGTCAGCCATATTGTTCACAGGGTTAATTTATTAATTAAAACAAACAATTTAATATGAATGAATCCATTAGGCACCTATAATCACACGGAAACCTTTAATTTAACAATTTAACAAGCCTTTACCACAGATGCAAAAACATAATGGGCGGTCTTTGTTTGCGTGCAGACTGTGTACATTTTTGATTTAATTTGAAAATATAGTTTAGAGCTATAATATAGTATATAGCAATTTTTTTTTATACCACTGAGGTGGCAAACAAGCATACGGCCCACCTGATGGTAAGCGGTTACCGTAGCCTATGAACGCCTGCAATACCAGAGGTATTACGCGCGTTGCCGACCCTGAAGGAACCTCTTTAGCCCCCTTTTGAAGAATCCCACGCTGTAGTCTCTTGGGAAAACCTCGGCAGGGAGCTCATTCCATAATTCCATAATATCTATATATTGGGTATTATAATAGATATATTAAATATTGGTTATTTATTATATAACATTGAAATGATCCGAAACGAGGGACCCGATCTAAATTAACATAGCTATCAGGGGGTAAAGTGTTTCATAGCTTCATTGCTAGCAATATATCCTTTAAGGTCGAATTCCACGCGGTTCCTCCTGGAAACCACCGTGGTTAATTCTTGTGGAATTACTCACGATTGGCTGATTGACCTGCGTTTTCATCCTCACCTATCATCTTTCACTGGTGCCCCGCCAACGTATACCGTATGAGCAGGTGGGGTTACCATTCCATTGTTAACCATTAGCTATTTCTAGGTATATATATGGGTATACCGTTATGGAATTAATTTTGAAATTAGATTTTTTAGAAAACTACACAGGCTGCGCGCTGTCGCATTCCGTACTGTGTGGCTTAGGCCTTAGACAGATAAAAGAAAAAAAAAATAAATGCATACGGAATTCCCTGAGAGGTACAAATTAACAGAAATGTCTTTACACAAAGTCGTGTGATTGTATTGTACAAAATAACAGAACACCGCATTCACACCACGCTAGCGGCGCGTCACGAAACCTATAACCAAATTAACATTGTGTATTACTAGACTGCTTGGGTACCACTGTCCCATTTGTGTTTTTACCGAGAAACAGCAATTATAGGGATAACCTTTATCAGAGGCTTATCACCAGTGAAGATGATGGTACAAGATTAATTTGGTTTCGTGCCTCCTGGCGTCACCGCTTGCGGGGAGCTGCAGTCCACAAGCAAACTGTCTTTTGACTTACTTCAATGAAAGCATTAGGACTAGATCGCGCGCTTAAAATTTTTTGAAAAAAAAAAAAAACATGAAAAGGCGAGATTAATATTAAAGACAGCGATGGGAATAAATAACATGAACAGCTTCTTAATTTTAATAAAAAAAAAAAGAAAAAAGAAAATACAAAATGTAATTTCTTACGAGTATTTACTTGCAACACTGAAAAATGGCGCGCATTTCGTTTAAAAGAAAAACTGGTTATTAACACGTTGAGCGCCATGTCAGCCATCGGTGGCTGACACTAGACTTTCCGTTTAGGCCGCGTCAGCCATCGGTGTCTTGTAACATGAAAAAAAATTTTACACTATTTTACGAATTACAGAAAACAAAACAGACTTGGTGCGTAACGTGTTCAATGAATGCCTATAGGAATCACGTTCCAAACGTAAACTACCTTCTACTACGATAGGAAACACCAGCTGGCCTGAACGGGATTGCTGTAGAAATACGCGTGGCGTTCAACGTGTTAAGTAAGAAAAAAAAAGTAAATTTTATCTTTGATTAGTATACAGAAAGGTGTTAATTTTTTTTTGTTTTTTTTTTTGGAAATGTTTATTGTGTTGACTGTTGTTTATTACGAAAATAGAAAATTAGTAGATGGTTTAAATATTATTTTATTTAAACATCAAGTGATATTGTGTGTTTATATATATATATATATATATATAAAATACAATCAGATTAAAAAACTTCTATTTCGAAGTCAGTTAAAAGGGCCTAAAACATGAACCCACCATGGACATTACAGAATATACCATAACGTCCATGGTACCCTTCAAACGTCATTATTCCCAAGGACTATATTTAATATTGGCAAAGTATAAACATAGCACTGAAAAACCTTCTAGGCTATTAGAAATGGCCCCATTGCTATTATCAGGTGGACCTTACGCGGTTCGCCCTGGAAACCGTCATGGTTAATTTATGTCGATATATATATATATATATATATATATATATATATATATATATATATATATATATATATATATTATATGTGTTATTTGTTTGGACCTTATAAACTGTATAAGTGAAATCTACTGACAATTCTGCTAATTCTTACTATCAATCCTTGAAGAGTTCTCTTACTGTTCAAGGAACAAGGTTCAAGGTACGAATTTCTTTAAATTATTTTGCTTTAAATCAAATTTATGCCGACAATGTTTTACTAATTCAATAGAGCGTAATAATAAAAAAAATTTATTACTATTATTGCTGCTACCCTTGCGATCAGGGTGGAGGGGATTGTTAGTAACGCGAACTCCCCAGTCGCATTGCTAGCAATATACCCAACCAGGTCGACCTCCATGGTGAATTCATCACGATGGATTAACTGGCCTACATTTTCATCCTCACTGGTGCCCTGCCAGCATATGCAATAGCGCAGGCGGGGTTACCATTCCATTATCATGCATTAAAAAACCCTTGCGATTAAGTGGCGCCATCTGGTGTCCAAGAGTTTATTAATTAAAAAAAAGAAAAAACATAAAAAGGTTAGTTTTCTTTTGACACATTTTTTTTAAATAAAACACGCGCCATTTTTCGATATTGCCAGTAATACATTTTTAAACTCCAAATCACGTATACACTGACAAATAAAAGAAATTCAGTGTATGATTATATACGAACAAATAATTGGATTTAATTTGTAAAAATCAATAAATCGATGATAATTAAAAAAAAAATACACACTTTATTTGTACTTTAATGATTGTTGATTTAATAATCTCAGTCAACCTTAAGTATTATGCGTACACTAACAATAGAAAGAGACTGTGTTATATAACGTATTAAACATTAAAGAGAGACGGAACACTCTCGCAAACACGCTGCAACTCCCCGCGCTCAAAAACACCGTAAAAATTAGAAAAAAAAAAAACACCTAAACTAAGACGTCACTAGACGTCGATTAAAAAATATCAACGTCTGATAAACGGTGATTGAATACACAACTTAAAAATATACAATATTAATTTGTTTAAAAAACTTATGGCTCTTTGAACGTGTCACTTTGTCTTAAAAAATATAAGAAGCGAAGACACGTACTCAAACAGCCATATTTTTTTTATAAAAAAAAAAAAATACGGTGGATCGTTTACGCGTCACAGACTTTGTTGCGGACTGCCGAAAAACATTTGCATTAGCATATTTCGTTAAGATTACTAGCGTTCACCTTTAGCGTTCATGATAATCAACATATTGATTTGGTATGAGTAACCAAGCTTTCTTGGAGTATTATCCAAGCTTTCAGTTAAGAGCGTTTGTTACAAAGTGTGCCAACGTAGGAATTATCAGTTAATTAAAAAAAAAAAAACAAATTGATGGATATTCTGAATGATTAATGAAAAAGTATGTTTAAAAACAAAATTTAATAATAATGTGACCCGCCATTTTGTGGCTTCGGCCATTTTCGTCGTCGAGGTCGTTTGTTTTATTGTTGCCTACTCTACAAGCTTTTAATTAACACAGACATTAATAGGGTTGAGAAAACATACGCCATCCGCCATCTTGTGGCGGCGGCCATTTTGTAAATATTACAATATTGACTATTACATATGTTAGTTACCAGAACTACATACAATATTTAAAATTTCAGTGAAATCAGGTAAAAGTTTTTTTTTTTATACAACTTAGAATGGCGAACAAGCTGACGGCCCACCTGATGGAAAGTGGTAACCGTCGCCTATAGACATGAGCAGTACCGTGGACATAACAAAGAATACTGTTTCGCCCATGATACCCCCCATGCTTTGCCATTCCTGAGGACTCAGGTGTTATTCCTCTGTACAGTGTAAATTCACGCCATATCCCACATTTCAAACCGAAACACAGCCATGCAAACACAACTGCTTCACGGTAGAAACACGTATGGGACAGAGGTGTCCAAGCAATCGACTTTTGTACAAAATCTCCCTCTGGTAAGTGGATAATATTAGCTCTAAATTTACATACAATATGTTTTATAATTAATATTTTAGTTCAATATTTTTTTTTTTCGAATAATCATTCGGATGTATTGAATCTCTTTGATAAATTACATATAATTCCGACGCTGTCACGTTCTGTCATGAACACTTTTAACTGCATGGACGCTCATATACATTTTTGGCTTCCAATTTCATTATTTAATATTTACCAGTATGTAAATACAACTAAATTCGATTCGACGTAAGACATAGTAAATCTATTTACTACATACGTCCGCAAAAAAAAAAAACAATCGTAACTTTTCGTTACCGTCATCCAACGGTAGAACTTCCAAACACGTATTAGCACGTTGTCCCTTTCTTTCATATTGAATGTTCCCTTAGGAAGAAAGAGACCAAAATACTCGCACAGCTAAAGTTTATAAGACGTTGGACATTTTTGTCGATATAATAGACGAGTCAATAACCTTATAATATAATAGAGTAGTAACATAAATAAATCGTATTTCTGTTATTATGTACCGCATTTGTTGATCGGCTCGCCGTGACGCGACGTCGCAGTTTACTCGCGTAACTTCAACGCGTGATCCTTGATGGCGCCACCGTCGCCTTCCGACACGAAACGTTTGCGCCCTCTGTAAAAAAGGAACACTAGTTTAATATGTGATAATTTGCCCGGTAATATATATATTTTTTTTGATGGGTGAAAATGACATGGGTGAAAATGGGCACCAGTGAAGGGTGATAGATGAGAATGAAAACAGGCCAGTTAGCCCATCATGATGAATTCATCAGGAATTAACCATGATAGTTTCCAGGGGGAACCGCGAGAAGGTCGACTTGGTTGGGTATATTGCTAGCAATGGGATTCTCAGTCTCCATTACTAACAATCCCCCCCCCTCCCGGTAATGTATAGCGTGGCATGTGTTGCTATGCAAGTGAGAGGAATGTGCAAGTACTGTCTGTTTATTTACTTACATTTTATTTTTTTGTACAGTGTGTACGCGTGTACGTGCGTGTGTGTGCGTGCGTGTGCGTGCGTGTGCGTGCGTGTGCCGCGTGGGCCGCTCACCTGGTGGGCACCCGCTTGAGCACGGCGTCCCCGAGGCGGAACTTGTGCTGGCAGCGCTCGAGGAAGCGGTCCAGCATGATGTACGCGAGCGGCACGTCCAGCACGATGTCCGACATGTCCTCCAGCACGCGAAGGAAGCCCTGCACACCACCATGACGTCACAATACGTCACACACACTACCTACCACAGCATGGGCCGATCGGCTATCTAAATCTATCTCTACAATTAAAATTTAGCCCCCAATTGATAAAAACTTTTAATATTTTATTCCATATGTCATTTATTATGTATGTTTTATATATTGGCAACACTGTAACATTAGCAACGGTCAGAAGCGACTGTACAACGCAAATATAAATAAAATAAATGATTTTCTCTTTATAATGGACTTATTTTGTAAATTGTCTCATATCATATATATATATATATATATATATCAATGATCAAACATTTGCACTAATATTATAAAGAGAAAAGATTTCTATTTTTGTGTGTATGTATGTTTGTAATGAATAAACTCATAAACTACTTTGCCGATTTCAAAAATTTTTTCACCATTAGAAAGCTACATTCATCCTGAGTAACATAGGCTATATTTATTGCTAGAAAACATTAGGGATCCTTACTAAAACTCTAGTAACGTAACTCAAGGTGTAAAAAAATGCTATAAAATATCTTTGGTCGCGTGCGCTGCGGAAACTATTGGTGATAGAACAAAAGTATGTTCTACAATATTGAAGAAAATATCAATAACTACAAAAACCTTCGCGATACTATATGTCCAACTATTATCGTTATGTCACAATAAGCACTTTTGAAAATGTAAAAATGTCCACCCGTGCGAAGCCGGTACAAGCCGGTAGTCTTTAATAAAGCTGTTTTAGCTATTGAATCTTATTTTTTTTTTGTTTTACGTAAATTTCTCAAATTTTTATTAACTTTACCACAGGAGAAGTGGAATACCTTTATGAGTGAATTTTACAGGTCCTTTAATTAATTTATTTATTTATTACATCCACTGGGTGAGCCTTACAGTCTTCCAATACGCCCACCCAAAAAAGCACGAGTACAATAACATATAAAAACGAATATTACAATAAAACTAAAAAAAATAACAAAAAAAGATTTAACTCAAACAAAAAACGTGTGAACACAAATACTCTGTGGTCACCCGACCAAACTCCAGCAAGTTGGAGGCAAACACACCCAATTGCGGATACTGGGGGTCTACCATGAAATGAAATTCCGAATTTTCGGGCTCAATTTCGTGTTTTTGTTTATACCTAAATCGACCCAGTGAATGGAGTTTAACATTTCATTCATCACAAATCCTATCCTAATAGTCCAGAGGAACGATATTTTAATATTTTTAATAATTTTAAACGGCATGTATTATGTAATTTTAACATCAAATTTCTATTTCGTTCGTCCCCGAAATTTCAGAAAATATTTCATGGTAGGCCCTCTGGTTCAAAATTAATGTCTCACGCGACTATGTTTCACTTTACGTAGGCGTTCAAACTCACCCTGTCCATCTGGTCGGGCGAGACGATGACACACCTGCTCAGCTCCGCCAGGAACGTGCACAACTGCTCCTCAACACTTGAATTTATAGCTTCTACCGCTAACAATACAGTCTGTTGACAATATTTAAATGCAACTTAGAATGACAAACAATCTGACGGCCCACCTGATGCAAAAAGGTAACCGTCGCCTGTAGACATGAGCAGTACCGTGGACATAACAGAATATACTGTTTCGCCCATGATACCCCCCATGCGTTGCCATTAATCACGGAAAATTAAAGAGTTCCCGTGGGATAGTTAAAAAACTACAGTAACTTATACAGGTTAGTACACGATCTACTTAAGTAAAGTCATTTCGACCTAAGACAAAGAGAGAGAACGATAAACATGAATAACAAGTAACACGCGGACAAAGTCGCGGGCATCAGCTTGTATATTAAGAATTAATCAAGATGGATTTCCAGGGGGAACTGCGCGGAGGCTTTAGTTGCAGAGTCCACCACACTGACCTCATAAACCAGCTCGTGGTGGAAGTGCGGCACCTCGAGCTCCCGCACGCAGCGCATGGCCTCGGCCAGGTCGCCGGACGTCAGGTACTCCTTCAGCAGCAGCTGGATCTGACGGATCAGCGACTTCACTGGCCTGCGGACGTGTTGTATGCATACATCATATATACTGATGAAAAGTGGTAACCGTCGCCTATAGACATGAGCAGTACCATGGACATAACAGAGTATACTGTTTCGCCCATGATACCGCCCATGCGTTGCCATTCCTGAGGACTCGGGTGTTATTCCTCTGTACCCTGTAAATTCAATGCCATATCCCACCCTTCAAACCGAAACACAGCCATGCAAACAACAGCTTCATGGTAGAAACACGGATGGGATAGAGGTGACCAAGCAAACGACTGTATACAAAGTCTTTCTCTGGTAAAGTTAAAGGCCGATATGATAAAGCACATTAAAAGGTAATAAAGTAATATTGTGTCCGTGTGTCCGTGTCCGTGTGTGTGTGTGTGTGTGCGCGCGCGCGCGCGCGCGCGCGTGTTTGTGTGTGTGTGTGTGTGTGTGTGTGTGTGTGTGTGTGTGTGTGTGTGTGTGTGTGTGTGTGTGTGTGTGTGTGTGTGTGTGTGTGCGTGTGTATGTGTGTGTGTGTGTGTGTGTGTGTGTGCTTATGTGTGTGCGTGTGTGTGTGCATATGTGTGTGCTTATGTGTGTGCCTGTGTGTGCTTATGTGTGTGTGTGCGTGTGTGTGTGCATATGTGTGTGCTTATGTGTGTGCCTGTGTGTGCTTATGTGTGTGTGTGCGTGTGTGTGCTTGTGTGCGTGTGTGTGTGTGTGTGCTTATGTGTGCGTGTCTGTGTGTTATGTACACGTGTGTGTAATACACTAATAGTTATCAATTTGATCGACCAGCTTACCTGATACCGCCGCCGACGCCCCATATATTGTCCAGTCTGACCAGCCCCTGCTTCATAGACAGCAGGGTCTCTGCTCTGTGGATCGCTTGCCTACAAACATACACATACTGTGAATATCATTATCCGTGCATCCTTTTTGCATTGGAGGTTGTAATTTTAAACTGCATATTTTTTTAACAGTGTGGTATCATCAATATAACATATACAGGATGTAAGGGACAGGTCGGCAAAAACTGAAACTGTGAATTCAGACTATTATTCCGAACTGACAGCCATTGGAAATTCTTTCCAGAAAATTAAAATTTTTCTAATGATTTAAATAAAAAAAAATTTTCGAGTTTTTCCCAAGAGACTACAGAATGGGGTTCTTCAAAAGGAGGGCAAAGAGGTTCCTTCAGGGTCTGCAACTTGCGCGTAATACCCCTGGTATTGCAGGCGTTCATAGGCTACGGTAATTGCTTACCGAAAGAAAGAAAGAAGAAAGAAAGAAACTTTATTCTACAAAAATATGCGACTACACCCACACAGGGGTTAAAAATATTAAGTATTATAACAACGAAACTACACACAATATTTATATATATAAAAAAAAAGAATATAAAATTAAAAAAAGAAAAAAAAAAGCAATCCGTATAATAACAGTTTCATCCAAAATTACTGTGTGCGTGCGTCGCAACACCTGCAAAATGAGATGCAGCGTTGATTTTCAGCACAAGCCTCGACAGGTGGGCCGTATGCTTGTTTGACACTTCAGTGGTATATATAAAAAAACAGAAAAAACCTAATTATGTTTTTTTCTTTTTTTTTTTATACAACTTATAATGGCAAACAAGCTGACGGCCCACCTGATGGAAAGTTGCAACCGTCGCCTATAGACATGAGCAGTACCATGGACATAACAGAGTATAGTGTTTTGCCCATGATACCCCCATGCGTTGCCATTCCTGAGGACTCAGGTGTTATTCCTCTGTACTCTATAAATTCACGCCTTAATATGCCAACCTTCAAACCGAAACACAGCCATGCGAACACAACTGCTTCACGGTTGAAAGACGAATGGGGCAGAGCTGGCCACGCAAACGACTTTTATATAAAGTCTCCCTCTTAGGTCTACTAAGGGATCGCAAGATATTTTTACATAATAAAGAGGTTGCGTCATGAAAAAGATTGGAAAATATTGCATTAGATAATGTTTGCCGAAAGGGTCCTTGCTCAGCGTCATGCTGCGACCGAGGAGTTACTGTATTGATTTTTGGTTAACAATTTCAAGAATGGTTGAATTTTTTACCAGAGGGAGACTTTGTACAAAAGTCGATTGCTTGGGTACCTCTGTCCCAATCGTGTTTCAACCGTGAAGCAATTGTGTTTGCATGGCTGTGTTTCGGTTTGAAGGGTGGGGTATGGCGTGAATTTACAGGGAACAGAGGAATAACACCTGAGTCCTCAGGAATGGCAACGCATGGGGGGTATCATGGGCGAAACAGTATACTCTGTTATGTCCATGGTACTGTCCATGTCTATAGGCGACGGTTACCACTTTCCATCATGTGGGCCGTCAGCTTGTTTGCCATTCTAAGTTGTATAAAAAAAAATTAACTTCGTGAAAATGGAATGGTTACCTCATTTGTGCGGGGCACCAGCGTGGACTAATCATCATCATTTCAGCCATTATCCGTCCACTGCTGGACTTACGCCTCCCCCATAGACTGCCATAAAAAACGGTCCTGAGCCTCCTGCATTCACTGACTCCCTGCAATGCATTTCAGGTCGTCACTCCATCTGTACATTTTTTTTCCTCCGCCAAACAAGTTTTGACTCATTTCTCGCATACCACATGCTTTTTAAATTCAAATTTAAAATATTTATTCATTCTCAACAACACTGTGTGAACAAACTATTTACTAAAGAATACACAGTGTATGTATTGTGGAGACTGATGGGTGAACTAGGAGAACCTGTGCTACACCCACCAGGCCACCACTTCCAGACAACTTCGGGTCTACCATGAAATGAAATTCCGAAATTTCGAACTCAATTTCGTGTTTTTGTTTATACCAAAATCGGACCAATAAATGGAGTTTAACATTTCGTTCGTCATACATCCTATCGTAAAAGTCCAAAGGAACAATATTTTAACTTTTTTAATATTTCCAAACGGCATGTATTATGTAATTTTAACATCAAATTTCTGTTTCGTTCGGCTCCGAAATTTCGGAAAACATTTCATGGTAGGCCCTCTTGTAACAATGTAATTAAATAACATATAAAGTAAATAACAAAATAAACTATGTAACGTTAACTATACATTATTTTATAATTCTTATTATATATTATACAATATGAAATGTTAAAATCCAAGAACGGGTGTGTGTGTGTATGCTAGAGAATGTGTGTGTCTGTGTGTGTGTTATGTACGTGTGCGTGGGTGTGTGTGTGTGTGTGTTCTAGACCTATATAATAAATTGTCATATGCGTAACTAATATATTTTTCTCAAACATGCTTGGAAGTGTGAGCATTATTTTGACAATCTTCTTAGAGATAAATCAAAATTGCCATACTGTCCAGATACATGCGGGCAGCGGCCGGTAAAAGTTGTATGAAAATCCATATCTGTCGTGTTTTGCGGCCAGATAAATTACTATGTAAACTCATATCTGTCCTGTAATTTAAAAATGGAATGACCTTTTACTTCGAAACATGGCTACCAAGGAGGTAACTAATAAAAGGTTTTATTTAAATTTCGAACTGGCTTGCAAATAGAAAGCTGTTTATTGAAAAAAAAAAAAAAAAAAACAAAGGAACATTATGGCGCGTGAAAAAATATTATTATTCGTTATTCGTTATTGAACTTAAAAAGTAAAATTGTGTTTTTGATTTCCGCGCATTGTTTGAGAAAAGTACTATACAAGCCTTGGCCACAATTAGGCATTGATGGACTCACATATGTGTGCCTCGGCTACGCCTCGGCCCACATTTGCACGTTCGTCCATCAATGCCTCAGTTGCTGGCCGCTGCAGTAATGTACTAATATTTAAAAAAAAAAATAAGTGTGACATAATTAATTGATTTATATAACTGCATTGGTTGTATGTATTGATTATATAAACTTCCGAAGTGGTAAAAATGTAATTAGAAAGAGAAAAAATGAATTGTACGGACTGTAAATAGCTTTAATTGTAATTTTAATTTATAATTTTTGAAATGTTATTATGTAGTAACAGGGGTATTACGTGCGCGTTGCCGACCCTGAAGGAACCTCTTTACCCCTCTTTTGAAGAACCCCATGCTGTAGTCTCTTGGGAAAACCTCGGCAGGGACCTCATTTCATAACCTGAGTGTTCGTGGGTGAAAACATCTCTGAAACCGTTTTGTACGCGACCATTTAGGCTGTAGGGTATGAGGGTGAACTACCTGTCGATGGTGAACTGTACGATGGTAGAAAGTAGCTGTGGGCATCATATTGAACAATTCCTCTGAGCACAATCCGTTGTACAAACGGTAGAACACGCAGAATGTATATAAAAGTTTAAGTGTAAAGTCCTAGTATCTTTTATACACGTATGGGGTCAGCAAGGCCGTTACATGTCGACCGATTGGTATTTTTTACGCTTCCCCCTGCTTTATACCATCATTTTACATATTTTATGTTACTTTTACGATATCTCGCGGTTTAAGATATCTGTAGTCCCCTGGCTCTGGATAAGCCGTTCCCAGTAGACTCATACGCATACTTGCCAACGAATCGCAGTTGCACATCAAGTGTTCCATGGATTCCGATTTCTCACCGCTCAGTCTGCACAGTGTGTCCGAGGATAGACCCATTTTGTATATCAGGAGTGGCCGACTTGATTAGACACAAGATCTACTGTTTACCAACGAAACCTTGTGCGATTTACCAATTATATATTTTTTATATCACAAATGAAACGACATAGTTCAGGACACAATTATGTAGTTTTTTTTTTGATGGGTGAAAATGGTATGGGAACCCCGCCTGCGTTAACGTGATACGCTGACGGAGCACCAGTGAAGTGTGATAGATAAGAATGAAAACAGGCCAGTTAGCCCATCATGTTGAATTCATCAGGAATTAACCATGATAGTTCCTGGGAGAACTACGAGGAGGTCAACCTGGTTGGGGTATATTGCTAGCAATGGGATTCTCAGTCTCCATCACTAACAATCCTTTTCTCCCTGACTGTCTAGTGTTGTAGTATTGTTTATTGTATTAAGAGGGAAAACATAAAACTGAAACTGCTTCTCAGCGACTACTTGTTTATATTAGTGTGAGCATTGCGTCCGAGCATCTTCCGCTGGATTAGCTAAATATTACATTGTTCGCCTTGCTACCATCCACTGGACTAGAAGTCGCGATCGATCGGTTGGCCATCCCTGTTGTATAGTACATATATAACCCTTAACAATTATAAATCTTGCCTTTTTTATAACATAGGCGGGTAAACGAGCATACGGCTCAACTGATGGTAAGTGACTACCACCACCCATGATCACCTGCAACACCAGAGACATTGCAGGTGTGCTGCCGGCTTTTTAAAAAGGAATACGCTCTTTTCTTGAAGGTTATGTTGTCGTATCGGTTCGGAAATACTGCTGCTGCTGGAAGAATGAAAAGAAAGAATGGTTGTGCGTGGAAGAAAGTGCCTTGAAAAACGCACGGTGAAACTTTAGTTTGTGGCGTGATGTACGGTGGTGAAAATCAGCAGCAGGTATCAATCAATCCGAACAATTCCTCAGAACACTCCCCATGATAAATTCGGTAGAAGATGCACAGAGATGCAACATGTCTGCGCAGTGTCAGTGGGTCAAGTCACCTGGCTGGCGGGCTGAGCCGAGCGTCCGACTGCGCCTGCACGAACTTGGGCGGCAGGCAGTCGTCGGCCACGCAGCGCGCCACGAAGTTGGACAGCAGCACCGCCGCGTCGGGCGTGTCCAGCACCAGGTCCGGTAGCTTGTCCAGCAGCCGCTCGAACGCTGTGCACACATGGACACATATTAGACCTTTCCCATGGATCCCATAAGACTTATCATATCAACCCCTAACTGTCCACTGCTAAACATAAGCCCCCCTTTGAGGGCTTTGGCAGTAGTCGCCACACTTGGCAGGCGGATTGGCGACCGCAGTCAAGCTCTGGAGATGTTTTAAGAGGGTCGCTGTCGCCCATCCCTCGCCCACCTTTAGTCGCCTCTTACGACACCCACGGGAAAGCCCACCCCTATTCTATGCCGGGACCACACATCATAAAAGCTAGTACGTAGCCTGGGGGGAAGAGATTGTTAGTAATGGGGAGATTAGTCCCCATTGCTATCAATATGCCCTATCAGCTCGACCTTTACGCGGTTCCTCCTGTAAACTATCGTGACTAATTTATCGTTAAATACGATACGATGAGCTAACTGATCTGCCTTTTCATCCTCACCTATCACCTCTCACTGGTGCCGCGCCAGTGTATACCCATAGCACCCATGTCATTTTCACGCATTAAAAAAATACGTAGCCTATATACTGTCTGAAAATATTACTCTGGATTTTTTTTATGGGTGAAAATGGCATGGTGACCCGAACCAGTGAGGATAGATGAGAATGAAAATAGGCCAGTTAGCCCATCATGATGAATTCATCAGGAATTAACCATGATAGTTTCCAGGGGAACCGCGAAGAGGTCGACCTGGTTGGATATATTGCTAGCAATGGGATTCTCAGTCTCCATTACTAACAATCCCTTTCTCCCCATTACTCTGGATTGAACATACATATATGGGGTATGATCCCCTACATTCCATTTTTAATGTAAAAAGATCTTACCATATGCAATGTCCTTAGCGGACAGCACTCTCCATATAAATCCGATATTAGTACAGAGGCCATCTCGCAGTGGGACGGCTTGTGGTCAAGGGCTATTTCGACAATTGTCTCACAGACCTGTAAAACATTAATAACGTTCAAAATAAGGTAAAATCCATACCTAACAATATATATATATATATATATATATATATATATATATATATATGGGATATATACTATCTGACCTGGCGAACTTTGTTTCGTCTAACAGTCGTTTCTTTCATTTTTTTTTTATTATGATACCTACTTAATTTCATTTTTACTTATTCCAGATTAAGTTATGTTTTTATTGACAATAGCTGTGGCATGCGCGTGAGTTGCGCGCGGTACTGTACAGTACTTGGGCATCGGTCCAGCCATTTCAGAGATTAGCCGGAACAAACAGACAGACAAAAATTATAAAAATGTTATTTTGGTGTATGTACCGTATATATATTCATATATACATGTAGTAAAAAGTTATTTCAGTATTACAAACAGACACTCCAATTTTATATATATATATATATATGCCCTTTATTCAAAGAGGGTTGACGTCAGGCAGGTGGCCGGTCATAAAACTATAAGCCGAATCACATAATAACATGGATAAAACCAGATTAAGCCGACCCCAAATAATAATAGGGATAAGGGTAGGAAGTTGATGATATGCCACTTACCAAGTGGCTGCGTTTGGCGGTGACGAACTCCAGAAAGTCCTCGACAGCTGCATTTGTGTCACCGTGCTCGAAGTACTCCAGGATGACCGGCTCCGCCTTGCGCTGCAAACAAAACAAATTGAAACTAAGCATGGGTAACACTAGTATCAGTACCGGTACGGTATCTTCTTCAATATTGCTCATACAAGTCGGATATCCTGAAGAGTGGGTGGGCTTGGGGGGGGGGGGGGGTAAGTTAGTAATGCGGAGTACGAATCCCATTGCTAGCAATATATCCCGTCAAGTTGACAACCACGCCCCCCCCCATGGAAACCATCGTGCTGAATTCCAGGTGTACTTCTCACGATGGGCTAACTGACGTGCCCTTTCATTTTCATCTTTTTTTTTATACAACTTAGAATGGCAAACAAGCTGACGGCCCACCTGATGGAAAGTCGTAACCGTCGCCTATAGACATGAGCAGTACCATGGACATAACAGAGTATACTGTTTCGCCCATGATACCCTTCATGCGTTACCATTCCTGAGGACTCAGGTGTTATTCCTCTGTACCCAGTAAATTCACGCCATATCCCACCCTTCAAACCGTCAAACACAACTGCTTCACGGTTGAAACACTAATGGGACAGAGGTACCCAAGCAATCGACTTATGTACAAAGTCTCCCTCTGGTAAATCTATCATCGCTCACTGGTGCCCCGCTAGCGTATACCGATAGCACAGGCGGGGTTACCACTCCATTATCATCCATAAAAAACAAAAACATCTACGTTGTAAAGATTATGTGAAAGTCGTTAGATGGCGTAAGCATGTTAGCTATATCCGAGATAGACGGTTATTATTCTATAAGGCGAAAGAACCGCATCACTGCTACAGAGAGTGGAACAGACTACACTAATCATAATAATTTATTTACAAAATATTGGTGATTGCCAGTAACAAATCTTAAGTTACAGTTGTTCAGCAATAATCACCAGAGGGAGACTTTGTACAAAAGTCGATTGCTTGGGTACCTCTGTCCCATTATTTTTTAATTTTATTTAATTAGCATGCAGATACATTAAAAAAAACTATGGCTTTTTTTAATTTTGAAACTATGGAGTTCTCAAATGTCAATGCAAACAATATATATATATATATATATATATACTCAGGTTATGGAACAAGTTCCCTGCCAAAATTTTCCCAAGAGACTATAACATGGGGTACATCAAAAGGGGAGTAAAGAGGTTTCTTCAGGGTCGACAACGCGCGCGTAATGCCTCTGGTATTGCAGGCTACGATAACCACTTACCATCAGGTGGGCCGTATGCTCGTTTGCCACCTCAGTGCTATAAAAAAAATAGTAAATAGATAGATAGATACTCTTTATTATTTCCTCCAAAAGATTACAATAGTAAACTTATTATAAATATAAACAATTACAAGAAATGATCACAATGAGAAAACAATGGGCGGCCTTATCGCTAAGAGCGATCTCTTCCACGCAACCTTTGGATGGAGAGGAGTAACTATAAACAATTTGATGGGAGGCACGATGGAAAATTATGTTAGTTCTAAATATGGATAAATAAATAGTTTCCCATTTATAATATCCATTGAGAATGTGCTGATGGTATCATTGTAATGCAGGACAGGTCGTATGTGAGTACTTGCATATTGCGAAGTGCAAGCTAGCGTGTCATTGATCCCGTGCGACTCATATTGCATTTGGCTCGTGCAAACACCATTCGGAATTGAAGTCGCGTAGGTACATTTAAACAATATTAACATATCTGTGATAGCGGCCCGTCCCGGCCTCGCACGGACGGACATTTTTACATCATTTTAAAAAGTGGCTATTGTGGCATAACGATAATAGTTGGACATATAGTGTTGCTAAGTTTTTTGCAGTTATTGATATTTTCTTCAATATTGTAGAACATACTTTTGTTCTATCACCAATAGTTTTTTTTTTTTTTTTTTTACAACACAGGGGGCAAACGAGCATGCGGCTCACCTGATGGTAAGTGACTACCGCCGCCCATGATCACCCACAACACCAGCGGCATTGCAGGTGTGCTGCCGGCCTTTTAAAAAGGAATATACTTTTTTCTTGAAGGTTATGTTGTCGTATCGGTTCGGAAATACTGCTGCTGGAAGTTGATTCCAAACAATGGTTGTGCGTGGAAGAAAGTGCCTTGAAAAACGCACGGTGAAAGACCGCCACTCGTCCAGATGATTGGGATGAAATTTTAGTTTGTGGCGGGTTGTACGGTGGTGAAAATCAGCAGCAGGTATCAATCCGAACAATTCCTCAGAACACTCCCCATGATAAATTCGGTAGAAGATGCACAGAGATGAAACATCTCTGCGCAGTTTCAGTGGGTCGAGTCGCACGCCACGAAAGAGATATTTTATAGCATATTTTTACACCTTGAGTTGCGTTACTAAAGTTTAAGTAAGGATCCTTAATCTTTTCTAGCAATAAATATAGCCTATGTTACTCAGGGTGAATGTAGCTCTGTAATGGTGAAAGAATTTTTGAAATCGGCAAAGTTGTTTTTGAGTTTATTCATTACAAACATACATACACACAAAAATACAAATCTTTCCTCTTTATAATATTAGTGTAGATGTAGACTAGCTAGGCGACCCGAATTCGCACGGGTGTGAAATAACAACCAGTTAAAGTCACATGTATATTTAACCGACTTTAAGAAGAAGAACATTCTCCATTGGGTTGAATTTTTTATGTTTGCTATAATATCATAACTCTGTCAGTTATAAGCAGACTAGGAAGGGAGGGAGACTTTGTACAAAAGTCGTTTGCTTGGGCACCTCTGTCCCATTCGTGTTTCTACCGTGAAGCAGTTGTGTTTGCATGGCTGTGTTTCGGTTTGAAGGGTGGGATATAGCGCGAATTTACAGGGTACAAAGGAATAACACCTGAGTCCTCAGGAATGGCAACGCATGGGGGGGTATCATGGGCGAAACAGTATACTCTGTTATGTCCATGGTACTGCTAATGTCTATAGGCGACGGTTACCACTTTCCATCAGGTGGGTCGTCAGCTTGTTTGCCATTCTATGTTGTATAAAAAAAAAATGGAAAATTCCATTTAGAAAATTTAAAAATTCATTAATACATTGGCGGCTTGTTGAGGAGTCCTTTTACAGTGTGCAAGAGTTTTTGATACAAAAATATTTACCTACTTGAATGAAATATCGTGTTACAATGCAGTTGTTATCAACAGTCCATAATTTTACAGTGACATTTTTTTTTTATCGTTGAAAGTGTTCGACGTATCTAATATATTTGTTTTTTTTTTCTTTACGAATTGTCGTTTTAATGACTCATTTAATTAACATTTATATTAGGTCCTTACATATGAAATTGGCATTTTGTATTGCATCGTTTAAGTTTTCTACTTTCCCGATTTGCTTCAAGTGGATTAATAAAATTTTATCACTTACGTCGAAGCCTGCACCTATTTTTGAAATGCTTTGTGATGGATCCGATTCCACAATAGCCTTTAATTCTCCAGCCGTCCACGTGGTTGGTTCTGAAGGTCGAAATTTCCAGAACGAAAACGTTGAAACCAGAAGCGTACCGTGCTTTCTTTTGCGACACCAGCGCCGTGCACATCATTAATCCTTCGAGCTGTTTCTGCAGCACTGGTGCCACGGTAGAACTCGTTCGTACTTATATATATACCGATATTTCATGTTTTCCATTGTGCGGTAGTAAGTGACGTCAAGGAAAAAAATAATGAGGGAAAAACAAATGAATGACTGTTTTCAAAACTCCAATGTACCAGCTAAATGAATTTATAAATTTAAATTTGGAATTCTTAACCCTTTCAGTGCCATTGATTTTTACTTATACCTAGTTAAAAATGCCAAAGAAATCTTTGTCGTGTTGACGTCATTTACCCTCGTCTCTAAAAAAACTGTATCTCCTCCAAAAATTATGCAATTTTAATTTTTTTTTTCACAGCAAGCTAAACGGCGACTGATTTCACGAGCGCTATGACGCTCGTGGCACTTTTAGTTGCAATGCGCACGAGCGTGATCGAGCTCGTTGGCACTCAAAGGGTTAACCAAAGAGGAGATAATGCATGTCAAAGTGGCCAGTACGACAAAACGCCAATTTCATATGTACAGACCTAATACTTTTATGGGGGGGGGGGGGGGGGGAAAGGGATTGTTAGTAATGGGATTTAATTAAACCATTGCTACCAATAAACCCAACCCGGTCGACCTCCACGCGGTTCCCCCTGGAAACTATCATGGTTAATTCCTGATGAATTCATCATGATGGGCTAACTGGCCTATTTGGGGGGAAAGGGATTGTTAGCAATGGAGTTTGACAGCCCCATTGCTAGCAATATGCCTTATTAGGTCGACCTCCACGTGGTTCCCCCTGGAAACCATCGTGAACAATTCTTGTGGAATTCGTCACGATGGGCTAACTGACCTACTTCATCCTCATCTATCATCCTTCACTGGTGCCCCACCGGTGTATACCGATAGCGCGGGTGGGGTTACCATTCCATTATCATCTGTTAAAAAAAAAAAAAAAACTGGCCTATTTTCATTCTCATCTACCACCCTTCACTGGTGCTCCGCCAGCGTATCCCGTTAGTCAAAAAAAAGAAAAATTAAGGCGAAATATGAGAACTTATATCTATTGTTAACATCTATAACACTTACCATGTTTCTTGTAAATAAATAATCAAAATATATTTATAAAAATATATATCTATACTTATAATAAATCTGTAGAGAGGTCAATTCTGTACATGAAATATATTTCCAAAATAACTATCAGGCGGTGATTAGTGATCGATACTGGATGACAAAAATGCAATCAGTAAAATTTTTGTCTGTCTGACTGCATGTTCGTTTTAGAAACAAAAATTACTCGACGGATTTTAACGAAACTTGGTATAATTATTCTTCATACTCCTGGCCAGGTTACAGTATACTTTTCATCGCGCTACGATCAATATGAGCAGAGCAGTGAAGGGAAATGTTAAAAATGTCCACCCGTGCGACGCCGGGACGGGCCGCTAGTATTTATAATAAGTTTATTATTGTAATCTTTTGGAGGAAACAATAAAGAGTATCCATCTATCTACATAATGCGGTGTGGTCCCGGCATAGAATAAGCCACCCGTTCCTTTCCCGTGGCTGTCGTGAGAGGCGACTGAGGGAGGGCGAGGGATGGGCATCAGCGTCCATCTTAAAACATCACCAAAGTCCAACTGCAGTTGCCAATCCGCCTGCCAAGCGTGGCATTACTGGCATTTAATATTTTGAACTTTATTAATTGGCGATTGTTTAAACAGAACGTTTTCCCAGCGTTAGCCTTGAGTTTATTGACGAATCAACTATCGGATCATAACAGACTTGTTTTTCTGCGCATTATCCAGGCTTTAGGCGAAATAAATATATCTATCGATATGTTGATTATCTCTAGTTAATTTTAAACTTTCGCGTTGTTGACAAATACTTTTAATACACTATCGGTGATTTGACGCGACGCAAATTGCAGATAAATTGTGTGACAATCCACATCGAAACGTCGCAATTACATAGACAGTTACGAGTCTGTATTACCAACAATAATAATAACAGATAAAAAAAAAACAACAATAAAAAAGAAAAAGCACCATAGGCTATGGGATATGGCAGTGAATTTACAGGGTACAGAGGAATAACATCTGAGTCCACAGGAATGGCAATGCATGGGGCGGTATCATGGGTGAAACAGTATACTGTTATGTCCATAGTACTGCTAGGCGGGCACAAGATAATAATGAGGCGGGCATAAGATATTTATGTGGTGGCACGCCCACCTTAAACACGCCTATGGTTACAGAGTTTACAAACACTTACCACAATCTCCTCTGGTTCCGCCTCCACGATGACCTGTTTAAACTCGATGTCTCCGTTGGTGACGGCTTCAGAGTCATAGTTGGGATCGTTGGCGTCCTCCACGTACTCCTCGAGGAGCTCCGAGCCTGGGGCGCCCCAGACTCCCTTGCCGCCGGCGCCACCTGTAGCAAAAAAGTTAATTCTTATTTAACTTGCAATTACAAACAATTTTTTTTTATACAACTTAGAATGGCAAACAAGCTGTCGGCCCACCTGATGGAAAGTGGTAACCGTCGCCTATAGACATGAGCAGTACTATGGACATAACAGAGTATACTGTTTCGCCCATGATACCCCCCATGCGTTGCCATTCCTGAGGACTCGGGTGTTATTCCTCTGTACTCTGTAAATTCACTGCCATATCCCACCCTTCAAACCGAAACACAGCCATGCAAACACAACTGCTCCACGGTAGAAACACGAATGGGACAGAGGTGCCCAAGCTAACGACTTTTGTACAAAGTCTCCCTCTGGTAAATAAACATACAATATAAAACATACCATTAATAAAAACAATACGCATTGACATATTTAAAAATATTTGCCGTGTGGTCCCGGCATAGAATGAACCACCTCTCCCTTACCATGGGTATCGTAAAAGGCAACCAAGGAAACTTAACGGTCGAGGGTTGGGCAACAAAGTCCCTCTTAAAACATCACCAAAGCCTTTTTTTGTTTTATCGATGATAATGGAATGGTAACCCCGTCTGCGCTATCGGTATACGCTGACGGGGCACCAGTAAGAGATGATAGGATAGGTGAGAATGAAAACAGGTCAGTTGGCCCACCGTGACCAATTTCACAAGAATTAACCATGATAGTTTCCAGGGAGAACAGCGAGAAGGTCGACCTGCTAGGGTATTGGTAGCAATGTGGTTATTAGACCTTTTTACTAACAACCCCTTCCCCCCCTGTAGCCTAAATGCGGATTTATTTATGGATGATAATGGAATGGTAACCCCACCTGCGCTATCGGTATACACCGGCAGGGCACCAGTGAGGGATGATAGATGAGGATAAAACAGGTCAGCCCATCGTGACGAATTAAATAAGAATTGTTCACGATGGTTTCCAGGGGGTACCACGCGGAGGTTGATCTGATAGGGCATATTGCTAGCAATGGTGCTGTCAAACTCCATTGCTAACAATCCCTTCCCCCCTATCCAAATATACTATACTCAAATATCAATTGTAAAATCTTTTTATTTGACCTTTATTTTTATTTACGCTTTATTGACCACATTACAAAAAAAAAAAAATGTCTGGTACAAAAGGCGGACTTAATACTATATAGCATTCTCTCCCAGTCAACCTTTGGCAAAACAGAAATTTTAATATGCGGTGAAAAAAATTACAACGCATACAATAGAGATTATATAAATATACATACATGAATATATTAAACAAATATTACATAAATATACAAATATGTAATAAAAATACATATATATAAATATACATATATAAATATACCTACTTATAGATTATATACGATAACACAAATAAACAACGATAGAGATCAAAAGTGATGATGATGAAGGTGAACTGCTTTCACAGTTTTTTCCAAAGATATTCGTAGACTTTTCTCTTAAAAATAAATTTGTTAGAAACTTGTCTTATGTCCATGGGTAGCGCTAATGACCTTCCTAATTACCTTTGAAGGTAATTAGGAAGGGAATTTCAAAGTCTAGCAGCTTGCACTGTAAATGTTATGATTCTTATAAAACTGTCACTGAAAATTTTAATTTTCATGTTAAAAATGTATGTATGTATTCTCGTAGCTATCCCCAAGGAGGGTCGACGTAAATGAAGCGGCCGGTCGTAAAGTTAAAAGTCAAAATTTCCGGTAATATGAATAAAAACATATTGCGCCACCCTAAAATTTAGATAATTGGAATAAGGGTAAAAAAGATGGTGGCAAAAATGTATTTGTGATATTCCGAAGTAAAATATGAAATATGCATAAGCTTCAAATTATTCAGCGAGCTGTGGAGTGGGCTGTGCTCGAAGTTTCTTTACAAGTTAAAATTCGAAATGAGGGTATTCGCAAAAGAATCAAAGTCACCGACATAGACTGAATGATAAGCAAGCTAAAGTGGCAATGGCCTGGTCACGCAGCTCGACGAACCGATAACCGACGTGGAAGGTAAGTTCTTGAGCGACCACCCCATACGGGCAAACACGGCGTAGGACGACCCTCCATTAGATTTTTTTTTTACAACACAGGGGGCAAACGAGCATGCGGCCCACCTGGTGGTAAGTGACTACCGCCGCCCATGATCACCTACAACACTAACGGCATTGCAGGTGCGCTGCCGGCCTTTTAAAAAGGAATATGCTCTTTTCTTGAAGGTTATGTTGTCGTATCGGTTTGGAAATACTGCTGCCGGATGTTGATTCCAAAGAGTGGTTGTGCGGGGAAGAAAGTGCCTTGAAAAACGCACTAGATGGAGCAGCAACCTTAAATGCATTGCAGGGAGTCGGTGGATGCAGGTGGCTCGGAACCGTTCCTTATGCCAGTCTATGGGGAAGGCCTATGTCCACCAGTGGACTGACAACGACTAACATGATGATAATGAAAATATGAAGTAGGTGCAAAGTTTTTAATTTAAATAGTTTAGTAGCAGAGCACTTTTTAAATAATCAATTAAAAATATTGAAAAACAATTAGTTATTTCTTAAAATTGACAGACGACTGCTTCGTACGCTTCTAATTTTGGATATGTCAGTCGAATTTTTTCCAATAGAGCATGGAGTTCTTAAAAAAAAAGGGGGTAAAGAGGTATCTTCAGGGTCTGCAACGCGCGCGTAATGCCCCTGGTATTGCAGGCGTTCATAGTAGCCAGTAGCTGCCACGCTTGGCAGGCGGATTGGCAACTGCAGTCGGGCTTTAGAGATGTTTTAAGAGGGACGCTGATGCCCATCCTTCGCACTCCCTTAGTCGATTCTTACGTCACCCACGGGAATGGAAGGGGTGGCCTATTCTATATATATAAATTATATATTATACTAGCTGACTCGGCAAACGTTGTTTTACCATATACATTATTTCTAGAACTATACATGAAAATTTATCGTACTACAATTATTATATTCGATCGCCATCTTGCAACCCTATTGCGGAATATAAAAATCGCGATTAAAAAACAGGGGTTGATCGTAAAAGGGTAAAAATTAGAAGCAGTATGTATTTTTCAATGCTTATTCATAATAAAGAAAAATTTTAAAAAAATGACAAAAAAATAAAAAATATATATTTAAGAGTAGGTAACCCTTATCATTGAGGGGTATGAAAAATAGATGTTGGCCGATTCTCACACCTACTCGATATGCACACAAAATTTCATAAAAATCTGTAAAGCCGTTTCGGAGGAGTTTGGTAACAAACACCGCGACACGAGAATTTTATATATAAGATTTAACTATAACAATAAATATATTACTAACTCATAATAAAAACATTGATTTATCAATAGAATTATTAATATGTCAATCTGTTTTATTTTTAAATTCAATAAAAAAATAACATCAAGATTGTTTACAAAACGAATAACGTATAAAAAAAATATATACAGATAAGTAAGTAAGTAAGCGATAAATACGGTATTTGTAAATAAACAGTCAGTGAAATCAGATAATATATTGTATTGTAAGATCTTTATTGTACATAACGCAGGTTAAACACTGGTAAATAATTTAATATACAATGGCGGACTTATCCCATAAAGGGATCTCTTACAGTCGACCAGTCAGTATATTTATGGATTCAGTTAAAGTGCTGTTCAAGTTCAATTGAAGTTAAGATTTTTGATTGACAATAAAAAAGAAAAAAAACATCAAATTCGGCAAAACCAGTTATTGTAATTTCTAAATTAAATGACTTAATCGATTCTGATAAAAGTTCTTTGGAACTAAGTAAGTTTATCTTTTTAGATAAAAAAAAAAAACTTTTCCTTCAACCTCACCTGTCACCACCTCTCACTGGTGCCCCGTCATTGTATACCGATAGCGCAGGCGGGGTCACAATTGCATTATCAACTATTAAAAAAAAAAAAAAAAAAAAAAGAAAATACAACCGAATTCAGAAACTCGTTTATGAAGTTTTTTTTTTAATAGATGAAAATGGAATGGTAACCCCGCCCGCGCCACCAGTATACACCGGCGGGGCACCAGTGAAAGATGATAGGTGAGAATGGATGCATTCATCAGTCAGTTGGCCCACCATGATAAATTCGACAAGAATTCACCATGATGGTTTCCAGAGGGAACCGTGTGGAGGTCGACCTGACAGGGTATATTGCTAGCAATAGGGCCCTCAATCTCCATAACTAATAACCCCCCCCCCCCCCTGGAATGGAAAGGGTGGACCATTCTATGCCGGGAGCAGACGGCAGTATAATTAGTACATATATACCTACTTTATTCTATTAATACACCTCAAGGTCTAAACTAGAACTGATAACGGAAAGACTGTGTATATATATATATACATTTTTCTCAAACATGCTTGGAAATGTGAGCATTATTTTGACAGTCTTCTTCGAGATAAATCAAAATTGCCGTACTGGCCAGATACATGCGGGCAGCGGCCGGCAAAAGTTGTATGAAAATCCATATCTGTCGTGTTTTGCGGCCAGACAAATTACTATGTAAACTGTATCTGTAATCTGTCCTGTAATTTAAAAATGGAATGACCTTTTACTTCGAAACACGTCTACCAAGGAGGTAACTAATAAAAGGTTTATTTAAATTTCGAAGTGGCTTGCAAATAGAAATTTCGGACTCAATTTCGTGTTTTAGTTTATATCAAAATCGGACCAATAAATGGAGTTTAATATTTCGTTCGTCACACATCCTATCATAAAAGTCCAAAGGAACAATGTTTTAACATTTTTAATATTCCCAAATGGTATGTATTATGTAATTTTAACATCAAATTTCTGTTTCGTTTGGCTCCGAAATTTCGGAAAACATTTCATAGTAGGCCCTCTGTTTAGTGAAAAAAAAAAACAAAGGAACATTATGGCGCGAGAAAAATTATTATTGTTCGTTATTCGTCATTGAACTTAAAAAGTGAAATTGTGTTTTTGATTTCCGCGCATTGTTTGAGAAAAGTACTATACAAGCCTTGGCCACCAACTAGGCATTGATGGACTCACGTATTGTGCCTCGGCTACGCCTCGGCCCACATTTGCACGTTTGTCCATCAATGCCTCAGTTGCTGGCCGCTGCAGTAATGTACTATTTTAAAATCTATTTTAAACTATTTAAAATCATTTTCTTTTTTTAAGTTTATCGGGATTTTATTGTAAATTTCAGATAGAGAGATAGTTAAAGTACTTGCTTTTTAGTGGTATGTTTTTTATGAGTAAAGACATAAGAATTTTTTGTACAACAAAAATGTTATAAACAAACAAACATAATGTACTCATCAAATGTGTTTATTTGAGGTGTAACAGTGTGGCGTGTCTGAGGTCTGATAAGATAATTTGGGCCGCAAACAATCTTTATCAACCATAACATTGATAAGAACATGCTGTTAAATCTTTTATCCCATTGCTAATCCATATATGATAGGTTGCTATATTTAACTGCTTGATAATTTGTAAATAACATACTGATATAATTCTCCAACATCATCAAAGACTTGAGTTGCTAACTCGCCTGCCAAGCGTGGCAACTACTGGCAAAACGCCCCGTAGGGGGAGGCCTATGTTCAACAGTTAATAGCTGGTATGATTGTTATTTAAACAGATAGATAGATAGATAATTTATTTACATTACTTACAACACACAAATTACAACAAAAAAAATAAATAAAAACATAAACATAATACACAATAAAAGAGATAAAAGAATGAAAATAAAAAAGCATAAAACAAAAAAAAAAACAAAATATATAAACTAACAATCTCCCTTCTTTCCCTTCCTTCACGCGTGTGCCATAGTAACATAAAATGGTCACATCTCAGTTTATGGCTTTGCCCTTAAAAGAGCAAAACACTGATATTCTGTTGTGGCCAAGAGTGAGTCGTGAAACTCCTCATTAAAAATAACAATAAAAAGAAATATAAATAAACTGCATTCTATGTGTCCATTACATATCACTGGTTATTTGATTACAATTATTTCATTTAATTCCGCTACCATTAGTATGCGTGTGACTGCCAACACTCGAAGATTGACCCACCAATATTACTACCAGAAGTACAACAAACTTCCACATTGGCATTATTTTACGTATTTATTTATGTATTTATTTATTATATATATGATATATGAATATATTATTACTTTGTTTCTTCTTTGTACAAAAGTAGTTTTTGCTTGGACACCTCTGTTCCTTATAAATTCACTGCCACATCCCGCCCTTCAAACCAAAACAGCCCTGCAAACACTACTGCTTCACGGTAGAAACACGAATGGGACAGAGGTGCCCAAACAAACAAATATAACACGCCTAATATAACATCTAACATACAAATATAATATTATGAATTATGTATAAAAATGTTGCATGCCAAACTGGCTTCTATCCCATTTTGTAGCACATTTACAGCAAATAAAAGATCATTAAAAAAAAATAGTTTAAAAAAAATATATATTATAAAAAAGTAAGTGAAACAGAGGACAGAAGAGGAATATTTAATAGGTCTTTTATTTCATTACAAAGATAGTCTTCATACTGTAAATGAAAGATTTGGTCTCATTTTTTTTTCTATAGTACATCCATGCTAAGAGGTAGGAAGGCAGTTAGTGTTGTGTAAAAAAAAAAAACTTTTTGGGTGCTACTTCATATATATGTGGATTTTTTAAGTAGGAAAATCAATAAAATGGAGCTCTTTGTAGATAGCATATCAAAATAAACATCTGTAAAAACCAGACTCAATTTCATGGCATACTTTTTGGTATGCAAATAATTCCATTTATGATAGGGGAACAAATATACAGAGATAAAATTTAAAAAAATATTGTTTTGGCATCTATTAGTCTTGTTAAGACCACTAATATAATTTTTTTTTTCAAATATCTCTTATATTTTTTAACTAGTTACAATTTTATAAAATTAGTAAGATGCTCAAACATACATACATACAAAACTTTTATAACAATACTGATTTTTATTCATTCTACATTTAAAAATGTATCTAATATAGCACTGCAGTGGTGTATGTGACTAGAAGCACTCATCCGTACAACAACAAACACAACCTTGACCTTGACCGCCAAAATGGCGGACTGCGACATAAAATGCACACAAGCGGCGCAAATTGTCGAAAACTAAACTAATTAGCACTGAATAACAAAATTTACATCCTATAATTATGCGAATGAAAACAAAAAACATGGAATAAAACGTATACTTATTTCTTTGTATTATTATTTTAGTTTTAAATTCAGTAGGTATCGTAAGACTTTTTTTTTGTTTACTTTTTTTGCGTTAAGGAAAACAAAAACATTGATGACCTAGAAACAGATAAAGCGCTTATTTTCTATGTATACATTCGTATACCAACTACATAGACTTGTTCGTATCAACATTCGAAACAGGTAGGTATTTATTTATATAGGTATAGGTACTTATGCATTTTGTACTATTTACATTTAAATGTTTACAAACATCTATTAATTTTAAACAGCATGTTTACGCGACCAAAATAGCCTTGGATGTTGAAAGTTGTTATTACGTAACCTGTGTCATTCCACTAGAATATATTGACCTATGCCAAGTGAAAATAGGTGACGCCGTATATATTTGGTAATTGGGTATCGACTCAAAACATAATATATATCAAGCGGGTAGGTACTGTTTTTTAACTGCGCATGTTGGACTGACCTTGAAAATGAGGTAATCCAAACCATAACATTATTACCTATATTACATTAGAGAGACGGCCGGTGCGTAGTAAACAAAAGTTACATAAATGTACAGATACAGTTATAGATTTGTTGCTGTATTCGTTCTTTACGGGTTCTAGAAAACTCTGTGTACAAGATTAGTATATAAAGGGGATATAAACAGACGTGGGGCTTACCTTTCTTCGGCAAACCCCGTCCGTGACCATTGCGCGGTCTCCTGCTATTTTTCCAACTCCGATATTTGGGAAGGGGCGTCACAGCGCTCACTCCTGCTCCCTCCTTGCTGTTCGTACGAGCATATTTTTTGCTTTTGCGGCGTAAACGTTCACTGTGGGACGTCGCCGCGTCCCCGGCTCCTACATCGCTTGCCGGCTTAGCGATCTCATCCGCCGCCACGTTTTCTGAGTCGACACGTTCGACTTCCATAGCGGCGAAGAAAAGACCGGCTCGATTACACGAACGTAAACAAAGCTCTAATCACTTAAAAACAGTAATAGGAACACAACAGAGAATCTATTTGGATTTTCAAAATATTTAGGGCAGTAGTATCAACCAAAATGTGTTTGATAAACAATGGATGGCAGGACGCAAGTACATAGGTATTTGTTTTGAGAACGCAACGACGCGAAGTTAGTAAAATAACATGGCGGATGAATAGGTACTGCCAACTTTTATATAGTAATTTATGGTACTGCAGGGTATACCATGAAACTGAAATATAAATTAATTTAAATATGTTAATTTAATACCACGTTTGTCATTTACATTCAATTCAGATTCTGCTAATACTTCTATTTTTATATAAAGAACATATTATTAGATAATTAACTATTGCATGATATGATCATAGATAACAAACTCAGCATACAGGTCTGGCAACCGAGCTAAAAATCAAATAAGAAATAAATATTAAAATGTCAAAGTCAGACTCCATGACATTTATCATATTTATATTTTTCGATTTTAAGATTTCAACATTTTATTTTACCAAATTGTTAATGAAAACTATTCTGTTACACATGGAAAAACAGAAGGAAAACTCATTCAACAAGAAATTCCGTTTACTTTGTTCTCAAACAAGTTCCGAAGAAATCAACTGGTCAAGTAGCGACTCGGGCGAATACGAAAATGTGGTACACTCTTACGACAAAATTATGAACTTGTCGCACAAAACAACGAAGAGAAAACGCAAGAAAAAAGTGCCTAAAAATATTTTTAACTTAGATATTAACTATATAATAGGGGAAAGTGACCATAAAAGTGATTTAAACACACATAACAAGTGTCCCTCAAAATCAGAAACCAACCATGCTAACTTATCAACTTCACCTATTTTAATGGCCAAACACAATTGTAAGTCTTATAAATATAATGTCAAACTATCTAATTCACCAATAATATGCCAAAAAAGTTTAAATCAATTGACTAATATACAAAAAAGTCCCATTTTGATGTTGAAAAGTATGTCACCGAAATATTCACCCAAAGTTAAGAAAAAGTTATTTAACAATAATGAGAGTGTAAGTAAATCAATTAGTAAGCAAAACTCTATAAGTAAATGTGATAATAATGAAAATAATAATGATTTAAATTTAATCAGTGATCAAAATTCTAAGTGTATTCATCATGAAATATTTAAAAAGAACAAACGAGATGTTCAAGATATTTGTAATAAAAAAAAAGTTAACCCTATAATGGAGGATGGTTTAGTTTTTAATAATGCAACAAATACTAAAAGTGAAGAAACTATATCTAATTATAATTTAGTGGATAACAAACAAATAATGATAAATGAAAAGGATGAAGAAAAAGAATCTTTCATGTCTGGCAATATTGATGAAAGCATCAGTTTCCTGAAAGCTGATAATCTTGATTTGAACTTGGTAAAAAAAGTTAAAACCTATTTTGATGGCCATTTTAGTTCAGAAAATGCATCTCAGCATTCTATAAGTGATATATTAACACCCAAAAACAGTTCAAAAAGTAGTGAAGACATTGAAATTATAAGCACCGTAACTCAGGTTAATTCACATAAGAATAGTTCAGAAACTTTGAAAGAGGAAACAATAAATGATTGCATTATTTCAAATAATAATACTTCGAAAAAGATGAGATACAAAAAGGATGGTTTGGCCTACAGATTGAATGCACTTTTAAAAAAGCACAATGCAAGCGTTTCTCTATGGTATCATGAGAGATTTTTGGCGGCAAATTCAAATTTTGTTATTCCAAAAGGAGAGCATGTTGTATTTCAAATTCGGAATGTCCAATTCAATTATGGCTGTTACATATTAGATGTAAGAAGTATTGAAAATAACAATTTTTTGGTTTTAATAAATAATAATTATGTTAATGATCACAGTATTTCTAAAGATATGATATTAAAGGTATACGAGCCTTACAGTATATTAGATTTGAATGCAGTGTACAAGATAGTTGTCAATGTTTGTAAATTTGAATGTATAATTAATAATTAATCTTAGATTATATACTCAGAGTGTCTTCATAGAAATCATCATCATCATTTCAGCCAGTATCTGTCCATTGCTGGACATAAGCTATAGAAATAATTCGAGAAAATCGGGTCAACTTTTTCATACAATTTTGCATGATAAATAGTTATGAGTGATTCCTTTATAACATCTATATTTTTGTAGTCTTATAAATTCTGCATCTTTTTAATGCGTAAACAATCATTTTATTTATTAAACAATACGTCAAGATACATTTTATGCTTGAGTATATAGAACACTGACAAACAAAACGAGTCAGCTAATTTGACAATTGGCTGTAACAAAAAGTTGACCCGTTTTTTGAGGCTTGATGCTCTATCTATATAACCTAAGCAGTTAATATTTTAAAATGGAAAATTTTATAAAAGAAATAATATTGTAATATTTGATATTGTATATAAAATAATTTAAATATAAATATGATTAATTATTTTATTTGTATATTTTATTTCTGTTTGTAACTGTAGATCAAATGATCTGCTTTCATTCTTTTGGATTGGCAACACGTACTTGACATTCCTGGTATTGCAGGTGGCCGTAAACTATTTACCATCAGACAGGCTGTATGTTTTACTTTCATGGTATAAGAGAAAGAATCCTATGATACTCCACCAGCATAGACCAGTTCTTTTTTGTTGAATGAAAATGGTATGGTAACCCCGCCCACGCTAACGGGATACGCTGGCGGAGCACCAGTGAAGGGTGATAGATGAGAATGAAAACAGGCCAGTTAGCCTATCATGTTGAATTTGAGTCCAAAAGTTGCCTGGAAGAGATCGTTTTTAGCGATAAGTACACCCGTTGTTTTCTCACTGTGATTATTTCTTGGAATTGTTTATATTTATAATAAGTTTACTATTGTAATCTTTTGAAGGAAACAATAAGAAGTATCTATTTATCTATCTAAAAACTAACCTACCGAACCGTATTTGATAACATTTCTATTGGACGAATTTGTAAGTATATCTTTTCAGATAGGAAAAGAATTTTCCAAATCGACAACTGACGGAGTTATAAAGTAACAAACATTTATACAAACACACAACCGAATTAAGAACATATTTCATTTTGAAGTCATTTGAAAAAAACAGTTTGCCAATGTCATTACAAGTTTTCAACACAGGAGGCAAAATAGCATGCGGTTCATCTGATGATAAGTGCAGGTTTTTTAAAAAGGAATATGCTCTTTTCTTGAAGGTTACGATGTCGTATCAGTTCGGAAATACTGCTGCTGGAAGTTGACTCCGAAAAGTTAACGAATTTTTTAGGTTACGACCAAATATTAAAATAAATGAGCTGCAATTATTTTTTCTTAAACACATGTTTTATAACTTACATAAGTTATACTCCAAGATATAGGTTATAACTTTATTATACTAGTTAGCTTATTAGCTGACGACATAGTACTGCTGAGTCCATTAATCAGAGATTTACGTAAATTGTTAAGCGTGTGCGAAAAGTATGCTGAAAAACATGGTCTAAAATATAATACATAAAAAAGTGAATTTATGTATTTCGGTCTAGGTGGTAGGCATCCACAAATCCCGCCAATTCTTCTGAATGGTGTTCCTCTTAATAGAGTGCCTCAATTTAAATATCTAGGACATATTATTACCGATGACTTGAAAGTTAACGCTGACATTGAACGTGAACGCAGGGCACTGGCTGTAAGGGGTAATATGTTGGCTCGCAGGTTTGCTCGTTGCTCGACTGAAGTCAAAATAATATTGTTCAAGGCATATTGCCAATCTTTTTACACGAGCAGCCTGTGGGTTGACTATACACGGCGGGCATACAGCGCACTGCGTGTTCAATACAATAATGTTTTCAGGGTGTTGTTACGGTTGCCACGTTTTTGTAGTGCATCCACAATGTTTGCAGCGGCATGGACAGATGACTTCTATGCCATCAGACGCAAACGGATCGCATCTCTTTTATGCCGACTGCGTGGCAGCAGTAACAGCATTCTGTGGGCATTGTGTAATAAATACGATAGCCCGATCCTCTCATTGTGGGTCAAAATTATTATAGGGGCCATAAAATGATTTTTGTATTTTTTTTCTACTAACATAGTTTAAGTCAATTGTTACTAACAAAAATGGATCTTTGTAATCTATAATAAAAAAATATTATTATTATTATTTCATTATCAATTTTCAATACAATTACAATTGCCACTAATATTCCCGGTACACCCAAATTGATTAAACGATGGAGGACAAGAGCATTCCTTTGATTTCTTGTGAATCACTGCGACAGAAGAAGATCTACACACAGAATTTCTCTGGCAGCAGTCATGGCAAAAATTTGTATTATTAACCAGTGCTATATCAGTGGTCATTGATTCTGATCTTCTGTCAATTGATGATCTTGAGATCGTAAGGTCGTTTTCGTGTGTTCCGCCACTTTTCTCACATCCATATTCTTTTGACATATACTCTGGTGATACCTTTTGTCCGTTTCTTTCTGTTAATGTAGCAATTTTGAACGAATCTGTAGATTTTGGTGGTAGGATCTCACCTTCTTTGATATTATTGGAAGTACCTTCCATGTGGTTTTCATTGCATTTTAATATTTTTTTACGATTGTAAGTTGGAGCCGAGTTATTAGTTTTTGGAGTTTTGATCAAATCATTTTGTTTCGCTGTAACAACGTTAGAGGAATCTATCAATTTTGATGGTGAGTCTGCAACTTCTTTGATGTTGTTGGATATGTTTTCTATAGGATTTCCAGTAGATTTTGATATTCTTTTATTTGAACAAGATGGACATAAAACTTGACTTTCTGGAGCATTAGCTTGATCATTTCGTCTAGCTGAAACCGAAATTTCTTGTCCTGGTATTAATCCGATAGGTAAATTAATATTAATATTTGGTACTTGGGCTGGAGTTGACATGCAAAATGGAATAAAAGGAGAGGGATGTGGTTGTTGAGAAATATTTTTAGAAAATGGAAAAGTGATTTCAATTGCTGAAGTGGTGGTGGATGCGTCTTTCAAATTTAATATGCCAATACTGAGATGTTCTTTTACCATACTTTGTTTATTACATGAGGAACAAGGAATTGGAAAGTTTCTTTCATCTGCTATCAATCCATGTGTATTTCCAGATGTAGAAGTGTAATTAGTATTGGATCGAATGGAGGGATTATTAGGACCATTACTTCCGGAGTTTCTCTGAAGTTTGCCAAAGTCTTTCGAAGTTCCTTTAATCAGCGAAGGACATTTAATATTTGAAGAATTATCCTGTAATTCAAATGGGCCATGTCTTCGCGATTTCTCTAAGCAATTACTGCAATTATAATGCCCATTCATCTTTATTTCTTTGCAAGTGCAAGATTGTTTGTAACGACGAGAATGGTATGACCCAGATTGGCAAGATATGTTGGAGTTACATTCAAAACTTTCTGGGATGGAGAGGCTCTCCAAGCAAAGACGGCATGGCGACTCCATTCTCTCAAGATCTTCCTTCTTCTTACGAGGCATTGGTGTTTATATTTTCACGAAACCATTTTTTAATTTTGATATATGAAAATTTTACCGATTTTCTTCCATTATTTACAATTTTTGAAAAAGCTGGTTGTGAATTTCTACTATTTTGATTGTCCTAAACGTCATATAAAATAGTTTTGACGCCGTCTGGCGTAGAAAGACAGCTTCGTTTTTATATAGAATGCGCGGAAGTGGCAACAGTCCTGAACATATTTGTAAATAAATAAGATAGAACTTTGATCTAAATGCTAGCACATACGACTAGAAAATTTATATATTTGTATATTACACTTATGATGTTCAAAATGTTAAGAACCTCCTTGGTGCAATGGCAGGCGATATGCCAGCAGCGCTTGTCAATGTAAAAATAAAAAAAAAATAGAATAGAAAATGACTGATTACCCCTTTTATCTTAGATACTATAAATATTGACTGAACTTGCCAACTGACTAATATTAACTAGTGTAGGTAAACCAAAATCCTGCTCCTGGTCTTCCTTAACACTAATCCTGATCCCAGCGTTGCTTAATACTGGTGAGTGCTACTACCAATCTCCTATATTAGGATATGGGGTAATATCAAACTTCAAAATGTCGAAGTTTCAAATTTATAAACTAAAAGGTGAAAATTGGATATATTGGAAGTATCGCATGTCAGCACTATTAACCCATTCAATACGGAGAGCGCGCCAGGGCGCTCTCCAATGTTATACGTTGTGACGGCAAGCGCCTCGAGGCGCTCTCCCCGCCCTTACCCAATGACGGCGAGCGCTCCGAGGCGCTCGGTTTCCTTTAGTTTCAAACGTGCTTTAGACCGTTCCAGTCACTTGTGGAAGCCCGTTATTTACTGGCAGTCACTCCTAACAATTAACTAAGCCATATACGTAGAAAAAGTTGTGCCGTCAGTGACGGCCGTTTATGAAAAACTAAGCCGTATACTGCATAGGGATCTCAATATGGCCGCCGTATTGAATGGGTTAAGGGGAATAAACTACCAATTTTCTATATTATTATTTAGATATAGAATGAGATCTGTCCTAAGTCTAACTAGCCAGTAACAGAAAGGTGACCATAATTCCATCTAGCGTGTAGGTTGGTATACTACAAAGACTAAAAATTTCTCCTATGTGTAATGACAGGTGGTATAGACAGATGGCATTGAGCGTTATGGTGATCAGAGTTTCTGACCAGAGGCTCTTCTTTCTATCGGTGAAAATGGAATGGTAACCCTGTCCACGCTATCGGTATACACCGGCGGGGCACCAGTGAGAAATGATAGGTGGGGATGAAGCAGGTCAATTAGCCCATCGTGACGAATTCAACAAGAATAGTTCACGATGATTTCCAGGGGGAACTACGTGGAGGTGGACCTAATAGGGTATATTGCTAGCAATGGGGCTGTCAAACTCCATTGCTAACAATCCCTTTCCCCGGGGTAGCGCATTGAGCGTTGTGGTTTTGTTTTTTTTACAACACAGGGGGCAAACGAGCATGCGGCTCACCTGATTGTAAGTGACTACCGCCGCCCATGGTCACCCACAACACCAACGGTATTGCAGGTGTGCTGCCGGCCTTTTAAAAAGGAATATGCTCTTTTCTTAAAGGTTATGTTGTCGTATCGATTCGGAAATACTGCAGCTGGAAGTTGATTCCAAAGAGTGGTTGTGCGTGGGAGAAAGTGCCTTGAAAAACGCACGGTGGAGGACCGCCATTCGTCCAGATGGTTGGGATAAAATTTTAGTTTATAGCGGGTTGTACGATAGTGAAAATCAGCAGCAGGTATCGATCCGAACAATTCTTCAGAGCACTCCCCATGATAAATTCGGTAGAAGATGCACAGAGATACAACATGTGGTGAATGTAACCAGAGGGTGAATTAAATAGGAGCGTTTTATATGAGCTTAAAATGAGAGGGAAGGGCTCTGGTAAAATATTATAAAATTTATTTTTCTTTAAAAACAGGGGTTCCTAAATTTTTAAAATGACGGAACGCTCAACAAATACCTTTCATTCCATGGAACCTCATATTAAAGATTACAAATCAAAAACACTGTAATTTAAATAAGAACAGAAGCTTTTATTAGAAATATTTTAAAAGTACAACACTTTATAGTTTCCTTTAATTTTTAATGTGAAGAATGAAAATGTTTCACTGTGTAAATAATTTCGCGGAACCCTGGTTACTTTTTACGGAACCCCTAGTTTCCGCGGAACACTCTTTAGGAATTGCTGCCTTAGAACATTAACGACAATTAAAAATCACCATTTTATTATCCATTTATTTAACAGAAAAATAAAAACAATATACATATTATTTTTGCGGGTTCTTCTTAACAGATAACAGCATCCAAACCCAGCAGTACAGTCATAAAAAAATTGACGATTTAAAAGAGCTTGTAAACGAGTCTTTTTGAATAAATATTATTTCTGTTCTATTCTATAAATTTACGTATATTAATATTTTTTTTTTATTGTTATTTATTTATTTTATTTATTAATTAATGCCACCCGTTATTGCTATATTTTTTTTACATTGTTATTTTTTTTTGTATAATTACATATTTTTATATAACCGTATCATTCTTTAAGAGTTATATTTCATTAATTTATAAATATTTCTATTTAAAATCTTAAGGATTAAGTCACATATTAAGGACAAGGTGGAGGTTTCCAGCAATGAAAATTGATAATTTTATCTTTGTGAAGAATTGATTCATGAAAACTGAAATCTTTGTAGATTTTAAACTATTACACTGTTTTGTTTTCAAATTCGGAATATAACAGAAAAGAAAAAAATATATAGTTCAATAACTAAATAAGAGATTTGACGTTTTTATGAATAAATTTCCAATTACATTCTCCCGAAATAATAGTAAAGAAAATATTCCGCTGGAATGGCAACACCGTCACCTATAAACGTGCGCTTCCTGAACTTTCAGTCGATATTTTCACCAAAGCTTTATATCACGTTTTGTAGTGTCGGCCTAATTGTCGACTTTTTATACTATTACTCATTTATTAAAGTCGATTATAAATAATATACATAACACAATACAAATTTTGTTTAAATTTAGTGTAATTTTTTTTTTATTATTAAATGTAATTATCGCGTTAGGGAACACTGTAAAAGTAAGTTTTATTTGATTATTTATCAGTGCGACATTTATCGATTGTTAACATAAAAGGTCTTATTAGTATTCAGGGTAAGTAGATATATAAATGTATACTCATGTTTCTTTGACTAATTAAATATTAAAGCAATTCGACTGCATGTACCAAGTGCGTAGCTAAGTACTTGTACTAAGTATAAAAAAAAATATATGACAACAATATTAAAAAATAATAACATTACATAATTTTTTTTTATGCAACTTAAAACGGCAAGCAAGCTGACAGCCCACCTGATGGAAAGTGGTCACCGTCGCCTATAGACATGAGCAGTACCGTGGACGTAACAGAGTATACTGTTTCGCACATGATACCCCCCATGCGTTGCCATTCTTGATGACTGAGATGTTATTCCTCTGTACTCTGTAAATTCACTACCATATCCTACCCTTTAAACTGAAACACAGCCATGCAAACACAACTGCTTCACGGTATAAACACGAATAGGACATAGGTGTCCAAGCAAACTTTTGTACAAAGTCTCCCTCTGGTATACATAGTATTCATAGTCTGGTTTAAATACATTTATAGTTACATCAATTGCTTTCCTTAAATATCTATATTTTCAAATGATGTTCCACCTTACATATTATTTACATGGCGGACTTAATGCTAAAAGCATTCTCTCCCAGTCAACCATAGGCAAGTGTCAGAATACTCGAATTTTAATTCTTATTTATTATAACTGTCACTTCCCCGTTTTGTTTTTGGCAAAATACCCGAATATCGGGGTGAACGACACTAAAAAAGACAAAAAAATCTAAGGTTTATTTTTTTTTATAACTGTCAGTGTTGTCTATAAAATAGTAGGGTTTTTTTTTTTTTTTTTTAATATTTCCGGCTACAAAATCACGTGCACAGTTATATATTTATGTATTTTTAAATGAATCCTAAAAGCAGAATATTCATAAAATATTATGTTATTTTTGTGAATATGTTATGCAAATACCGTAATTTATTTTAAAAGTACATATGTTTTTAATATATTTAATGTGGGGGGAAAAGGGATTGTTAGTAATGGAGACTGAGAATCCCATTGCTAGCAATATACCCAACCAGGTCGACCTCCTCGCGGTTCCCCCTGGAAACTATCATGGTTAATTCCTGTTGAATGCATCATGATGTGCTAACTGGCCTGTTTTCATTCTCATCTATCACCCTTCACTGGTGCTCCGCCAACGTATTCCGTTAGCGCAGGCGGAGTTACCATAGCATTTTCACCCATCAAAAAAAAATATATTTAATGTCAACAAACGTCATTTAGAGAGTATTCCTGTGATGATATAAATAAAACTTGTTACCTCTTCATTCTTATCAGCCTTTAACTGTCCACTGCTGAACATAGGTCTTCCCCTTTGGGGGTTGTACCAGTAGTTGCCACGATTGGCAAGCGAAATGTCGCAGTTAGGAAATGTTTTAAGAGGGACGCTGCTACCCATCCCTCGCCCACTCTTTTTTTTTATATACAACTTAGAATGGCAAACAAGCTGACGGCTCACCTAATGGAAAGTGGTAACCATCGCCTATACACATGAGCAGTAGCATGGACACAACAGAGTATACTGTTTCGCCCATGATACCCCCCATGCGTTGCCATTCCTGAGGACTCGGGTGTTATTCCTCTGTACCCTGTAAATTCACGCCATATCGCACCCTTCAAACCGAAACGCAGCCATGCAAACACAACTGCTTCACGGTAGAAACACGAATGGGACAGAGGTTCCCAAGCAATCGACTTTTGTACAAAGTCTCGCTCTGGTATATCTCTTAGTCGGCTCTTACGATACCCACGGGAAAGGAAGGGGTGGACTATTCTATGCCGGGACCACACGAAACTTCATTGAAACTATGTAAATAGACTACAATGTAGCTACCGTGCCTGCCTGCTTGTTTGCGGTGTGGCCCCAGCGTAAAATATTTTCGGCATAAATTATTTCTTATGCCAAACAAAAACAATTTTAAGATAAACAAAAGTTTGATTCTGTTATAGAGAAAAGATATTTTTAATCTGTGCCGTTGAAAAACGCGGGAAAACGTAAACAACCGTGTCCGTTGCCAAGGTAAACGATGAACTTTATTGATATACAAAAAAAAAAAATTAAAAGTTATTCCAAATACACAAATACAAGGGGGGAAAGGGATTGTTAGTAATGGAGACTGAGAATCCCATTGCTAGCAATATACCCAACCAGGACGACCTGCTCGCGGTTCCCCCTGGAAACTATCATGGTTAATTCCTGATGAATTCATCATGATGGGCTAACTGGTCTGTTTTCATTCTCATCTATGACGCTTTACTGGTGCTCCGCCAGCGTATCCCGTTAGCGCAGGCGGGGTTACCATACCATTTTCACCCATCAAAAAAAAAAAATACACAAATACATATAATATATACTTGATATCAGCCATTACTTATTCTTTACGTAGTACTGACAACCTCCAACTCATAATTCCTATTCATTCTTCTTCTATCTATTTCAAATCCTTTTCCGTGCAAGCAGTTCGTTTGTGGAACTCACTCCCTACCTCTATACGATGCGCTCAATCGTTGCCCATTTTTAAAAACTTAGTTAAATCCCACTACCTATCCTTATAATCATTTAGTCCTACGTATTTCCAGTTTTATGTGTGTTAGTGTGGTATATTTGTATGTATTTATGCGTATATATGTATGTATATGTGTATGTACGTATATATATTTATATATGTATGTGTATGTATATATATGTATAATTTGGATGAATGTGTTTATTTATGTATGTGTATATGACTATGCTGTCACAGATATTATTTTTTACAGATCTATTTCTTTTTTAACGCGCCACCTACCTGTTTATGCTTTAATTCCTTCTACCCAAAGGTTGTCTGGAAGAGATTGCTTAGCAATAAGACCGCCTTTTGTACTACACTATACGTATTGAAAGTTGTTCAACAAATCCTGTTATGTTGGTGCAATAAAGTGTTAAATAAATAAATAAAATACTGTCCACTGCTAAACATAGGTCTTCTCCTTTGGGGGTTTTGCTAGTAGTTATCACGCTTGGCAGGCGAGTCAGCAACCGCAGTTAGGCTTTGGTGATGTTTTAAGAGGGACGCTGCTATCCAATCCTCGATCGTTAAGTTACATGTATCGCCCCATACGACATCCACGGGAAAAGAAGGTTTTTATAAAGCGTTAAAATGACATGGTAACCCCGCCTGCGCTATCGGTATACGCTGGCGGAGCACCAGTGAGAGATGATAGGTGACGATGAAAGGTCAGTGAGCTCATCGTGACGAATTCACGATAGTTTCCAGAGGGAATCGCGTGGAGGTCGACCTGATAGGGTGTATTGATAATAATGGGGAAATTAAAGCCCGTTTCTAACAATCCCTTTCCCCCCGGAAAGGAGGGGTTGGCCCATTCTGTGTCTGGACCACACGGTATACTTACTGATTTTTTTTTAATGGTTGTAAATGGAATGGTAACCCCGCATGCTTTTGCGCTAAAAATATATGCTGGCGATGTACCAATGAGGGATGAAGAGGAATGATAGGTGAGGGTGAAAATTTATTTATTTATATACATATTTTTGGTGAGTTTTGCAGTTTTTACCAATGCTTTCATTAAAAATTAAAAAATTTAACATTGTAATAATACAATATTGAAATAATATTATAATAATAATAAAAATCTAATTATGTTATATCAAATAAATATTAAAAATGCAAAATGTATGTAGAATGTGTTAAAAAAAAACACAAACCCAATGGCCGTTCTTATTTAAAAATTAAACATTGTTTTTTGATTTTATTCAATCTGTAACTATATACTTTTAGATAAAAAAAAAAATCCAACCAGTTTATAACTGACGGAGTTATAAGGTAACAAACATAATAAAAAGTACAACTGTCTCGAGAACCTCGTTTTTGAAGTTGATTAAAAAATCCAAACAAAATGTATCTACGCCGTTCTTACAGTTTTTATTTTATTCATGCCCCTATCAATAAATTAATGTGGGCGGGAAGGAATTGTTAGTAATGGAGAGGTTAGTCCCCATTGCTATTAATATAGCCTATCAGATCGACCTCCACGCGGTTCCCCCTGAGAAATATCGTGACTTTATCGTTGAATTCGTCACGATGGAAAAACAGCTAATTGGCCTGTTTTTTCATTCTCACATATCATCCCTCATTGGCGCCCCGCCAGTGTATACCAATAGAGCAGGCGGGGTTACCATTCCATTATCATCCATTAAAAAAAATGTGTATACAATGTATAATAACAATGTCATAGACATCGCAGTATTCTGTACTTAAGTACACGTGGGTACATCCTTAATCTATGCTAAGCATTAATATATATTCTGTGACCGTATTGCTCCTTTTGAGGACTGTTTGAAAAAGGAACAATGCTCGTAACAAACAGATATCAAAGTACTTATTCTAAGATTACAAATAGACTCGCGTGTATACTTTTAAAACTACAATTTTCCCGCTATTTCGTGCACGTGTATCTCAGAAGTAGGAAAATCATTTAAATTGATCAATTCCAGATGGCGTATATAGATAAAATATATACAATGTTTTAAAGCAATATAAGTGTGATAAAAGAATCTAGTTTAGTGCATTAGTTTTTGCGTGATGCCAACATAAAAATACGGACAAATAAAATTTGTAAAAAATATAAATTTTAACTTCTATTGGTCTTATTAAGATTTTTTTTTCTTAAAATCTCCCACGTACAGACACCGTCTAGTTACAATTTTATTATATTTGTAATCTAATATCCTTTATTTATATTTTAGTACAAGTCCATATCTCTCAGTTTTTAAATGTCTTTCGAAATAAATAGAAGGATCTCGAATTTTCGATTCGTTTGTTTTTTCTGTGGCGATTTTTGCAATAATTCTGTGTAAACGTTGCAAAGAATTGTTTGTTACGAAATTATATATTTGTAGACGCACTATTACGTGTTGTGAATTAAAGTATTTTCAATCTAATGTGTCTATTGTGTCTACAGAACATCTAATCAGTCATCAGTGTGTTTTATGTCTATTTAAAGTTGGTATTTCTTATGGGGCAAAATATCTACATATACATATCTACTTTTTGTGAGTGTATTAGTTATGTATGTTATTATGTATGTATGTGATGATTATTTTTTTACCGACTTCAAAGAGAATAAGGTTTCTTATTCATTTTTTTGTTTGTTACTTCATAACTCCATCAGTTGGGAACCGATTTAAATTTTTTTTTTATCTGAAAGGATATACTTACATAAGACGATAAATAACGGATTGTTAGTAATGGGGATTAGTAGTCCCATTTCTAACAAAATACCCTGTCAGGTCGACCTCCTCGTGGTTCCCCCTGGAAGCCATCGTGATTGATTTATCGTTAGATTCGTCACGGTGGGCTAACTGGCCTGCTTCACTGGGGGGAAAGGGATTGTTAGTAATGGGGTCTAATGACCTCCACGTGGTTCCCCCTGGAAACCATCGCGAACAATTCTTGTTGAATTCGTCACGATGGGTTAACTGACCTGCCTTTTCATCCTCACCTATCATCTCTCACTGGTGCCTGGCCAATGTATACCGATAGCGCAGGCGGGGTTATCATTCCATTATAATCCATAAAAAAAGACAAGCGTGAGCGTATGCGTTTGGGCGTGCGTGCGTCCCTGCGCGGACGTGCGTGAACATGCGTGTTTAAGATTTTTTTTGATGGGTGAAAATGGTATCCTGCGCTAACGGGATACGCTGGCGGAGCACCAGTGAAGGGTGATCGATGAGAATGAAAACAGGCCAGTTAGCCCATCATGATGAATTCATCAGGAATTAACCATGATAGTTTCCAGGGAGAACCGCGAGGAGATCGACCTGGTTGGGAATATTGCTAGCAATTGGATTCTCAGTCTCCATTACTAACAATCCCTTTGCCCCCGCGTGTTTAAGATTTAATCTGTTCTTTTCGAGCAATAAAATGTACTTTTTATAAAAAAAATCTTATTTTTTTTTTATTTCAGTAACTCGCGACCAATAATGTACAAGATTACAAGCCGATGGAGTACTGCTCACGTCACATTTATTGTTTTCCTCTCCTGGATTGGTATAGGTAAGTAAATGTATATACCGTTATATAGTAAATGTATATTTTTTTTTGGTATAGGTAAGTGAATGTATATACCGTAGTTTGTTTCAAGCAGATATTAATGCAAAAGTGGCCAAGTTGCTTCTTTATTAATGAACTAACGGCCCGTCCCAGCTTCGCACGGGTGGACATTTTTACAACATTTAAAAAAGTGATTATTGTGACATAACGATAATAGTTGGACATATAGTGTCGCGAAGTTTGTAGTTATTGATATTTTCTTCAATATTGTAGAACATACTTTTGTTCTATCGCCAATAGTTTCCGCAGCGCACGCGACCAAAGATATTTTATAGCATATTTTTACACCTTGAGTTACGTTACTAAAGTTTTAGTAAGGATCCCCAATGTTTTCTAGCAATAATTATATATACATATATATTTATATCATGACGCTTGGTCACGGGACTCTCTCGCAAGATGCGCGCGCAGGTTGCGCAGGCGCTTTGTGATTTTTTTTTTATTTTATTTTATTGGCACATAAAACAGATCACAACCATAAAAAACTTAAATAATAGTTACATTTGTGATTCGGCTAGGTTATAATCCAATTACATTGTGTGCACAGCTTGAGTAATACATTAAAAGCAAACACGTAATATAAAAAGAAAAAACTTAAAATGTTATATAAATGTATAAAAGATAAAACTATATATATAAAAAAAAAAAACATATTTTCAATCGTATTCTACAAAATAGATAACAAGTTCATCCTAAATATCAAATATTTTGTAGCGAATATGTCGATGGATTTGCGGTCGAGCAGTAAGTCGTTATAATGACGACGCATCCTTACCACAGGATTGTAATAAAAGGTGTTATTTTTGTAGACTTGATTATTGGCTGCGCGCGCATCCCGCGCACGGGCAGCGACTAGAGAGAGTGTTTTTTGGCTTAGACGATTCAAAAATGTATTTGTTTTATTGTAAAATAATTATTCTATTTTAATTATTGATTAAATATATTTACAAAATGAACCCCACAATCAGTCTTACAAGTTCAAACCGATACCGCAATACCGATAGCGCAAGGGTTATCATTCCATCTTCACCCATTAAAAAATACCAGATCCACCTCCACGGTTCTCCCTAAAAACCATGGTGATTATTTCTTTTTTTTTTTATACAACTTAGAATGGCAAATAAGCTGACGGCCCACGTGATGGAAAGTGGTAACCGTAGCCTATAGACATGAGCAGCACCATGGACATAACAGAGTATACTATTTCGTCCATGAGACCCTCCATGCGTTGCCATTCCTGAGGACTCAGGTGTTATTCCTCTGTACCCGGTAAATTCACGCCATGATTAATTCTTGTTGAATTAATCACGATGAGCTAACTGATCGAGACGTAGGCATATTTACCAATCCATTTTCACTCATCAATCTTTTAAGAGTATTTATTCCACTGACCGTGTGATCCCGGCATAGAATAGGCCACCCCGTTCCTCTGGGTGTCGTAAAAGGCAACTAAGGCAGACTGAGGGATGGGCAGCAGCGTACCTCTTAAAACATCTTTAAAGCCTAACTGCGGTTACTAATCTACCTGCCAAGCGTGGCAACTATGGGCCAAACCTCCCAAGGGGAAGGCTTACGTTCAGCAGTGGAGTTAAAGGCTGATATGGTAATGATGATGACTCCATCACCACATGGAGAAGTAACTTATATTTATGTTTCCAGCACACAGCATCGATTGCTTCAAGTGTGTATCAATGAATGGCAAGTTCCCGGCTTGCGATGACCCATTCCACAACAACCATTCTTTACAAATGCTGGAGTCACCGTGCATGGGGGGGAGGAAGGGCCGCGACGGCCTGTTCCCCGCCACGTCTTGTATCAAGATCGCGGGTGTCTTTGGTAATATATAGACTAGAATCAAAATATAATTTAATTAGATTTAATGGAATTTAATTAGATTTAATGGATTTGAATGACATTTAATGGAATTTAACGATGATAGAATGGAATTTAATAACATTTAATGATGGAGTTGCGTGTTACTAAATGGGAATTAATTAAATACAAATTAATTTCATTAAATTGAATGAAATTTAAAGGGTTTTGAGTGAAATGTAATCGAATGGAATTTATTGGAATTGTGTAATAGGGAACTGAAGAAAATTAACTGGAATTGGAATACAGTCCTTCCTAATACTGAATGTATTGAAAAATACTTGTAACAATAACTCGTTAGTTAATGACTGAGCGGAATTTAGACGTTTTCTTTTTTTATTTAATACTAGCGGCCCGTCCCGGCGTCGCACGGGTGGACATTTTTAACATTTCCCTTCACTGCTCTGCTCATATTGAGCGCAGCGTGATGAAAAGTATACTATAAACTGCCCAGGAGTATGAAGAATAATTGTATCAAGTTTCGTTAAAATCCGTCGAGTAGTTTTTGTTTCTATAACGAACATACAGACAGATAGACAAAAATTTTACTGATTGCATTTTTGGCATCAGTATCGATCACTAATCACCCGCTGATAGTTATTTTGGAAATATATTTCATGTACAGAATTGACCTCTCTACAGATTTATTATAAGTATAGATAATAAATACCATTGCTGTAAAAGCCCATCGGGGTTTATCTAAAAAAATACACTTTCAGAGTGGTTCTAAAGAAATTTTAGCATAATCAATTCAGTGATTGGCTTCTAACTTACAATAACTGACTGTATAATCCGAGGTTGATATAAAATTAAAAATGTCGACCTTTCAATATAATTTTTTGTATATTTTAACCTTTTCCACTCCAAGCCTTTTTTTTATTCCACCAGCTCCACGCTAAAATTGCGTTTTTTTTTTTAACTTTTAGGGGTTTTTTTCGTATTTTGTAAATAAAGTTGATTTTTTCTTATATGACAAACTTTATTTTATGAGTAATTACAGGATACTATATTATAATTCTTAATTCTAATCTTTATAATCCCTTTTGGTATGGCACAAAATCAATGTCGAGTGACACTCGACATTGGAGTGGAGAGGGTTAATGCCATATTTGACAAGACAATTTTTTTTTTTTATGAATGAAATTGGTATGGTAACCCCGCCTGCGCTAACGGGATACGCTGGCGGAGCACCAGTGAAGGGTGATAGATGAGAATGAAAACAGACCAGTTAGCCCATCATGATGAATTCATTAGGAATTAACCATGATAGTTTCCAGGGGGAACCGCGGGGAGGTCGATCTGGTTGGGTATATTGCTAGCAATATTTTTTTATTTCTACGTCACGTACGTCGTCGATTAAAAAGACACAGTATCCAAGGACTGGTAGAAAGATTTACAGACAGAGACTGAGAGGTGGTTAATGGATTGGTCTCATAATATATATATATTAACAAGATTTAAACCTGACATGCAAACAGCACATTGGATTATTGTTCTTTAAAGGAACAGATTGCCAATTAGCAGTTTAGAAAAAAAAAAAAAAATATTTCTCCGTCACAGCAAAGACATACCACAGATTAGAGAAACAATATTAAATTACATACATACATATCTGTCACGCCTGTCTCCCATTAGGGTAGGCAGAAACAATGGAACGCCAAATGCTTCGATTCAAACAAACCTCTTTCGCTTCCTCCACATTCATCAATCTTTTCATACACGCTCGCCGGTTACGGGTACTTTTAATTTGGCCCTTCTTCAGCACGTCGCCTATTTGGTCGACATACGTCCGTCTAGGGCGGCCCCTACCGACATCTCCAATATTAAATTATAGAATTGAATTGTAAAACAATTAATTTTATCAAATTGTCCATAATATGTTGCGTACTTAGATTACATTGTTAGTGTGTCTTTATACAAATATTTTGACAAAAATAGATTAACTTTTTTATATATTTAAGTTTGTTAAGAGAAACGGGTTAATAATAAAAATGCTTAATATTGTAGTTCTCTTTTATTGCGACTTCTTTGGTAGGAAAACAAAGACCAATAAATACAGAATTCTAAAAACATAAGAACAATAGAAATATAAAAATATGACGGACGGAATATGATAGCCAGTTATATAAAAGGCGTATTGTGATGGCCAGTAATACGCCACATTTGCGTATAGACATAAAATATATTTTCGTTTTAAATCATTGAAAATGGCCGCCGTTTTAATTAATATTCTATGTAATACAAAAATCTCGTGTCATCGCACACCTCCGAAACGTCTCGATCAAATTTTATACATTTTTTATGTATATTTTTTTAAATATATGAATAAATCGTAATGTATATTTCATATTAATTTGTGAGTAATACGTACATATGTATATTTATATTATAAAAGAAAAAAAGTAGTTGACAATTCAAATTTAAAAAATCGATCAGAAAAAGCGCGGTTTTTTTTTTATTTAAAGAAAAAAATTTTTGTTGTTGTTTCAAAATTCGTCTAATTCAAAATTGGACTGGCGAAGAGCATAGCCTATACAGCCTAGTCATTAATTCAAAAAAATAGCCAAACGTCAAATTAGCTGACAACATTTTGACACTTTATTGGTATTTGATGCTCTATCTATACAGTTTAAGGTTATTAATAAAGCTTCAATCATTTATTCATATTTTTTTTTTAATCCAACCAGATGACACAGGAGAGAGGATAACCGTACGTGGTTGTGGACTAGACTCGGGCACTGCCACCACGGATACAGAAATTATCAGAATGTCCCACTGTGGTCGCTTCTACTATAATGACAGGTGAAAATATACACATAAAATTATTCACTATCCTATATATTTCAAAAAAAAAAAAAAAAAATATATATATATATATATATATATATATATATATATATATATATATATATATATATATATATATATATATATATATATATATATATATATATATATATATATATATATATATATATATACTTTAATAGTAAACTACCATTTAAACTTTTATTCATATATACCAACATTTTTACACTTTAATATTTTTTTCGTAAAATATTTGGTTATACACAAATCGTTTTGTTTATATATATAGAATAGACCACCTCTTCCTCTCTCGTGGGTGTGACAAAAAGCGACTAAGAGAACTTAATGCTTTAGAAATAGGTACAAAAGTCTAGCTTGGGTACTTCTGTCCCATTCGTGTTTCAACCGTAAAGCAGTTCTGTTTGCATGGCTGTATTTCGGTTTAAAGGACATGATGGAGGATATGACAGTGAATTTACAGGGTACAGAGGAATAACACCTGAGTCCTCAGGAATGGCAACGCATGGGAGGTATCATGAGAGAAATAATATACTCTGTTATGTCCACGGTACTGCTCATGTCTATAGGCGACGGTTACCACTTTCCATCAGGTGGACCGTCAGCTTGTTTGTTATATGAAAAAGTCAAGTGTTATTTAATTCATTATAATTGTTACTTCATTTTCTCGCACTGTATAACTATGTTAAAGTGAATGCTGTGAATACCTTTAATAGGCGTGTGCATTAATATTGTATTATATTTAATGTTTGTTATATGTGTTATAATGCAATATGCTGTTGGTGTTCCTTTAAATAAATAAATAAATAATATAAATATTTCGCTAGGTACGTCCACGGTTGCCTGCAGAGCTGCAACGACGCGGACGCTTGCAACACGGCCGTCGAAGCGTCACCACACACATCTTGTCTATTATTGGTATCCGCCATTTTGTATCACGTGACATCGCTCAAGAGCTAACAAACAAATTGAGCGTTTGTAGAAAAATATTAATGAAATGCAGACAGGAGTATGCACTAGTTTGTAAAAATTTCGGCATGTTTATTTGTTCACTAGCTTTTACCCGCGACTTCGTTCGCGTGACCGGGATTTGTTATATCTCATATGCGGATATGTTGTATATATATGCAATAATTCTGCAAATATGGTTATAATACTTCACTTCATATTCATACATAATAATAAAAGCCGCTCGCCAATTTAGAAATTTTACATCGAATTATGTTTAATTGTTTATTAATAATTAATAAATCAAAAGGGGGGTAAAGAAGTTCTTTCAGGGTCGGCAACGCGCGTTCATAGGCTACGGTAACCGCTTACCATCAAGCGGGCTGTATGCTTATTTGCTACCTCAGTGGTAAAAAAAAATACAAAATATTAAATAAAAAAAATCACAAGTCTCGATCCTAGCGCCATCTAGTATTTGCTTGTCTAATTTTGTTTAGTGAACAACAATACATAAGAATTAAAATGAAGTAGGTATAAAACATTTCGTATTCATTCCTTGAAATTGTTTATATTTATTTATCTAAAACAAATATGGCGGTGCGATAATTCAGAACGCCCTATTCGTAAATAGTTATTACAGTCTATGTTATATAAACGTAACACACACTAAGAGAAGATGGACAAAATTTTATCAAATTTATAATTTCATTTATTTATTTATAGCAAGGCAACAGATTACAAATTAATACATTAATAAAATTAATATTGAATAACATTTAAACCTGATTTATCGGTATGAGCAATAATTTAATTTAATTTGCCGATTGAGGATGTTTAAAACATTTTTTTTTTATTACTGGTTATTAATAAAATACCATTAAACTTATAGAGTGTATTAAAAAAATATTACATATGAAACTGACCACGGTTCAACCACTTTAACACGAGCGGTAACAGATAAAAAATTGTTCACTTTCACATTCGAAAAATAACGCTAGTGCATTCTCAAGTCTGCGAAACGGCGAAATGTCCATTAAATTATAATATATTAAAGCTAATAAGTATGTCTAATTATAGTGTAATCTATCACAATAGTTCATTGGCGTATTTGAGGTTATATCCAGGTAATGCCTGGCTCTTTATAAAAAGCACGTAATGGCGTCGATTCTTTGCCGCCATTTTTATAACCCTATCTCTAAAATTAAAATTTCAATTTGATATTACCGCGAAATATTTATTGTAAGGATCAATATAAACTAATTTTTTAACAGATTTTGTCAAATCAACCTTTTTTTAAAAATAAAAAATTAATAAAAACTAAATGTTCAAATTTAACACAAGTCCAATTCTTTTGTTACGATTCTAATGTTTTTTCTGTTCACTTCTACAATAAACATCGTCCTTTACCATCATTTTCTTTATGTTTTTTATTCCAATATTCCTTAATTAAGAAATAATAAGACTTAGATGACCTCCTCGCGGTTCTCCCTGGAAACTATCATGGTTAATTCCTGATGAATTCATCATGATGGGCTAACTGGCCTGTTTTCATTCTCATCTATCGCCCTTCACTGGTGCTCCGCCAGCGTATCCCGTTAGCGCAGGCGGGGTTACCATACCATTTTCATCCAAAAAAAAAATAAGACTTAGATAGTGTAAATGACGGATTTAATACCATATGGCGTTATCTACCAATCGAACGTAGACAGGAATAACAGAAAATATATTTGAATGTGTAACTTAATGAGCAAAAACATTGGAAAACATAAACAATATTAAATTAAATTATCGAATTTAAATATTGGGTCAAGAGATAGGTTTAGAAAATTGGCGCCTCAGAATCGACCCCAATGTACTCTCAGACAAGTGTCTTTACGAAGCTTCGTTCGTACCATGGGATGAGCACTAGACCATTCTGTGATGGGTACGAAGTGAAAAATACGCTTATGCAATAGATACACATTTTTGAATGCATTTTTTAGGATAAAAAGAAAATTGTTATCGATTTGTATGCAAGTTCCATACTTACCTAATTCTCATTAAAAAGGAATTATTTATGTTACTACAGGCACTGAAAAGCAATATTTAAAAAAAACCTATATGAACAAATATCATTTATAACTAGTAAAAAGATTCTTACCGTTCGTTTTTCATACCCTGTCTCGTTTTCTACTTGTTAGTGGCATAATTGGCGACACTAGTCCTTTGCTAATATTAAAAAAAAAATTTGAATAACCGAATAACGCTAGATGGCGTTAACTACAGAAGATAAGTGCAACACGGCAAAAAGACAAAATTCAGTTTAAAAACTATTTAACGACAATGCGATTTTTTAACAGAATATCATATTTTTTTTTACCTAAATATTGAAAAAAAATCTTGTGTGTATTATTAAGGTCAATAATTTAAAAAGTTTTTGTTCAAAAGCCATTCCCATAATATGTACAGCCGAAAATATGTCCTCCTTTCTTTAAAAACAGTATGCGAATGAATGTTTCAATACGAAAATACTATCGAATTTTTAATACAGAGTATATATACTTGCATATTAATCGAAAATCTCAATTAATAATTATTATAACAAATATAATTTAAAGCCTAACACACCTATCGAATCTGTTAATTGTAATTAATTTGCAATATTAACATTCTAAGATAAGGCCTAAGTTCAAAAGACGACTGCTGGTAACTGATACTCTTTTTCTACGCTGTTTAATAATTTAGTACATTTTTCAAGGAATGATATATATATAGGTTATTTAATATCATGATATGACCACGGAAAAAGTAATAGGAAAAAGATAAAGCATTGAAATAGATTTACGGAGACTAAGTCTTGCGTTTATAAATATTATGCACAGTTCGCGCCAACTTGCACAAAATCATAGATAAAGAATCTGGCCAGTGCTATTGTTATTCACTTATCTATGTAAACAACACAAGTGACTAATTAATTGCTGTTAATAGCGTTTATAGCTTTAGCATGAAATGTGGCAACACTGCAATTATCTGTCAATTTTCAAAAACAATGTAATAATTTTTTATGTTTCTTATTGATTATTTAAAAACTGCTTGTAAAACGTTAATCAAGCTACAGTACACTGGAGGGTTTGTCAGAAATCAAAAATTTATTCCGGGTTCTTAGAAATGACTTAATAAAGTGGACTACCAATCCTATTGCTACACCCTGTCAGGTCGGCTTCCTCGTGGTTCCCCTTGGAAACCATCGTGATTGATTTATTGTTAGATTAATCACGGTGGGGTAACTGACCTGCTTCATTCTCACCTATCATCCCTCACTGGTATCCCGTCAATGTATACCGATAGCGGAAGCAGAGTTACCATTCCATTACGTCCATTAAAAAAAAAAACAATTTGAAAATTATTCAATTGTTTTTGTAAATTGACAGGTAATTGCGTCATTGCCATACATTGTTATGAACGCTCTCAAATAGTCGTTTGCTGTATTGTTACATAAATAAAGTAATTCCTTTATTCATAAAAACTAAAACCTACTACAAACCTATTTTCTCTATTGCTTTGTCACTTTTCTCAAATTAAGAATTTAGAGGTTAAAAGAAAAAAAAAACAAAGCAGTTCAATAGCTGAAATAGGTTTATGAATAAGAATTTAGGACATTTTTATGAATAAAGGGTTAAGAAAACGATTTGTTCCGTGGTAACAATAAGTATACATATTGTCAAAAGGCGATTTAAAACTTAATATTTTTAAACCTACCTACTATGGTAGCTTTACAATAAAAGAAAAATGGTATTAAAATTAATAAATTTATTTCATGTATTCTCCATAGGGGTGGGTAATATGTAGTGAATACTATATATTGTAGTTACAATATCTATATATCATCAACGTTTTCATCACCGAGGTTTTCCCGAGAGACTACAGCATGGGGTTCTTCAAAAGGGGGGTAAAGAGGTTTCTTCAGGGTCGGCAACGTGCGCGTAATACCTCTGGTATTGCAGGCGTTCATAGGCTACGGTAACCGCTTACCATCAGGTGGGCCGTATGCTTGTTTGCCACCTCAGTGGTATAAAAAAAAAACGTATCAGCCGTTAATTGTTCACTGAACATAGGTTTCCCTCATAAGAGGAGTTTTACTGCGCTTGACAGTTGCGTTGGCAACCGCAGTTATGCTTTGGTGACGTTTTAAGAGAGACGCTGCTGTCTGTACCTTAACATTTAAGTTTCCTTAGTCGCATCTAACACTCACGGGAAAGAAATAGGTAGTCTATTTTATGCTGGGACTATACGGTAAAATCTATATATCAGTCCTGAATATCGTTTATCCAATATATAGTATTTAAATTAAGAACCTGATAGATATTAATGTATCTGACTGAAATGTATCTGAAATGGCTTATGACCTTTTTTCGTCATCATTGTATACGGGTACCCAATATATAGATATGAGAGCAGTGCCGATATTATCTATTTCTCCAGGAAGGAGATGAATCCTTATTGCTGTGACTGATGTCGGTAACGTCACGTTATCTATATATTCAGTTCCTCTGGATACTGATGGCGGCAAAGAAGGTCATATATTAATCTTCTTCGGGTTCATCATTTTGATATTATATATTGGTTAACCGTTATTTAATATACCTTTTATTGAACCGATATATAAATATTGTAACTGTAATATATAGATATTGTCAAATATTATCCACTCTACATTATTTAAGTGAAGGACAATAAAAAATACCGTGAGAATTTGATATCCCTCATCTATGTCCTTAATAGATGACTGAACACTACTGTTTCCTACAATTTTCAAAATTTCTTTCGCTTGGCTGTGATATTGTTTATTTCTAAGATGTATTTATAATACAGTAAACAGTTTACTACCTATGTTGTGTTTACTTTGTATAATATTTTATTTACTATAATATTGTCTATGATCATAAATGGCTGTTATTAGCGGCACTGCATGGATAATTAATTTCTATAATGTCTATGGTATTGTTCATTTCGTTATTTTTAACTTACAATGTCAAAATGGCGGGAACGGTGAATATTTAGTTTAAATTGAAGAACTGTATTTTGAGTATACGATGGAATATGCGATGGAACAATACATAACTGTTTGTTATGATTGTGGTGTGTTTTAAATATTACTTCTAAAAAAAAATATTCGAGATACGAACCTATTCTATATGACGATGACAGCAATGGTTATAAAAATGGCGACCGATTGTCATTATATAAAAGAAGAAAAAACTTACAATAAATTTCAAGTGCAGATACGAGTAAAATACCTATCATATTTTCAACCAACAAATCGACGTCAATGGAGGTTCTCATTTCAGTTGTATTTTTTTTTTTTTATGTTTGTTACCTCATAACTTCGTCATTAATAAATCGATTTTGAAAATTCCTTTTTATTTTAAAGTATATATTTACAGATTGGTCCTTTAAAAATGTATCAAAACCTTTTTAGTAGTTTAGTTTTTATATCGAATTAACTGCTAAAACTGAAGTCGGTTTTCTTTTGTGCAAAGTTTGCAGGATTCCCAGCTATGAATAAGAAATAAATAAGAATATCTGATATGTTTGTGTCTATATTTTTGTTTCGCGGTAAACAAGTACTATTTACGATATGAACAATATCATAGATAATGAAGTCAATGTTGACTTGCCTCTTTGATCACTTCATGGCTTAATCTAGCACGAATTAGTAACTTAACTATTGTATGTAGGTATGATATAGACACTTTTTTTAGCATTTTCTAAATTTGTATTAATTAATAACGGTATTTTTATTACGTGTTTTTTGTTCAATCACTATTGAATATTTACCATAATGATTGAACAAAAAAAAATTGACACGTAACCATTATATGGCACAGTTTAGCTTTTTAACAGAATGAAATTAGAGCATGTATAGACGCTTTTATACTTATCTACGTCAATTTGTAGGAATTTATACATGCAATACTATGCCGAGAAAAGAAAAAAAGGGAGGCTTCATTTTGTTACGTGCATATAGCTTTATTATAAAACTATTTGTAGGTATATTTATATTTTTTATAATAAATTAGGTAATAATTTATTATAAAAATCTGTGCCTCAAAAAATATTTTGATTTACATTCCAACGTTTTGAATTCAAAATTGGCCACAAAGATGTTCTGTTAATTTGATTTTTATGTTTTCATGATTTGTATATCTTCAATTTGGGTCCAAACTCGATGTTCTAATTGTAATAATTGAATTAAACGCCTTCAATACAAAATCATAACGGACATTTGATTTTCATTAATTTAAAACTATACGTTTATATTATATAAGTGCAATTAACATTATTTTTTACTGTAACTGTTAACACTATTAGTTTCAAGAAATATACAGTCATTTAAATACAATTGCGTTTTATTTATTGTATATAATATATAATGGTGAACAGTTTAACACGAGAGATTTAAGACTATGCGTCACTATATTATTAGTATATTCTGTGATATTCATAATGCTGTATTGTCTAATGTATCTATCACATTTTGTTCCAGTAAGAGTAGCCCTTTTACTTTATGGTTTTTATTGATAATTTTGTAAATAAATCTCTTATTAAAGATAAGCTCGCCTTTGTACATTATGTTTATAATGAATTGTGATTAACAGTATGTTTTGTGTACAATAAAGAATAAAGATAATTTAAGAAAAAAATTTCAAGAAAATTTTTGTCAGGGTGCAGAACCTTTACTCAGTAGAGGGTCCTAAGCACTAAAGAATACAAATATCCCAAATATACTCAGCAGATTCTATTAAATTAAATCGATTAAAATATTGCAAATAATGCGCAGCAGCCATATATAAAATTTCCCGCTCTGTTTTAAATGTAATAATTACTTTGTTACTAAAATTGCAAGTACATAAAATCTTCTTGTAACCCTTAATTCTAGCAGCGTAAGTCCATTGTAGATTAAGAATAGTACTTGCGCTTTTAATATTATTAGGTTCAATATATGTCAGGGGGAGGGAGGTTTATAAGAAACTTAGTATGATATATTTTTGTACTAAGGGTTAAATATAAAATAGAGCAGAGGTAAAACTGCTTTGTTATTTTAGAAATTAAAAAACTAATTCTTGTTAGATCGTGTACGGAGTTATTTAAAAAGCATTTTACTATTTTTTTTTCTGAAACTTTGACAATTGACATTGACAGTGACGGCAAAAAGTCGCTGTGGCTGGTGTTTCTATTGTGTCGGTGACGCTGGCCGCGAATTGATAATTCTTACTTTATATTGTTTTTGTATAATTATAGAAGGACTTTTGAGTGAAATATGAAGCAATATTGTTGTATTTTTCAAAGAGCTTAATGCGGTAATGCCTAGTTTAATTTTTGTTACAAGTTTCATGATTTCGTGGTTTTTGATTCTATCGCTTTATCTCATCGATTTCAGATCGAATCTCACTGTATTTTGCGTATTGTATCATGATAAGAGTGACAACTCATATTTTAGCAGTTTTTAGTCTAAAAGAACTGTATTAAATGAAATTTTTGTCGTCGATTTTTGAAATAAATTTAATATAATTGTTGCCTATTTTCTCACTATTACATGTTTTTATAGAATTTATAAGTTATGTCTGACCCAATACCCTTAGATTCTATTGTTTTCTATGATCTGCCACCTCCACCTTCTTACAATGTGCAGAATATGGTAAGAATTCATTTTCTTTGTATTGAATTATCTCTAATTGATGGCAAAAGTAGTTGTTTTGATTTAAAAATTAAATTATTGAATAGATTTTAATAACATTTCTATGGGACCAATTTGTAAGTAATCGAAGCATTTGGCGTTCCATTGTTTCTGCCTACCCTAATGGGAGACAGGCGTGACAGATATGTATGTATGCAATTTGTAAGTATATTCTCTTGAATAAAGTCAGAATTTTCCAAATCATTTTACAACTGAAAAAGTTATGAAGTAACAAATGTAAAGAAAATACAACCAAATTAAGAAACTTTTTTTTGAAATCGGGTGATTTTTTTAAAAATATTTCTATTGACAATTGGCTGATGCAAACTGTTTATATTTTATTATATATATATGTTTTAATTTGTAACTATGATTTTGTATTTTTTACAATATCAGTTGATTCTTGCTTAATCGCTGTTGAATACATTTCTTTGCTAAAATCCATCTCTTCATCATTTATCACTTCATCATTTATCACAGTCCACTGCTCTCTAATATTTATCTTTTATGTACCACAAAGATGGCGAACAAGTATACAGCCCGTCTGATGGTAACATGAGCATTGCCAACCCTGAAGAAATCTTAAAAATCTTATTGATTTAAAATGCTCTGACAATAAACTGATAAAATTTTAATTATAGAAGATAAAATATTAAATATATAAATCTATCGTTAATAGTTTTACAACTGCTTTATAATTTGGCCTAGGTGCACCTTAGTTGATGATAATGGAATGGTAACCCTATCTGCGTTATCCAGTGAGGGATGATAGGCGAGGATGAAAGGTAGGTCACTTAGCCAAATATTTTTTTTTTATACAACTTAGAATGGCAAACAAGCTGACTACCCACCTGATGGAAAGTGGTAACCGTGGCCTACAGACATGAGCAGTACCGTAGACATAACAGAGTATACTGCTTCACCCATCATACCCCTCATGTGTTGCTATACCTGAGGACTCAGGTGTTATTCCTCTGTATCCAGTAAATTCACGCCATATCCCACCCTTCAAACCGAAACACAGCCATGCAAACACAACTGCTTCACGGTTGATACACGAATGGGACAGAGGTGTCCAAGTAAACAACTTTTGTACAAAGTCTCCCTCTGGTAAAATGTTAGATGCATCATGATAGTAAGGATTAACATTTTTTGTTATTTTTGACCATTAATAAGAAGATTTTGATCTCAGCCTGTATATACATTTTAAAATGGAGTTATTAAGGCATATTTAAAAAAAAAAACAAAGTTAATTATAGTGTGCCACCTTTTGTCTTTTTCTCAATGTCTCTCTTGTCTGGAAGAGATTGCTAGTGATAAGTTCTGTATCACTTCTCATTAATATTTACTGTATTTGTTATTTCTCTTTTTACTTGGTGCAATAAAGTGTAAAATAAATAAATAAAAATAATGTACCCCTTTATAGGTGAAAGAATTCTTAAAAATGGTTCAATGATTTTTTTGTTTATCCTTTGGAAATGTCAAAAAAAAATTTAATATTTACTTTCTACTATTATATCCATTTTTTAATTAATATTAATACACAATACAATTATCCATCTCATACATACAACTAAATTAGTGTAATTTTTCTTTTCAGGTCCTACAATAATTTGACAAAGTCTAAATACATCAAACTAAGTCACAATACTGGCCATTACATACAGAGCAGTGGTACAAGTCTATAAAGAAATAAATCAGCAAGTTGATGGTCAATTGTACAGATCATAAAAAAAATATTACTGCATTTTTATTACCACAGATAAATAATAGGACAGGAGTGCACTGTTGCTAATATATTTTACAACTGGTAACATAAACACTAAGCTAAAGTAGTTTATAATACACATACTTACATAAAATACATAATTACTCTGTCCTTATGAAGTTACAGGTGTAGTGAGGCTCCGTCTATAAGACTTACTGTACTACTATGTCAAAAAAAAATTCTAGAATGAAGTATTGTTGATTTTTAACATAAAAAACATTTGAACGATCGAGATGTATTCCGGAACTGTCTACCACGGTCAAACAGTCAATAAGCCTGATGGAATCGCTACAAGTATAAAGATTGAGCCTCTCGACTCAGATTGTGGTGATGAACCGCAAGCAGTTAATTTAGATGTTACTACCAACGTAAAAACTGAGTTTCCCCCACACGAGCCTTCTGAATACGACACAGATACTCACCAGAGAACAGAGACCACACCGCTACATAGACCTGTAGTTAAAACAGAGTATGTGGATGTAACAGAGAAATCGGAGGTTCACAAATTTACCGGCAAAGAGAACGATCATTTTCTAAAACTTAATAAGGATCTAGTGCTGAAAAATGAGTTAGTTATAGCCCCAAGTGTAGTGAGAACAGGGCCAATGACCGGGATAGCTCAGCATTTGTTGCATTCCATAACCGGTGCTGGGAATGTGTCCTTACTTTGCAATAAAACAAAGGCAGACAAACCGCATTGCTGTGAAGTGTGTAAGAAATGCTTCAAAAGGAAGGCGCACTTGAAGGAGCATATGTACATACACAATGGCAACAAACCATACAGTTGCGAGCCGTGTCAGAAGTTCTTCGCGACGAAGGGCAATCTGAAAGAGCATATAGCTATGCATGACTACACCGGTGAAAAGCCATACATATGTGAGATGTGTGAGAAATGTTTTCGACTAAGCTCGCAATTGAAAATGCATATGCTCATACATACAGGTGAAAAGCCATTCAGCTGTCCTGTGTGCAGAAAATGTTTTAGGGCCAAGACAAATCTGAAAGAGCATATGCTGATCCATACAGGGGAAAAACTGTACGCGTGTTATATGTGCAAGAAATGTTTCAAAACAAAACGCTACCTGAAACAGCACGTCATGATACATACAGGCGGTAAGCCGTACTGCTGCGATCTATGCAAAAGGTTTTTTAAAACGAAAAAGTGTCTGCGACAGCACTTGGACAATATGCATACAGCCGAGAAGTCGCACGCTTGCCATATTTGCAATTGTCGATTTAAAACAAAGCAAGACTTGTCCAAGCATTTACTTATTCTGCATAGTGCTGAAAAGGCGTAATTTTTTTTTTTTAATGGACGAATATGGAATGCTAACCCCGTTATCGGTATACGCCGGCGGGGTACCAGGGAGGTATGACAAGTGGGGAGGTCAAGTCATTTGGCCAATAGTGAGGAATTTACCAGGAATGAAGCATACCTTCCAGGGGGACTGTGTGTCCACCATTATTGCTAGCAATGGAGCTTCTAATTCCCATTGTTAACAACCCCCCCCCCCCCACACACCTCAGTCATAATTAGATGTGATATGTGTAAAAAAAATGTTATAGAACTGTGATTATATAGAAAGAGCACTTTATTGTATGTAAATGTCTACTTACTGATGTAAATGGCAACATTATTATGTACATAAGAATAAATATATTAGGTAAAATAGACACTCATGTCCAGTTCTGTTTTTGAACATGGCAATACCGTCGCGTACATGTAGCCTTCCCTTTAGTCCCTGCAGGGTTGTCACACAGTATTTTTCTTTTTTTTTTGAATTTGGAATAGTAAACAATTGTACAGTTTATTGTTTAAATACATGAATATTTCTATTGAAGGTAGTATATTAATTTATTTTAGCATTTATTATATAAGTAGGTAGGTATTATATTTATTTATAGTATATGTATTTATGTAATATTTTATTATATATTTTAATATTTTATTTAACTGTATATTTGTTTATGTATTAATAGTTGTAGCACTTCAGTTACCCGCTAACGACATGCTTTCTAACTGCATTGGGTTGACTGGAAGAGATCTCTGTCAGAGATAAGTCCACGCTTGCTCACAATATTTATAAATGCATTAACAATGTAATTTACAAGTGCAATAAAGAATATATATATATATATATATATTTGTACCGAAAAATATCATTATTCACTAATTACTTATTTATAAAATAAAAATATCGCTTTATAAATAAATATGGCGATATCATAAGTATTCTACACTTACTTTCTGCCAGCAGTTCTATTCCTTTCTTTTTATAAGAAGCTGCTGATAGTGAAAATAAATCAGTGTTTTACAATCTCTCGGTGCAAATTAATGAGAAGACAAAGCATAAATATAAATATAAATATATACATAGAAAATTATTTTTTTCTAAACTCTATCTGTCGCTTGCTAGCCCTGATTTATAAGGACGCGAATTGGGCACGAACCTGAGGGCGTACCATGAAATGTTTTCCCAAATTTCAGAGTCAAACGAAACACAAATTTGTTTGTTAAAATTACATAATACATGACGTTTGGAAATATTAAAAATGTTAAAATATTGTTCTTTTGGACTTTTATGATAGGATGTATGACGAACGAAATGTTAAACTCCATTTATTGGTACGATTTTGGTGTAAACAAAAACACGAAATTGAGTCCGAAATTTCGGAATTTCATGGTAGACCCGCTGGATATTGTTAGTGTTACCTGGATATTTATTCTTAAGCTACTGTTAAACAGACGTACAAATGCCATAGGAAAAAAAGGAAATCCTAGATTCATATTCTAATTATAAAATTACACTTAAAGTGTCGCCGAATTAAAAGAACTAGTTATTGTAGTGTAGAACACGAGCGGAGTTGATTGTTTATCGTGAAAATTCCCATGTCTAGATGTAATATTTTCACTTTGTAAGAATAAAACATTCTGGTACATTTAGCTACAAAATGTAGTTGAAAGAGGTTAAAAATGGATGTACGATTTGTTTGAAAGCTCTCTATTTTTTTTTAGTGCCGTTTTTTACAATCTCCGATCGTGCATCTTGTATTTTTTCTATATCAATCACGCGTTTCGAATGTGTATACGTTTGAAAAATATTCTTTTGTAAAACAAAAGGATAGAGTTTTCAATGTGTGTTCAACCTTACGCTAGGGTTGCCAACTTAGTTAATTTTTAAAAAATCAGTTGCCAACTTTTTTTTGCTTAATTATACGAACTTTGAAAGTATGGGGTTTTTATCCGAGACAAATAAACTTCATTGCATTTTATGCGAGATTATGTCTTATTTTGGCCACTCCAATACTGGCTAGTGGGTCAGTTTGGTTTCGAGTCCTTAGAGAAATTGACGTTCCCAGAACGCTTTTTAAATAATTAAAAATTGTGTCCCACAAAAAAAAAAAAGATTTGAATTATGACAAAGTCACATATTTTGACACTAAATTACTAAACCGATTTTGATAAACTTTCTATGGGTACAATTTGTAAGTCAGAAAAAAAAACATCAGTTTAGAACTAACAGAATTATGAGGTAACAAACATAAATAAAGTACAACCGAATCGACTACCTGCTTTTTGAAGTCGGTTAAAAATGTTTTTTTTTTATATTTAGGGAACATCATTCATCATACTTAAAAGGACCACTGAAATCGGACAAAAATCGAACTTTAATACTGCAAATTATCCAACTATATTAATGGGTTGGTTGCATTGAAAACAACTGCGCCTCTAGCGGAAGGTTTCGGAAACTCACATTTCTATACAAACTCATTATTTGTATGTGATGCGATAGTAATAAATCTTTATACAACTCACAATTGACATTCTATTTTCAAATTTGAATAAAGAATACTATTTGAATAAAAGAAAAAAAAAAGATTAATTTATCAGTTTTCTATGCTTTTAATTATAAGGCTGTTTAAAAATATAATTGTTTTTATTTCGATTCAACATTTTATGGGATGAAAGTGAATGAATGAATGAATAAATGGTTTATTTTCTCTTCACAAAAGGTAGTATAAAGTGACAACTTGAGGTACAATTTGATATGAAGACCAGTTTCGTGAGAGACTGGTGCTTGCGGTAGGTTTTTTTTTATACAACTTAGAATGGCAAACAAGTTGACGGCCCACCTGATGGAAAGTGGTAACCGTCGCCTATAGACATGAGCAGTACCGTGGACATAACAGAGTATACTGTTTCGCCCATGATACCCCCATACGTTGTCACTGAGGACTCAGGTTTTATTCCTCTGTACCCTGTAAATTCACGCCATATCCCACCCTTCAAACCGAAACACAGCCATGCAAACAACTGCTTCACTATGTTAGTAATAGTTTGGTGTTATTATAAAAAATAAAGGAAAATAACGAGTTACAAATCAAAGGGTCTTTTTTTTTAATTGATGATAAAGGAATAGTAGCCCCGCCTGCGCTATCGGTATACACCGGCGGGGCACCAGTGAGGGATGATAGGTGAGGATGAAAGCAGGTCAGTTAGCCCATCGTGACGAATCTAAAAATAATCAATCACGATGGTTTCCAGGGGGACCCACGAGGAGGTCGACCTGACAGGGTATATTGCTAACAATGGGGCTACTAATCCCCATTACTAACAATCCCTTCTCCCCCCAAATCAAACGGTCAGGATGAGTTAACAGGCATACAATAGATTTAGGAAAAGCATGGTCGTAGTTGAGGGTGGTACCTTAAAATGAAACGCCCCAAGAAAATTAGACGAATTCGCTGTTTTAAAATCACTTAATTATGGCTTCTGTTTACCAAAAAATTCTTTTGCCCTATTTTAAACTTGGGTCTACCTACGGCCCTGAGGAAAAGGGATTTTTAATGAGATAAGAGACTTAATGAGTGAGAAATGATCTGAATAAGTTGGACCGTCTGTGTACATTTCATTTTAACGTAAATACGAACATATCTGTTCATACCGTACCCAACTTAAATGGTCCCCCATTCGTCAGGGTCGAGAGCCGTGGTTTCTTCGTACTCTCTATTTTATTCTTTTTAATCCTTCTTTTCCGGAGTATTAGTAAGTGGTATAAAAAAATTAGGGGGGGAGTTAAGGAGAGGGCTGTAGTTGTTTGGAGGGAAATAAGTATAACAACTAACTTTGACTTTTCACACCAGAGGGAGACTGTACAAAAGTCGTTTGCTTAGGTACCTCTGTCCCATTCGTGTTTCAACCGTGAAGCAGTTGTGTTTGCATGGCTGTGTGTTTATCTATCTATCTATCTGTGTTTCCGTTTAAAGGGTGGGATATGGCGTGAATTTACTGAGTACAGAGGAATAACACTTGAGTCCTCAGGAGTGGCAGCGCATGGGGGTATTATGGGCGAAACTGTATACTCTGTTATGTCCACGGTACTGCACATGTCTATAGGCGACGGGTACCACTTTCCATCAGGTGGGCCGTCAGCTTGTCTGCCATTCTAAGTTGTATAAAAAAAAACATATTTTATGTACAGAAGGTAAATATTATATATAAAATAATATATAAAAACGGAAATTAGAAGTGTAAGAGACGAGCGATAGAGAGAGAGAATGACAGCAGAAATGAATGTAAGAAGTAAACGTCGCTGTCGTGTCTGTACGACCAGACCGAAGGAAAGAAAGAGGCGAAATATCTATGTACAATTTAATTAACCTACTTGATGGAAAAGAAAGTAATGATGTCGACAAGTGGCTTTGAGATGAATATTTACAATATTTATTTACAGACGCCACAGAGCTATGCTCGGAGTCTCCTTGCGTGATAGTATCCGAAACTGCGATATCCGCAAAAGAACCAACATAGCCCGAAGGATAAGCAAGCTGAAGTGGCAATGGGCTGGTCGCATAGCTCGAAGAACCGACAACCGATGGGGAAGAAAGGTTCTCGAGTGGCGACTTCGTACAGGCAAACACAGTGTATGACCCCCCACTAGATGGAGTGACGATTTAAAATGCATTGCAGGGAGTCAGTGGATGCAGGTGGCTCAGGACCGTTCTTTATAGCAGTCTATGGGGGAGGCCTATGTCCAGCAGTGGACGAACAATGGCTGAAATGGTGAATTAATGATTATAAAAAAATTACTTTAATATTTACGCAGATATTAGGGTCGGCAACGCGCGCGTAATACCCCTGGTATTGCAGGCGTTCCTATGAACTATATGATGGTAAATGGTTACCGTAGCCTATGCTACGGTAACCACTTACCATCAGGTGGGCCGTATACTTGTTTGCCACCTCAGTGGTATAAAAAAAAAAGATACTGGATAGAGGTAATTCATATTAGTTTTTAACAATCTAGAGATAGTTGCTTAGCAACCATAGACTTGTATATTCAATAATACTTCTCGATTTTATCTTTGGACGGAATTGACAAGCGATCAAACAGGCACTTGTGTTCCAAACAGGCACCAAAAAGCCATTAGTTTATGTGAAATCCGATTTATAATATAGTAAACATGAGTGGAGAGACCCTGTGTGAAGCACCGAGACGCCATATCTCAAAAATGAGAGTGCACGATTATTTGTATGGTTAGAAACTTATTTGACCATTAAAGGAGTATTTATAATCATCTTTGGTCGCGGCACAGAATGGGCCACCCCTTCCTTTCCTGTGGTGGTCGTAAGAGGCGACTAAGGGAACTTAATTGTCGAGGGATGGACAGCAGCGTCCCTTTTAAAATATCACCAAAACCAAACTGCGGCTGCCAACCCGTCTGCCAAGCGTGGTAATTATTGCCAGAACTGGCAATAGGGAGAGGCCTATGTTCAGCAGTGGACTGGACAGATAATGGCTGAAATGACGATGCTGATTAAGAGGAGTTGGTTGCGGGTTTTCTTTTTAATGGGTGAAAATGGCATGGTAGCCCCGCATGCGCTATCGGTATACACTGACGGGGCACCAGTGAAGGATGAATGGTGAGGATGAAAAGGCACGTCTGTTAGCTCATCGTGACGAGCTTATACTATATACTTTTACTATATACTTACTTAGGATATATTGATAGCAATGGGGACTAATTTCCCCATTAATAACAATCCCTTCTCCCCAGTTGGTTGGGGTTATACCAATTTTTTTCTTATACAACTTAGAATGGCAAACAAGCTGACGGCCCACCTGATGGAAAGTGGTAACCGTCGCCTATAGACATGAGCAGTACCGTGGACATAACAGAGTATACTGTTTCGCCCATGATACCCCGCATGCGTTGCCATTCCTGAGGACTCAGCTGTTATTCCTCTGTACCCAGTAAATTCACGCCATATCCCACCCTTCAAACCGAAACACAGCCATGCAAACACAACTGCTTCACGGTTGAAACACGAATGGGATAGAGGTACCCAAGCAATTGACTTTTGTACAAAGTCTCCCTCTGGTGTCTATCTGACTATTATCTGAGATGGACTTAGGATCAGAAGCGGGATTTTCCGCTTTTTGTTTTTTCGAGCTGTAAATGTTGCCGGCCACAGGTGTCTTACAGCTTCACTGGACACGTACAGGGGTGAGTACAGGTGACACTCCAAGCCCGCCAGAGGCAGGCGACGAAGTGTCAAGTCTTACCGATGAATTGCTACTTTCCGCTATTTATTTATTTATAAAAGACACACCAACAATATGCTCACAACAATTAAGCAGACAATGTACAATGTTATTAGTAAGTAAAAAGTGAAAAACTACTATTAAAAAAATGCTTAAATCTAAGTTTGAACAAAAAATATCTCACTGCTCACTACCAAGCTTAAGGCCATATGAACACATCAATTAAATGTGTATACAGCTCTCACAGATAAGCGTCAATGTACACTAAGTAACAATTATACAATTAGAGAAGACCTAACTACCGATCTATATTATTAATAAGCCCAGTGAACTGCACTAAAGAATTACCAAAGATGTCGATATCATGGTCAACCTTTACGGCTTTATTATACGATGAACAAAGATCTGTCAAAGAGACTATATTTTAAAAGACCGACCTCATTGATACATTTAATATTATTTTCCAGGATATGTATATTAAGACAAGCTAAGCTAAGCTTTGCTTAGAACCTAGGATGGGCACCAGCCAATTTTGGGGTGGGCACGACCAACCTGGTCCCTTAAATCTTCATCATCATCATTCAGCCGTTATCTCCCCCATAGACTGTCATAAGAAACGGGGCCGTTCGTTTTGGCGGTTTATCATTTTTGACAATAGTTGCCATGCTTGGCAGGCGGGTTGGCAACCACGGTTTGGCTTTTGGTGATGTTTGAAGAGGGACGCTGCTGCCCATCCCTCGCTTTCCCTTAGTCGCCTCTTACGGCACCTACGAGAAAGGAAGGGGTGGCCCATTCTATACCGAGACCACACGCCCCCCTCCCTCAAATACTCCTTTCCTACGTGTCAATGTTCGCCTTATGATTTAACCGTTCCAGAAAGATTTATCCGATAAAAAATCTACGTTTGAATTTCAGTATTTCGCTTACGTGTCTATTACATTATACTAGTAATATAAAGGACAAAGATTTGATGTTATTGTATCTTAGTTTGTAATGGATAAACTCAAAAACTGCTCGACCAATTTTGAAAATTCCTTCACCTATAGATAACTAACATTATCAGAGAAAACATAGGCTATATATTATTTTCAAAAAAATTAGATTTCCCAACAGAGTTTACAATAATTTTTATACACTTTATACCACTGAGGTGGCAAACAAAAATACGGCCCACCTGATGGTAAGTGGTTACCGTAGCCTATGAACACCTGCAATACCAGAGGCATTACGCGCGCGTTGCCAACCCTGAAGAAACCTCTTTATCCCCCTTTTGAAGAACCCCATGCTGTAATCTCTTGGGAAAACCTCGGCAGGGAGCTCATTTCACAACCTGAGTGTTCGTGGTAGGAAACATCTCTGAAACCGCATAGTACGCGACCATTGAGGCTGTAGGACATGAGGATGAACTCCCTGTTGATGGTGAGCCGTACGATGGTAGAAAGTGGCCGTGGGCATCATATTAAACAATTCCTTTGAGCATAATATACTTCAAGGTATCAAAAATTTGCTTATCCAAGCTAATTTATATTTTTATCTATCTACCTGTGCGAAGTTGGGGCGGATCGCTAGTATAAAATAATTTACAAATAGATGTTATACATACGGAACCTTAGTTGTGGAAATCCAACTCATACTTGTCGGTTGTATTCTTATTTTGTTTAGACTCTGCCTTCATCGTATCCGGAGCGAGGGACTATGCTAGAACGGCTTTCAAAGCGGCCATGGCTTCAGCGCAAATTGTAAGTGTTTAAAAGCATTTAGATCAGTGTGACACTGTTGGAATTAAACTTTTTTTTTAATGGATGAGAATGGAATGGATATGCATGAGAAATTGAAAGCTGCAGAGGCGTAACCCCATAGTCCTCAGGAATGGCAACGCATGAGGGTACCATGAATGGTACTTTATTATATAATATCCATGGTGCTGTTCATGCGTCACCTACCACTTTCCATCAGGTGGACAATCAATGTAAGAAAACAATGGGCGGCCTTATCACTAAGAGCGATCTCTTCCATGCAGCCTTTGGATGGAGAGGAGTAATTAAAAACAGTATGACTGGAGGCACGAAACTGTTCGTTTCTTAAATACATTATAGAGAAATGCATACGTATAACAATGTGAATATATATAAAGTACCTACAGAAATAAAGCAAAGTCCATTGCGTTTCAGAATCTCCAGCCAGTGTACAGCACCATGTTCTCCGAAGTGCCAAAGTGTCCGAGGATGCGCGTTGGTGAGAACTTCAATTTACCTGTAATAGGAATATTTCAACCGTGTAGGTCCCTGCACAGAATTGGCCACTGTGCTACAACACCTCCTACCATGGGGGGAAAGGAACTGTTAGCAATGGAGTTTGACAGCCCTATTGCTAGCAAAATGGGACCACGTGGAGGTTGACCTATCAGGTCAACCTCCACGTGGTTCCCTCTGGAAACCATCGTAAACAATTCTCATTGAATTCATCACGATGGGCCAACAGACCTGCTTCATCCTCACCTATCATGTGTCCCTGGTACTCCGCCGGTATATACCGATAGCGCGGGTGGCGTCACCATTCCATTATCACCCATTAAAAAAGTCTGCAGTACTAACAATCCATTCCATTAATTCCAGGAATGTGGGATTCCTTCGTTGGGTAGTTGTATAAAAAAAACTGCATATTACAGTGTACCATCCAAACTGCCGTCTGCCAGAGCACGTGGACCGCTCGTATGGGGCGTACGTGGAGCGCGTGAGGCACGCGCGCAACGTGCCCACGCCGCAGTTCACTGGGAAGGACCGCTTTAAATTCAGCGCTGTGTGAGTTGACGTACATTTTTTTTTTGTGGATGAAATAATGGAATGGTAAACCCACCCGCGCTATCGGTATACACCGGCGGGGCACCAGTGAAGGATGATAGGTGAGGATGAAGCAGGTCAGTTAGCCCATTGTGACGAATTCAACAAGAATTGTTCACGATGGTTTCCAGGGGGAACCACGTGGAGGTAGACCTAATAAGGCATATTGCTAGCAATAGGGCTATCAAACTCCATTGCTAGCAATCCCTTGCCCCGTACATATTTTACACGGACTTCAGAAAGAAAGGTTCTCAAACAAACAATTGGGATGCAGAATTTAGGTGAAATGTCAGTAAACAATTGATATTGGTGATATTAATTGAATTATGTTTAAAAACTAGTTTTTTTTTTATTTATACAGCTTAGAATGGCAAACAAGCTGACGGAATGACGGAAACACCTGATGGAATGTGGTAACCGTCGCCTATAGACATGAGCAGTACCGTGGATATAACAGAGTATACTGTTTTGCCCATGATACCCCCCATGCGTTGCTATTCCTGAGGTCTCAGGTGTTATTCCTCTGTACCCTGTAAATTCACGCCATATCCCACCCTTCAAACCGAAACACAGCCATGCAAACACAACTGCTTCACGGTTGAAACACGAATGGGACAGAGGTACACAAGCAATCGACTTTTGTACAAAGTTCGCTGAGGGTAGTCCTTATATCAAGCGGGAGTATGTTCCAAAATCAAACCAAACAAAAGTGCGCCACTTACTCTTTAAACAAACAGCAAAACTAAATATATTTCCAAAATAACTATCAGGCGGTGATTAGTGATCGATACTGATGACAAAAATGCAATCAGTAAAATTTTTGTCTGGATGTTTGTTATAGAAACAAAAACTACTCGACGTATTTAAACGAAACTTGGTACAATTATTCTTCATACTCCTGGGCAGGTTATAGTATACTTTTCATCACGCTACGATCAACAGGAGCGGAGCAGTGAAGGGAAATGTTAAAAATATTATATATTATATATATATATATATATATTTTTTTTTGAAGATTTGTTTGTTCATTTGTCACAGATAAACTCAAAAACTACTCGAACCATTTTAAAAATTCTTTTACCTTTAGAAAGCTACATTGTTGACGAATAAAATAATTTTCAAAAAAGACAATCTAGCAACGCTATATATATATAATTTGATTTTATTTATCGACTTGATATTACCACATTTGCAGACCCAAGAAACTGCTGGCGGTGCCGAGCGCGACCCCCGACTTCCATCCCCCGACCCCTGTGTACATACCGCCTGCTACAAACAAACCCAGGAGCAGAGGCACACAAAGCTTGTACAGGTAATTTATTTATTTATTGATATTTCAATGCCCAATTATATAAGTGTACATATGGCGGACTTAGCGCCTAATGGCGTTCTCTACCAGGCAACCATGAGGTAAGCAGAGAAAAGCACTCCCCGCGCTAGTCGGACGGTTTGAAATAGGCTCCGTATTTTTAATACTTTTTTGTTGTAAAAATGTCGAAATTGTCAATATCCGATATGGAAAAAGTTGTGCAACGATGTTTACGAACTTTGAAGTAGGAAATGGACGAAATCTGTGACTCCCTGGATAAGCTACAGGCAAAAATATGTAATTTTTTTTTCATACAACTTAAAATGGCAAACAAGCTGACGGCCCACCTGATGGAAAGTGGTAACCGTCGCCTATAGACATGAGCAGTACCGTGGACATAACAGAGTATACTGTTTCGCCCATGATACCCCCCATGCGTTGCCATTCCTGAGGACTCGGGTGTTATTCCTCTGTACCCAGTAAATTCACTGACATATCCCACCCTTCAAACCGAAACACAGCCATGCAAACACAGCTGCATCACGGTGAAACATGAATGGGAGAGAGGTACCCAAGCAATCGACTTTTGTACAAAGTCTCCCTCTGGTATATTGCTGGTAATGGGACTGGTAGTCCGCACTACTAACAATCCCTTCCCCCCCCCCCCTGTTATATATGTTATAAAGCAATACGCTGTTGGTGGTCCTATAAATAAATAAATGATATGTTTAAAATTTTATATGTTGCAGGGAGTCGTCAGCTCAGACGACACCGTGGCAACCGGACGGGAAAGTAGCCGAGAACTGTACCACAACACCTGAGGTGCTGTATCTGGATAAATTGGAATGGGGTACGTGGACGTTTACATCTACATCTATACAACTCAGATAGGCAAACAAGCTGACAGCCCACCTGGTGGAAAGTGATAACCGTCGCCTATAGACATGAGCGGTACCATGGACATAAAAGAGTATACAGTTTCGCCCATGATACCCCCCATGCGTTGCCATTCCTGAAGACTCAGGTGTTATTCCTCTGTACTCTGTAAATTCACGCCATATCCCACCGTTTAAACCGAAACACAGCCATGCAAACACAACTGCTTCCACCCTTCACTGGTGCTCCGCCAGTGTATCCCATTAGCGTAGGCGGGGTTACCATACCATTTTCATCCATAAGAAAAAAACACAACTGCTTCACAGTTGAAACAGGAATGGGACAGAGGTACCCAAGCAATCGACTTTTCTTCTTGCGATCTTTTTTCGTCTTGTTTATGTATACATTCTCTCTCTAGTTTACAATTTTTAGCTACAGCGTCCATTATATAGAACGAGACAGCCATATCCGCGTCTGCTCTTGTTTTTTCCATGCGTGAGATAACGAAAATGTATCTACCGTTACATTCCTTTGTCAGTTATCTAGGAAGCCTGCTTTATTATCTAATCTTAAAATTAACTTTTAATTCCCAGGACCTGACGCCCCCTACCGTACTGGTGACTTGCCCGCCGATTTCCACACAACGGAAATTATAAACAAGTTAGTATAGCAGGAAATAGCGTATGGTCCCGGCATAGAATAGACCACCCCTTCCTTTCCCGTGGGTGTCGTAAGAGGAGACTAAGGGATGGCGAGGGATCATAGGGAAATATGAAGTATACTGTTTTGCCCATGATACCCTCCATGCGTTGCCATTCCTGAGGACTCGGGTGTTATTCCTCTGTACCCAGTAAATTCACGCCATATCCCACCCTTCAAACCGAAACACAGCCATGCAAACACAACTGCTTCACGATGGAAACACGAATGGGACAGATGTAGGTTTCTTATATATCTTCCGTGTACAGACAGCGACCAGTTACGATTTTATTATATGTATTGATTGATTAATATCAATTGAGAATCAATTATAAATCAATTTAAGTATACGTCTCAACTTAACCTCGTCGTCTTAATTAAACCCATAACAGGACTCTACTAACAATCCCCCTACCCACAGGTTACGCCACGCCCGCTCCTGGGGGCAGCTGGTGGAGCAAGGCCAGTACCCTCGCTGGATGAAGAGGAGCGACGCCGTCATCACTGACGTGGAAACCAAGGATTGGATATTTAGAGAAGCGGTAATGAGACCCAGAGGGAGACTTTGTACAAAAGTCGATTGCTTGACCACCTCTGTCTATATATAACTTTTTCTGTTAGTACTAGAACGGTTTTATTTACCAAATTTTAGAATGCCAATAAAAAGTATCTTAAACTTATAAAAGTTAAGGCGTTTCTATAAATAACGCCATCTAGCGGTACCAAAATTTACAATACTAGATGGCGCTTTAAATAAAAAGTGTAATGACATATTTAATATGATTAGACTAATATAAACATACACATAATATATTAAATAAATAGATAAACTTTTTCTGTTAGTTCTGGAACGGTTTTATTTACCAAAGTTTAGAATGCCAATAAAAAGTATCTTAGACTCATAAAAGTTAAGGCGTTTCTTTATATAACGCCATCTAGCGGTAAGGAAAAAAAAACTATACTAGATGGCGCTGTAAATAAAAAGTGTAATGACAAATATGGATCTTTGCTGTAGGAAATAGATGAACTTCAAGACATACGCCTCGCGCTCCTGCACCAGTTACAACTACAACAAAGACAGACACAAAGCAATAGAACTAGCAAGAAACTGGCGAAACTGTGGACAGAGAAGAAACAAGAGATGGAGAGGAAGATAGAGAATATTCGAAGAACTAGGGACAGAGGTAGAGTATATTATATATATCCTCTATTAATGTTTTTTATTTTTTTTTTTTTTTTTTTTTTATACTACTTAGAATGGCAAACAAGCTGACGGCCCACCTGATGGAAAGTAGTAACCGTCGCCTATAGACATGAGCAGTACCATGGACATAATAGAGTATACTGTTTCGCCCATGATACCCCCCATGCGTTGCCATTCCTGAGGACTCAGGTGTTATTCCTCTGTACCCAGTAAATTCACGCCATATCCCATCCTTCAAACCGAAACACAGTTATGCAAACACAACTGCTTCACGGTTGAAACACGAATGGGACAGAGGTACCCAAGCAATCGACTTTTGTACAAAGTCTCCCTCTGGTAAAATGTATTAATAGCTTACTCTTACATATATATATATATATATATATATATATATATATATAATATATATATATATATATATAATATATAATATAATATTTATTCACCATAAAAGCACATAATTCATGAATTTATAAGCGAAACAAAAATTATTAGGTGGTTTTATGTGTCTCTACCGTGAAAAGGCAACCAGCGCTGATAATATTCCGCTGATACCTTGAAATACGGTAAACATGTTTCTCCTTCACAGTACATGTGTGTGGAAACATGTTCCTTTCCAAATGTAAATGTGTGTGGTAACATATTTCTTTCGGAATTACAAGTGTATGAAAAGAAATGACTTCGCCTCCACGTGATAAGTGTCATTGGAGATTTGTTACCTCTGGCGAGTAAGCGTGAGTAGAAAGCGCCCATAAACATGACTGTGTGTGTTAATGATAAAGAATTATTCTTCCTCTAATCACAATGAGTTCGCCATCACAGAGTTACGCAAGCTATCGGCGCGTGGCGGCGGCGGGCAGCGTAGTCAGGCACTGCGCACGCGCACGGTGCAGGCCGCCGCCGACCCCGCGTCGCCGCTGTACGCGCCGCTCGCGCGCCACGGCCGCCAGGCGCGCACCAGGCACGCTGACATACACTACGACCCCGGCTTGCTGTGTGAGTGTCCGTACATCGTTTGTACCTTAGTAAATTTCATACTTGTAATTTTAACATTTAGAGACATTAGAACTTTAAGGTGTGTAGTTTCTGATTTAAATGCCGTCTCAGATAATCCACCAGTTTAATGTGTTGTGTCACATTCAGCTATTAGTCTTTACAAGATGCTAAGATATACCATGACTGATCAAAGACAATGAAAGAGCAGTATGAATTGTATTTTCGAATGGTCATAGAGCAGAGCGAGTGATCAGTTCTACAGGGAAGTATTTTTGATGAGTGAAAATGAAATAGTGATCCCACCTGGGCTATCGATATACACTGGCAGGGTACCAGTGAGTGATGAGAGGTAAGGATGAAGCAAATTAGTTGGCCCATCGATGACTTCAATAATAAGTTATCACGATGGTTTCCAAGAGGGACCACGTGAAAATAGACCTGACAGGGTATATTGCTAGAAATGAGACTCGTAGCGCGCTTTACTAAGAATCTCTTCCCACCTTGTTAACGTTCTTTATTTGTAATCGTTTGGACTAAAAGGTCGTCTAACAATTCCTTTCCCCTCTCTAGAGAAAGGTATAGAGGGACCAAATTACTACACTTTTTTTATAGCATGTGATTATATTCTGTATAGCATATGAGGACCACCAGAAAGTGGCCGAGCCCCCCGAATGGCTGCAGAGATGTGGTCACGACCTGAAGCGCTCATGCTCCGGACACCATCTACGACGGGACGCCGCGCAGCTGTGCGAGAGGGAGACAAAATGGAGCGAGCAGTTTTTGGAGAATCTTCATAATGATTTAAAGAGTAAGGACTTTTTTTTCAAATACATATAACAAAATTGCAGTGACCAGAAATGGTTATTTTAGTCGTACGATTGTAACACCAGAAACATCGTTAATACATACTGTCCATTGTGAGTTTGTGCAGGACATGAACATGGACATGGCCACGAATATGGGCATAGCTACGAACATGGGCAAGAGCATTGATAATCACATGTACATGTACAAAGACATGGGCATGCCAATAACATAATTAGGACAATTTGAAATAACAATGAGAAGAATGACGAAATCAACAAAAGAATGAATGCAGGGCCGTAGCTAGACCCTAGTTTAAGGTAGAGCAAAAGAATTTTTTGGTAGAGCAGAAGCCGTAATTATGTGACTTCGAAAAGCGAATCTGTCTCATTTTCTTGGAGCCTTTCATTTTAAGACAGGGCATTCCCATTATTGTCACCTCGTCCCTCTCCAACTACAGCTATGATGAATGAAAATGAAAAATAAAGACAATTAATGAAATTGACAATGACAATGCCGTTATTAGCGACAAACACAAGGACAGTAACGATGATGCTGATGTCGATATTACAGAAGCTCGTCTGGGAGCGGCTACAACTACAGCCGGTCCACTACATGTGATGAAGTCGCGGCGGCCCGAGACCAGCCCGCGGCCCGCTACGCCCTCAGTGGAGCCGGTCGACGACTCAGACGAGGTGTGCCACCAGGCGGCACTGATGCTGCAGAAGATCGTCAGGGGCCGCGCCGTGCAGAATCTGGTAAAGCGTTATGTGTAACTTCCATTTCTTACATGGACGCACTTCTACTTCGACAGCAGGATTTAAGATGAATTGCATTAGATTGACTGAAAGAGATATCTTTTAGAGATATGTCTACTATAGAGTGTGTTGCCATGCTTGGCAAGCGGGTTGGCAACCGCAGTTCGGCTAACAGCATAGTGTAAAAGGGATTTGTCTCTGATAGGCAGTTCTAATGTTTATGATTCCAATCATCTTTTTTTTTATACAACTTAGAATGGCAAACAAGCTGACGGTCCATCTGATGGAAAGTGGTAACCGTCGCCTATAGACATGAGCAGTATAATGGACATAACAGAGTATACTGTTTCACCCATGATACCCCCCATGCGTTGCCATTCCTGAGGACTCAGATGATATTCTTCTGTACCCTGAAAATTCACCGTCATGTCCCACCCTTCAAACCGAAACACAGCCATTCAAATACAACTGCTTTATGGTTGAAACACGAATTGGACAGAGGTACCCAAGCAATCGACTTTTGTACAAAGTCTCCCCCCGGTAATTGGGAATAATTTTTTTGGGAATTGTGCCGAGTTTTATAATAAACTGTCTAAGATGATTCTGGACCAAAATGAAGATCCCAAATCTTTTAGCCATTAAAATTACCATTATAATTTTATCCATTGAAAAAAAATCTTTAAATGGACTCGATTTTGTTGCGTTATTTCTTTAAAGTTTTAATGAGATAATTACGCAAAATTACATTTATACAAAGTCTCCCTCTGGTATCCTATTTACTTTTATATAATTCAAATAAAGTTATATGATCTTTAACCCATTCAATACGGCGGCCATATTGAGATCCCTATGCAGTATACGGCTTAGTTTTTCATAAACGGCCGTCACTGACGGCACAACTTTTTCTACGTATATGGCTTAGTTAATTGTTAGGAGTGACTGCCAGTAAATAACGGGCTTCCACAAGTGACTGGAACGGTCTAAAGCACGTTTGAAACTAAAGGAAACCGAGCGCCTCGGAGCGCTCGCCGTCATTGGGTAAGGGCGGGGAGAGCGCCTCGAGGCGCTTGCCGTCACAACGTATAACATTGGACAGCGCCCTGGCGCGCTCTCCGTATTGAATGGGTTAAAATAATACAAGGTTTTACATAAAAAAAAATTAAAAGTGACACTTATATATATGGTATATATACCATACCTTAGCGATAAGGCCGCCCATTGTTTTCTCACTGTGATTATTTCTTATAATTGTTTGTGTCTATAATAAGTTTACTATTGTAATCTTATGGAGGAAACAATAAAGAGTATCCATATATCTATTATATCAACCATTAGCTGTCCACTGCTGAACTTTCCTGTAGTCGCCACGTTTGGTAGGCGAGTTAGCAACCGCAGTTTGCTTTGGTGACGTTTCAAGAAGAACACTGCTGCCCATCCCTCCACCATTAAGTTGTCTTAGTCGCCTCTTACGGCACTCACGGGAAAGGAAGTAGTGACCCATCCTCTGTCGGGACCACATGGCAATTTCGATCAATGTTTCTTTGAAAATATCACTCAGTTTCACTAGTAAAAACTCTCTCAGGAAGAGCATTCTTTTAAAACGATGTTTCTGTTTCTTTTCCACCCGTTGTATATGAGAGTTCCCCAATAATTGGTTGTAAATCTTCTACAAGATGTACGAGGGACGTGCCCGAGCGTCGGAGCTGACAGAAGAATTGAAGACCACGCACGGTCTACAGAAGGAGGACCAGATCAGAATCGCGAGGGAGGAGACCAAAGCTAGGGAGTACAATGCTCTGCGTACGGAAGCCGAGGACAAGGTAAATACTGGACGTATTGGGGGAATGGGATTGTCAGCAATGGAGTTTGACAGCACCATTGCTAGCAATATGCCCTATTAGGTCGAACTCCACGTGGTTCCCCCTGGAAACCATCGTGAACAATTCTTGTTGAATTCGTCACGATGGGCTAACTGACCTGCTTCATCCTCACCTATCATCCTTCACTGGTGCCCCGTCGGTGAATACCGATAGCGCGGGTGGGGTTACCATTCCATTATCATCCATTAAAATAAAAAATACTGGACGTATTGGACCAATTCCGTGACGCCATTTCCCGCCAGTATAGAATAAAAAAAAAATTACTGATCTGTTTGAGCCAACATAGTAAAAACACTAATTTGTCTCTGTTAATGCCGTAATCTTTTATTTGTATAACTACTTACTTTTGTGAAATATTGTAAAATATCTTAACATAAGTGATGCAAGTCAAGTTTTTTTTTTTTAATCGAATATATAAAATTCTCGTGTCGCGGTGTTTGTTACCAAATTCCTCCGAAACCGCTTTACAGATTTTCATGAAATTTTGTGTGCATATAGGGTAGGTCTGAGAATCGGCCAACATCTATTTTTCATACCCCTTCAATGACCCACCCCTAAATTTTTTTTTTTATTTTTTGACAAAAAAATTTATTTTTATTTTACTATGATTTAGCATTGAAAAATACATACAACCTCAAATTTTTACCCTTTTACGATCAACCCCTGTTTTTTAATCGCGATTTTTATATTTCACAATAAGTGGTAAAACAACGTTTACGGGGTCAGCTAGTAATAGAAAGAAAGAGAAGAAAGAAATAATTTAATCAAAAGAAACATGCGGCCCACACAGTAGCGCACAAAACAAAAACAAAAGAAATCAAAAACAAAACAAACAAAAGAAAATAATAATTATATACAAATAGATAGCAATTAAATTATAATGTACGCGTGCGCGCGTGTGTGTCGCAATGTTCTGTGATGTAGGTCCGTGCTCAGCATATTGCTGCAGCGCTTGAAGCGCTACAGCGCTGTTTTTCAGCAAGAACCATAGCGTCACAAGTAAAAAACAGTTATATAAGTAGTGCGTTGGTATTCTATACATATACAAATCTACATTATACATATACATATACACATACACGTACATACACAGACACATACACATACATATATATATATACATACATAAACATACACATATACATATACATACACATACATACACATATACATACACATATATATACACATACACATACATACACATTCACACACATATACAGAATAAAGAAAAATGAGATGGCAATATATAGTGTTCTATCACCTAACCTAGCCATACTATTACTGTTCAATCAGATCAGCGACGCGGGAGGCTGTGTTCATGCATTGAGTGCAAAAAAAAAAAAAAAAAAAAAAATCTCAATTTAACAAGTAATAATTATAGTATCTACCGTTATGAACATTAATATACAATTTTATTTAACGAAGGTGCTGCCTAACCAGTGATTATTTCGCTGCACCTAGGCCATTAAACAAAGATATGTACCTTTATAATATGTGTCAATAGAAATATAAATTATATAGAAACAATAAAATTCAGTAATATATGTAAAACGATTTGTAAATATAAAAAATTAAAAACATTAAAAAAAATAATAAAATATATGTATATGAAAAAATAAGTATTTTCCATTCAATCATACATATATGGTATCCTCCATTTAAACCAAATTAAATAAAAGCATAGTTGGACAGAGTGGGCACCTACTTACGAGTAAACATGATGATAAAATACTGAGATCTATGTACACTTCTGCTCTCGCAAGAAGTGTCTTTTTAGGTGATGTTTAAATGTAACTATCGCCTTCAGGTCTCGACATGGTGGAGGGATATTGTTCCAGCAATGAGTGGCTGCATATCTGAAACTACCCCTAAATGCAGCCGTTCTGTGTCTTGGAATTTTCAGCACATTCACGTTTGCACGCATCCCAAATATGTAGTAGTTTTGCCTCCACGTTAATTTTTGGTACAAGTAGTGGGGTTGATTAGATACTATCACACCGAAGAGCAAAGTAGAGAGATGCAACTTTCTCCTGGCTGCCATTTTAAGTACGTCATACCTGTTAAGGTATGGTGTCACATGATGTCTTCGTGGTATCATGAAACAAAAGCGGGCACAAGCATTCTGGACACGCTGAATTAAACGTTCAGTCCTTGATAACAAGCATGGGCCATACACTACATCTCCGTAATTTAATTTTGACAATATAAGTGTGTCAACTAGCCGCTTACGCAGTTCGACAGATAGATAGTCACGCATTTTGTACAATATTTTGAGCCTATAAAAACATTTTCGTACAATATCATTAATGTGAGCTTCAAAACGAAGCTCAGGATCAATTACCAGTCCCAAATTACGCGCTGTATCTACTCGTTCTATCATTTCATCCATTAACTTGACCATTGGTTGCGCTAACCCAATTTTATTAATCTGTTTTCTGCTGCCAAGTATTAAAAATTTGGATTTCAGGGGGTTTAAAACTAAGGAATTTTTTTCGGACCAATTCGCAATTCTCGTAAGATCTTCGTTCAATTTTAATACGGCAGTGGACGTCTTCTCGGGCTCAAAGGATAAATACAGCTGAAGATCATCAGCATATAGGTGATACCTACAATGATGAATGCAATCAATAATATCCGCGGTGTATATGATGAAGAGTAAAGGTCCAAGTATAGAGCCCTGAGGAACGCCTCTACATACCGGAAGTAGCGTTGATGATAGAACGGAACCATCCTCCCTTTTAACCTCTACAAATTGATTTCTTTTTAAAAGGTAGCTATGAAACCAATTTATTGCCCCTGTGTCAAAACCATAATAAGCCAGTTTAGAAAGAAGCAGCTGTAATTGAATAGAATCGAACGCCCGAGAATAATCTAAAAGACACAACAAAGTACCTCTGCCATCATCCCGAGCCTCCAAGATATTATCTACCACATCTGATAAAGCTGTAGCTGTGCTGCGTTTTTTCCTAAAACCAGATTGCAAGTCAGGCAACATCCCATTTGTCTCTAGATACTCAAAGACTTGTAAGTAGACTACACGTTCTAAGATTTTTGACAGACAGGGCAGAATGCTAATGGGGCGAAGATCTTTAAACTGTGTGGGATCATTACCCTTAGGTATCGGACGTACAATAGCAGTGCGCCAGGCTTCAGGGAAAGTGCCACTTAAAATTGATTTATTTATTATGGACGTAATTGCTTCCAACGAATAAGGCATAGTGAGTTTAATCATCTCAAGAGTAATCCCATCATTTCCTTGAGCATTAGATTTTAAGTTGTTAATAATTTTATGTACTGCGTCCTTACTGACTGGTTTAAGACCAAGAGTAGAGGGACCAAATCTACCAAACTCATAAAATGTTAGCTGCGATATATTTACATTATTCTCTCTAGGAACATTAAGAAACCATTTATTAATTTCGTTAGGATCATCAAAAAATGAAGGAACTTCGCGTTCTGTTTTAGACGGCATAATGTCCGATTTAATGTTCTGCCATAGTTTTTTTGAATTATTAATGTTATTATTAATATACTGATTGTAATATGCCTTTTTTTCAGTAGATATTGCAATAGATGTATGGCGCTTTAGTTCCTTGTAATACTCTTTATCACATTCCAATTTTGAATTACGATATTTGTTTTGTGCGTCATTTCGCAATTTTATTAAAAACTTTACATTATCAGTAAGCCAAGGTGTTGGTCGCGTTGTGAACCTTTTAGTTTTTATTGGCACATGGAGATCAAATAACTGTAAGATAATACTATTAAGCGTTAATACCATATCGTTGACATCACCTATGTCACATATGCTATGCCATGGTAAGAGTGCCAAATCTGCTTCGAACAAATGTGGTAATATATCCTTAAAAGGGCGATATTTTATTATTCTAGGGTGCGGCTTATCTTTTTTTAATAAAATTTCACATGACAGAAATGAATGGTGGCCAAGATATGGTCCACAGAAACATTTCTAGTATGTGCATCTGTACAAATTATATCAATAAGAGTCTTACTGTCGTTAATAAAATGGGTAGGTGTGTGTATAATCTGTCTTAAATTACAGTAATTGAGAAAATTACAAAGTTTTTTATATTTGGACTCATTGATATCGATCAAATTAATATTAAAATCACCAAGAAGGACTACGTTGTCACAGTGAGCGAAAGAGGCGATACTCTCAGTGATAGCATCCAAAAATATGTCCGTGTCGAGCCATGGTGGACGATAAGCCGTGCCAATAAGCAATTTTTTTTTATTTAAACTTAACGTCAGCCACATTTGTTCTACGGTGGAATGAGCCGGGTGCGCCCGCACGCGCGCGTTGACGCCCGCTCTGATGTAGAAAGCGACCCCGCCACCGCGGCCGCCGCACACGGCCGACGGCCGCGGTACGTGTCGCAGCTTATACCCGGGCACTGTGGGGGCACGACCACTCTCACCCGGTCGCAGCCATGTCTCATTAATAGCCATGATGTCGACCGAGTGTTGACCCATGGCCAGCAGAAATTCATCGTGATTAGTCCCTAAGGATCCTGCATTAAGGAAACCAACTTTTAAGTATTTATTACCTTTATCCATCGCGCAAACGATAAGTGTTTGTACCATTATTCTCATAATTCATCATGTAACTGTAACGATATGGTGAATAAGAAATAGAATAAATAGGTGGTGTTTTAAATATCTGAATATATAAATTAGTAAAATAATGGTAGGCGTTTAATCTTGTAACACACAAAGAATATACATATAGATCTAAAATAATATTTACGTAATGAATACCAGCACATATGTGTAAGATAATTGACCAACTAAAAATGCGGCAAGTATATAGATAAACGAAGCGATGATAATAGTATTGAGTTATTATTAATATAATTACATAATAAATTACATAAAAAACAAAAATGTGTATAAATAAGTTTTGAGAAAACTGCGACCACACACACCCACACACGCACAAACTCATGCAATGCGACATGTTACAAACAGCAAGACGTACATACAAAACAGAACTAAAGCGTAAAATTAAAATAATATACAACAATATGAATAACACATTTGGTACAAATATTTCACGATTTGCTATAAATATACTTTTGAACTTCACGATTTTACCCTCAAAATATTTAAAATAAAAAATAGTAAAATTATGTATGTGAATTTGGAATAAAAATTGCGTCGAGATCCGATTCACGGTGCAAGGAATGAAAGGGACTCCCAATATCCTTTCTAGCGTAAATACGTCCTCGGCGTGTCCACACAAATCTCCATCCGAAACGACGACCCATTTCCCGCGCTTTTTGAAATAGTGCTCGGTTGTACTTAGTGAGGCGCTCATTCACATAAAATGGACGCGATGTACCTGATACTCCAATGTCCGCTGTATTTGCACCTCTCCTTACGCGAGCATTGCGCAGAACTTCATCTCGCAAATCACGTCGAGCAAGCCTCACAGCGATGGGGCGCGGACGGGTGGGCACAGCACCCTCTGGATTCGCCGCGATTATACGACGCGCACCCACTCGCTCGGCACTCACTATGTCGCACGGCGCAAGGTTGATACCCAGTTTGGTTACAACTTGGGTGACAATGTGAATGGGGTTCTCACCTTTATCCTCCGGTATATTAATTATTTCGAGGTCATTTATAAGCGACTCCTGGTCCCTATCATTTAAGTCCTGCCTAAGTTGAGCTATCACGTCATTAAGATGAAGCATGTCGGAAGAGGATGATGACGGCGGCACATTAATGCGTTTCTCCAACTCCAGTAGTTTAACATCCATAGCATTCATGCGTTCATTACATGCCTTTATCGTCGCGCGTAAATCAATCAATTCGGTACGGAACTCCTGGAATTCGATTCGAATGGCACGAAGCTCCGCCAAAATAGCCCTATTCAGGTCCTGTTTCGACTCACCGACGGAATCATTCAGAATGCTGGTATCCATGGCTATGCTTTCCGTAGGGACAACTTGTGACACAAAGTGAGCTGGACCCCTGACCGGCGTATCAGGTTTATTATTCCGGATAACATTTTTATTACACTCAGGACACCGCCAAGAGGGAGCCACAACACCCGACGTGGGTAAGGCCACACAGGATCGGTGATAGACAATATTGCAGTTATTACACTTCGCTGACTCAGAAGCATTCAGAAACCTGCCACATCCCCCACACTTAGCCATATTATTCAATTGAACTGGTTTTGCACTAAGCCTTCCAAATGGCAGTAGATTATAATATCAAGACCGTAGTATGATAAGTGCACTTGAAAATATTACTGACTTGAGGGTAGTCAACAAGATTAACTAGATTGTAATTTTAATTTAAATAGAATTTACTCCCTTTAGACACTGCATCCAGACTGAACAATAATGCATGCACTATACCACAACTGTATCTATACTGAAATACACTTTTTGAGATAAATTGATTTGTTTTTCTAAGTATAAGCACAAAATAACAACACAACTACCATTCACGACCATTGCTAGCCTGCGTGTGTCAATATATACTTGACTTGTAATAATATATACTTACAGATTGGCAATTTTTACATTTAGCATTAAAATTAGTATAATAATTTAGTTTTTAGAAACAAAATAACTAGTTTTTGTCATAATTAAAAGTCTGCTTTTTTGTGGGACTCAATCTTTAATTATACAATAAAGAGACAAAAAAAAATACAATTTAATCAAGGTTCAGAGGGCCTACCATGAAGTATTTTCCGAAATTTCAAGAACGAACGAAACAGAAATTTGATGTTAAAATTAAATAATACATGTTGTTTAAAATTATTAAAAATGTGTAAAATATCGTTCTTTTGAACTATTACGATAGGATTTATGATGAACGAAATGTTAAGCTCCATTTATTGATCCGATTTCGGTACGAACAAAAACAAGAAATTGAGCGCGAAAATTCGGAATTTCATTTCATGGTAGACCACCAGGTTCCTTGTCTATGGGCCTACATTCGGCAGTGACGACTGTTATTTTATTTATTTTTTATTGTATTTATTAGACATATAAAACATGTTAAAAAAAGGTTTGCAACAGAGTGTGCAATATAATGTTTATTCATCATCGTCATCGTGATGATGAATGAAGGGAGACTTTGTACAAAAGTCGATTCCTTGGGTACCTCTGTCCCATTCGTGTTTCTACCGTGAAGCAATCGTGTTTGCATGGCTTTGTTTCGGTTTGAAGGATGGGATATGGCGTGAATTTACAGGGTACAGAGGAATAACATGCGAGTCCTCAGGAATGGCAACGCATGGGGGGTATCATGGGCGAAACAGTATACTCTGTTTTGTCCATGGTACTGCTCATGTCTATAGGCGACGGTTACCACTTTCCATCAGGTGAGCCGTCAGCTTGTTTGCCATTCTAAGTTGTATAAAAAAAAGGTTCAAAAGAACGGATTATGGATATAATACAAACATTACTGTACAGGAGGCCGCCATATCGGCCCTCGTGGACGAGCTGTGCGGCGGTGCGGTGGCGGCCGCGCTCGACTTCCTCGAGAAGGAACTGAGGAGGTTGAAGGAGGAGAGGAGGCAGCACGCCTATATCCTTATCGCATGTTAGTTCACAGTTGCTATCACCTAAAATACGTCTGTCTTTATTATGTCATAATAAAGACCGCAGGAAAAAACTGGACAAATATTGCTACAGATAAGGAGAAATGGAAAAAGATGGAGGAGGCTTTTACCCTTGAGAACCACTAAAGTGGAGAAAAAGTTAAAATAATAATAATAATACGTCTGAATCTAACAATAGCATCACTTGGGTCAGCGCTAAAATGTATAAGAACAAGACAGCGCATGCCCCCATCCTGTTCACGCACGCAAATACGCACGCACGCACGTGTTAGAAACGGCAATTTATTATTTATAATATTTAATATTATTATTTATATATATATATATATATATATATAGATATATATATAGATACATAGATGACATTTATTACCATTACTAAGAAATTAAAACAACAAAAAGGAAAAAAAAAACAATTAATGTTGCTGGTAATAGGAGCCGCCTCAGCTGTTGCTATATATGTACAGCTCCAGCGAGATGTACCTATATAGCGCTGATTTTCAGGCGGCCCCTTAACTTCTTTACCTTTAGCATGCGCGCGGATCGCTAATACCTATTTCTCGGATGGGAGACTCAACACGCTTACCAACAAATACATAATACATTACAACACATACATAAAACATTACAATAAATACATAAAACATTACAACAAATATACAAAAAATTACAACCAAAACCGAGAAGAATAAACTCTGAATAAATTATCGCACTTCACATATATATATATATATATATATATATATATATATATATATATATATATATATATATATATATATATATATATATAAATGATATGTGTAGTACTACGTAATACTAACTTTACATATATGTATATAATATATTCTTTAGCAATATAAAGGTTGTAAGCCTCTTGGTAATAAATAGATATAAAGCACAAATTCACTTAGTTAATTTAATCTAGATATCATACTATTAAATCATATATTAATTTATTTTACATTATATTTGATATATAACAAATAATATAACATAAATACCCAACTTCTGTTAGTCCATTGACACTTATTTAAATATAGCTTCTTTAGGACTTCCATTAACTATAATTGTGATTGCATTTGCATTTGAACACAAGATGTTTAAGAAAATTAATATAATTTAAAATAAATATCTAACACACGCACGCACGCACGCACGCACGCACGCATGCACGCACGCACGCACGCACGCACGTACTTATTCTTTAATGGACAATAATGGAATGGTATCTATTTAGTATAATATAGTGTATATAGTATAGTGAATCGTTGTGCTGGTCCCGGCATAGAATGTACCACCCCTTACTTTCCCGTGGGTGTCGTAAGAGGCGACTAAGGGAGCTTATGCTGGAGGGATGGGCAGCAGCGTCCCTCTTAAAACATCTGTATAAGCCTATCTGCGGTTGCCAACCCGCCTGCCAAGCGTGGCAACTACTGGCAAAACTGCCCTTATGGGGAAGGCTTATGTTCAGCAGTGGAAATAAATAAATGGAATGGTAACTCCGCCCGCGCTGTCGGTATACGCTGGCGGGGTACCAGGGAGACATGATAGGTGAGGATGACAGCAGATCAGTTAGCCTATCGTGACAAAGTCGTTAAGATCTAACGTAAAGATAATTTCAAGGACCGCCTTGAAATTATCTTTACGCGTGGAGATTTTTTATATATATATTTTTTTTATACAACTTAGAATGGCAAACAAGCTGACGGCCCACCTGATGGAAAGTGGTAACCGTAGCCTATAGACATGAGCAGTACCATGGACATAACAGAGTATACTGTTTCGCCCATGATACCCCCATGCGTTGCCATTCCCGAGGACTCAGGTGTTATTCCTCTGTACCCAGTAAATTCACGCCATATCCCACCCTTCAAACCGAAACACAGCCATGCAAACACGACTGCTTCACGGTGGAAACACGAATGAGACAGAGGTACCCAAGCAATCGACTTTTGTACAAAGTCTCCCTCTGGTAAGCTATACACCAATGTTGCTGGTAATGGAGCTGCTGTTTCCTTTTAGAAACAATTGTTTTTCGACATGATTATTTGTTTATAACCACAGTGCGTGAGAAAACGATGCGGGAAGCGGCCGAGGCTGGCAGGAGACAGAAGGAAGAGCACAGGAGGCGAGAACACGACGAGATGTTCAAACAGGTATAGGACATATGTAGCTATTTACCAGAGGAAGACTATTTTTTTATACCACTGAGATAGCAAACAAGCATACAGATCACCTGATGGTAAGCGGTTACCGTAGCCCATGAACGTCTGCAGTACCAGGGGTATTACGCGCAAGTTGCAGACCCTGAAGGAACCTCTTTAGCCCACTTTTGAAAAACCCCATGCTGTAGTCTATGTGTGAGGATCTACTCATGCGAACAGAGGTCTGTGCCCATCCTTGTTTTCGTAAAGCAGCTGTTGACGTGTAAGCTACGAATGTATTTCGGTTTGAAGGGTGGCGTTATCACCATAAAAGTCATCTTTGAAGAGTGGTATTGTTGTGTTAGATGTTCTTCAACTTTTCGCTGATGAACATAGCTTCCCCCAAAGGAAGGTTTTGCCAGTAGATGTCATGCTTGGCAGGCGGATTAGCAACCTATTTTTGTGATGTTTTAAAAGGGACGCTGCTGCCCATCCCTTGGCTGTTGTTTTTTTTTTTTTGATGGGTGGTAATGGTAACCCCGCCTGCGCTAATTGAATACGCTGGCGGAGCACCAGTGAAGGGTGATAGATGAGAATGAAAACAGGCCAGTTAGCCCATCATGATGAATTCATCAGGAATTAACCATGATAGTTTCCAGGGAGAACCGCGAGGAGGTCGACCTGGTTGGGTATATTGCTAGCAATGGGATTCTCAGTCTCCTTTACTAACAATCCCTTTCCCCCATCCCTCGGCTGTTAAGCTCCCCTAGTCACCTCTCACGACACCCACAGAAAAGAAAGGGGCGGCCCATTCTATGCCATAACGCAAGGATGGCATACGACAGAGAAATTACGGAGTACGGAGACACCCCTTCACACACTCTAATCCTCAGAAATGCCAACATGTAAGAGGTACCTTTGCCGTCTCCATATACCAAAACACAACCATACCACAGCTGCTTCGCGGCTGTTTAATTTAAAAGGAATAAATGAGTTTCTTGCGCATTCTTCCCAGCAGATAACAACATTCCGAATGCAGCAGAAGAATCGTAAAAAAAATCTATTCTGTTTTATAGATCCTAGGTGTGACCCAGGAGACAGTGGACGCGTACTTCCGCGAGATAGTGTCAGAGGGTGTGCTGCTCGCGGCGGAGGAGGAGGCGGTGCGACGCGCGCGGGCCGACGCTGACAGGATTGATGAGGCGATCACGGGGCACGGCTCCATGTGAGTTACTCGTTAGTGTGCAATATATGGCCTGGGGGGAAAGGGATTGTTAGTAATGGCGTTTGACAGCCCCATTGCTAACAATATGCCTTATTAGGTCGACCTCCACGTGGAAACCATCGTGAACAATTCTTTTTGAATTCGTCACGATGGGCTAACTGACCTGCTTCATCCTCATCTATCATCCTTCACCGGTGCCCCGCCGGTGTATACCGATAGCGCGGGTGGGGTTGCCATTCCATTATCATCCATTTAAAAAAAATATGGCCTTGTTCAATAGAACTTCATGAAAAGAGTTTTCCAAGTCGGTATATAACCAAAACTTTAAAAAGCAATATGTTTTCGAGAAAAGCGGGTCGACTTTTTCATACAATTTTGCGTGATAAATAGTTATGAGTGATTCCCTTATAACTTCTATATTTATTTTATCTTATAAGTTCCGCATCTTTTTAATACGTAAACACTCATTTTATTTATTATATAATTAAATATAGATACGTCAAGATACATTGTGTGCGTAAGTATATAGAACACTGGTAAACAAAACGAGTCAGCTAATTTGACAATAAGCTGACAAAAAGTTGCCCGTTTTTGAGAAGGTTTTTTTTTATTGGATGAAAATGGAATGGTAACACCGCCTGCGCTAACGGGATACGCTGGCGGGGAACTAGTGAATGGTGATCAATGAGGATGAAAACAGGCCAGTTAGCCCATCATGATGACTTCATCTAGAATTAATCATGATAGTTTCCAGGGGGAACCGCGAGGAGGTCGACTTGGTTGGGTATATTGTTAGCAATGGGATTCTCAGTGTCCATTACTAACAATCCCTTTCCCCCCGATATAAGAGGTTGGTATACTACAAAATCTAATTTCTACATTCGTCTCTCAGGTCTACTGCAGAACAGAACGAGCTGGTGGCGGAACTGGTCCAACAGTTCCTGCTGCCGGAAGCTCACAAAGCCGCAGCCCGGCACAGGATATCAGCTCTTCAAAAGGCCAAGATGGAAGCCGCCAGAGGCAGCATCTTCGGACTGCTTGACGAGGCTGAAGCGAAGGAACGTAAGAGAATACTTTATAAATAAGCATACGTTTCGCCTAATGATGAGCGACGGTCATAACTTATGAATCTTCGCAAAATTTTAGGTATTTCTTGCACAAAGAATCCATTGTTGTTGTAAACCTTTATATGTTGAATATAGTAAAGCAGTTGTGTTTGCATGGCTGTGTTTCGGTTTGAAGGGTGGGATATGGCGTGAATTTACTGGGTACGGAGGAATAACACCTGAGTTCTCAGGAATGGCAACACATGGGGGGTATCATGGGCAAAACAGTATACTCTGTTATGTCCACGGTACTGCTTATGTCTATAGGCGACGGTTACCACTTTCCATCAGGTGGGCCGTCAGCTTGTTTACTATTCTACGAGTAAGTTGCATAAAAAATCTTTTTTTTTTATAATGGAAATAATATATAATGAAACTTAAAATCTATTTAAAAGTTATTTTTACTAAATCGTCCACTGTCCAACTTCTAGACCTTCCAACTGTATTTTTAACTTCTACTCCCCAGAAAAGCCAATGTCCCCAAAAAGAATCATTTCCTTAAATACTTTCTAAAGACATCAACTTTTCTGATTGGAAACCAAAAAAGATCACCGAAATTAGACTGAAATCGCACTTTTACTAAATCCTTTTTAAAAAATCACATGTAGAAAGCCACATTACCAGCGAGTAATATTGGCTGTATTTTATTTAAAATAAAATGGTGCGAAGTCAGGGCAGGTCACTAGTTGTAATATAGTATTATCAAAGAGGTGTCACTTTTAAAATGTTGTCTGCTTTAAAAGCAAACTAATTTAATTGTCTTTAAACTTTCATTTAATTCCATTAAATTCCAGTATTGTTCAATTCAATATCATTAAGTTTCATTTAATCAACGGCGGGTTCCTAGTTGTAAATATAACGTTAAAGAGGCGTGGCTATCAAAATGTTGTATGCTATATAAGTAAACTAATTTAATATCTTTTATTTTTTCATTTGATTCCATTAAATTCCAGTATAATTCCATTTAATATCATTTAGTTCCATTTAATTCCATTTAACTCATTAAAATCCATGCATTCATTTCATTAAATACCGTCAATTTTCAATTCCATTCATTATCAACTTCATTCATTATCATTAAATTCCATTCTCTCTCTTTTCATATAAAAGTTGCCTCTCATCAGTGCTAGTTGCAGTTTCATACATTTTTATCCAGCCAGCTCTATTCCAGGCAATATCTTTGACCTCCTTACACGATATGACAATGTTTCCATTAATTCCATTTAATTCATTTACATTAAATTCCATTCAGTATGACTAATTCGCATTCCATTTCTTTGTGTAAAAAATAAATAGAGGGGAACTTAACGAATCAGCTACCCAGTCCGAAGTAGCTATCAGAATCGGAGTAATTATTATATTTTAACAATGTTGCAGCTGTATGCACCCAGTGCAGCGCCACCCTGGACGACCAAACCCGCTGTACGCGATGCCCCAGCGAGCAGACGCCCACCGAGACTGATTCAAGAGACGACCCGCGCTGGAAGCACACCAGGGGTATATACAGAAGTACCCATAAGCGTATTTAGAAGGGAGGGAGTGTTCAGTGCCCACCTTATGATCATTTTATGCCCTCACTCCAGTTAGCAAACGAAACTGCATAAAATCGTGTTAGCGTTTATTGGCGCCTCTCTAAGGAGCCAAGAAAGGGGAAAGGGATCGTTAGTAATGGAGACTAAAACTCCCATTGCTAGTAATATACCTAACCAGGTCGACCTCCTCATGGTTCCCCCTGGAAACTATCATGGTTAATTCCTGACGAATTCATCATGATGACCTAACTGGCCTATTTTCATTCTCATCTATCACCCTTCACTGCAGAGGGATGATAGATGAGAATGAAAGCAGGTCAGTTAGCCCATCGTGATGAGTTTACAAAAAAATATCAAGATGGTTTCAGGGGGAGCCGCGTGGAGGTCGATTTAATAAGGTACATATATTGTTAGCAATGGGGCCTCTAGTCCCATTACTAACAATCCCTTCCCCCCAGCGCCTCAGAATTGCTCTCATTGTTTAGTTACAACTTTTTTTTTTATATTTTTAAAATCTTATTTGACATTACTTCGTAGATGCCGCTGTGTTTTTTGGCAGCTATGTATAATTGTTAATACTTTGTCCACAGCTCGGCCACGATCAGAGCCGAAGAGTCTGGAGGAGAGATATCCAGCTTACCATGAACTACGGTGCATGCTGAACGTGCTCATAGATGAAGGTCTTTTGGTTGTACCAAAACTGCTGGGGGGGGGGGGGTTGCTAGTAATGCAGACTTCCAATCCCATTGCCACGTTGTCCCCCTGGAAACCATCGTGCCTAATTCCAGGTGTATACATCACGGTGGGCTAACTGACCTGCTTTCATCGTCACCTATCACCTTTCACTGGTGCCCCGCCAGTGTATACCGATAGCGTAGGCGGGGTTACCATTCTATTATCACTGACAGATAAAGACTATTTTAATAGGTTTTTCTTTGATTGATAAATTATTAACACTAGCTGTTTCCCGCTGCGTTGTCCGCTTCTAACTTTATATATAGTTCTCATATATAATTTATTTATTTATTTATTCATTAGTACAAATATGTGTACATGGCGGACTTAATGCTAAAAGCATTGTCTCCCAGTCAACCGTAGGGAAGTGTCAGAATACTCGAATGCGGTACTAGTAATTATTGATATACATACATACTAAAATTACATATATAAACGAATAGATGTATATAAATAACAAATATACTTACACATATATGATATATACTATATTATACACGAATTTGGGAATAATATAAAGCACAATATCATTCCCATTGGAACTCTCCATGAGTCCGGTCTTATATTGTATTATATACTTAAATGATAATTACGTACCTAATACCTTCGTAAAGTTGCAGCCAATACAACTGATCGGTTATTTTATAGCATTTTATATGTGATTCTTTAAATTGATATAACTTTTTTATTTATGAACCGATTGAAATAAAACAAACACTAAATGTTAAGTGAAGTACCTAGAACGCATCAGTGAAAACCGCGTTCAAATCTGTTAAGTCGTTTCTGAGATTAGCGTGCACAAACGTACAGGCAAACACACAAAAATTCTAAAAATCTTTGTTTTTAGTTTTATAATAGCTTTTTTTTAATATGTCTTCCATGTACAGACAGCGATCAGTTAAGACTTTATTATGTGTATGGATTGATTAGTATTTCCACCGCAGCCGTGCAAGAGTCTCGCACGAGGGACACGACAAGGAACGAGATGTTACGCGACATGGAGCGGCGCGCACGGGACGACACCGAAGCGTGTATCGACGCCAAAGACATTGTTGAAGCAGGTAAATGTTTAGCCTATCCTACTGATATTATAAACCGTGTGGTCCCGACATTGAATGGATTTTTTTATATGGATGATAATGGAATGGTAACCGCGCCTGCGCTATCGGTATACACTTGCGGGGCACCAGTGAAGGATGATTAAGAAAGGTGAAAAGGCAAGTCAGTTAGCCTATCGTGACGAATTTAACGATAAATTAGTCACGATGGTTTCTCTCTGGAATCGCGTGGAGGTCAACCTGATAAGTTATATTGGTAGCAATGCGGACTAGCCTCCCCATTACTAACAATCCGTTCCCGGCTATCCCTTCCTTTCTCGTGGACGTCGTAAGAGGCAACTAAGGGAATTGGGTGGAAAGGGATTGTTAGTAATTGGGACTAATGGCCTTATTGATAGTAAGCCCTGTCAAGTCGACCTCCACGCGGATCCCCCTGGAAAACATCGTGATTAATACTTGTTGCATTAGCCACGATGGGCTAACTGGCCTGCTTTCATGCTCATCTATTCTGCTTTCACCTTCACTGGTGCTCCGCCAGCGTATACCGATAACGCAGGCGGGGTTACCATTTCATTATCATCCAATAAAAAAAAAACTAAGGCAATTTAATGGGCGAAGGATGGGCAGCAGCGTCCCTCTTAAAAAATTACCAAAGGATAATTGCGGTTGCTGACTCGCCTGCCAAGTATGGCAACTACTGGCGATATTCCCCCTTCCAAGTAGAAAGGGGGGCTATGTTCAGCAGTGAACAGGTAACGTCTGATCTGATAAGTACGCATATATTTTTTTATGTATGAAAATGGTATGGTAACCCCGCCTGCGCTAACGCGATACGCTGGCGGAGCACCAGTGAGGGATGATAGGTGAGGATGAAGCAGGTCAGTTAGCCCATCGTGACGAATTCAACAAGAATTGTTCACGATGGTTTCCAGGGGGACCACGTGGAGGTCGACCTGGTTGGGGTATATTGCTAGCAATGGGATTCTCAGTCTCCATTACTAACAATCCCTTTCCCCCAACTTTTGTCCAACAGTGGTGGACCGTGCCGTGGGCTCGACCTCGCCATCAGTTCGGGTGGCTGATTACCACCACCTCATGATGCGAGTGATCGGCGACGCACTGGACCGGACTGAACCCTTTGAATACCACGGATGTAAGCTGTTTATATTTATTTATCAGAAAGAGACTTTGTACAAAAGTCGATTGCTTGGATACCTCTGTCCCATTCGTGTTTCAACCGTGAAGCAGCTGTGTTTGCATGGCTGCGTTTCGGTTTGAAGGGTGGGATATGGCTGTGAAAGTTACAGGCTACAGAGGAATAACACCTGAGTCCTCAGGAATGGCAACGCATGGGGGGTATCATGGGCGAAACAGTATACTCTGTTACGTCCATGGTACTGTTCATGTCTATAGGCGACGGTTACCACTTTCCATCAGGTGGGCCGTCAGCTTGTTTGCCATTCTACGAGTATGTTGTATAAAAAAAAATCAAGATGATATAATTATTACGATACCATGATACCCCCCCCCCCCCATGCGTTGCCATTCCTGAGGACTCGGGTGTTATTCCTCTGTACCCTGTAAATTCACGCCATATCCCACCCTTCAAACCGAAACACAACTGATTCTTTAATGGACCATCGTAAACTAAAATTATTAATTTAAACACGTTTTTGACTGAAATGTACTCGTATTTTTCTTTTTCATACATACATACATACATATCTGTCACGCCTGTCTCCCATTAGGATAGGCAGAAACAATGGAACGCCAAATGCTTCGATTCAAACAAACCTCTTTCGCTTCTTCCACATTCATCAATCTTTTTTTCTTTTTCACCAGGCCCTAAAGAGCTGCCCTCGGAGATAAGACGCCGTGCCGAGGAGGAGAGGACCAACCTCGGCGAGCCAACCTGCCACTGTGAAGATGAAGATGAACAAGCCACCGCAGTGAAGTTTGATCTCGGTAATTGTGTGCCTATTTTTTTTAGTGGATGATAATGGAATGGTAACCCCCACCTGCGCTAACGGTATACGCTAGCGGGGCACCAGTGAAGGATGATAGGTGAGGATGAAAAAAGGCAGGTCAGTTAGCCCATCGTGATCAATACACTTTGAATTCAGCACGATGGTTTCCAGAGGGGACCACGGGGAGGTCGACCTGGTTGGGTATATTGCTAGCAATAGATCTCTTAGTCTCCGTTACTAACAATCCTTTTTTTTTATACAACTTAGAATGGCAAACAAGCTGAATCCTTTTGCCCCTGTGTGCATATGTTTATAAATTGCTAGCTTTTACCCGCGACGTCGTCCGCATGACCGTAATTACGTAGTGATTAATTACGAATAATCCGTTACACGTCAGGAAGTAACAAACAAACAGCAGTGAAGAATTATACCAGAGGGAGACTTTGTACAAAAGTCGTTTGCTTGGCCATCTCTGTCCCATTCGTGTTTCTACCGTGAAGCAGTTGTCGCCCATGATACCCCCCATGCGTTGCCATTCCTGAGGACCCAGTTGTTATTCCTCTGTACCCAGTAAATTCACGCCATATCCCACCCTTCAAACCGAAACACAGCCATGCAAACACAACTGCTTCACGGTGCCTTAGTATCAAAAAATATCATCAGATATTCACCGAGACGAGGTAGCGGCGCTTCTGCCGTCAGAGCTGACGGTCCTGGAGGAAATGAGAAGGTGCAAGTGTGATACTAAGCCAGCACCGAGCGCCGCCGGTGAGTTTTAGATTCGTTTACATCAAACATACCATAGAGCACTAAATTTATTTATTTATTCATAAAAACTCATAAAACAATGCTCATGTAGTATAATCTAAATTAAGGGGGGAAAGGGATTGAAAGCAATGGAATTTGCCAGTTTTATTGCTAGCAATATACACTATTAGGTCGACCTCCACGTGGTTCCCCCTGGAAACCATCGTGAACAATTCTTGTTGAATTCGTCACAGTGGGCTAACTGACCTGCTTCATCCTCACCTATCATCCTTCACTAATGCCCCGTTGGTGTATACCGATAGCGTGGGTGGGGTTGCCATTCCGTTATCATTCATAAAAAAAAAACCTAAACTAAGGCTCTTATTCATAGAAAAGTCAAATTTCTCATAAACCTATTGCGGCAGTTTCTTTGCCTTGTTTGCCTTGGACAAGACAAATGACTACGACGAAAACACAGTTTTTTTTTATACAACTTAGTATAGCAAACGAGTTGACGGCCCACCTGATGGAAAGTGGTAACCGTCGCCTATAGACATGAGCAGTACCGTGGACGTAACAGAGTATACTGTTTCGCCCATGATACCCCCCATGCGTTGCCATTCCTGAAGATTTAGGTGTTATTCCTCTGTACCCAGTAAATTCACGCCATATCCGACCCATCAAACCGAAACACAGCCATGCAAACACAACTGCTTCGCGGTAGAAACACGAATGGAACAGAGGTACCCAAGCAGTATCCCTGAATATCCCATCAATATATTTTATGTATCACTGTTCAAAACTGTGGCCGTGTGGTCCCCGCATAGAATTGGTCACCACTACCTTTCCCGTGGCTGTCATAAAATACGATTAAGGGAACTTACCGGTCGAGGAATGGGCAACAGCGTCCCTCTTTAACATCACCAGAAACCTAACTGCGACTGCCAACCTGCTTGCCAAGAGTGGCAATTACTTACAAAACCCCCTTATAGGTGATGTTGATTATCCAAAAGTCAAAAATGATATACTTTCAGGCAATATACCAGGGGGCAGTGTCACGACGGAGTACAGTGAAATGACGGAGCAAACGGTGGAGCAGACGTCGCCGGATGACGAGTACGACTGAGCGTCATACTCGGGAACGCCCGTTTCAACGATGTTCAAATTTTGACGTTATAGCCTCCATATTATTCTGTGATTAAAGCTTTCCATTGAAATGTGTTTTTTTATATACATAATTTTGTATACTTGTATAGTAAGTAATAGAGCCTCGATAATTCGAATACCCAAATTGTACCACGCTTTTCGAATGTATGGAGCATTCGAATTACAGTATGTAAATACCAGAGGGAGACTTTGCACAAAAGTCGATTGCTTGGCCACCTCTGTCCCATTCGTGTTTCCACCGTGAAGCAGTTGTGTTTGCATGGCTGTGTTTCGATTTGAAGGGTCGGATATGGCGTGAATTTACTGGGTACGGAGGAATAACACCCGAGTCCTCGGGAATGGCAACGCATGGGGGATGTCATGGGCGAGACAGCTCATGTCTATAGGCGACGGTTACCACTTTCCACCAGGTGGGCCGTCAGCTTGTTTGCCATTCTAAGTTGTATTAAAAAAAAAGGTATGTTAAAAGATATTTTTAGTAATACAGCAATGCACAGGCGCTGGGCCACAGCGTGACCAGACAAGAGACGAGAGTCTTTGAAGAACTAATTTATTAACTAAATAACAATTCTACATGATTAACAACACTGAATTGTATGATTTAGGGAGGAGAGGTCGTTTGAATTATAGAGGCGTTTGGATAAACGGGGGTTCGAAATATCGAGGCCCTATTGTACTTATTTGTATGTTTATTGCTATATATTAAAATTTGTAAAAAGCGAATATGTTATTAAATAAAATTTATTTCGAAATATTTATTTTTTTATATTTAACGGATTTTATCTTCTTCAGGTATATCAGGCCCTCTAGACAAGTGGCAAGCGTATTCGTCGATAGAATAGGCATAACAATAGAATCTGTGACATAGAATGAGATAGCAACGCCAAATGTCTTATTCCAACTCGCTTGCTTGCTAATAACCTGTAAATCATATGGTTGCCTCCTTTCTTCTTATGCAAATATAATTAGTAAAAAGAGGACGAAAGATACACCATCAGTTGCTATTTTTCTCAATTCATAGCAAACTAGTGTATAGAAAATGTTATACGGCCGTATAATCCTACCAAATTCAGATACAACCTGCTTGCATACTTTCTACATAAACTGTGTCCAATATATAATCCAGTAATGTAAAATTTGTCATTGACAAATAATTGACATATCAAACATTTTCTATACACTAACCTGATATGAATTGAGAAAAATAGTAACTGATGGTGTATCTTTTATCCTCTTTTTACTAATTATATTTATATAAGAAGAAAGAAGGCAACCATATGATTTACAGTTTTTATAATTCCTTCTATGTAATTCCTTGTTCTTTGCTTGCTTGTCAGTTGTACAGAGAGCCTATCGTACCCTGAATTGATTTCTTACATAAGATTTCACCTACTTCGCATATAAGTGACGATTACTACTTTTTTTTGTATGTACCCATATTCGTGCAATAAATGATTTGATTTGATTTTTCATACAACTTAGAATGGCAAACAAGCTGACGGACCACCTGATGGAAAGTGGTAACCGTCGCCTATAGACATGAGCAGTACCATGGACATAACAGAGTATACTGTTTCGCCCATGATACCCCCCATGCGTTGCCATTCCTGAGGACTCAGGTGCTTATTCCTAAGGACTGTACCCAGTAAATTCACGCCACTTTCCATCACGATCACTTTCCATCAGGTAAGCCGTTAGTTTATATGCCATTAATTATTAAGATGCATATAAAAAGATTTTTTTAATTCTTATTCTTTTTTTTTAAATTAATTAAAGACGGTTTCTTTCGAAAGTATACAATTAGTAATTTTAATATAGGAATAACACGAGAGGAACACTTCGAAAATAAAGATTGTGCTAAAAACCGACTTCAATTGGGAGAAAACTAGTTATTTAGATCTAAAACTAAATTACTGGGCCAGTTTTGATAAAATTTCTATGATACCATTACGTAGTATGATCCAGACATAAGTATATCCTTTCATATAAAAAAAGAATTTTCCAAATTGGTTTACAATTGAAAAAACAAATAATGAAAAAAGTAGCACCAAATTTTAAAGTTGGTTTAAACCGATTTAGAAAATATTTCGTATTTTCTAAACAGTTTTACAGTCGGAATGCAAATCTTGTTCCACTAAAAATAATAGTGTATTTGAAAAAGAACCGCTGTGTCGATCGCGGAATAGAATGGGCTACCCCTTCCTTTCCTCAACCTTGACTAAGGGAACTCATGGTGGAGGGATGGGCAGCAGCGTTCCCCTTAAAACACTCCAAAGGCCTAACTGCGGTTGCCAACCCGCCTGCCAAGCATGACAACTACTGGCAAAACCCTCTTTTGTGAGGGAGGTTTGGACAGCATTGGACAGTTAAAGACTGATATAATGACAATGATGATTTGGAAAAAATATTAAAATCTATTTGCAATTGAAGAAAAAATGAGTCTTAATTTAATACCTTTTTCAAAATTGGTTAAAAAAACAACATAACTGTGATGTAATACGTATATTACGAATTGAAAATGCACGAAAATATACAATTGCAACTTGAACAATAGAACTTAAGCAAATATATATACAAAAAATATAATCCAACCGACGTTTGACAGTAAGCACGTTATTTATTGCTACATTTTATTATCATACTGTGAAATAATTATTAACTGTGAAATCACCTGTGACAAATCATTAGAATGACAGACCTCCAAGCAATAGCTAAATATACACATGCATGACTGATAGAGCGAAATTATTGTTACATTATATTCATTGTCATACTGTGAAATAATTATTAACTGTGAAATCACATGTGACAAATCATTAGAATCACAGACCTCCAAGCAATAGCTAAATACGAGGTCTGTCCGGAAAGTTCGTATAAAAGTGTTCTGGAATGCGAGAAAGAGGAGTGGGGAGGCCAGGTAAGCGCAGGACCCCTTCCTTATGTCCCTAACAATGCTTCAGTTCTGGTCTGACCGCCGTGCGGTGCGAACTGGCTTGTCACGCCATCTGTGAAGTTACCTCTTAACGAAACCCCGTCGGCATGGAGCCCGCTTCCGTTGAAGAGCAGCGCGTCGTAATCAAGTTTCTCTCGAAACTCGGCAAGAATGGCCGTGAAATTTTTGCCGATCTCAGAACAGTTTATGGGGATGATGCTGTGAAGGAACCAACCGTCCACAAGTGGCTAAAAAGATTCAGAGAGGGCCGAGAAAGCGTTCAAGATGACCCACGTTCAGGACGTCCTTCCACTTCACATTCCGACGAAAACGTGGAAAGAATTCGAACTTGTGTTAATGGGGACCGTCGTTTAACGGTCAGACAGGTGGCTGAAGAGCTTAATTTGGGCAAAACCGTGGTCCACGAAATTCTAAGAAACGAACTTCAAATGAAAAAAATTTGCGCCAAGATCGTTCCCAAGCTTTTGTCCCCGGATCAAAAATCACGAAGAGTTCCATTACGGTGACCGAACACCCCCTATTCGCCGGATTTGGCCCCGTGTGACTTCTTCTTGTTCCCAAAAACCAAATTGGTACTTCGGGGGCGGCATTTGGGGGACATAAATGAGATAAAAAAAGCTACGACGGGGCAGCTGAGAAACCTACAACCAGAGGACTTTCAAGGAGCCTTCTCACAGTGGAAACGGCGTTGGCACAAGTGCATTATGTCACAGGGGGAGTACTTTGAAGGGGATAAAATTGATTTACCTGAATAATTGTAAAATAAAATTTTTAAAAAACTTTTATACGTACTTTCCGGACAAACCTCGTATACACATGCATGACTGATAGAGCGAAATTATTGTTACATTATATTCATTGTCATACTGTGAAATAATTATTAACTGTGAAATCACCTGTGACAAATCATTAGAATGACAGACCTCCAAGCAATAGCTAAATATACAAATGCATGACTGATAGAGCGAAATTATTGTTACATTATATTCATTGTCATACTGTGAAATAATTATTAACTGTGAAATCACCTGTGACAAATCATTAGAATGACAGACCTCCAAGCAATAGCTAAATATACACATGCATGACTGATAGAGCGAAATTATTATATTCATTGTCAAACTGTGAAATAATTATTAACTGTGAAATCACCTGTGACAAATCATTAGAATGACAGACCTCCAAGCAATAGCTAAATATACAAATGCATGACTGATAGAGCGAAATTATTGTTACATTATATTCATTGTCATACTGTGAAATAATTATTAACTGTGAAATCACCTGTGACAAATCATTAGAATGACAGACCTCCAAGCAATAGCTAAATATACACATGCATGACTGATAGAGCGAAATTATTGTTACATTATATTCATTGTCAAACTGTGAAATAATTATTAACTGTGAAATCACCTGTGACAAATCATTAGAATGACAGACCTTCAAGCAATAGCTAAATATACACATGCATGACTGATAGAGCGAAATTATTGCTACATTATATTCATTGTCATACTGTGAAATAATTATTAACTGTGAAATCACCTGTGACAAATCATTATAATGACAGACCTTCAAATGATAGCTAAATATATACATGCATCATTGATAGAGCGAAATTATTGCTACATTTTATTCATTATCAAATTGTGAAATTATTTTTATTTACAGTTACAAATCATTAGAATGACAGACCTTAAAATGATATCCAAGCATCATTGCTAGGACGAAATCATTTCTACATTTCATTCATTATGACACTGTGAAATTATTACAAAAGCTCTTGGGTCAAGTCAGCCACCCCCGATGGTCTACTAATTTCAAAGCTTCTTAAGTCTGATATCCTAAGGAGTCTAGTCACTTTTACTAACAAAATAAATCGTTCTCTGATAATAAATAAATTTTAATATAAGAAATCACATCAAGTGATTTTCACTCACAATGACTTAATATCACACTTGCTATTTACCATTGAAAGTGAAATATGAATGTGATTTTTATAATAATAAGCGAATATCTTTATTCGCAATAAAGCAGTGTTATAAAGTTTCTATTCGCTCGCTGTGTATGGTCCAACCGACCAACTGTTGCGATTTCACCTCATTGCCAACCGAGCGCAGCCGATAACTCACGAATAAATACGAACGCTACAACTATCTGTGATTTCACTATAGTAATTTAGGAATCTTTGTGGTGTAGCGACGTAGCAGGTGTGATGTATGATTTGGCACAGCCTTAGATTATATAGATAGAGTGTCTCCATACAAATGCTTCGAGAAAAGCGAGACAACTTTTCCATACATTTTTGCGTGAATAATTATGAGTGATTACTTTATAACTTCTATATTTGTTTTGTCTTATAAATTCTGTAACTTTTTATTACATTAACACTTATTTTATTTACTAAATAATACATCAAGATACATTTTATGCGTAAATATATAGAACTCTGAAAAAAAAAAAACGAGCTAATTTGTCAATTAGCTGACAAAAAGTTGACCCGTTTTTGAGGCTCGATACTCTATCTATATAATCTAAGGGCGTAGCATATGAAATATCATAATGGACGAGAAATACGCAGCAACGTTCCTTTTAAAACATTATCAAAAATCTATCTGCGGTTTTCAATCCGTCTGCCAACCGTGACAACTACTGGTAAAAATCCCCATTCCTGAGGACTCAGGTGTTATTCCTCTGTACTCTGTAAATTCACTGTCATATCCCACCCTTCAAACCGAAACACAGCCATGCGAACACAACTGCTTCACGGTAGAAACACGAATGGGACAGAGGTGGCCAAGCAAACGACATTTGTACAAAGTCTCCCTCTGGTTTATGAGAGGTAACACGTTTTTATAAATAAGCGGTTTAATTTATAGTAAATTTGATTTATATTCATTAGAAAATTAGTTCATATTGATTCTTATAATAAAGATTTACTTGTGATATCAGATTAAAACTTAAATGTTAGAGACAGGTTCAGAGGACGGCGCTTCAGAATAGATCAGAGAGAATATCTAAAGAACGTAATACACGTGTAAACAATGTCTATATCGAGATCCAGATTGTACGCTCGAGGCGTTGGCGAAACGAGTACAGGGGCCTTAAAACTAATATCAAATTGTCGACTTAGTAATTGCGGACATAAGCAAAATAATGCCTAATCAACCTTAAAAGTAAAATGGGGTCACCGGTGACCCCCACGTATTATAAACATACGAGTAAAGCAATTTACTTCGTTTTACTCTGAAAAGAGTATGTTAATTGGGAGTTTTTTTTTATGGATGATAACAGTATGGTAACCCCGTCTGCGCTAACGGTATATGCTGACGAGACACCAGTGAAGGATAATAGGTGAGGATGAAAAAACAGATCAGTTGGTCCATCGTCATCATCTAAAATTCAGCACGATGGTTTCCAGGGACAAACTGGGAGGTCGATCTGACAGGGTATATTGCTAGCAATGGGATTGGTACTCTACATTGCTATCCCTTCCCCCTAATTGGGAGGTTAGTCCACATTGTTAGCAACAGACCCCCGTTCAGATCGACCTCCACGCTGTTCCCCCTGGAAACTATCGGTAATTTCTAATGAATTCCTGATGACCTGTCATCATGATCCTCTATCATTAACCACTGATGCCCCAGCTGCATAATCCGATGGTGCAAGCTGAGTTAGATAGATAGATACTCTCTATTGCTTCTTCCATAAGATTACAATGGTAAACTTATTATAGATACAAACAATTACAAGAAATAATCATAGTGAGAAAACAATGGGCGACCTTATCGCTGAGAGCGATCTCTTCCAGGCAACCTTTGAATGGAGAGGAGTAATTATAAACAATTTGATTGGAGACACGATGAGAATTCTGTTAAATTTAAATACATTTTCCATTTTAATCTCATAAAAAAAATATTTTACTAGATTTATAAGCTACATTGAATAAAAAAAAAAATTAAAAAAAGCTTTTACATTTCATGGAGTAATTGGTGACCCTTAATTAATAAACGGGACCCACATTTAATCCTATTATACTACAATGCCCGTGGGGATCACGTGTGACCCCCACTTAACAACCTTCGCGGGGATCACCGGTGACATCCAATGGTTATCATTGGAGGTCACCGGTGACCCCGTTTTTTAGTTACTCAAGCCGCTTTTAACTTGTCGAAAGGCTTTGAAAATATTTTTTAATTATTAATACATTGGTCATCTTTATTGATGCCTAACTTTACAAAATTAAAGGGGGGTCAGCGGTGACGCAAAAATTTACACATTCTGAGGGATCACCCTCAGAATGTGTAAATTTGTGTTGGATAAATCCATATTTTCATAAAATTAACGGTAATGGAATCAAATTTATACAATTAACGTGGGTCACCAGTGACCGCAATTTCACATACCGGGCCCACAAGTGACCCAACTACAAAGCTCACGGGAGTCACCGGTCATAACCTTCGGGGACCCCGGAAGGTTATGACGTCTTTACGTTAGTCAAGCAGCCTTCAGCATGTCGTCGAGCTCAGACAGCGTTTTGGTGGCCTTCTTCAACTGCTCGATCTGCTGTCGCCCACTCTCCGACACGGAGGCGAGCCGTTTCCTTAGATCCGTCAGTCGCTCCGTCACGCGACGCTTCTCTTCTGTCAGCAGTTCGTAGGCCCTCGAGCCTGCAAAACATAGTAACGTGAGAAAAAGCTTTGTATACCTGCAAATCTTAGTAATATTTTTTTTTATGCAACATAGAATGGCAAACAAGCTGACGGCCCACCTGATGGAAAGTGGTAACCGTCGCCTATAGACATGAGCAGTACCATGGACATAACAGAGTATACTGTTTCGCCCATGATACCCCTCATGCGTTGCCATTCCTGAGGACTCAGGTGTTATTCCTCTGTACCATGTAAATTCACTGCCATATCCCACCGTTCAAACCGAAACACAGCCATGCAAAAACAACTGCTTCACGGTAGAAACACGAATGGAACAGAGGTGGCCAAGCAAACGACTTTTGTACAAAGTCTCCCTCTGGTAAAATAATAATAGTTTAATAGAATTTTAACGACGCCTGGTCCAGACTAAAGTACTCGAACTCCCTACTTGTAGGACCCATTTTTTGGGAACTCCTTCTCATTCCACGCTGTGCAACTATGGAACAGACTTGCTTCTACTAATGATACTTAATATTACGACCTAAGTATTATATATTAGCCGTGTGGTCCCAGCATAGAATAAGCGAGGTCTAGATGGCTGAAAATATAATGGTAACCACGCCTGCGCTATCGGTATACACTGGCGGTGCAATAGTGAGAGGTGATAGGTGAGGATGAAAGCAGGTCAGTAGGCCCAACGTGAAGAATTCGACAAGAATTAACCAGAATGGTTTCCAGGGGGAACCGCGTGGAGGTCAACCTTATAGGGTGTATTGTCAGCAATGGAGCGGTTCCAAACCATTTCTGACAATCTCTTTCCCCCCGAATAGGCGAGGCTATCCCTCGCCCTTTCTTAGTCGGTTATTACGACACCCATGGAAAAGGAAGGGGTGGTCTATTCTATGCCGGGATCACATGGTCAATGGTCCCTGTCGAGGTTTTTCGAAGAGACTACAGCATTCTTAATATACTAGGTTCTTCAAAAGGGGGGTAAAGAGGTTCCTTCAGGGTCGACAACGCGCGTAATGCCCCCGGTATTGCAGGCGTTCATAGGCTACGGTGACCGCTTACCATCAGTAGGACCCTATACTTGTTTGCCAACTCAGTTGTATAAAAAAATGTTCATACCATTAAAAAAAAATCGATTAGCATGGTCGTTTTATGACAACTCACCTAATAATGGTATATAGTCACCGGCGCGCTCCGCTCTGACGTCCAGCTCGAACCAGTCGTCGACATCCTCGGAATCAGACGATGGCAGCTCCTGGAACAACAATCAATGATATTATAATAAATCTGTAGAGAGGTCAATTCTGTACATGAAATATATTTCCAAAATAACTATCAGGCGGTGATTAGTGATCGATACTGATGCCAAAAATGATTACGGTTACACTTGTAGTTACTATCTGAGAGTAAACTTTTTAATGCCATATGAAATAATTTTATTTCGTTTTTGACGAAATTTAATGTAATATTTAAATCCTCCCATTTTAATATAATTATTTTTTTTGTCATGAAGCTCTTGCCGTAGCCGGGTGAAATTTTACAAATAATAAATCCATATAGTAGACAAGTTTTTGAAATCGTTCTCTCAGTATTTTGTTATTATTTTGTTATTTTGTGATTTTGTAAAGTTAAACTCCCCTAAAGATCATCATCCCCGAAAATCATGGAAATAAAAGTAATGTATTGTTTATTTTTTTTTCTCAAAAACTTATCAGCCTGGATTAGAATTGTAGTGTCGTAGTGAAAGGCCTATTAATTGTTCACATCCACAAAAATAATTAAGGTTTTGGTAATAATTGTTTAGGAGAAAATGAATAAAGAATGCAACATTTCGGGTACTAACGAAAAATTTATAAAAATGCAAATTTCTCAAAAACTATAAACTTTTGCAGAACATACATGGGGGTGTTTAGAGAAGCCCTTGGACCCCTCTATCGATGGTTTTCATTTGCACCACATGAAACCCGACACCCTGTATAGCTTATATTACTCGCTGATAATATAGCTTTTCTATAGGTTACAGAATATTGAAAATTTTTCAAAATAATTTAAAAAAATCACCTTTTTAACCGACTTCAAAAAAGGAGTTCTCAATTCGATGACACTTTTTCATTATGTTTGTCACCTCATAACTCCGTCAGTAAATAAACCGATTTGGAAAATTATTTTTTTATCTAAAAGATTGTCACTTCGGATTGTCCCCACAGGAATTTCATCAAAATCCGTCTAGTGGTTCAGTTTTAAGATCAAAAGAACTGGCTTTACAATAATTGGAGACGATTTTTTTCTTTGTTGAACACGATACTAAATAATTTTAAAGTCGGCTAAAGGACAACACTCACATCGTAGAGGCTCTGGTCATCAGAGTGGCTTTCGGCGTCCGAGGGCACCTCCTCGTCCATCTGTTCGGGTCTCCTCAGCAGCTGCTTCGCCTTCAAACTGACGTCCACGTCTTCGTCGAAATCCTGAAACATATATTTTTTTTTATTCAATTAAAAAAGTCAAGGTTTTTTCCAAGAGACTACAGCATGGGGTTCTTTAAAGAAAAAGGGGTAAAGAGGTTCCTTCAGGGTCGGCAACGCGCGTAATACCCCTGGTATTGCAGGTGTTCATAGGCTACGGTAACCACTCACCATCAGGTGGGCCGTATGCTTGTTTGCCATCTCAGCGGTATAAAAAATACTTGATATTATTACAAAAAGAAACCAAGTACGTGGTGGACCCGCGTACCGAGGACACTATACAATTTATAATTAAAAAAAAAATCGAAAAAATTTTTTTTGTAATATATTATTACAAACTAGCGGCCCGTCCCGGCGTCGCACGGGAGGACTTTTTTAACATTTCCTAATGGCCGCTTACCATCAGGCGAGCCGTATGCTCTTTTAGCTCCTGTGTTATAAAAAAACATACCTCGTCCAAATCGAAGTCATCTTCTTCAAGGAACTCCTCCTCGTTGATGATTTCATCAGGCTCTGGTGATAGAGGCCTCTGTTTCGACTTAGTGTGTGGCTGGAAATCAACAAGATTTATTTATTTAATAGTCGTTTGCTTGGGCACCTCTGTCCCATTCGTGTTTCTACCGTGAAACAGTTTTTTTTATGGATGATAATGGAATGGTAACCCCGCCTGCGCTATAGGTATACGCAGGCGAGGCACCAGTGAGGGATGATAGGTGAGAATGAAAAGGCAGGTCAGTTAGCCCACCGTGATGAATACGCCTGGTCTTCAGCACGATGGTTTCCAGGTGGAACCACGTGGAGGTCGACCTGACAGGGTATATTGTTAACAGTTGTGTTTGCATGGCTGCGCTTTGGCTTAACCCTTTAACTGGTAGAAGCCAAAGAACATAAAATATTCATATATATATATATATATATACATATATATATACATATATACATACATATATATACATATATACATACATATATATACACTTCTGAATACTACCGATCCCTACTACTCACCTCTACTTTTTTTAATATCACTTTAGATTTGTCTGATGACTTCAATACTTCATTGTTGGTATGCTTGTTTGAAGAATCTAGAAAAAAAAAATGTACACTAATATTATAAAGAGGAAAGATTTGTATTTTTGTGTGTATGTATGTTTGTAATGAATAAACTCAAAAACTACTTTGCCGATTTCAAAAATTCTTTCACCATTAGAAAGCCACATTCACCCTGAGTGACATAGGCTATATTTATTGCTAGAAAACATTAGGGATCCTTACTAAAACTTTAATAACGCAACTCAAGGTGTAAAAAAATGCTATAAAATATCTTTGGTCGCGTGCGCTGCGGAAACTATTGGTGATAAGACAAAAGTATGTTCTACAATATTGAAGAAAATATCAATAACTACAAAAAACTTCGCGACACTATATATCCAACCATTATCGTTATGTCACAATAATCACTTTTTAAAATATTGTAAAAATGTCCACCCGTGTGAAGCCGAGACGGGCCGGTAGGCCAGTAGGGACCCGTGGCATTTTGCCACGCTCTGCCACCCTATTGTTACGCCACTGATCATGCGTCGTGTCGATCGTAAAATTTCAAATACACTGCGCGGCGATTGCTTGGGTACCTCTATCCGATTCGTGTTTCTACCATGAAGCAGTTGTGTTTGCATGGCTGTGTTTCGATTTGAAGGGTGGGATATGACGTGAATTTACTGGGTACAGAGGAATAACACCTGAGTCCTTAGGAATGGCAACGCATGGGGGGTATCATGGGCGAAACAGTATACTCTGTTATGTCCACGGTACTGCTCATGTCTATAGGCGACAGTTACCATTTTCCATCAGGTGGGCCGTCAGCTTGTTTGCCATTCTAAGTTGTGTAAAAAAAAGATATTGCTATACATATATATATATATATATATATATATATATATATATATATATATATATATATATATATATATATATATATATATATATATAATATTTGCATGTCTAATTATGGCGAAATATGAGTATGTTTCTTGTAAATAAATAAATAAATTACCCACCGTTACTACAAACTATCATCTTTAAATGGAACTCACCATTTTTCACGATGCTATTTGTGGACACGTACTTCTTGGTGACCGTTTTGGAAGCGTTTATTACCTTCGAATGAATGAATGAATAAATGAGTATAATTTATTTGCATTATACAATATAGGGAATATTGCTAGCAATATGCCCTATCAGGTCGACCTCCACGTGGTTCCTCCTGGAGACCATCGTGAACAATTCTCGTTGAATTCGTCACGATGGGCTAACTGACCTGCTTCATCCTCACCTATCATCCTTCACTGGTGCCCCGCCGGTGTATACCGATAGCGCGGGTGGGGTTACCATTCCATTATCATCCATTAAAAATAAATATATAGGGAATAAGCAAGATAATTAATAAATGTAACGATACAGTTATATAAGTACAGTGAGGCGGTCTTATTGCTGAGAGCAATCTTTACAAGACAACCTTAAGGTAATGGGGGGAAAGGGATTGTTAGTAATGGGGTCAAATATTAATTAAATAACCCATTTTAATGGATGATAGGTCAAGATAAAAAGGCAGCTTCCTTAGCCCATCGTGATGAATACACCAGGGTATATTGCTAGCAATGGGACCAGAAGGACGCATTATCAACAATCCCCCCCCCAATCCCCAAACGGGGAAAGGGATCGTTAGTAATGGGGTCCAATAGCCCCAGTACTAGCAACATGCCCTGTCAGATCTATCTCCACGTAGTTCCCCCTGGAAACCATCGTGGTTAATTCTAGTTGAATTCATCAGGATGAGCTAACTGGCCTGTTTTCATACTCACCTATCATGTGTCCCTAGTACCCCGTGAGTGTATACCGTTAGCGCAGGCGGTGTTATCACAACCATTCATCGACATTATCATTTCGGCAATTATTCGTCCACTGCTGGACATAGATTGTTATTCTCCCCCCATAGATTGTTATTGGCTGGAAGAGATCTCTTTCAGAGATAAGCCCTCCCTTGCTAACAAGTTTATTTTATTTATTTATTACACTTTATTGCACCAAGTAAAAAGAGAAATAACAAATACAGTAAATATTAACGAGAAGTGATACAAAAGGCGGCCTTATCGCTAAGCAATCTCTTCCAGACAAACTTTGGGTAGAGGATATTGGGAAAAAGACAAAGTGTAGGTGGCGCACTATTATATAAATATTATCATATACAAACATATATACATACATACATACACACGCATACATATATAATATATACACAATTAAATATATACATAACATACACATACTTAACAGCAAACATACAACAGAAAAAAAAAATTACGAAGAAAAACGAAGAAAGTTGTTAAACTGCGGGTCTACCATGAAATGAAAGTCCGAAATTTCGGACTCGATTTCGTGTTTTTGTTTATACCAAAATCGGACCAATAAATGGAGTCTAACATTTCGTTTGTCATACATCCTATCATAAAAGTCCAAAGGAATTATTTTAACATTTTTAATATTTCCAAACGGCATGTATTATGTAATTTTAACATCAAATTTGTGTTTCGTTTGGCTCCGATATTTCGGAAAACATTTCATGGTAGGCCCTCTGATTGCTATATGTTTTGTTTAAGTGCAATAAACAACGGTCCTGAACCACCTGCATCCACTGACTCCCTGCGACGCATTTCAGGTCGTCACTCCATCTAGTGGGGGAGTCGTCCTACACTGCATTTGCCCGTACGCGGTGGCCACTCAAGAAACCTTTCTTCCCAATCAGTTGTTCTCTTTATCTTGCTTTTATGTTATTAATTATTTATTTTGTTTGCGTACATATTGTTAATCTTTATCTATACTTATAATAAATCTGTAGAGAGGTCAATTCTGTACATGAAATATATTTCCAAAATAAATATCAGGCGGTGATTAGTGATCGATACTGATGCCAAAAATGCAATCAGTAAAATTTTTGTCTGTCTGTCTGTATGTTGTAAAAAAAATGTCTGTAAAATGTCCACCCGTGCGACGCCGGGACGGGCCGGGAGTAATATAATAATATATTTATTTATGTCTCCCTCACAAACAACTTACATTTACACATAATATTTTTAGGATAAAATTAAAATAATACGGAACAATACTATACCTCCATGTATAACAATTAGTCCGTTACCCTAAGGGGGCATCCATTAATTACGTGAGCTCAGAATAGGGGGGGGAGGGGTCTAATTAATTCTCACCAAATCTCATTTAAACCGAGGGGGGGGATAATCAAAAATCTCACGTCAACTTAAAAAAATATAAAATATTAAAGATAAACGTAGACGTTTCCAGTGATTGTCTTCCTGCACTACTAGAAATTCCAGATGACATGTGTCCAATTATTTCGATTGAAAAAATACACGAGTCTCCATGGCAATCCATGGAGAATTTTACTCAATAGTAAAAATTTAAAAGAAAGTGTTGTTTTTATGTTTTTACTTTGAATTTTATTTAATTTAAATAAATTAATTATAGTATACCTGAACGATTTATTATTTTCCCGAATAATAAATATAAATTAAGGTTAAAATATTTTTTGTGTCAATATCACGTAAGGGGGGGGGGGTCAAGGCAAATCTCACCAAGGGAGGGGGGGGGGGAGTCTAAACTGATCGAAAAAGAGCTCACGTAATTAATGGATGCCCCCTAAGGATTCTTTTTTTTAAGTATCGATCACTAATCACCGCCTGATAGTTATTTTGGAAATATATTTCATTTATTTATTTATTCATTAGTACTAATATGTGTACATGGCGGACTTAATGCTAAAAGCATTCTCTCCCAGTCAACCATAGGGAAGTGTCAGAATACTCGAATGCGGTACTAGTAATTATTGATATACATACATACTAAAATTACATATATAAACGAATAAATATATATGAATAACAAATATACTTACACATATATGACATATACTATATTATACACGAATATGGGAATAATACAAAGCACTTACTGCTCGGATAAAGATAAAAAGTGAGCGTGAACGCTTTTTTTGAAAGACGGTTTAGTCGGTAGTCTCTTAACGGCATCAGGAAGCGCGTTCCAGAGTCGTGAAGAATGTAGGAGAGAAGAGTTTGAAGCGTAACCAGTACGGTGAGAGGGGAAGGATAATTGGAGAGTTTCACGTACAGAATTGACTTCTCTACAGATTTATTATAAGTATAGAGTATGGTATAATTAACCTTTGTGGGCTTCCCAGCGGCCTGACTCTGGCTCTTGGGTTTGAAAGCGAAGATTTTCTTCAGCGCCTCGGCGTCGTCTCGCGACTGCAACATGTTACAAAGATCCGTTATTATCTTATCTTACTTCTCGTATATGGGGTCAGCTAAGCTGTTGCACGTCGACCCATACGGATCTTTTGTTTTTTTTTTTTATACAACTTAGAATGGCAAACAAGCTGACGGCCCACCTGATGGAAAGTGGTAACCGTCGCCTATATACATGAGCAGTACCATGGACATAACAGAGTATACTGTTTCACCCATGATACCCCCCATGCGTATCTTTTGTGCTTCCCCCTGCCTTATACCATCATTTCATAGATCCTATGTTACTCTAACGATATCTTGCGGTTTAAAATATCTGTAGTCCTAGGTTCGTTATTAACAAATGTCAGTAGCTTTTGCCAAAATCCAGCATATTCTGTCTTTCTCTCTCAAACACACACTCTTCTTTCTCTTTTCTCTCTCTTTCATTCCCTCATTCTTTTTTTCTATCTCCCTCTTTCTGTCTTTTGGGCAATCGTGGAAAAATTAAGGAATAAATCTTACCATTTGGAGTGGGGGGGAGGGATTGTTAGTAATGGCGACTACCAGTCCCATTGCTAGCAATATGGGGTATATTGCTAACAATGGAAATCCACATGGAGGTGAGTTTAACCTTCACATGGTCCCCCTGGAAACCACCGTGTTGAATTCCAGGTGTATTTATCACAACAGGCTAACTGACCTGCTTTGGGAGAAAGGGATTGTTAGCAACGGAATTTTAAAGCCCCATTGCTAGCAATATACTTTATTAGGTCGACATCCACGTGGTTCCCCCTGGGAACTATCGTGAACAATTCTTGTTGAATTCGCCACGATGGGCTAACTGACCTACTTCATCCTCACCTGTCATCTATCACTGGTGCCCCACTAGTGTATTCCGATAGCGCGGGCGGGGTTACCATTCCAATATCACCCATTAAAAAAACTAACCTGCTCTTTCATTGTCACTAATCATCCCTCTCTGGTGCCCCGCCAGTGTATACCGATAGCGCGGGCGGGGTTACCATTCCATTATCATCTATTAAAAAAAACAAAAACTCACCACATCGGTAGCGTCTGAATCGTCAGTCGTATCCTCGGGCACAGCTTTAGCGGCCGGGTATTTCTTCTTCAGGACATTCTTGGTCACTTTCAATTGCGTCACCTTGGAGCCCTGCAATTGGTGATGTACTATTTATATTTCTACTACCTTCCACTAAAATATAAGAAACAGTATGTGTGTGTACTGTTATGTCCATGGTACTGCTCATGTTTATAGGCGACGGTTACAACTTTCCATCAGGTGGGCCGTCAGCTTGTTTGCCATTCTATGTTGTATAAAAAAAAGAACTTTAGATTTCTTTTTAAATAAAATCAGGTAAATGTTAGTGTGAACTAACAATAATTAATACCATCATCATCATCACCATATCGGCCTTTAACTGTCCACTGATGAACATAGGCCTCCTCCTACTGGGGAGTTTTGCCAGTAGTTGCCATGCTTAGCAGGCGGGTTGGCTACCATAAGTTTTTTTTAATGGGTGATATCCATCCATGGGTCCTACCCATATATCGGGCATACAATACACTTAGCCGCATAATATTAATTATTTCACAGTCATACAATAAAAGTAAATTTGTACAAAAGTCGATTGCTTGGGTACCTCTGTCCCATTCGTGTTTCAACCGTGAAGCAGTTGTGTTTGCATGGCTGTGTTTTGGTTGAAGGATGGGATATGGCGTGAATTTACTGGGTACAGAGGAATAATATCTGAGTCCTCAGGAATAACAACACATGGGGGGTATCATGGGCGAAACAGTACACTCTGTTATGTCCATGGTACTGCTCATGTCTATAGGCGACGGTTACCACTTTCCATCAGGTGGACCGTCAGCTTGTTTACCATTCTAAATTCTAAGTTGTATAAAAAAATATATATAAAAAACTACATACCTCAAACACAAAATCATCGTCATCCGTGGAATCGTCATCCTGCACTTTATTTTTGGGCTTCGTTTTGACTAGAACTTTAATTTTTGCCTTGTCATCGTCTTCGCCTAGTAATCTCTGAAAAAAATAACGAATAAATGACTATTACAACTACTGCTGTGTGGTCCCACCGTAGAATGGGCCAACCAGTGGCGTAACTATACCATTTGGGGCCTGTGGCAAATTGTTTTGATGAGGCCCTATCAGTAAAAAAAAAATACTTTTCACGTAACGCAATAGTGAAAACCGCATTCAAATCGGTTAAGCCGTTTGTGAGATTGGCGCGCACAAACATACAGACAAAAATTCTAAAAATCATTGTTTAGGATCCTACTGCGTTCATAAAGCCCCCTTATAATAATTTCTCTTATATTTCTTATATATCTTATACTTATATATCTTCCATGTACAAACAGCGAACAGTTACGATTTTATTATATATATATATATATATATATATATATATATATATATATATATATATATATATATATATATATATATATATATATATATATATTATATTGATATTGTAACTACGATATATAGATATTACCCACCCATCCTTACTTTTTTTTTAATGGATGATAATGCAATGGTAACCACACCCGCGCTATCGGTATACACCGGCGGGGCACCAGTGAAGGATGATAGGTGAGGATGGAGTAGGACAGTTAGCCCATCGAGACGAATTCAACAAGAATTGTTCACGATGGTTTCCAGGGAGAAATACGTGGAGGTCTACCTAATAAGGTAAATTGCTAGCAATGGGGCTGTCAAACTCCATTGCTAACAATCCCTTTCCCCCTACCCATCCTTACTGCCTTTATCCTCACCTGTCATCCACCCGTGGATATAACTCGCACCTGACCACTTCTTTTAGGGGGGAAAGGGATTGATAGTAATGGGGTCAAATAGCCCCATTACTAGCAATATACCCTGTCAGGTAAACCACCACGTGGTTCCGCCTGGAAACCATCATGGCTAATTCTAGTTAAATTCGTCAGGATGGGCTAACTGATTCATGCTCACCTGTCATCCCTCACTGGTGCCCCGCCAGTGTATACCGATACCATTATCACCCATTAAAAAAAATTTATCACTCACCAGTAAATCATCAGTGTCGTTGCCATCTTCAATTTTATCAGTCGACCTGGACTCAACGGCGGCTCCATCAGCTTTCTTGATCAGGAACTGCTCCAGGTCCGCGTGTTGCTCATCTTTGACTTCGTTCTCCAAGCTGTTGAGGGTCTTCTCGATACTTTCGATCTTCATTGAGTCCTGGTAAAGAATAAACATTCATGAGATTAAGATTTATATATATACCATATTTATACCACTGAGGTGGCAAACAAGCATACGACCCACCTGATGGTAAGCGGTCATTGTAGCCTACTGCAACACTAGGGGTGTCACGTGCGCGTTACCGACCCTGAAGATACCTTAATATATCCTTTTGAAGAACACCATACTGTAGTGTCTAGGGAAAACCTCGGCAGGGAGCCTTTTTTTTTTACAACACAGGGGGCAAACGAGCATGCGGCTCACTTGATGGTAAGTGACTACCACCGCCCATGATCACCCACAACACCTATGGCATTGCAGGTGTGCTGCCGGCCTTTTAAAAAGGAATATGCTCTTTTCTTGAAGGTTATGTTGTCGTATCGGTTCGGAAATACTAATGCTGGAAGTCGATTCCAAAGAATGGTTGTGCGTGGAAGAAAGGGCCTTGAAAAACGCACGGTGGAGGACCGCCACACACGTACGTGTCCATGTGTTTACGTTTGGAGTTTGTTGGGGAGGCACCGGTAGAAGTACATACAATATAAACTACCTTAATATTTCCTTGGCTCTCATTATCCATCGACTCGTCATTAGCACTGGTCATGGCATCATCTTGACTCGAGTTGCCGGGGTTCGAGCATTGATCTTCGTTGGCCTGTAATGTATATACGTATTTCTATGAAAACAATGCTGGAAATCGGACTTGGTGGAGTTTAGAATTCATCTCTGTAAGTTACATCATGTTTAACCCTTTGAGTGCCGACGAGCGCCATCGCGTTCGTGCGCATTGCAACTAAAAGTGCCACGAGCGTCATGGCGCTCGTGAAATCAGTCGCCGTTTAGCTTGCTGTAAAAAAAAATATTAAAATTGGACAATTTTTGGAGGAGATACAGTTTTTTTAGAGACAAGGGTAAATGACATCGACACGACAAAGATTTCTTTGGCATTTTTAAGTAGATATGAGTAAAAATCAATGGCACTGAAAGGGTTAACTGCGAGGGAAGGGAGGGGAAGGGGATTTTTAGTATTCACCATCATCATTTCAGCCATTATCCATCCACTGCTGAACATAGACCTCCCCCATAGATTGCCATTAAAAACGGTCCTGAGCCACCTGCATCCTAGCCAGTAATAGCATAGCCGCCGGGACCGGAGGCCGTTTCTTTACAGTGTTTACTATTGGGGGGTGTTGCCACGCTTGGTAGGCGGGTATTTTTTTTAATGGATGATAATGAAATGGTAACCCCGCCTGCGCTATCAGAATACACTAGTGGGACACCAGTGAAGGATGATAGGTGAGGATGAAGCAGGTCAGTTAGCCCATCGTGACGAATTCAACAAGAATTGTTCACGATAGTTTCCAGGCGGAACCACTTGGAGGTCGACCTAATAGGGCATATTGCTAGCAATGGACCTGTCAAACTCCATTGCTAACAATCCCTTCCCCCCCGGCAGGCGGGTTGGCCACCACAGTTAGGCTTTGGTGATGTTTTAAGATGGATGCTGCTGCACATTCCTCGACCACTATGTTCCCTTAGTCACCTCTTACAAAACCCTCGGGAAGTAAAAGGGTGGCCCATTCTGTGCCGGGACCACACAGTGTTTATTACTGGCTGTGTCTGCACGACACGGTTGCCAATCATCATCATATCAGCTTTTAACTGTCCACTGCTGAACATAGGGGGGAAAGAGATTGTTAGTAATGGAGACTGAGAATCCCATTGCTAGCAATATACCTAACCAGGTCGACCTCCTCGCGGTTCCCCCTGGAAACTATCATGGTTAATTCCTGATGAATTCATCATGTTGGGCTAACTGGCCTGTTTTCAATCTCATCTATCACCCTTCACTGGTGCTCCGCCAGCGTATCCCGTTAGCGCGGGCGGGGTTACCATACCATTTTCACCCATAAAGAAAAATTACTGAACTGCCTTACCCTTGGAAGGTTTTACCTGTAGTTGCCACTTGGCATGCAGATTGGTAACCGCAGTCCAGATGTTTTAAGAAGGACGTTGCTGCCCATCCCTAGCCTTCTCTTAATCAACTCTTACGACACCCACGGTATAGGAAAGGGTGGCCTATTCTATGCCAGGACCACATGGCTAACAATAAGTTTAATTTTTTAGCAAACCAATCTACTCACCGCCGGATGGTACTCCTCATCAGTGAGGTTACCCTCACTGAGCCACTCCTCCTGACCCTCCTCCATTTCTCCGACACTCTCTTCAAATTCCATCGCAGCCTGTAACAATTTCAAATTAGGTTTTTTTTATACAAAGTTGATAATTTTTTTTTAATGGATAATAATGGAATGGTAACCCCACCCGCGCTATCAGTATACACTGGTGGAATACCAATGAGTGGTGACAGATGAGGATGGAGTCAGGTCAGTTGATCCATCATGATGAATTTGATAATAATTAATTACGATGATTTTCAGGGAGAACAGAGTGGAGTTCATCCTGACCTTACTAGCAATATAGGGTATATTGCTGCTACTAGCAATAGGAATTAACATCCCTATTATTAACAAACCCTCTCCCTCCCTGTATTTATTTATTTATTTATAGGATCACCAACATAAGATACAGCTAATCATTTCAATACAATACACTGGCAGATTAGATCTAACTGTTGTTACATTTATAGGCGACCACAGCGTGCCTTGTGTTTGATAAACATTAAATTATTAAATGTCATTAAATAAGTAAAGATATTAACAATATGAATAATAACACAATATAAATAATGAAAATTGTAATTAAATTATTTTAAATTATAAATAAATATAAAGCAATGGCGAGGTACATCCAACATTTTAATTTAGCCATGAATACAGAGTGACTGTCATTGTGAATATCAAGTTCAGGTTTGGTTTTTACAATTTTTATTTGTATACAACTTAGAATGGCAAACAAGCTGACGGTCCACCTGATGGAAAGTGGTAACCGTCGCCTATAGACATGAGCAGTACCGTGGACATAACAGAGTATACTCTTTCGCCCATGATACCCCATGGGTTGCCATTCCTGAGAACTCAGGTGTTATTCCTCTGTACCCAGTAAATTCACGCCAATATCGTCATACAGACGCTTTATGCGGACGATAGATGATTCGCGGTATATAGTAATACCGATCCCGACTGCAGCGTATACCGTTAGCGCAGGCGGAGTTACCATTCCATTATCGCCCATTCCTACTGACAGGGCAGCAATGAAACAAGACAGAACAGCTCGAAGTCAAAACAAAATGTCCTTTCGTGACAAATTCACCAAGAGTTATGACGTGCTAACAACTAGTTTCCAGGATATTCCAGTATATTTTAAATTCCTTATTAATAGCCGGTTAAGGGTTAATTTTATAGATCGATATGAGATCAGAAGAAGCTTTTTTTTATATTAAAATTATTTATTTTGACGTTTAAATTACATATAACTAAAAACAATATCGAAGTCGATAACCCTACAAATAATTTTCAATATATTGTTTACATTTTTGACATTTTAAATACCGCGATGTATTACGTTAAAATTTAATAAAAAAAAACAGTACATACCTCCAGTTTTGAAACTTTTGGCGGCGGTTCTTCAACGTCGGACATTATTATAACTATATAATATTTTATTACAAAAGTGAATTATTTAAATTAATATTATTCCTGTAATATTTATGGAACTAACATCACTTTTTTAAATATATGTTTTACGGCTCTGGATACAAATCTACAGAGCAAGTAATCGTTACGTTACACGTTAACGTTACGTACAAGACCCTTTTAAGACAGAAAATAAAATAAACTGTATGTTAGAGCGAGAGAGACTAAAGAATAATAATTTGCACAACATAGGCTCGCTGTTTTGGCAGGAGAATAAACAAAATATTTTCTAATTATTTTTACGTATTGAAATGGAATTAGTTTTAAGTGAATATAGTTAATTAGAATTAAGTGTGCTTTACCTGAATGTAATAAAAATAACAGAGAAAACATTTTCAATTTCCTGTTTTACGTGTAAATATACTTAAAACATTTTACTTATTTAAATATAATAATTATTACTCTGAAGGCTTAAGTATTCAAATTAAAATAATAACAAATACGGGAATATCTTAAAATTTTAACTTCAATTCCTTTGATATTGTTAATAAGCGTCAATGATTTAAATCGATTGTATCGATTTAACAAATCCTTAAAGACAACAGCCCGTTACATATATAACTATAATAATTAAGAATCAATTTATTATATAAATTAAAACGAATAATAAAAAAATATTTTTAAATGACCACAAACGCAAAAAATAACGCATATTATCTGTTGACCGTTCGTAAAATAAGATCTTACAAAAAATGAAATTAATCGTCCGGCAACGGTTATTAGTGGACTGTATGAAATTTTAATACAATGGTGGTAGTTAACATAAGAAACACAAGAGGATAATTAAAGTGGAGACCACTGACCTGAAACTTTGTAGTTAGCAGGATTCGGTTCTGGCTTTAGGCTTCCCAGTACTTCTGGCTCGTTCGAACTTACCCTCAGATCCAGGTTACCTATCCACCGCCTTGAACCGACCAGCAGTGCAATGCCCTCCTCTCAATCAGCCTCTTGGTTATGTGTGATATGATTAAAAAAGCGATACGAAAAGACAAACGATATTCGCGGCAATATATGCACGCGTGCGATAATATTTTTAAACGAGAACGACGACAACGAACGTACATTCTACCGACACATTCGATAACAACCGACAGACTTTTTTTTTATTTTGTAAAAATGTTGCCAGGCGAAATTTATTTAAGCTACAATTCTTAACATTATCGTTAATGAATTGTAATACAATATTTTAATCTTATTTTTATTTCATCCTTCTACCAAAGTCTTTTACTTTTTCGGTATAAAGTAAGATTCTGATTTCCAACGAGATAATTGACATTATTAATCTATATCATCAATATCTATATTAAAAATAAGTAAATTTTTGTCTTTCTCAATATGGCCGAAGAGAATATTACTAAGGGATAAGAGTGCGCACTTTATTCAAGCTATGTCAAACTACTTGATCAGGAATATCTTACCAATCTACACAAAATTCCTCCTTTTCTCGTTATATTGGCCAGCCTGATATTCTGGATGGAAACGAATAGGTTATAATTATACTATAGTATGATAGTAAAAACGCGAAGAAATATATAAATTTTATGTCAAATTGCATGTTCCTATGAAATTTTTTTTAGCAAAAATAAAACAACTGTAATATTCATAGGTAGTTAATAAGAATGAAAATATAATTTGCCAGAATTTTAGGCTTTAATAAACTGAAATCTTATATCTATGTCAACTGATGACTAAAATATTCTTCTAATATTTAATGGCATAACGATATTCGCCCCTGGGTCTTAAAATTCTGTGTGATAATCTTGAAGCCAAACAGGTGGGCGGCGTTATCTGACATAGTTTTTTTTTATACAACTTTTTTCTTATACAACAAGAATGACAAACAAGCTGACGGCCCACCTGATGAAAAGTGGTATCCGTCGCCTATAGACATGAGCAATACCATGGACATAACAGAGTATACTGTTTCGCCCATGATACCCCCATACGTTGCCATTCCTGAGGACTCAGGTGTTATTCCTCTGTACCCTGTAAATTCAAGCCATATCCCACCCTTCAAAACGAAACACAGCCATGCAAAGACAACTGCTTTACGGTTGAAACACGAATGAGACAGAGGTACCCAAGCAAACTACTTTTGTACAAAATCTCCTTCTGGTGAACAGATACACCCGTCTCAATAGAAAGGCGTTCAATGGGAGATATATCTTCTTTAGCCTAGTTTCTTTAAGGTTCAGTTAACAACGAAAGGTTAACCGGAGCCAGGTGTATTTTGGAAACAATAGTTTCCCGACCATTCTGCAGACGGGCTTAAGAATACAGTGGACTAACGTTGATTACTTCTAATTATTCGACTAAAGGATCATATTCATTTCTTCTTACCATATTTTTCGTGAACACAGTCTGAAGTTCGTTAGCCATTGGTTGATCTATGGGGGTGTGAAAACATCTTTTCATATGGTGTGCACCCAGTGCTTGTACATAATAATAAACGAATACTATAATAATGCTAAAGATTGAGCTTTTGTTTTTTTTTTTTCGTATCGTTTATGCTGTTGGCCGCAGATGGCCTTTACAGCTTCACCAAGCACGTGTGCAGGGGCGAGTGCGGAGGGCACTCCAAGCCCGCGAGAAGGGAGCAACGATAGGCGTCAACTCTTACTGATGGACTGCGGTGTGCGCCCGAGGGCGCCCTAGTGGTTCAGACCTCGACTCAGGCCACCGCACTTCTATCCCCGTTGAGGGACGGGAATTAGTGAATCGTAGGGAACGATTAAGCTTGTTTGAAAGCGGTATCTAGAATCAAGGTACTGTTCTCTAGCAAACTTTGCAAACGTAATTGGAGATATGACTGCCTCTATGAAAGCATCTCTGATGTACTCACTTTCGTTTTGTTCGCCGTTACATTTTGAAAGTTACATTCTTTGGATAATAATTTAAATGCTTGTACATATGAATTGACTTACCAAGTTGCTGATATTGTTTCATGAGACGATGTCTTGAATGGATTTCATTAATAGGTTTTAGTAAATAATTGATATAATTTATGAATTGCTTTGGTATAGTCACCGCATTCTGCAATGTATGTGTTATGAATGTAATCTATGTTTGTGTTTCGGAACGCAACTTACGAGCTGTCAGATTAGAATCGTTAGAAAATGTAATATGTCGTTCATTCACTGAAAAATTAAATTAAATAGAAACCCTAACAAATGAGATCCATTTCTTTAAACCTCAACAGTATGCAAATAATGTCGGAAATAATAATAAAATAATACACGAGTAATTGATACTGCTGCTCCAAACTGATAGAATTTTCTTTAGTATTTATAGCTGCAATAAAGTTTTCAAACGTCTGCTTCCAGTGTATCCATTGTGTACATTGATCGAGTTTTGCTGATGGATGTGCATGGAATCTTTGGGAACATAAATATTTATCCATTATAAATTATTAAATATTATTTTAGTTTATTAAATTGTAATAATCATATTAAATAGTTAATAAGAATAAAAGTACAATTCGCCAGAATTTTATATATAAGGCTTTAATAAATTGAAAGTCTCCGAAGTACTTTTTTTTAATTTTGATAACAAAATGTAGTTTAAATTGTTTCTAAGTTGTTGAAGAAAATTGTTAATTTTCCTTACCTAAATACTACTTACCTAGGGTTATTGCTAGCAATAAACTTATTGTAGGTGACACGTAACTATGTATTTGTTCTATTCTCTTTATATATGTATATTATGTTCCTAAGTTTTGAATAAACGCGGGAGTAAGCGGGGCAGCGCCTCTCACGTGAATTTAATGAACTTGTGTTTTTTTTTTGATGGGTGAAAATGGAATGGTAATCCTGCCTGCGCTAACGGGATACGCTGGCGGAGCACCAGTGAAGGGTGATAGATGAGAATGAAAACAGGCCAGTTAGCCCATCATGATGAATTCATCAGGAATAAATCATGATAGTTTCCAGGGAGAACCGCGAGGAGGTCGACCTGGTTGGGTATATTGCTAGCAATGAGATTCTCAGTCTCCATTACTAGCAATTCCTTTAACAATTTACGCTTTACTATAATTAGCATTGAGTTTTATGTGTAGTACAAAAAGTTTTTCTAAAATGTTTTTTAAAACAATAGTTTTAAGGAATAAGTTATGTTAATTAACATACTGTATAAGGTTGGCGACCCCGTACGGGCAAATGCAGTGTAGGACGACCCGCACTAGATGGAGTGACAACCTCTATAGCATTGCAGGGACTTAGTAGATGCAGGTGGTTTAGGACCGTTCCTTATGGCAGGCTATGGGGGAGCCCTATGTCCAGCGGTGGACAATAAGGTAAGATTATATTAAAATAACAAACTACAATAGACATTCATTTATTTATTATTAAGAAATTATTTACAGTTCCATATGAATATTACAAACAAAACCTATAAGCAGTCTATTTATTTATATTTATAATCGACTAATCTATATTCATAATCTATAGTCATGGAAGGAAACGCTCCAATATCAATAGATTTTTTATTACGTAACTTTTCATTAAAAAAAAAAAAAATTATTATTACAAAGTAGTGTATTACAAATATAGATTAAAACATAATAGCCATTTGTATACTGCATGGATTAATAAAAACTATTACATCTCTAAACCTAGACTATACAATAAAAAAAAAATTAGGAAATTATTTATGGTACTTCACTCCTTGTTCCGCTGAGATCGATTGGCGCGAAAAATGGCGGAGTGTCAAATATAAATGAGACGTATTTAAACGAAAGTGAGCGAGCGGTTTTGAGCCCAAAATATAAATGTTACTAAAGATCAAATTTCAATAAATAGCTTATTTAAATTTCACATTGGTCTGACGCTCCAAACCGTTGGTCCCGACTGGTTTTTTTTTAAATGAAGACTTTAGAAATGGAAAAACTCTCAACAAATTATGCCTGCCATAGTGAGGTGGCAAATAAGTACAGTAAAAGCTCTTTATTCGCGGAGTGTATGTTTTCCTTAAATATGTGGCAAATACTGAAACCGTCAATATGGAAAGTCGAACCACTTATACAGCGGCGTTAGCATTTGACAACGGAACAAAGGAAGCGTAAATAAGGAGTTTCTACTGCATTATACATTCGACAAATACTATTAGTTTAGAGCACTCATAAGAGAGAAAAAGACGCGATATGTTGTTGTTTCGTTCTATCTCATGCACAGACTATGTAATCTAGCATCTTAGCTATGATTATCTTTCAACTATCGACTTCAAAAAAAGTCTCAATTCAGTTACATTGTGCAATATACTTTTTTCTATTTACATTTAGTGATAAACCACACGGCCCGCCTGATGGTAAACGATTATATCACGCAAACGCTGAACGTGCTATCATTATCTACCTAAACCGTCGACAACTATTTTAAAAAGTTAAACACTATGTTGCCCGATGACACTTGTCATCAGCAACTTCCATTCAAACTTTCATCCCCTTTCAGGGACGAATTCTCAAAAACCCTTTCTTAGCCAAATTCCATGCTTCTAGATCTAGCAGGACCCATCTTTTAAGGCTATTATATATCAATCAGTCAGCCCGTTTCCTCGTGTAAATATCACATTTCCACAAAAATACATATTGCAAGAAAAACATGTTTGTAACATATATTTTGGTGGTACAGTGGAAACAGGTGTTACAACACCTAAATAACAAAAAAAAAAAAAAAAAAGAAAACACGTGTTTTACATATATTATATGTACAAAACTTGGTATAAACGCTCTATATGAATTTTTAAGTACCTACAACATATGCTCACTCACTTTCGTTCAAATATAAATTAGAAATGGATATAAAATAAATTTTAAAACTATAATTAAAGCCATATATACACATGCGAGACGATTCGGTTACTTGCTATACAATTTATTACATACAATTTAATTTACACAATAAAAAAATGGCGTAAGGCGTACGGGGCTAAACGCGGTTTTAGCGATGCAACTAGTGATGTGCCGACACGGCCTTCTTCGATATTCAATATTTTAGGTACTCGTTAAAAAAAAGGCAATCGAACACCGACTCGAGTTTGGACTCGGACATGACAAGGCTCGAGGACTCGTACGGGTATTCGAGTACTTTATCAGTCTAAGAGTACTTTTTTAATTCTTAACCTAAACTTTTATGAAGAATAACTAATGTTCAGAGTAACCTAATGATTTTTCTTTAGTAATTAAAAAAAATATTAAAAAAAATGCTGGAATAGAGAAAAAAAAACTTATGAACGCACGTATATTATTCGAGTACAGTACATACTCGAAACCTATATTCGAATACAGTGTACCCGAGTTCTCTATATTGAGTACTCGAGTCGATTAATCTATTCGAGTCAATACTCGAGTCGAACCGACTCGGACATCACTAGTTGCAAGGCAACGCTGGTTTAAGCGTTACCTTATGCTACAATAAAGCAACGCGTTCCAGAGGCTAGTCCTTTAAGGAGCCTTTATTATTGGTTAATTCCCGATTCATTCACACATAAGTATTTAAAATTTCCCAATTCATCCCTATTTTTGGTTCGCCATTTATGAGTTGCGACGAAATAGGAAATTCTAAACGAACGAATATACAGACAATCTGAAACCGCTGAAATCGTTTTTATTTAAGACCCTATAAATACTTCAGAGCGTGTATTAGTCCTATCTACTCGTACAGATGGCGTTGGAAACGCCAAATGTAATTTGTTGTAATTTAACACATGTCCACTGCTGGGCAATGGGATTCATCATTTTACATTTGAAATGTATATATAAAAAAAAACAAAGTTTTAACCATAGATACAGATTCAATTAGACGGCGCAACTGAATATTTTCATCCCTAAATTAGACACAGTAGAAACCAGTTGACTTCTCTTCGATTTAATGATATATAAAATAAAATATTTTGTCCTGACCGACTGTCAACGCACGCAAAACCTACTGTAAAAAGATGACTGGCAAACAAATTGACGCCCCACCTGGTGGAAAGTGATAACCGTCGCCTATAGACACGAACAGTACCGTGGACATAACAGAGTACACTGTATCGCCTTTCACGCGTTACCATACCTGAGAACTAAAACATTAAGCCTCGATACCGTGCAACTGTAGCGCGGCTTATTTGTTGCCAAAAAAAATTGCTTTAGTAACATCAAAATTAATTAGTAACACGTTTTGACTTTTAGTACTTATAAAAAATTGAGGCAATTGCGCCATCTGTCTCTATCAATGTCTATGATTTGAAACGTACATGTAAATATTCGTGACAAATTAAATATAAAATCATCAATGTTCAACGAAAGATAACAAAAGGCGGAACATTCAAACTTTACATACGATTAGACGTATCCTATCTGTGCGTATAAAATACACACAGTCTTTAATAATAAAACAAAAAATTAGTCACCCGTCACTTTCTTTCAAACTGAGAAATCAGCTCGAAAGAAAGAGACAGCACGATAGATAAAATCGGCTCATTGGACATTTCACTTTAAGGAGGTATAAGACCTAGTGATGGGCAAAGTTACTGGCAAGAGTTGGATTGATTGCTGAAAAAAGTATACAAATGTGTGGGTAGAAAAAATATTTCTGCCTCGGGAAAGGAGGCACGATATCGCTACATCAGTCTACGCGTAACAGCGGCCGATCTAACTTGAGATTTAATTTCCCATATAGCGAACACTTCGCGAACGATTAACTGTCGAAAAAATGGGATTCTATTGCACGATTGCTTCCTAATCGCTACATAGGTTATTGAACTTTTCACTTACAAACAGTAGAAACGATCAAGTGGCAAAACAGAATTAATTCATAATAGTCATTTTAATTCCTAAATCGCTCAGCAGAGGAAGCACTGTCGCTCGCTCAACGCTCCTAGGTATTACAAAATAAGCCAAAAATGACGGAAAATATCGTGCGATTTTTGACCATTGCAAATTGTTTCGAGTCACATAATCAAGCTGCTCGAAATGTCACAGAGGGGGGACACAGTCGTAAGTAAACGTATAATGGTTGTTAATTCGAGCCGGACAACCAGAAAGACGGCAAAAGCCAACTGGAAACTAATTCCCATGTACCCGTCCAATACTGTCCTAATGAGAGACAGATGTGACATGTATCTATCTGTATATGACATTCTTTTTTTTTTGGACGTTCTAAGCAAGCGATACCTAAAGAGGGTTCCGTAAAAAAGTTACCAGAATTCCGCGAAATTATTAACACAGTGAAACAATTTCATTCTTCACACTAAAAATTAAAGGAAACTATAAAGTGTTATACTTTTAAAATATTTCTAATAAAAGCTTCTGTTCTTATTTAAATTACAGTGTTTTTGATTTGTAATCTTTGATATAGGGTTCCATAAAAAAATAATGGTATTTGGTGGACGTTCCATTATCTTAAAAGTTTAGAAAATCTTGTTCTAGATGGTTCGTTTAGGCATCCCGTCCTCGCCAGTGGATACGGATAACGGAATGCCTTTAACTGTGGGTGCACTGTATTTATTGGGGCGCAATACGCAATATTAGAGCAATATTGAACATGAAATTCATATTTTAACAATATATCTATGCAAAAAAAAACTAGTCACTTTTATTTATAATCCTCTCTAAACTTTGAACTTTAACAAAAAGCAACTAGTTTTACAAATGTTTCAGTAATAAACAAGACATTTTTTTTTAATTTATCAATACATTTACAAAAAAAAAAAAAAAAAACATTACTCTAAAGGATATTTAAAAAAAAAGTTTTTTCTAAGAAAGAAAACTTGTTAACATTCTCGCTACTGTCCATTTGATAAATTAATAGCAACTGTCAATACAGTGTTTTAAAACAATTCCAACATTGCCAACATGACAGCAAAATGGAAAAAAAAGTTATAAATTAAACATAACAGACCAAGAATCGGAATCAAAAAGGACAAAAAAAAAATAGAGACTTCGATACGAGACTTCAAAACAACTGGACAGGCCTTACTGGTGTGGAAGACTTAAAATTTAGTTCGTCGTTCGTTTTACAAAAAAAAAAACAAGTTTTAGAAAAAAAAAAAAAGATTCATTAAAAAAACTGATCGTTAGAGGAAAAAAAAAACAGTTTCAAACGGGAATAATCAGTAAGTAATCTTTTTACTGTATTTATGCTCGTTTAAGTAGATTTAACATTCAGTAGAGAATAGTAGAAGGAAAGATAGAGGGCAAAAGAGGAAGAGGAAGACCGAGGATTAACTACATGGGACAGATAAAGGAAACACTAGGCGTCATATCGTATAGGGAGATAAAGGATATGGCCTGGGATAGAGCTGGCTGGAGGAAGATGCATGAATTAGTTGCACCGACAAGAGGAAACTCTTAAATGAAAAGAGAGATGTACTAGGGCACCATAGAAATGAAATAGTCAATTGTAATCGAAATTAAATGGATCTCGTTGTACTCACACTGATAAATTCTGCTTCCCGTCTGTAACTGTCTGCTTAGATCTTTAAAACTACACAACGGATTTTGATGCGGTTTTTTTTAATAGATAGAGTTATTCAAGAGATTCGTGCGAAGCTGGGGCGGGTCGCTAGTTTCAAACAGTTTCTCTTTAAATTATTAATAGACTGAAGAATTTATATTTCGTACACATTCTGAATGGATTCGAACCCACATCCTTCTGCTATTCGGGCCTAATGTGTCTCTAATTACACCACGCAATAAATACCATCTCTTCATATTCTTTCCAACTTATTTACTATTTAAGACTCCCAAACGCATTTAAAATATTTTTAAATAATTTCCCCTTTTGATCCCAGTTAATTCAAAATACAATTTAACTAAAACAATATTATTTCTAAAATTTATGTTAATTTCTTAATACGATGTACTCCGCCACTATCTCCCCCCCACCTCCACACCCCTCTACGGCACCAACGTCTTCACGGGCTCTGCGAGCTGCAGCCCACAATTCGACAGAGACGCTGTGATGCAATGCACCTTACGCCCCTTGAAGACTACCGGATGGAGTCGAAATAATTGTCGGAAACGACAGAAACACTGAGTTCATAAAATTCCCGCTACGCACGTGTATGGACATCGCAAAACATAACAGCAGCCATTGTAAAAAAAAAAATTGAGATAGAGAACTGCAAATTTAATTTGCCACAACGAAAAATATTGTCTATCCTTGTTTAACTATACAATAACGAGAAGGACGGCATATACATATTATTATTTTTAAAAATAAGATTAAAATCGAACGCCAGTTTTGGGTTCATTCCGTTCACGTTCGAATTTCGAACTCCTGTAGGGTCCATTCACACCGAGTGGCAGCGATATAGATATAGATAGATTCTGACTGCTACGTTCGGCCACCGGCTTTCGGTTGCCGAAAACACCCGAACAATAATATGCTAAATGTAGCATTAGCTTAAACCTGTTTGTGGTAATAAACACATACATTTAGGCCGCATTTCCACTGACACCCATACTCTTCAATCGAACACATGTAAAGCGATAGGCACTTAACAACTTATGTATGCCTGGTACAACGAAGTCATTTACAACTTGCCTACTGGCCCAGGGGGCAGTTCTACTAGTGAAATTGCCTTCCTAAGCAAGGCAAACGCATCTAACGACAGACACGTGTCCGTTCTCGTACTCACATGAGTAAGAACAAAAAGGCTGACTTGCTATCTCATTCTATCACATGCGTATGCTTGGGCAAAAATGTATAATTCGTTTGCCTCTTAGATATACTAAGAACAAGTTCCACCACATGGGTCGAAAAACAACAGACAATTGAGCTGCCCATACCAAACCAGCCTGTCAAGCGTGGTAAAACCCCTCTTTATGGGGGGGAAGGCCTATGTTTAGCAGTGAGCAGTTAATGTCTGATATATTGATGATGATGATGATGATGAAGATGATGATGATGATGATACGAAACTTGACAGCAACATTTTTTTAGTCATTTTTCGACCCATATTTTTTTAGTGAAAAAATTTTTTATTTCACTAGGGGATCACTCCCTTCGAAGGACGCTAACGACATAACTGCAGGGGAGATATTTAAGAAAAAAAAAATATACGAGAGATCTTAATAAGAAAAATACATTATTAAAAAATGTCTCTTTGTCTGTACTTATTATTTTTTTTCCATTACACAAAAACAACTGCACCAAATCGGATGCTGTTCACAGTTATGTTCCTGAATGTCCAATTTAAAATCTGGTATATGCTTCATCTTGTACGCCATCTAGTGGCGTTTCTACTGTCAAAATCCGCGCGTACGAAGCAACGGGCAAAAGCTATTCTAATATAATTTTCAACAATGCATAACTTCGTTTACAATATTTAATATTCGAATAGCTATCAGAGGCTCAGGTCCTTAGAAGTAGCAAATTAAGGGTTACATTATCATACATAGGATCATATCTATGTTACAGACGCCCCAATATCGTGTAAAAGGGCCTTTATACAACAGCCTAGTTTTTTTTTTTAATTCCTTCAATACATTTGCCATTTTTTCCACACTTAACACATAAATTTAAATCGAATTTAGAATATTCCATATTCAAATTTCTTGCTATTAATTATACGAACATTCGAAGCTTCGCATTCTCTATTACACTATGAATAATTGTATCTAGTGTTATTATTATTTATCTACATCATTTCTTTGTATTCGCCAATTGGTTTTGTACCTAATTACGATACGTTAAGTACGATTTTTTTAAACGACGAAAGCCTGCAATTTTGCTGGCCGAATGGAAACGCAGCCTTATACTCTTTATATACATTTTAAATATCTATCATTCTTTATTTAAATCTGACAAGACAAAAAGGGCGCGCGTCTTGAAGAAAAATAATTTGATATCATCATGAGACCCGCGTTACTTCAAACAGGAAAATTGCATGAAATCTATGTAACCAGTACGGTGAATTCGAAAATTGTATACTATAAAGTAATAACGTCTCGTATGATACCTATTGATATCAATATTTTAAAAACAAGCATATTATAAATAATTGTACAATACTACGAATAATCATTTATTTTATTTTGTTGGTACCTCCAAGTGGTTGCATAGATTCATTTTTTAATTTTGTCAACAGAAGTGTCGAGCCGATTCTTCGACACCATAGTGATTATCGCGACTAGGCGCACAGAAAGTAGCAACGATACGTCGCGTCATTTAGAAAAATTAAAAGTAAATTTACTACGATAGGGAGCGCCACTGTGCTATGACGTAAACAAACTTCATCTCCGTTACAGTCTGTAGTCTGTAATAGACGTTTAAGGATATTTTTCGGCCGTTATTTTTTCACTCACTCTCTGTTTTTAGACTTCCAAAAACTGTCATGTCGTTACGTTGTAACACGGTGGCGCCACCTACACAGAGTATAATGTAAACTTCTCTATTCTGACGCGAACTTTGTTCAATATATTGATTTTTCGATCTTCCGTACTAGGAGAGCATCAATTCAGTACAAGTATATCAACTTTAGCTTCAATGGAATATCAACTTTAACGTTACAGCACTAAGGTTTCGGATGGCGTACTTTAAAATCTTAAGTTAGGCAAAGCTAAAGTCAAATTGGTCATAAACTACCTAAAGTACTATAGAAAGCCTCTCTCATAGCACACAATCAATATATTTATTTCTCTAGCATTTAATTATAAAAGAAAAAAATAACTAATTTTTTTGTCTCCTACATTTTTAGTACAATTGTACAGCCGGGGAAGAAAGAGTAACTATTTGTTTAAAAAAATCTTAAAAAAAAACATTATATGCTCGGAAAATAAAAAAGAATTGTCTGAACATAGAAACAGCACACAACAGAACTAGTATTTAGTTTTTTAGGCTAGTATTTGTAATTTGGGGCTACTATTTTTAAAATTGGGCTATGGAGGGGGCTATGCTCGGAGTCTTTTTGCGTATATGAATCCGAAACGAGGATATCTGCAAAAGGACCATAATAACAGATACAGCCCGAAGGATAAGCAAGCTGAAGTGGCAATGGGCTGGTCACATAGCTCGAAGAACCGACAACCGATGGGGAAGAAAGGTTCTTGAGTGGCGACCCTCTACGGGAAAATGCAGTGTAGGACAATCCCCCACTAGATGGAGTGACGATCTGAAATGCATTGCAGGGAGTCAGTGGATGCAGGTGGGTCAGGACCGTTCTTTATGGCGGTCTATGGGGGAGGCCTATGTCCAGCAGTGGACGGATAATGGCTGAAATGATGATTTGTAATTTGCAGGGGAAATGCAATTTAAATGTACGAATCACTGTTGGAGACGCTAAATTTGGTGTCTTGTTCAGGATTTTACGTTATTTTTTTGACGGGTGAAAATGGTACGGTATACGCTGCGCTAACGGGATACGCTGGCGGAGCACCAGTGAAGGGTGATAGATGAGAATGAAAACAGGCCAGTTGGCCCATCATGATGAATTCATCAGGAATTAACCATGGGAGAACCGCAAGGAGGTCAGGATTTTACGTTAGACAAATGAGAATGGTAAACAAGCTGACGGCCCACCTGATGGAAGTGGCAACAGCCGTCAATAGAGATGATCAGCGCCAATCATCAATCAACAAAATCAATTGTTTTATACTATTATTGAATATCAGTCAGACGGTATTTTGGTAGAGTCAATAACTCGTTTCACATTCTCAAGTTCTATTGAAACAAACGTGTTGTGGTCCCGGCATAGAATGTGCCACCCTTTCCTATCCCGTGGGTGTCGTAAGAGGCGACTAAGGGGGCTTAATGGTCTAGGAATGGGCAACAGATTCACTGTTTAAACATCACAAAAACTGTACCGCGCTTGCCAACCCGCCTGCCAAGCGTGGCAACTACTAGCAAAACTCTTCTTAAGGGGAAGGCCTATGTCCAGCAGTGGACAATTAACGGCTGAAATAATGGTGATGATTAAAACTGACTATAGGACATTTTAGTTAACGTATGCACGCAAATTATAAAAACAAATCATATTAATTCTTACACAAGATTTTTCCCCGGCGGTACTTTTCAGTTTCGTGTTCATATACCTATATAAACATCATTTTAAATTATTGCAAAATTAAAAAAAAAGCCAAGCGTAATTTTTTTATGAGAAAAAGAAACATTTGTATTTTTTTAATCTTCAAATTGGGGTAGTTTCGTCATTCTATCTACGAGTACATATCTTCACGCTATCTCTCATACGGGTTAGACAGTGGAGCGAAATATCATTCTGCCCAACACTACTTCACCGCCTGTTTCGTGTCCCCAACCCGGAGATCTAAAATGACCACTTTCGTGCGTTCATAATATACACCTAAAACGATCCATATTTGATATTTCATTATAAATTTTCTATATATGTTTTTTATTTTTTATTTTTATACAACTTAGAATGGCAAACAAGCTGACGGCCTACCTGATGGAAAGTGGTAACCATCGCCTATAGACATGAGCAGTACCATGGACATAACAGAGTATACTGTTTCGCCCATGATACCCCCCATGCGTTTCTATTCCTGAGGACTCAGGTGTTATTCCTCTGTACCCTGTAAATTCACTGCCATATCGCACCCTTCAAACCGAAACACAGCCATGCAAACACAACTGCTTCAGGGTAGAAACACGATAGGGACAGAGGTACCTAAGCAATCGACTTTTATACAGTCTCCCTCTGGTAAATGTATGTTTATTACTTATTTTAACATGAGTTTTTTTTTATACAAAATACATAGGTGAACACCTTAAAGCGGTCATTTTAGACCTCGTACAGTGAAGGTCACATTATGCACACTTGGAAACGATCACCACTAACAAATACTGAAACGGTGATGAAAATTCGATATACGATTGCTCGCGACGCCTCTCTTTAATGATATACAAATTCGCCTTAAAAAGCTTCAACAAGCTTCGCCTTAATAAAAATAACCGCTAGTAATTCATGTAAGTCTTCGTTTCCTATAATAAAACAGGCGTGGGTAATATCGTACCGTTCCGATATCTATATATTTGGTTGGATATTGATATCGAAAAATCGCTCGTATCGGTCGGATATTTACATAATAAATTACGTTCGCGGTCCTCAATTCGATATTATATTGGATAAGCGATATTTAATATATCCGATATTGTACCAATATATATATATTGTAACTATATATTACCCATGCCAAATATAATGTAAGTCATGTAATGACAGCGTTCTGTGTAGGGTGAAATTGAAACTGTTTACTAACAATGATAAATGTGATAGTGAGTTTGTCTGTATGGGACTGAACACCCCCCTCCCTCCCCCCGCCCCTTAATTAACGGCTCAACCACAATCACTATATAACTTGGTATACACGTACCATATGAGATAGAGAGGGACATATAGACTATTTTTATCTCGTATTTGATATTTCAAATGTGTAAATTTGTTTTTTTTTTCCAAATTATAATTACATATTTTCCTATTTTTTTTTTTAAATTTCACACACAAACTTACGAGCTCAATTTCACCTCATACAAGATCACAATCAGATCAGGATATTTTAATGCTTGATTATTATCATTAAAATAATCGAATTATTTCCATACCGATTTGATACTTTTTACATAAATCATTTCTAATAATTTAATGCGTTATATATTTCTTTATTTTTTATTCTTTTTTTATTTTTATGTTAATAAGCACCCTTTAAAATATCCGCCTTAAATTTGAACCTTATTATATATGACCAATACAGTCCAATTTCACAATCCAATTCCCCGGCAATTCTTTACACTTTCTGTATAATAAATATATTTTACAATATCAAACATTCCACTGTATTAGACTTTGAACTCTATACACTCTGATATACAGTTCAAAATAGTTCACAATCAACCTTATATAGATATAAACATACGATCATGCGAGCGGCCTTATGAATACACTTGTCGCGACCTCATAGGCCTCAAAGTCGTATTGGTAACAACTACCGACTCATGTTCGCCTGGTACACTCACTTCAGTGTCACTGTATCACACTTCACTGTTACCGCATCACAACCAATGTCCTTAATGCGATATTTTTTACCTGGAAATTAAAAATAAAATATAAATAATAGAAAGAGACAGAATAATAATAAATATAATATAGACTTGTTAACAACTACCGACTCATGTTCCCCTGGTACTTTCACTTCTGTATTACCGTACCACACTTCACATCACATAAGAAGAACCAGACAGATAAACATGGGGACAGCTGTTGTTTATGTGGTTCGCATTTTACTACTGCAACTCGAGTGAGGAAAGCGCCCTCTGGTGACAATAGTTAAAGTCACCCTCATTATAAACATAGACCTCCGACTTGATTTTATTATTTTATAACTATGATAATTAAAGACAATATGAGGTAAAATTTTTAAAACTGCGCAGTGGTTTTATTTATTTTTTAACATAACATACGGCCCACCTGATGGTTACCGTAGCCGACGAACGCCTGCAATACCAGGGGTATTACATGCGCGTTGCCGACCCTGAAGGAACCTCTTTACCCCCCTTTTGAAGAACCACATACTGTAGTCTCTTGGGAAAACCTCGGCTCATTCCATAACCTGAGTGTTCGTGGGAGAAAACATCTCTGAAACCGCGATATACGCGACCATTTAGGCTATAGGGTATGAGGGTGAACTCCCTGTCGATGGCGAGCCGTATGATGGTAGAAAGTGGCCGTGAGCATCATATTGAACGACTCCTCTGAGCACAATCCGTTGTACAAGCGGTAGAACACGCAGAGGCAAAATCTCTCCTAAGACTCCTGATACCATTAAGAGACTACCGACTAAGCCGTCTTTAAAAAAAAACGTTCATGCTCATTTTTTTACTTTATCCGAGCAGTAAGTACTTTATATTATTCTCAATTTCGTGTACAATATAGTATATGTCATATATGTGTAAGTATATTTGTTATTTATATATATCTATTCGTTTATATATGTAATTTTAGTATGTATGTATATCAATAATTACTAGTACCGTATTCGGGGGGAAAGGGATTGTTAGCAATGGAGTTTGACAGCCCCATTGCTAGCAATATGCCTTATTAGATCTACCTCCACGTGGTTCCCTCTTGAAACTATCGTGCACAATTCTTGTTGAATTCGTCACGATGGGCTAACTGACCTACTTCATGTCCTCAGCTATCATCCTTCACTGGTGCCCCGCCGGTGTATACCGATAGCGCGGGTGGGGTTACCATTCCATTATCATCCATTAAAAAAAAAGTACCGTATTCGAGTATTCTGACACTTCCCTATGGTTGACTGGGAGAGAACAGTTTTAGCATTAAGTCCGCCATGTACACATATATGTCTATCTATCCATTTAAGAGCTGCGCTCTTGTCGGTGGAGCTCTTGCCACTCACTACGATTTTCAGCGAGTCTTCACCTCCTGATACGACACGACACCAACTCCTTCCTTGATCTGCCTGATGTAACTATGTCTCGGTCTCCCTCTCCCCCTCCTTCCTTCTATCTTACCTTCTATTATAATGTTCATAAGTTCGTCGTGTCGTATCAAGTGTCCTAACATTTTTCCCCTTCTGTCCTCAATAGTTCTAATAATTTGTCTTTTTTCCTTAACCCTAAGCAGGACCTCCTCATATATGTACATATATGTACCTACATAAATGTACTTATATCTACATATATGTACATATATGTACTAATGGATAAATAAATAAAAAAATAAGACTTAAGGGTTCGATACCGGCTGTAATTTTTTTTTACATTCTTCAAATTTTGAAAGGTGAAGTGTCCATACCTAGTCGTAGAGGTCCCTGTCGTGGTCGGGCGTGCGCGGGCGCGGCAGCGGGGCGTCGGGCGAGCGCGGGCGCGGCAGCGCGCCGGCCGCCGCGCCCGCCGCGCCCGCAGCGCCATCGCGCGGCGACGCGCCGCCGTAGTTGAGGAAGTCCCACACCAGTATGGTGTCGTCGTGCGACGACGACACTATTTGGAACTCGTCAAACTGTAACCGGAACACGCGGCCCGTGTGCTCCTGTCGATAACAAACATTATGCAATACTCTTATGTATTCATGTTGGCCTGGTACTATGACTGTACTGTTGGACTTTTTTTTTTGATGGGTGAAAATGGTATGGCAACCCCGCCTGCGCTAACGGGATACGCTGGCGGAGCACCAGTGAAGGATGATAGATGAGAATGAAAACAGGCCAGTTAGCCCATCATGATGAATTCATCAGGAATTAACCATGATAGTTTCCAGGGGGAACCGCGAGAAGGTCGACCTGGTTGGATATATTGCTAGCAATGGGATTCGTACTGTCGGGCTTATCACTTAATATCCGATTATCGAGGGGGAAGGGATTATTAGTAATACGGATTACCAATCCCATCGCTAGCAATATACCCCGTCAGGCCGACTTCTACGTGGTCCCCCTGGAAACCATGGTGTTGAATTCCAGGTGTATTCATCACGATGCAATATAAAAAAAAAATTGGGTCTTGCTAATCAAAAATCCATAACTTTTTTGTTTCTACAGATAAACTATTCAAATTTTGCATGAATATTCTATATTCAATAAAAAATAAGAGCACTATAAATCTATTTCTATTATTATCATGGAATAAATAATCAAAAAAGAAAGAAACTACTGTTTTTATTCATTTAAATATGTATCTTATACGCAATACGTATTTTTTTTATATAGGTAAAGTTATGTAATACTCTTGGACCTAACCAATCACGATTTTTGGTAACAAGTGTTTATCTTACGTAATACCCGAGTCCAACGTAAATTTATTTGAACAATTAGTTGTTTTTGACTATCATTAATCACTAACGGTATGTTACTTTCCGAAACAAAGTCATTTTCACATGTAGTCTTGCCCGAAACATAACCACGCCACGCTCGGCAGGCGGATTTGCAATCGCAGCTAGGCGTTTAGAGATGTTTTAAGAGGGACGCAGCTGACCATCCCTCGCCCTCCCTTAGTCAGCTCTTACGACACCCACGGGAATGGAACGATTGACCCATTCTATGCCGGGACTACACGGCCAATGATTTTTTTTTTTAATACAACTTAGAATGGCAAACAAGCTGACGGCCCACCTGATGGAAAGTGGTAACCGTCGCCTATAGACATGAGCAGTACCATGGACATAACAGAGTATACTGTTTCACCCATGATACCCGCCATGCGTTGCCATTCCTGAGGACTCAGGTGTTATTCCTCTGTACCCAGTAAATTCACGCCATATCCTACCCTTCAAATCGAAACACAGCCATGCAAACACAACTGCTTCACGGTAGAAACACGAATGGGACAGAGGTACGCAAGCAAACGACTTTTGTACAAAGTCTCCCTCTGGTAATAATCTATAAATGTTATTAATTAATTGACTGTCACTCTATCCCATTTTTTTTTACACAAGAAGAACATCAACCAACCAGTCACACGCATAAAGAAAGCAGTATGAAGTACATACGACAAGGGTCCGCAGACAGAGGTCCTGGTGCGGGGTGCGGACGTCCAGCGCTGCAGGTAAGTCCCACACTTTGATCTTGCCGTCGTACGCGCCGCTCACTATGCGCTTGTTGTCGAACCTGCGACCGTACGGACAAATGCATTAACAACACTTATAATTAAAGTTAATAAATAAATAAATAAATAAATAAAATAAACACATCTCTATGGAGGTTACGTATGCAACTTAGAATGGCAAACAAGCTGACGGCCCACCTGATGGAAAGTGGTAACCGTCGCCTATAGACATGAGCAGTACTATGAACATAAGAGAGTATACTGTTTCGCCCATGATACCCCCATGCGTTGCATTTCCTGAGGACTCAGGTGATATTCGTCTGTACCCTGTAAATTTACTGCCATATCCCACCCTTCAAACCGAAACACAGCCATGCAAACACAATTGCTTCACGGTAGAAACACGAATGGGACAGAGGTGCCCAAGCAAACGACTTTTGTACAAAAGTCGCTATCAATATACCCTGATAAAGGTAGATAACAATCCCTTTCCCCCAGGCATTAGTTTTTATTATTAATAGTCCCTTAAATCCTTAGAAATGATTTTTTTTTGGGAGGGTTGGGTGAAAATGGTATGGTAACCCCGCCTGCGCTAACGGGATACGCTGGCGGAGCACCAATGAAGGGTGATAGATGAGAATGAAAACAGGCCAGTTAGCCCATCATGATGAATTCATCAGGAATTAACTATGATAGTTTCCAGGGGGAACCGCAAGGAGGTCGACATGGCTATTAATATACGACATATTGCTAGCAATGGGATTTTCAGTATCCATTACTAACAATCCCTTTATCCCCTTCTTGGCCCCTTAGAGAGGCGCCAATACACGCTAACACGATTTTATACAGTTTCGTTTGCTAACTGGAGTGAGGGCATAAAATGATCATAAGGTGGGCACTAATAATCCCTTCCTTCCCCCCTAGAAATGATATTGTATGAGGTATATCATGGGCATCACAGGACAAGACACTGTTCCTTTCTATAGGCGACGGTTACCACTTTCCATCAGGTGGGCCGTCAGCTGGTTTGCCATTCTAAGTTGGATAAAAAATATAGAACACTGATAAAAAAAAAACAAGTCAGTCAATTTGACAATTAGCTGACAGAGAGTTGAGATGTTTTTGAGACTGGATGGTGTGTGTATACAGTATAAGCTTCGTGGCAGACTCACCGTATACACCTGACGAGCTCCTCGTGCCCCTCCAGCACGCGGATGCACTGGCCGCATTCGATGTCCCAGAGGCGGATGGTGTTGTCGGAGGAGCCGGACACGACGAGCCGGTCGCGGTACTGCAGACACGCGATGCCGCGCTTGTGCCCGTTCAGCGTGCGCACGAACTCGCACGACGACGTGTTCCACACCTGGGGGGCGGGGGGATTAGCATATCAGCCTATCACAACTATATACTGGTTGAACATAGGCCTCATTATATTGGAGAGTTTTACCAGTAGTCGTCAAGCTTGGCAGGCGGGTTGACGACCGCAATTAGGTTTTGGTGATGTTTTAAAAGGAACACTGCTGCCCATCCTTCGGGTATTAAGTTCCCTTAGTCGCCTCTTACGACACCCACGGGAAAGGAAGGGATGGCCCATTCTACGCCTGGACCACACGACAATATTATATATTATTTCGAGCGTTAACTGTCCACTGCTGGACGTAAGCCTTCTCCATAAGAAGAGGTTTGTCAATAGTCGCCACGCGTGGCAGACAGATTGGCAACCGCAATTAAGCTTTGAGATATGTTTTAAGAGGGACACTGCCGCTCATCTCTCGCCTTCCCTTAGTCGCCTCTTATGACACCCACGGGAAAGAAAGCGGTGGCCCATTCTATGTCTGGACCACACGGCACAGAAAGGGATTGTTAGCAATGAGGTCTAATTGCATCATTACCAGCAATATACTCTATTAGGTCGACCTCCTCGTTGAATTCATCATTATGTGCCAACTGACCTGCTTTATCCTCACCTATCATTCCTCCCTGGTGCCCCACCAGCATATACCGTTAGCGGAGACAGGATACCTATTCCATTATCGTCCATTAAAAAAAGCCCATGAAAACTACTATTACCTTTATGGTGCGGTCCCCGCTCGCGCTCACGATGTACTTCTCGTCGAAGTCGACCACGTTGACAGCCGCGCGGTGTCCCACCAGTACCCGCCGCAGCAGGATCTCCGTGGTGGACGTCATGTCCCACACGGCTATCGACCGGTCCTGTAAACGCAGCCCGTTCACATTTAGTTTCATTCGATTGTTTGAATTTCGAGGTGTCCAAGCAATTGACTTTGTACAAAAGTCGTTTGCTTGGGCACCTCTGTCCCATTCGTGTTTCTACTGTAGAGCAGTAGTTTACATGGCTGTTTCAGTTTGAAAGATGGGATATGACAGTGAATTTACAGGGTACAGAGGAATAACAGCTAAGTCCTCAGGAATAACAACGCATGGGGGGTATCATGGGCGAAACAGTATACTCTGTTACGTCCATGGTACTGCTCATATCTATAGGCGACGGTTACCATTTTCAATCAGGTGGATCGTCAGCTTGTTTGCCATTCTAAGTTGCATAGAAAAATGTATCTATCTATCTATTTACTACTATCTTTTATTACGAGATCATACCTCAAGAACCTTTTTTCCCCATCGGTTGTCGGTTCTTTGATTCCCTTACTATTTTCATTTAGGAAAGCTGTCATCCGCAGCATATTAATATCTAAGGTACATCCTCAAATTTATGTGATCCTAGTACAAATCATGTCACATGAGCCCAACTGTCAACATGGTCAAAATGTAACAACGATTCACCTTCTTAAATAACTTCCACAGATTTATGAGATCCTAGTACATACATATTATGTTACACGACCTTCCACATCAAAATGTGCATTACAAAAATTTTAATTTTCACATACAAATATATAAAGCAGTTGATAATAAGCTTCATCAACCTCATGCGATCCTAGTACTTTTCATGTGTCAATTGACTCCTATTATGAGGGGGAAGGGATTGTTAGTAATGGGGAGATTTTTTTTTAATGGATGATAATGGAATGGTAACCCCACCCGCGCTATCGGTATACACCGGCGGGGCACCAGTGAATGATAATAGGTGAGTATGAAGCAGGTCAGTTAGCCCATCGTGACGAATTCAATAAGAATTGTTCACGATGGTTTCCAGAGGGAACCACGTGGAGGTAGACCTAATAAGGCATATTGCTAGCAATGGGGCTGTCAAACTCCATTGCTAACAATCCCTTTTCCCCCTAATGGGGAGGTTAGTCCCCATTGCTATCAATATATCCTATCAGGTCGACCTCCACACGATTCCCCCTGGAAACTATTGTGACTAATTTATTGTTTAATTAGTCACGATGGGCTAACTGACCTGCCTTTTCATCCTCACCTCTCGCCTCTCATTGGTACCCCGCCAGTGTATACCGATAGCGCAGGCGGGGTTACCATGTTATTTTCACCTTTAAAAAAGTTACATATATGACGTCACTTACCTTACTGCATGTGACCATCATGCCGTTGCAGAACCTGAGATGCAGTACAGCTTCACAATGATGTATCAGCGTGTTGAGCATCTCGCCAGTATTCACGTCCCACACACGCACCGTGCTGTCTGAAGAGCCTGATATAATGGCTCTCTCGTCATACTGGAGACATAGTACTGATCCTGTGTGACCTTGCAATTCCTGTAATTCAAGTGCATAATAAGGTTTAGTTTTAATTTTTGATAGCCAAGTGTGGTTAAGACAAAAATTTCAGAATAGAATAATAGATGGAGTGTATAATTCACATAGTGTGTTGCTCGTTGTATTTATGATATTGCCAATGTGTTAGATAGGGATAGATATATAAAAGCGCATCTGCCTTTCGACTAGTCTGTAGAAGTCGTATTTATCAAATATTACTTGGTTTTATTGGGCGTATAACCCTACCAAATTTAGTAACAACCTGCTTGCATACTTTCTACGTAAACTATGTCGAATATATAATCTAATAATGTAAAATTTGTCATTGACAAATAATTGACATATCGAACATTTTCCATACACTAGCCTGCTATGAATTGAGTAAAAATAGCAACTGATGGTGTATCTTTCGTCCTCTTTTTACTAATTATATCCGCATAAGAAGAGAGGAGGCAACCATATGATTTACAGTTTTTATTTTATCATTCCTTCTATGTAATTCCTTGTTCTTAGAGTCTAGAGCGTCCATAACTAAGTGTGGCAACGTCGCTATTATCTGTCAATTTACAAAAACAATTGAAAAAATTCGATAAATCAGATTAGTTATTTAAAAAGTGCCCTGTCTACGAACTAAAAAGTATTCATAGAAAACGTAGCATATAAATCTACCACTAAGCGCGTGCCTTCGATCAAACTGTTTATAATTACTCCTTACCATCCAAAGGTTGCGTGGAGGAGATCGCTCTTAGCGATAATGCGATATGTGGTCGAATTGAGAATAGATTAATACTGTTTGCCTTTAATATTATTTGTGTATAGTCTTACTGAATGTTGAAACGTAACCATAATAAATTCATTTACTACAATATAATATGTTCTGGTCGAATTTCGACCACTGGGCGACCAGTAGTTTTACATAAATTTGTAAGCTATAAAAACCAGTAAGCCAACTTAATGTTACCAACGTTGAGTGTTGAACATTCTTTCTTTCGTTTGGTCGAATTCAAGGACCATGTTATCCTTGTGATCAAGCAGAGGTCATGGCGTGGTATAAAAAAATAGTGATAAATACACGACAAAGGCAGAAAGATGATGAACATTTATAGTAATAACTGGTGATTAGTGATAAAAATATAGATCTCTCTTTGAGAACGTAGTCGTAAATTTTCTACTACTTTCTACCAAATCACCAGAGTGTCATAAAGTGTCTATACTTCTTATTTATCTATACTTATAATAAATCTGTAGAGAGGTCAATTCTGTACATGAAATATATTTCCAAAATAACTATCAGCGGGTGATTAGTGATCGATACTGATGCCAAAAATGCAATCAGTAAAATTTTTGTCTGTCTGTATGTATGTTCGTTATAGAAACAAAAACTACTCGACGGATTTTAACGAAACTTGGTACAATTATTCTTCATACTCCTGGGCGGGTTATAGTATAATTTTCCTCACGCTACGAGCAATATGAGGAAAGCAGTGAAGGGAAATGTTGGGAAAACGGGAGAAGTTACTCCATTTTTAAGCTTCCGTCACGTGTGCAGCCTTAATGGCCACTTTTTTAAAATGTAAAAATGCCGTGCGACGCCGGGACGGGCCGCTAGTAATAAATATTTCAATTTGTACAAAACCTTAACACACTGCAACGTCTTCCTATCCCATATCTTGATGGTGTTATCTCTGAGACCGGACACGATCTTGTTGTCGTCGTACTGGAGACAGTAAACACCTTTCGAGTTCTCTGATCTGCAGTTTATCCTCTGAAACAAATAGTATTTAAATATAATAAACAGGTTCCTTCAGAGTCATAATACCCTGGTACTGCAGGCTACGGTAACAGTTTACCATGTGGACATACTGCATACTTGTTTGCCACCTCAGTATATATCTTGGCTCTGTTACCAGAGAAATTGTAGTCCGTAACAACCCCCCTCCCCCTCCCCGACTGGGTAAATATGTTTTTTTTACAACACAGGGGGCAAACGAGCATGCGGCTCACCTGATGGTAAGTGACTACCGCCGCCCATGGTCACCCACAACACCAACGGCATTGCAGGTGTGCTGCCGGCCTTTTAAAAAGGAATATGCTCTTTTCTTGAAGGTTATGTTGTCGTATCGGTTCGGAAATACTGTTGCTGGAAGTTGATTTCAAAGAGTGGTTGTGCGTGGGAGAAAGTGCCTTGACAAACGCACGGTGGAGGACCGCCACTCGTCCAAATGGTTGCGATGGAACTTTAGTTTATGGCGGGTTGTAAGGTGGTGAAAATCAGCAGCAGGTATCAATCCGAACAATTCCTCAGAGCACTCCCCATGATAAATTCGGTAGAAGATGCACAGAGATGCAACATCTCTATGCAGTTTGAGTAGGTCGAGTCGGACAGTAAATTTTTTTAAATACGTTATTATAAGTTTTTAATGTAATACTATATCTTAACTCACATATAATTTGGTCAAGAAATCTCAACTACTTTCGAGACCATTCGAGACCCTTAGTCTTGAGCGGTTGTGACGAGAGCATTATGTCAAAGATATAGCATAATTATAATGGACTATTATAAGCCTAATTAACAAGTGCGTTGTTCTCACCTGCAGGTTGTGCCTGCCCATTCTCCAATTGTCCTCGATCGATCTTATGTCCTGGATTATCTTGGGGTACAGTTGTCTATAGAAAGAATGCGACGGGTGCTGGCATCCCGGTTTTGGCTTGAACAAGTACTGTATCCTGTGGAAAAAAAAATAGGTTAAGTAAATACCAGACAATAATACCAGTCGCCTACTCCTCAAATTAAGGTGATCACGTCATCATATCAAATTTTAACTGTCCACTGCTGGACATAAGCCTACCCTCTAGGGTGGTTTTGCCAGCAGTTCCACGCTTGACAGGCGGATTGGCAACCGCAGTTTGGCTTTAGAGATGTTTTAACAGGGGCACTGGTGCCAACCCCTCGCTCTTAGGTATGAAGGCCTCACCGTAAACCTCAGGAATGGCAACACATGAAGGGTTTCATGTGTGACACAGTGCATACTGTAATATTTTTTTTGAGGTTGCTGGTTGAGGTCGCTCCGTGAGGCCTGTGAAGAACCCAGGAAGCTTCTGCGCTTCTGGACGGAGCTAGGTTGGCTGCACTAGCCACGACTCATACGCACAATGGCCCAAGTGAGAGGCTAAGCGCGGAAAATGGAGTCCTTTTCACATTCACATTCACAATTTTTTTTTGTATATATATTCTTTCATTTCTTTTTTTTTATTATGTACAAATATCTAACGTTACTTGAGTGCTGTAAGTGATGTAAATAAATTACATATCTATTTTAATGGTGCTGTTCATGTCTATAGGGGACAGTTACCACTTTTTGTCGAAGCCATCACCTGAATGTGAATGTGAAAAAGACTCTATTTTCCGCGCTTAGCCTCTCATTTGGGCCGTTGTGCGTATGAGTCGTGGCTAGTACAGCCAACCTAGCTCCGCCCAGAAGCGCAGCCATCACCTTCTTTGTTTATTTAAGTTGCACAACAAATCTCTTTATGGAACATACACACTTTTCAATTTATCATCACCAATTCAGCCTACATCTATCTATTGCTGGACATTTACCGGAGGAAGACTTTGTACAAAAGTCGTTTACTTGGGTATGTCAAAGCAATTATGTTTGCATGGCTGTGTTTCAGATTAAGGGGTGGGATATGGCAGTGAATTTACAGGGTACAGAGGAATAACACCCGAGTCCTCAGGAAAGGCAATGCATAGGTGGTATCATGAGCAAAACAGTATACTCTGCTATATCCATGGTACTGCTCATGTCTATAGGCGACGGTTACCACTTTCCATCAGATGGGTCAGCCAATCTAAGTTGCTTAAAAAAAAACAGGCCTTTTTTTTAAAGTCGCAAGTATAACTCACCAGCCCCTCCGCTCGGCGAGGCCCCGCCACAACGAGTCCGTCCGCACTTTCCTCTCGACCAGCTTCTTCCAGAGCATACCCTCGGATATGACCCGCTGCCACTCGCGGCACACCAGCTCGGCGGCGCACAGCGAGCTCGCGTCCAGGTACGACAGGATGTTCTCGGCCACGTGGTCCAGGCCTTTCTCTGTTGAAAGAATAACATAGGTTAGACAGAATGAGTTGTGGAGATGAAGAGGATCACGTCTACATTGTACAATCAGGACTTGATATCCTGTGCGGAGAACTTTAGAAGGCTACGGGAGTTCGCGCATTAGTGGCACAGTTGGCGGAACGTGTAGCTTTAGTTTTTTAATGGATGATAATGGAATGGTACCCCGCCTGCGCTATCGGTATGCACTGGCGCCAGTGAGGGATGAGAGATGAGGATGAAGACAGTTAGCCTATTGTGACGAATTTAAAAATAATTAATCACGATGATTTCCAGGGGGAACCGCGTGGAGGTCGACCTGATAAGGTATTGTAGTATATTATGTTCACGTACTGGCCACTAATAGTTTGTAAATACTGGCCGGTAATAATTTGTTCTATTTATTCTTTCAATGAATAAATTAGTGTTTAACCAACTTGCATGCGTACCACTACAGGTATATTGATATCAATGAGATTGGCAGTCTGCATTACTAACCATCCCTTCCCCCGGAGGTGGAGGTTGTTAACTAAGTGGTAACTAAAATATCGGGATGGTCGGATCGAATCGGATGGCTAACTTTACCTCCTCACTTTTTATAGCTCCCTGGTACCTCAACAGCGTAAACCATTTGCATGTGCATTGTTTTTACACATCATGTGTGCATTGTAACATGAAATTTTAAATATTTTACTCAAAATTTAATTCGTAAAAAAAAAATGTCCACTCCGCGTGACCTTAAGTGAAAACAGTTTTTTTTATGGATATAAATGGAATGGTAACCCACCTTACACTAATCGGTAAACGTCGGGGTACCAGGAAAGCATGACAGGTAAGGATGAAATCAGGCCGAAGTTGCCAGAAATCAACCCCGCTCGTTACCAGTTACTCTTGTATACCTTTCCACAATAGGAAACAGAAGCCTTTGCCCAGCAGTGGACCACAAAATACGAATGAAATGTACATATATTATCCACGAAAACAACCTTCTCGTTTGGCGCCTAGTACCATTTGAAATTATAATATAAATACGTCATGTGACTGCAAATGTATGGTGTATGTATGTATGTATTTATATTCAAATATAAATATTTATGATAATCATTGAATAGAAGCAAATAGACGCCCACTGTTTCGATTTTTCTTTTTGATGGGTGAAAATTGTATGGTAACCCCGCCTGGGCTAACGGGATACGCTGGCGGGGCACCAGTGAAGGGTGATAGATGAGAATGAAAACAGGCCAGTTAGCTCATCATGATGAATTCATCAGGAATTAAGCATGATAGTATCCAGGGGGAACCGCGAGGAGGTCGACCTGGTTGAGTATATTGCTAGCAATGGGATTTTCAGCCTCCATTACTAACAATCCATTTCCCCCACTGTTTTGATTTTTAATCTTTCCGCTAATTATCTACGCTACCTGCGACTTAGTATACATTTTTTTTAATAGATAAAAATAGATTTCTTATACAACTTAGAATGGCAAACAAACTGACGACCCACCTGATGGTAAGTGGTAACCGTCGCCTATAGACATGAGCAGTACTATGGACATAACAGAGTCTGTTTCTGTTACTACTGTTAGATACTGTTTCGCCCATGATACCCCCTATGCGTTGCCATTCCTGAAGGCAAAGGTGTTATTCCTGTGTACCCTGGAAATTCACTGGTAACCCCGTCTGCGCAAAGGGTATACGCTGGAGAGGCACCAGTGAGGTAAGATAAGAGAGATAAGTGGGAAAAAAAGGCAGGCCAGTTAGCCCATCGTGATGAATACACTTGGAATTCAGCACTATGGTTTCCAGGGGGAGTACGAGGAAGTCGATCTGACAGGGTATACTGTCAGCAATGGGACTAATAGTCCACATTACTAACAATTCCTTCCCCTCTGCATGCATCTATTAGGTTAATAATGTACCCTGCAATCAACCTTTACAGACAAATGGCAAATAAAACTATTGGAGGAAAGGGATTGTTAGTAATGGAGACTGAGAATCCCATTGCTAGCAATATACCCAACCAGGTCGACCTCCGCGCGGTTCTCCCTGGAAACTATCATGTTTAATTCCTGACGAATTCATCATGATAGGCTAACTGGTCTGTTTTCATTCTCATCTATCACCCTTCACTGGTGCTCCGCCAGCGTATCCCGTTAGCGCAGGCGGGGTTACCATACCACTTTCACCCATAAAAAAAAATTGATTGTTAGTAATGGGGTTTAACAACCCCATTAATTGAAATATTCTATTAGGTCATCAGGAAAGCGACATGGTTAATCCTTGTGGAATTCGCCCTAATGTGCCAACTGAACTGCTTTCATCCTCACCTATTATGTTTTCCTAGTACTTCGCCAGTATGTACCAATAGCGTAGATGGGGGTTTCCATTCCATTATCACCTTATAAAAAATCAAAATTGAAACGGAGCATAATACTTTTCAAAAGGCCGGCAGCACACCTGCAATGCCGTTGGTGTTGTGGGTGATTATGGGCGGCGGTAGTCACTTACCATCAAGTGAGCCGCAGGTGAGGTGAGGTGCTCGTTTACCCCCTGTGTTGTAAAAAAAAAAACAGAATTATCACTCACTGGGCAGCATGCTGATGAAGTCCCTCTGCAGCATCGGTTTGAGGTATGCATTAATGTGACCGTGCTGATAGTGGCACATGCGCGCCAGTAGTTGTTCCACGAACTCCACCTGGAAACAGAAAGTAAAAAGTCTCAACAAACTTCAAAATATTTGCACAAAAATAAATTAACAAAAAATTAAACCGACTTTGAAAAGGGACTTAAAAGCGAAAAATTAAATAAACCGTCGAAAAAAGACTACTAAAAATCGAAAAATAATATTATTCCCAAAAGAGTGACCTATCCGCAGATCTGGGCAAGCTTAGAGATAGGTATGAGGCAAGTGTACAAAATTAGTGGCGATGAGCGAACTAACTGAAACCGTATCTTTGTTTCTAATTACCTGATCTGTTTCGTTCCACCGCGAGAAGAAGTTGAGACAGGCGTCCCTCTCGGCCGCGTACGCCGCGCTGCTCGGCGCTGGACGCACGCCGCTGTCCAGGCATGTTAGAGACGTCACCTGCGAAGGATAATAAGAAAGTATGTAACCATATGGAATTTCGTTAGTTCCTTTTAAAGTCGGTCGGCAGCACACCTGCAGCGCCTCTGGTGTTGAGACTGCTCATGGGCAGCGGTAGTCACTTACCACCAGGTGATCTGCATGCTAGTTTGCCCCCTGTCTTATAAAAAAAAATAGTTCAAAGGAATGATGTTTTAACATTTTTATTACATATTTTTATACAGTATGAATTATATAATTTTAACATCAAAGTTGTATTTCGTACGGCGACAAAATTTCGGAAAATATTTCATACACGGATTTCAAGCACCAAGCTGTCAGACGAGGACGCCACTCACTTCAGCCCTGTGACTCCTACGTGGTGTAATCCACGTCGAAACGTCGTAAATAAAAAAAGCAGGTATGTAGGTACTATTTACCTGCAATTTTCAACGCGTAAAGTCCCAATATTGTTTATATTATTATATGTATCACATCTCCCATATTAAGAACAGAATTTTTCATCATACCTCTCACCAAATTGTTTATATTTACTCCTCTCTATCCAAAGGTTGGCTGGAAGAGATCGCTCTTAGCGATAAGGTTGCCCATTGTTTTCACATTGTGATTATTTCTTGTAATTATTTATATTTATAATAAATTTACTATTGTAATCTTTTGGAGGAAACAACAAAGAGCATCTATCTATTGTTTTTAAAATAACATGGAATTATTTTTTATAAAAATGAATAGGTATTTTTTTTTTAAATGGATGATAATGGAATGGTAACCCCACCCGCGCTATCGGTATACACCAGCGGGGCACCAGTGAAAGATGATAGGTGAGGATGAAGTAGGTCAGTTAGCCCATCATGACGAATTCAACAAGAATTGTTCACGATGGTTTCCAGGGGGAACCATGTAGAGGTCGACCTAATAAGGTATATTACTAGCAATGGGACTGTCAAACTCCATTGCTAACAATCCTTTTCCCCCCGATGAATGGGTATTGTGTACCCTTATTTATTGGCGTATTGTATATATTGTTGGCAATCTATCTACGATAATATAACAAGCCAATCCAACTTTATATGCAGTAGATTTCATGTGATGTTTAAAGAGTGAAATATGTGGATTTATTATTACTTTAACACCTATATATTTACCGTTTTTCTTGCAAATAAATATTTATTCACATTTTCATTCATATACAAGCAACTATAAATAAAGATACTTCAAGGTAAATTTTTATTTGCAACCAACTTCAAAATAGGATGTTATCAATTTGTTTTTTATGTTTATATTTATTACCTCACTAGTGGCCCGTCCCGGCTTCACACAGGTGGATATTTTTACATTTTAAAAAGTGGCCATTAAGGCTGCACACGCGATAAAGCTTAAAAATTGAGTAACTTCTCCCGTTTTCCTAACATTTTCCTTCACTGCTCTGCTCCTATTGATCGTAGCGTGATGAAAAGTATACTATAACCTGCTCAGGAGTATGAAGGATAATTGTACCAAGTCTTGTTAACATCCATCGATTAATTTTTGTTTCTATAACAAACATACAGACAGACAGACAAAAATTTTACCGATTGCATTTTTGGCATCAGTATCGATCACTAATCACCCACTGATAGTTATTTTGGAAATATATTTCATGTACAGAATTGACCTCTCTACAGATTTATTATAAGTATAGATAACTCCATTAGTTATAAACAGATTTGGGAAATTCTTTTTATTTATCTTAAAGGATTACAGGATCACAGATTGGTAGGCCTAACTAATAGGATTAACTGGTAGGACTAACTAACTGGTAGTACTTTAGTTTTGAAATCGAGATAATTAGTTTTGCCACATTTGAAATATTTCTTTTTTGTGGGACACAGCCTTAACTAAAAGGAATACGTAGCCTATGTTACTTGGTGATAATATAGTTTTCTATAGATGGATTTTTTTTAAGAAATTCAAGAAGACTTCTTTGGCTACCAGAGTCGAAAACACGATGTATTTAGTAAATAATTACAAAGACATTATCTACAATTGAACAATAGAAATTACAACGACTGGAACTGAATCTTTGTCACGTAACCTAGATAAAGCTAACAGTCCTACGATTGCAACATATTTTGAAAGTGGCACACTGTCTTTTCGACTATAAATCATCAATAATTTATTACTCTTCAATATTAAAACATTGATACACGATTTCTTTATCAGAATCTACTTTTAAAACATAAATAAAGACTACTTTTATGTTTTTCTTTTTCTACGTTTACGTATAAATATTTGACGCTATCACAGCTGTTTTTTTTAAATAGACACCGTTTTAAACGGTAAAGGGAAAAGGAGAATAAAGCCACGTATTTAAAAGGATTATTCTTAAATTTTAACATAGTTTTAAACAATAGTGTGTAGAAATAAGTATCCGCAATGCAGAATATATGGTACATATGTTTACTTTGCCTGATCACGATGGTTTATATCAATTTGTTGATTTATTATTATGAAAATGCAATTAATTATTATTCCAATAAAAATTCATATGAATAGGAATGAATTCGTAAATACACATCGTCAAATAAACAAATTGATAAAACTAAGAAAAGGCAATGAGAGGCAAAGATGGCGGAAGGAGCCGTGACATTATGGATTGCTCCATTTAATGTTTTCATCCGTACCTGTGGTGGTATTGTATCTTCTATCATCCTTTCAGTCTCCATTTTTTGTTATTTCACTAAACACATTAATATGAGTCCACTAAAATAGTCACTAAATTAACCAAATCACATTCGCTAAATATTCATCATTCAAGACATTCGCATGACGTCAAGACTGTGACTTTTTTAAATTTTTCATCCATTAATTTATTTTCAAGCACAGATCAACAATTTCTCACCTATATATTTTATACTTCGTAGACGATCATATATTAATTTTATTATATATATTATAAATTTTTTAACACAATTAAGTATATATTTTTTTTAATTTATGGCTTGGTTGTAGGACCTTTAAGCCAAATCATATTTTTATATTTTACATAAGTTTGAAGGACACTTGTTTAAGCTCTATTTGTATTACAAGAAACAATATATTTTCAGACATTAGCATCGATTTTAAGACGACATTTCTTTACAAACCCATCTTAGAAATTAAAATTTCTATTAATTTCAAATCTAATCTAAATTTTGAAACCCAATGTGAACTAAATGTATAATATAAAATAAAATTATTCGATAAAGCAGTAATTTCTCAAAATTATAAGTCTGAATTATTAAAAATTATTTTTTTATACCATATTTGTAGTGTGGCTAAAGAAATAGGTCTATAGAAATAATATCTCAGATTCGATTCCATGGACGTCTTTATAATATTCATGGAAACTAAGGAAATTTTTTTTATCTATGACAGACAAGAAATTTATGTTCTGATAGTTGCCCATTTCAAAGTCAGATGTGTATTGTCAATGTCAAATATTACATGATGGGTTTAGGATTTCTAAATAGAACTGTTTCTTTCCTTAATATTATTCTATATTGAGTCCAGTATCTTTTGTTTTTTTATAAAAATTAAAGATATGTTTTATAAATTGACAAAACGACTTAAAACAGATAATATGGAAACATAACTTATGATGACTTTAATTCGTATTCCTTTTATTGTGTGATATTGATTACACAGTGCAGTCCTTGTCACAAAACATGATACAAACTTTGTATTTATCCAAAGTGTTTTTGTAAATATTACGCTCTCTATAACTTCAAACAGGTCAGTATTTACATTTAAGATGCAATCAGTTATATAATTCATTACTATGAATAGATTTATTCTTAATTTGAATTTGTTTTCGTGAAGCAACGTTCACTAGTTTTTATAGAATTTAAACGATATATTGCGATTAGAATTGAGTAACAATTCAAGATTCAATTACCATCAGGTTAGCCGTATCTTTGTTTGCCAACTCAGTGGTGTAAAAAAAAGATACACTCGTACATGATTTAAATACCGAATGATATAAAAAAAGTCCTGACCATGTCAGTGCCAGCTTCATTCTATAGATTTGTTAATCTATTTTCCAGTAACTTTATTGTGTGTTGTATTGTAGTTGTTTGGGTGTATCTTTGTAACCTATTAATAATTTTAAAACTATATTTTTATTTTATACCTAATTTTTTCATGCTTTTTTTTTTTATATTTAAACTGAGTAATAAGTTGTCTAAAAGTATGCATTCCTTTATCAACGCTACCCACACTATTTTATGCTGAAATGTCTTCAGAAACTTTAAGATATTGGTCTGTTTAAGATATTTAGAATGTTTTTTTCTGCACTAAACTAAATAACAGACCTATTTGAATCTAAACATTTAGCATTCCATTTATTTGTGTCTACTCTAATGGGAGATAGGCATGGCATGTTTGTATGTATGTATGTAAACGAAACATAAATCACTTGTGCAAATTAATTTCTTTTGTAAAATGAACTAATTTATGTACAAATTTCTGCCAAGTGCAGACAATTGTAACTATTAAAATATTATTAATAAAGCGTAACCTTTTAGCTAACCCTTTTATATCTATGTTTGTTTTATATTACCTTTGTTCAGCTTCCCATTAAATATTTTTTAATGTTTTTTAATTTAAATAATATATGAATGATAACCCGGTATGTGCTATTAGTAGGTATCAATGAGGGATGATCAGGGCAGTTGATGACAATAATTTCATTAAGAATTAACCACTATGTTTGCCAGGAGAAACCCTGTGGAGATTTGCTGTGTATTGTTAGCAATGGTGTACTAATCCACGTTACTGACATACTCTACCCCCTTCCTAATATATTACCAGCAATAAAAAATTGAAATAAAGATTATTTTTGTTATACTCTTACCCCTCTTCTCCTGCCCTTTTCTCTCCTCACCTATCTGCTCTTCAGTGCCAATCCATCTAATTCCATTCCTTTTAACCATACAGTAAGAAAAACAAAGACAGAATATAAGAACAAAAATCATTTATAAAAATACCTATTTGTATCAAGTGACCAAAAGCTAATCAACATTCTTGCTTTATTGATGAATTTAATTTATTTTCCAGGGTCAACCATGATGCCAGAGGATGGTGTGGAGAACCGTCATGGGCCTCCTGGTATCAACTCGCGTTCTCTCAGCGCTGCACATTCTGCTGCAGACCTAGAGGTACATTTGTGATGCTCCCCATATAAATATAGTGAACCATATCAACCTAAGCAATTAAAGCATAGCATGCTCTCTATTGCAGTGATTCTCAACCACTGTGCCGCGGCACTTTTGTGTGCCGCCAAATTTTAACAGTGTGCCGCCAAATTTTGCAAATATTTAAAATTTATGTCTTAAACTATTTATGCAGTGTGTTGTAGTAGGTAAATAATTTTTATCATTTTCTTTGTGTGCCGCCAAATTTTGAAATCGTTAATAATGTGCTGCAACAAAAAAAAAAAAAAGGTTGAGAATCACTGCTCTATTGCCATGTGGTCCTGGCTTAAAACGGGCCACCACTCCTTTTCTCATATGTATCATAAGAGATGACTAAAGGAACTTAATGGTGGAGGTATTCACAGCATCAAGCCCCTCAAAACATCACCAAAGCCTAACTGTGGTTGCTAACCGGCTTGCCAAGTGTGGCATCTAATGTCAAATCTACTCGTAATTGGTCTTATGTCCAGCAGTGAACAGTAACAGCTGATATGATGATAATGATACTCTGTGTTTTAAAGTTCGATGATTTTTTCGAAGTGTGGGAGAGTGAGGTACCGAACTAGCTGACATTCCACTTGTTGAAAACTTTCATCGCAACTATCGCCTATAGACATGAATAGTAGTGTCCGACCGAACTTTCGGTTTCGGTTTCGGCTAGTTTCGGTCAAAAATTGTACTTTCGGCCAAAAATTTGCCGAAACTTTCGGCCGCGTCGAAGCTTTGTGTGTGTGCCTAACTGAAAGTTTTTTTTTTAAGTTTACTTCTAAGAGTAAGTCATAATTTGAACATGTTTTTACACACGTATATATTATATAACTCAGAACGGCAAACAAGCTGACGGCCCACCTGATGGAAAGTTGTAACCGTCGCCTATAGACATGAGCAGTACCATGGACATAACAGAGTATACTGTTTCGCCCATGATACCCCCCATGCGTTGCCATTCCTGAGGACCCAGGTGTTATTCCTCTGTACCCAGTAAATTCACGCCATATCCCACCCTTCAAATATATGACATATATGTTACGTACTTTAATTAGTGTTCATTATAACTCTTTAACTATCTGTGTGTTTGTGTTAATAATTGTGTAAAAAATACACTAGATTTCAGTATAGAAGAGAAATTTTAAATATGTTTCAGCAAGTTTTGGTTTCAGCTGTAAAATCTGTTTCGGTCGGACACTAATAAATAGCATATATACAAAAATTCTCTTCTCCTTTCTCTGGTTTCTTTCAAAACAGCACTCGCTTCTTCTTCTTGTGAAAAATCTAGATTTTACACAAAAAAAAACAACAAATTCAATCATAACCAATACCATACATACATACATACATATCTGTCACGCCTGTCTCCCATTAGGGTAGGCAGAAACAATGGAACGCCAAATGCTTCGATTCAAACAAACCTCTTGCGCCCTCCACATTCATCCAATACCAGTTATTTTTATTTTAAAACTAAACTGCTGAACAGGTTTAAGGGAAATTTTTGTGGGTAAGGAGGCAAATGCACAGTCGAGCTTTCCTCTTCCAGGTGCTCCGTGAAATCGAGAACGTGTACTTCTCGTCGCCGACGGAGTTCGACGCGGGCCGGTACGTGCTGGAGCACGCGCCCTCGCCGCCCACATGCGACTCCATTGAGCACATGTTCAGCAAGCTGAAGCGGCAACAGCAGGTAGCGTCTTCAAAACTTCAGCTCTTACCATGGTGTATTAGAAGGAGAAGGGATTGCTAGTAATGAAAGATTATCAGCCCCATTACTAGCAATGTACCCTGCCATTTCGACCTCTTGGTTCCCACTGGAAACCATCGTGATGGATTTATTGTTAGATTCGTCACAGTGGGTTAACTGACCTGCTGCATCCTCATCTCTCATCCCTCACTGGTGCCCCTTTAGTGTATACCGATAGCGCAGGCGGGGTTACCATTCCATTATCTTCATTCGTGTTTCATTCCTTAAAAAGGCGCCTGTGTGCTGTCAGATATGTCTGCAAAATTCCGCTCGGATTCTGAATAGGCACCAACCGAAATACCCCTACCCCTTTCCCTTATTTTTATTTCATACAAAAATCCACAATTCTCTTACAAAATAACTTTCATACTAAGTGTCTTATAAATACAGCAAATAATGGAATTTAATTTTATAAATTGAAAGTATAACATTTTTTTTATGTAACCCGAAATGGCAAAGAAGCTGATGGCCTACCTAATTAAAAATGGTATAGATAGATACGAATTGTACCTTGGACTTGTTGCTATTTTTTTTTAATGGATGGTAATGTAATGGTAAACCCCCTCCTGCGGGGTAGTAATGAGGAATGATAGGTGAGTATGAAAAGGCAGGACAGTTAGCCCATCGTGATGAATACATCTGGAATTCAACTCGATGGTTTCCAGGGAGAACCATACTATGGAAGAGAATTAAAAAACTAATTACAAATCAAAATATTTTATTTCAACAGGTAGTGTCAGGTAAAGCGCTGCATTTAATATCGCAACAGCGCGACAACTGCGACCGCGAATTCGCCGAAATACAGAACATTCGCAAACAATTATCCCATACGTTGGACACGTGCCGCAAAGCGCGGGACCAATTACGGACCGCCTCCAACCACCTCACTATCTCCACCTTCGTCATACTCGCTAATTTTAGAAAGAGACAGATAATACGTTCGGTGCTCAAGTCGCTAGAGTTATTGCGTAGTTTGCGCAGCGTCGAAAAGGATGTGGCGGATTTATTGGAAAAGAAAGAGTACTACGAAGCCATAGAGCTCATTTTGAAAAGTCGCAAAGCGGCTGCCAGTCACAATGAATATACGTGTATCGCTGATCTGACAGCGAGACTCCAAGACACGTTAGACATGACCGAGGAGAAATTGGATTCAGTGCTTTCCACGTTATGCTATAATTTCGACGAGAATATATTTAGGAAACTCAAAAAAGCTTATACGCTTCTGGGCAAAACGCAAGCAGCGATGGAACAGTTGCATATGCATTATTCCTCAGCGGTTAACGAATACGCCATCGAAGCAGTTAAACCTTACGTTGGAGATGTCACAATGGAGATGAAGTTTCAAGACTTGTGCCAAGCGGTGCAACCCAATAAAGCTCCTATATGTCTCCTGAACTTATGCGAGAACCTTTTCGTGATAATGCGCAGTTATTATCTCCTAGTCAATTGGCATTCCAAACATGATGAAGAAGAGTCAACGCCGAGTTCTAGCAACGTCTTTGAAATAGAAAAGAACGTTAGTAGGGAATATATTAGGCAGAAATTAAAAGCTGGCCTGATTAGGATATGGCACGATGTACAAGCGAAGGTGTCGACCTTCTTGAAAAGCTCCGGGATAGAGGAGTATCCATTCGAGAAGTTCATACAAATGCTGGGAATCTTGAGGAAACTGACCCAAGTGGCCGAAGTGTTTTGTGGCGACAAATCCGACATTTTGCAGGACTTTATAAAGACGAATAGCGTGCTGTACATAAAAAACTATCACAGAGGTCGCATGGACGAGTTGAAGTTGTTTTTGGAGAATGAAGGCTGGGAACAATGTCCGGTCAAGTCTACTTTTAATCTCCTCATGTTACAAGAGTTCAAACTCTTTAAAAAATATCTTACTACATTCAGATCTGACATGTCTATTACGAAAACCCAATCGGATGGCGCTTCTTCGGTGCATTCACAAGACGATAGCGTTTATATAGCAAAATACTTTAACCAAAAAACAAATCACACTCCGTTTGAAATGTTTCGAAATGAGAACGTCACAAATGATGATATCTTCGGCTTAGAACCAGAAATCGAACCGAGCGATGACTCGGAAGATGAAGCGGAAGTGCAAAGAGATATTATTGAAGACAACGACAAAGACGAATATAGTGCAAGCGAAAAAATAATCGAGAGTCCGTCTAAAGTCAAAAACAGCGTTATTGTAACGAATACAACATTATCAGTATTAAGAAACTGCGGACAGTATCTGCAAATATGCAGATATCTGCCGCAGATTTCATTGGAGGTGGTCATGTTGATGAACCAGCTTTTCGACTACTATTTCTACACGGTCCATCTCTTTTTCACTTCAGATCTGGACGTGGCATCTTCGACTTTGTATAGTACAAAACTGAATGCAGTACTTAAAAGGATATCTAATAGCATAGACGCTAATGGTGTAGCGAGTGATGATGATGGCAAAACATATTTATGTCCAGAATTACCTCAGCATTTGAACTTGTCTTCTGAAGAAACATTGCACGGATTAAGTGAAAGAATAGTCGCGGTTGAAAGCGTTATATTTCTAGCGAAGCAATATGAACTTCTCCAACCATATTTAGAGTCTATAGTTGCTCAGCACCAGAGAATGATCTTAGAGCATTTTAGAGACAACACTCTTGCTGTTGCAAGCGATTTGCGAATGCCTGTGTACATGTGCTCCGCTTCAAAAGCTGTTGATGCTAGGTCATCTTTAATTGCAATGTCTCAAGTCAAATGGGATGTTAAAAATGTAGCCATAGATCATAGTCCGTACGTAGATATGATAACGAGGAAAATTCAAGTGTTCGCCTTACGCATAGAGAATATATCGACAAAGGTGACATTGAATTTGGAAGTTTTAAATTCTATTTGGTCTATGGTCGCCAAGTTTGTGGTGCACCTATTGGTGGAAGGATTTTCGAACGCTACCAAATGCTCGAACGGGGGTAGAGGCCTTATGCAGTTAGATTATAGACAGTTGTTCGTGAAATTAGAAAAAATATCAGGTCTTAAGCCAGTCCCGTACCAAGACTATGTGGATAGGTATGTGAAAGCTTACTATCTGCCTAGGAAAGGTTTAGAAGACTTCATCAGGGAAAGGACAGAGTATTCGAATAAACATTTGTTGGCGTTAGTGGCGTCGGCGTGTGAAAATAAAAGAGATAGGCAAGCGTTACAAGCTATTATTGAAGGCAGAGATTCCACAAGTACGTAGTAAACTCTAAGAAGATTAAGAATCTAAATGAATTAATGAACAATTATTGAAATGACATGACCTTTCACGTGTCTTTTATCTCGCTTGCTCTTCTAGGTCAAATTTATTGAATATTTGTGTAAACTTTATTTGTTTTTGCACTTCTTGGCTAACTCCATCCGTAAATAAAGAAGCCCTGAGATGATCAATGACAATTGTCAATTTGTTATTAAGGAACAATTCCAAACATGTGACCTAAAGGTTACGTTCACTTTGAATATTATTTCTTTATACTTTATTGTGCACTCTACTACAAACAACTACACTATTTAAAAATGTTAGATCTATTCATCTTTATTTACAAAATAATCAACAAAAGCAACAAGTCTCGATCCTAGCGCCATCTAGTATTTGCTTGTCTAATTTTGTTTAGTGACCAACCATTTTAATTGTAACTAAGAGCCATCTAAGAGCCCATTTGCATGAATGTAAATTATGCATGTATTGTGTTGCGTATTACAATTGGAAACTTAATAGAACAGTATTGAGTGAGATTATTTGGAATCTGCATAGATACATTCGTTTAAACATAAATTTAAGACTTTTTAAATAGTATTTTTTTTTTATGGTTTTGCCACCCAATTCGGAATTTAATTGAATCTGAGTACGGGCATGAAACTCGGCTATTTTTTTTTTAAACAAATGTTTTATTTTACAAGTTATGAACTTGTATTTATAAGTTATAATTGTTAATAAATATTTTACTGAACTAGGTGTTATCTTGCGGGAGTTCATATCACTGGTTACTTGATTATAATCATTTTGTTTAATTCCGTTACTATTAGTATGCGTGTGACTGTCGACACTCGAAGATTGACTCACCAATATTACTACCAGAAATTTCGCAACCTTCCGTATTAGACATCAATCTTCGACTGCCATTTTGTTGGCGAAACTCGCAATTTAAGCGTCGAAGAGTTAACACTAGGCTCCGAGCAGCGATATAATAATTTGCCTAAAGATGTCTCGTTTAAAGGTGAAACACATGTCGCAAAACGTGCGCAAACAAAATGGCAGTCGTAGATTGATGACTTATATGGAAGGTTGTGGAACTTGTGGTAGTAATAGTTGTCAATCTTCGAGTGTTAGCAGTCGCACACATACTAATGGTAGCGAAATTAAACAAAATAATCAAATAACCAGTTATAATTATTAGTACTTACATATTTTATTTTTGTAAAGATCTGTAAATTGTTATTGTAAATAAAGCACAAAATATAAAGTGAAGAATCTCCTGAATTGATGTGTATGAGACAAATTATGAAAATGGATGTAAAAAAAAAATGTATGGAAGAATAGAGAACACAGATACTTTCTGCCTATCTCATAACCTGAACTGAGGTTCATAGTATTTTAATGTAATAACTACCGGTTTAACTTACGAGTTGAGAAATCTCGACTAGTTTCAAGATCATTCGGGACCCTTAATCGTGAGCGGTTGTGATGCTGTAGTTATTGCATTAAAATATAATGTGTACTTACGAATTATAACAATAAAGTTCATAGTGTTTAGTACAGAACTAAATAACTCGATGTTTGTAATTTCGTAACAGTCGCTATTTACAATTTATTACTCTATTTATTTAGGATTTAATAACTGCAAAATGTATTTATGAAACACCCTTATTAAAATTATATTAAGACCGTTCAGAACTTTAGCTCGCCGAAGTGCGGCAACGTCGCAGTTATCTGTCAATTTTCAGTAACAAATGAACAAATTCCGAAATTCAATATTTCACATCAATCAGATACTAAATATGCTCTGCGACTAAACTAAAATGTTAATCATAGACTACGTTGCATATAATTCTGTCAATAAAAACTTTGCACCTACTTCATGTTCTGCTTTGGATTTTTTCAAATACATTTTTCCAATCAATATCCAAATATTCGCTGATATCTTTATAAAAATATTATTTAGCTAATTGTAATAATAAATAAATACTTTTTTTTTCAAAGGGTGAAAATGGTATGGTAACCCCGCCTGCGCTAACGGGATACGCTGGCGGAGCACCAGTGAAGGGTGATAGATGAGAATGAAAGCAGGCCAGTTAGCCCATCATGATGAATTCATCAGGAATTAACCATGATAGTTTCCAGGGGAACCGCGAGGAGGTCGACCTGGTTGGGTATATTGCTAGCAATGGGATTCTCAGTCTCTATTACTAACAATCCCTTTCCCCCCAATAAATATATTTAGATTAGCATTTCAGTTCACTAGCAGAGTGCTTTTTAAATAATCAATTAGAAACATTGAAAATTTTTCAATTGTTTATTAAAATTGACAGATAATTGCGACGTTGCCACATTGAAGATAAATAAGGTTGGCTAATATATTGCAATATCTATATATTGTAGTTACAATATCTATACATATATCGGTCCAATGACAGACATATTAACTATTGGTTATATCAAAATGGAGGACCCGCTCGTAATGAATGTGGATATCCGACTGGTATGGGCGATATCGCAATGGGTGCGCATCAATGTCTAAAGAACTCAATATATAGATATCAGATATTACCCATATGTAAAGTTATGAGCGCTTTTAAATGAATATAAAAATTATTGTTTATAAATAGATTCATGTACAGACTGGTTGTATATATGTATTTATCTCAAATTATTGTACAGGGAATAAAAGGGTCGATTCCGAGGTGTCATTTATCTAATCATATCTCTAATATTTGAATTTGATAGTTTCCTAAAATTACTGAATTATGAACCGTAATGAACTAGATTTATAATGCATATTATTATTTCAGCCAGTAACTGTCGACTGTTGAACATAAGCCTTCCCCATAAGGGGATTTTTGGCCAGTAGTTGCCACGCTTGGCAGGCGGGTTGGCAACCGCAGTTAGGCTTTAAAGTATCTTACGTGGAACGCTGCTGCCCTTTCTTCGCACTCCTAGAACCATGTTGAGGAGTATGATGGATTTCCCAGTTTTATGGTGAATATTAAATAATTGTCTTTTAATATATAATATTAATTAATTCATTCATTAATAAATTGCATAATTAGTCGCCTCTTACGACACCCATGAGAAAGGAAGCGGTGGCCCATTCTATGTAGGGACACACATGGCAAATAAAGATGATGCATTAGAAATTTTGTTCTTTTTTTATACCACTGAGGTAGCAAACAAGTATACGACCCACCTGATGGTAAGCGATTACCGTAGCCTATGAACGCCTGTAATACCGAGGGCATTACGCGCGCTTTGCCGACCCTGAAGGAACCTCTTTCTAGTTTATATTTGTTCTTAAAATGAATATTTAGCTGTGATATCAAAAGGAAATTTTAATTTTATAGACAGGTTTAAAGAGATGCACCTCGTAATCGACTCCAAGATAGTTGCTAAGTGTACTCGTTCTGATGTTTAATATTAGATGGCGCTGGAATCGTAACTTGTGGGTTTTGTTGATTATTTTGTAATTAAAGATAAGTTGATGTAAAATTTCTAAATTGGCGAGAGATTTTATTTGCTTTTAACAATGTAGTAATAATTTATCATAATTTTGTCTTTACTCTCTTGCATTGTACAATTTTGTAAAAAAAACACATACCAGCAAGAAACATTGCGATTGGGTTGTAACTCATTTAGGAAGAGATCGCGTATTATCTGTCACTTCACAATCATGCATAATAATAAAAACCGCTCGCCTAATTAGAAATTTTCCCTCAAATTATCTTTAATTACTAAATAAAAACATCGACTCATCTTTAAATACAAAACAATCAACTAAAGCAACAAGTCTCGATACCAGCGCCATCTAGTATTTGTTTGTTTAATTTTGTTTAGTGACTAACCACGTCATTTTTAAAAATTAATTTTATGACTAGATAATATTACTGTGACAAGGTGTTAAAGCGTTCATATATTTATATACATGTATATCTGCACATATAATATTAGGTAAAATAAAAGACATTATATTAAGTGTTATATTTGTTCTTTTTATTTGAACCCCATATGGTAATTATCTTACTATAAGTTTAAAAAAAAAATATCCTATAGTCCATATTTCAGTACAGAAATAAAAATTAAATTACTCGTAATTACTTTATCCACTCGTAACTAACTGCTTTATCGACACAGCAACACTAAGTCTACTTGACAATAGATGGCGTTGTTAAGCAACACTAACACAACGAGTGTTTAGTACATGACAATAGATGGCAGATTTTACTAAAAAAACTAACAAAGCTCGGTCTTCCAGATACTAATTGTTAGTAATAACAATCACAGTGCGAGGTGAGAAACTGTGACGCAAAACGCTCTACGACTCCTGGAAAAGACTTCCGGATGAAATAGAAACAATTATCGGAAACGTAAAAACGCAGTGAGTTCATGATATTCCCGTTACCTATGTATGTGGGATCAAGGGTTTACAAAATGAAAAATAGTTGGTGCATGTTACTATGTAATTGAATCTTTTCTTAAAATTATAATAAATAAAAAATTATAACACCATTAAACAGCTATATATAGGGCTGTCATCCGTCCAGAATTCCCCGGATTTGTTCTAGTTTAAAAGGCGTCCTGGGGTCGTCGGGCAGGGGTTTTTAAAAAGTGTCGGGTGCAACCCGGACACTTTTGTTGTCAGGGGAAATTCAATTTTTTTCTAGGCAGGCGATCAATTAAAATAAATTATAGTTTTTTTTTTATACTACTTAGAATGGCAAACAAGCTGACGGCCCACCTGATGGAAAGTGGTAACCGTCGCCTATATACATGAGCAGTACCATGGACATAACAGAGTATACTGTTTCGCTTATGATACCCCCCATGCGTTGCCATTCCTGAGGACTCGGGTGTTATTCCTCTGTACCCAGTAAATTCACGCCATATCCCACCCTTCAAACCGAAACACAGCCATGCAAACACAACTGCTTCACGATTGAAACACGAGAGAGACAGAGGTACCCAAGCAATCGAGGGAGAGTCTTCTGTACAGACTCTCCCTTTGCTGTCCAGTGTAAATCTATGTAATAAATTACTCAAATATCTCCTTAACATCCAAATGTGGTGTGTGTGGCACCACGGCCGCCAACGCAGCGTAGTCGCAGCAGAAGCTGTGCGTGCCGTCATTGCGCCGCCAGTGCAGCCACGCGTGCCGCGAACACTTCGCGTCGCAGAACGTCAGCCGCTCCACCATCGTGCCGTTGTAGAACGACGAGTTTATTGAGACGAAAGCCGCGGCTGACTTCTTCACGGGGTCGTACACTAGCTGTAAATTTATTAAATTAATCCATTTTTCTAGCAATATATCTTATCATTTGAATTATCAAGTACTAGCGGCACGTCCCGGCTTCGCACGGGTGGCCATTTTTAAAACATTTTAAAAAGGGGCTATTGTGACATAACGATAATAGTTGGATAACATAGGTATCGCGAAGTTTTTTGTAGTTATTGATATTTTCTTCAATATTGTAGAACACACTTTTGTCTTATCACCAATAGTTTCCGCAGCGCACGCGACCAAAGATATTTTATAGCATTTTTTACACCTTGAGTTACGTTACTAGAGGTTTAGTATGGACCTCTAATCTTTTCTAGCAATAAATATAGCCTATGTTACTCGGGGTGAATGTAGCTTTCTAATGGTGAAAGAATTTTTGAAATCGGCAAAGTAGTTTTTGAGTTTATTCATTACAAACATACATACACACAAAAATACAAATCTTTCCTCTTTATAATATTAGTGTAGATAGTGTAGATATAGTACATTATACAGGGTCTATGTCCTATCAGCAGGTCTGCTCTTGAATCCAATACCAATATCAATCCAATCCATTGCCAATGACAATTTTACACTGCACTCATGTAACAACAGTTAGGGATTAATTTATAATTGGGATCGATTTACTATAGTTCGCATTAGGGGGAAAGGGATTGTTAGTAATGGGGTCAAATAGCCCCATTACTAGCAATATACCTTGTCAGGTCGACCTCCACGTGGTTCCCCCTGGAAACCATCATGGCTAATTCTAGTTGTATTCGTCAGGATGGGCAAACTGATCTACTTTCATCCTCATCAGTCATCTATCACTGGCGCCCCGCCAGTGTATACCGATAGCGCGGACGGGGTTACCATACCATTGTCACCTATTAAAAAAAAATAGTTCGCATTGGCAAGTTGCACTAGTATGCATCTATCAGAACGATATGAAACCGTTACGTCGCTAGTGTTGCCAATTCGAGAGTGTGAACTCAATTCCAATATTGATCTATTTGGTTGGGGGGAAAGGGACTGTTAGTTATGGAGACTGAGAATTCCATTGCTAGTAATATACCCCAACCAGGTCGACCTCCTCGCGGTTCCCCCTGAAAACTATCATGGTTAATTCCTGATGAATTCATCACGATGGGCTAACTGGCCTGTTTTCATTCTCATCTATCACCCTTCACTGGTGCTCCGCCAGCATATCCCGTTAGCGCAGGCGGGGTTACCATACTATTTGCACCCATAAAAAAAACGTTACGATGGGTTAACTTACCTACCTTTTCATCGTCACCTATCATCCCTTAGTACCTTCATATTCGTATACGCTGGCGGAGTCTGCTACTCCGCCAGCGTATACTGATAGCGTAGGTGGGGTTACCATTCCATTTAGACATAAAAAATAAAGGAAAAAATGTCTTACCTTAAAAAAATACAGCGGCACTGGTAGAATTCCATTGTTGTTCTCATCAAATTCCAGATAGAGGTCCCGGGGCTGCCCTGTATTGTCAGGGAGGGACATTACACCCATCGTGCCTGTGTACACGACCACGGGGGAACCGTAGGTGTTTATGCGTCGACGCAACGCCTGGGATTAAGGGGGAAGGAATTGTTAGTTTCGCAGACTACCATGATCTCCACATGGCCCCCCTGGAAACCATCGTGCTGAATTCCAAGTGTATTCATCACGATGGGCTAACTGACCTGTCTTGACCTGCCATTATCATCCATTGAAAAAAAAACAGTCACTGGCAATGTCACCGCATGAAATGTATTGCTATACCATGTATTCTGGTATATCTATGGTGCTATTCATGGCTATGGGTGACAGATAAGTAAGTACATTTCCCCTCAGATTACCTGTCAGCTTAATTCAAAGATTTCAGAGTGGAATTCGATTTAAATCTATCCAAGATAGTACAGTACTGGTACCAGGAAAACAGAAGTCGTTAAGAGGTCGACTTACAGATTCAAGTGCAGCCCAGTCGCCCACGTTCCCGCGCTGCCACTGTGGTGCGCTGTTCACATAATGGTACGAAGCGGCCTGCTGACCTCGCATTATGAAGTCCCCTCGTGCTGCGAGGTGACCACGAGCTATGTACTGTAATAAAATAAAAATTAATGTAAGAAATCTTATCTTACTTCTTATTGATACAATAGAATTGTAACTAATCGATGTCTGTTTATTAGAGATATTAATATATATATATATATATATATATATATATATATATATATATATATATATATATATATATATATATATATATATATATATATATATATATATATATATAGGATAAGGAAGAACAATAGTAACTCTAAAAAGTACCGAAGGGAACAGTTGTTGGCCCAACTCACCGAACTACATCCTCGCCTATGATGCCTCCCTAGTACTTTACCAGCGTATGCTAATAGCGTAGCCGGGGTTAAAATTCCATTTTCATCCCTTAAAAAAGAAAAACTACCTGAGTTTTATTAGTGTACTTCTTGTGCATCTCTGGACCCAAGATGGCGTCGATCTGCTGACTCTGCTGTGTATATGCTTTGTTTATATTCACCTTTTTAAATAGAGTGCTATCTGGAAACCAGAGTAAGGAGCGTTCATAAGGAAGTATGGCGATTTTCAAAAACAATTTACAACGTTGCTTAATGATTATTTAAAAAGTGACCTCTGCCTTTGAACTAAATGTGAAATTTGGAATATAATGCATAAATCAAGCGCCGATCTTACCATAAAACTTCTCTGACCCCTGTTTAAATTCGTGGAAGACAATCGCCGGCGTCAACTGATACTTCACGTAGAGAGTGGTCAGTAGGTTTCGATCGAAGCATGCTTCGTACAATGGATAAATTTTGCTCTGGATGTTGTAACCTACCCTGAAATAATATATTTTTTTGGATGATAATGAAATGGTAGTCTCACCTGCGCTATCGGTATACGTGGTTGCCAATTAGACTGCCAGGCGTGGCAAATACCTGCAAAACCCAATTTTGGGGGAGGTCTCTATGTTCAGCACTGAACATCATCGTGTTGTATTTCAGCAGCGCTGTAGCATGCCTTTTAAGAGTAGACATGCAATTGTTTCAACTTTTATATAATAACCTATATAGATAGATAGATAATTTATTTACATTACTTACAGCACACAAATTACAATAAAAAAACATACGCATAATACACAGTAAAAGAGATAAAAGAATGAAAATAAAAAAGCACAAAACAAGGAAACAAAATATATAAATCAACAAGTGTGCCATAGTAACACAAAATGGTCACAACTCAGTTTATTGCTTCGCCCTTAAAAGAGCAAAACACTGATATTCTGTTGTGGCCAAGAGTGAGTCGCGAAACTCCTCATTAAAAATAACAATAAAAATAAATATAAATAAACTGCATTCTGTGTGTCCATTACATTCGCCTCCATTTGATATTTGAGATATATCAATGATAAGTACAGAATTCTCACTAGAACCCCAATAACGGACATACATACCGATACCGCAGGTGTAGTTACTATTCTATTTATTAATATATATATATAATATATATATATATATATATATATATATATATATATATATATATATATATATATACCTGATCAAGGAATTGCCTGCGTAACATTTCTCTCGGATGACCTCGACATTAGCCGTGGGAAGCATGTTGCAGCGGATATCAGAAAATTGGCCGATCCATCGCTCCACACGGAACGTCGTATTTATGATGCAATGCGCTTCCTGGAAGTAATGAAATAGGTAGAGCCAGTTCCAGCCCTTTGTGGAGGTAGAGCGAGATTGTCTTCCGGCGTCTTTTGGTCTACGCTTTTTCACATATATACTATTTACCAGAGGGAGACTTTGTACAAAAATCGTATGCTCGAGCACCTCTGTCCCATTTGTGTTTTAACCGTGAAGCAGTTGTGTTTGCATGGCTGTGTTTCGGTTTGAAGGGTGCGATATGGCAGTGAATTTACAGGGTACATAGGAATAACACCTGAGTCCTCAGGAATTGCAACGCATAGGGGGTATCATGGGCGAAACAGTATACTCTGTTATGTCCATGCTACTACTCATGTCTATAGGCGACGGTTACCACTTTCCATCCTGTGGTAATCCTTTACCACCCTGTTAAAGTGATCTACTTCATTGGATTGACTGTACCAGGCAAAAAGGCTTCTGACTCACCACAGCCACGTAGCCCGTTGTGATATTTCTAGTGAACACACGTCGGCCTCTCCCGGGACACGCCACCAGAACAGTGTCGGATTGTTGTAATACGACTGCACCGGTATTGTTCGGTGAGAGATATTGTCCATTGCGAAGATAAACTGGTGATGGCAGTCCGAAATCCATGTTCAACACAAGGGAGCATTCTGAAATAATTAGTTTACATAGGAATCGAATCGAATAATTAGTTACTATATAATGCGGGATCGTTGAACACGGGTCATGATGATTTCCTTATTGCAATGAATCGTTTCGAACCGGATATTGTGGCGATAAACGAGACATGGTTGCCGGCAGGCCAGGAGGCGCGTGCCCCCACGGTGCCAGGGTACCGGCTAAGGAACACGCCGCGTCCGCAGCACATGCGTGGCGGTAGAGGGGGTGGTGTAGTTTTTTATGTTAAGCAAGACATGCGCGTGCGCTATGTAAAGCATCCCAATGGAGGTATTGAGCAGATGTGGCTATCGACAATAGTAAATGGTTATCGTGTTATTGTAGGTACGGCGTATAGACCACAGTGGTTAAACGTAGACTTATTTATTGATGCATTAACCGAATCGGTAACATATTTTTCAAACTATGATCACGTTGTGCTGCTAGGTGATTTTAATATCAATTTACTCGATAGTTCGAATAACAGTGTAATTAAATTCAACCAATTTTTAAGCTGTATGGATCTTAAACAGTGAATGAACCGACACATTTTTCAGTTGGTTCCGATACTTTAATTGATCTTGTATGTACAAATTGTAGGATCCGTGACATTTCTGTCACAAATATTACTGGTTCACTTGGCCATGCGATGATAAATGTTACTCTCACATTAAGGAAATCTAAAATTCCACCTAGATCCGTGACATATAGACCCATAAAAAATATAGACATAAATAAATTTAATGAGGACCTTCTTGCACATGATTGGGCGTCTGTTTCGTGTATGAGCACGGTTGATGATATGGTCGATAGATTTAATACGCTTATTATGTCCCTTTTCGACAGGCATGGTCCAATAATGACGAGAAAATTCAAACGTCATCAGTCACTTCCTTGGATAACTGATACAATTAAGTGCATGATTGACTTACGCAACAAAGCACATAATAAATATCGTAAGTCTAAATTGGAGAGGGACAAAAAATATTATAAAGACCTCAAAAATACAGTGTCTGTGAGTATTGCTGCTGAGAAGAAAGCCTATTATAATCATTATATTAACTCTAATACGAGTAATAGTAAAGTGTTTTGGAAGAATTTGAGGGATAGAATATTAATAGATCCTTGTAAAAGTGATTATCTTCCTGACAGCTTTAACGACCCTAATAGTATTAATAAATATTTTCTAAAAGTACCCGGACCTGAAAAAGTCCCTATTTCACAGCTAACCTATTTTGAATTTCATCGGTTTAATACAACGACGCCTAGTTTTAGATTGGAACCTATCAGTTCAAATGATGTTGCCAAGTATATTTTGTCCATACAAACAAACGCAATTGGGACTGATGGTATTAGTCGGGACATGGTTTTGCTTACCCTACCACATACTCTCTCTATTATTACTGATATAATTAACAAATCAATTGTAACAGGTGTGGTTCCTCATCAGTGGAAAAAGGCATTAATTACTCCTCTTCCTAAAGTTGACCATCCAAAGGAATTTAAAGATCTGAGACCTATTAGTATATTGCCTTTTTTATCTAAAATCTTGGAAAAAGCCATATACATTCAATTATTAAAATACATTGAAGTCAACAAGATACTGCCGCTTTTCCAGTCGGGGTTTCGAAAGGGCAGAGGCACTGTCACAACATTGCTTGATGTGACAGACAACATATTGGCTGCTCAAGATGATGGTCAAGGCTCTATATTAACTTTACTTGATTTTTCCCGCGCATTTGATAGTCTCAATATTTCATTGTTACTTTCTAAATTGTCATATTATGGGTTTGATCATCACTCGATTAATTGGTTTAAGAGTTATTTAGGAGAGCGATTTCAGGCAGTTAAATTGCTGAAGGATGATGGTACTTGTATGATATCTTCCCCCAGGTTGGTGAAGCGTGGAGTTCCTCAAGGATCTATACTGGGCCCACTTCTATTTATTATATACAGTGCCGACCTCCCTAATGTTATTAAGAACTGTAACTATCATTGTTATGCGGACGATGTACAACTGTATATATCTAGAAGTCAAATTGGGATATCTAATGCCGTTCAGAAAATGAATGAAGATTTAGATCGCACCGCTGCATGGTCTAATAATAATGCTCTTGTTCTTAATCCTTTAAAATCAAAATATATGGTAATTGGCTCGAAAAATCAAATTGAGAAGGCATCGAATAATAATCTAGTTGTAAAGATCGGTGATACAAATATTGAACATGTTTGCGAGGCAAAGAACCTTGGTGTGCTTTTTGACAGTAATTTGCGTTTTGAAAACCATGTGTTGGGTTTGGTCCGGAATTGCTTTTATCGACTTAAAATATTATACAAGATACGAAATTTGTTGTCAGAAAGATCACGAATCTCTGTGAATCTCTTGTGTTATCCAGATTAAATTATGGTGATCTGGTCTACGGGCCTCGTCTCCTTTCTTCATCTCGTCGAATGATACAGAGGATTCAGAATGCGTGCTGTCGCTTTTGCTTTGTTGTTTCACCTCGTAGTCACATTACACCATATTTGAATGAAGCATCTATGTTGAACATGGACTCACGTAGGCGATTGCACCTTGCTGTACTTATGTTTGATCTTCTAAAATTTAAATCCCCTGAATATCTATATAAAAAACTCAAATTTCCGACTTTCAACAATTATTATGGATGTAATGTGTCTCGATCAACACGGCCCCCGTTGGCGGTTCATAACCATAGGACAGTCGCTTTTACCGGATGTTTTCGCCACCAGGCGACTAAATGCTGGAATAACATACCCCCTCCAATGAGACTAGCTGCATCCAAATCAATTTTTAAAAAGTTGATAAAGCAGTATTTATTAAATAGGCAAAAATTTGGATTAGTTGCCTGGTAGCGACCTTTAACATAATTACTGTGGTGAATTATTATTTATATATGTTACATATTATGTTTAATTAATTAATGAAATATATTATTTATGCATCATCTATTTAAGTATGTATCTATATAATATAATTTTACCTTTTGCTATTAAATTGGTTACACAGGTTACACTCTGGGTTTGTTGCACGCGTCCGTGTAGCCTTACTTCAGGTTGCAGCTGAAAATCAGTGCTTTGCTTTTAAGCAAAAGTATCACTGAGCTGTAGCCTTTTTGGGTCACTGCGACACACTTGGTGAAAACATATCTCCAATATTCATTTTTTGTTTTATATGTTGTTTTATATTTGAAAAAATGTAAATAATCAAATTGTATCATTTTATTCATTAATTTACGTGTGTTAAATGGCTCAAATAAAAAAAAAAAGAATCGTAATTTTTTTTATAAGGGCCAAACGAGCATGCGGCTCACCTGATGGTAAGTGACTACCGCCGCCCATGATCACCCACAACACCAGCAGCATTGCAGGTGTGCTGTCGGCCTTTTAAAAAGGAATATGCTCTTTTCTTAAAGGTTATGATGTCGTATCGGTTCGGAAATACTGCAGCTGGAAGTTGATTCCAAAGAGTGGTTGTGCGTGGAAGAAAGTGCCTTGAAAAACGCACGGTGGAGGACCGCTATTCATCCAGATGGTTAGCAAATATTTGTTATTATATAACTATAATAAAATGTATAATACTAATATGTCTCTCTACCATCTTTTTTTATGCTACTTAGAATGGCAAACAAGCTGACAGCCCACCTGATTTAAAATTGTAACCGTCCCCTATAGACACGACATGACGTGTATCATATACATAACAAAGTGTACTGTTTCGCCCATGATACCCGCCATGCGTTGCCATTCCTGAGGACTCAGGTGTTATTCCTCTGTACCCAGTAAATTCACTGCCATATCCCACCCTTCAAACCGAAACACAGTTATGCAAACACAACTAAATACAATCATAAAAAATTGACGATTTAAAAGTGCTTATAAACAAACCTATTTGAATAAAGATTGTTTCGATTCTTTTCTATCTAAACGTGCGAAGCCGAGGCCAATCACTTGTTCTTACTAATATTATAAATGTAAAAATGAATTTGTTTGTATGTTTATCTATTTGTTAGTGTTGTCGGATTCCTTTACCGTTCTTTTTCTGAATGTTGGTATTTTTAATCTTATTTTTTTATTATATTTTTTTTAACAACAAAAAGTAAACGCGAGAATACTTAATGTCTCTTTCTATTTTTAATCTGTTTGAATTTTTTTTATCTAAAAAGATAGATCTGGTTTTTAAATTGGTCTCATAGAATTTTTTACATACTGGGTTTAGTATTTTAATTTTTATATTATTTTCAATATAATTTGTTATACCACGATAGAATTGATTTTTTTTATGGAACATAATCTTAAATTATTGTTAATCTCGTCTGTTTTTTTTTTAATTTATTAAATGATCATTAAAATCGGTTTAGGATGACAAACACATACGTAACGAACAAAATAAAGCCGTCAAATAATGTTCCAAGGTTGAATAAAATAATAAAAAATATAACTGCATGCATTATTACCTATAGTATTAAAAAAAAAAAACTTACCGCCGTCAACCTTGTAGACTGCATAAATTATGAATATTATAAAAAGTATTATAAACTTAAAGCTCGTGTCCATTGCGCGTGGGTGCATTATAATAACGGTAAACGAAACTGTACAAACATCTAACGGAATATCACTGCTTATTTTTACACGCCGACAGTGAACACTTCCTTAAAATACTTTTCCCGCCAAATCTACACGTTGCTCTATGGGAGGGCAAAGAGTAAATGAGCAGAATGTGTATGCAGCCTTTGCTTTGTTACGTACTCATTACGTCGGAAAACAATCGATGTGTTTTATGCTTCTACAATTTACTCTATCAATAAAATCATTACAAACTCGCCTCTAAGTGGATTGCTAATTACTTAGATACGTACTTGCGCTACCAATTACGCTAGTACTCGTTTTATGTCTTTATTTTATAGGCCGATGACTCAAATTTAAGCAAATATTTTCTTTTAAATCTTATTCATTTTCTAATGACGTTGTAAACATGCTTATCGGGAATTTCACAAAATTACTGTGTCATTTCCGACAATGACGAATATAACTATCACTGTGACGCAAAGCGCCATACGCCCCCTGAAGACGACGACGAGTTAAGAGAATTCTTGATAATCCCAGGCTTGTAAGCGGTATCGAAAAACTAAGTCTTAGAAGAGATATTGCCTCACTCTGCGTGTTCTACCGCTTGTACAACGGACTATGCTCAGAGGAATTGTTCAATATGATGCTCACGGCCATTTTCTACCATCGTACGGCTCGCCTACAGCCTAAACGGTCGCGTACAACGCAGTTTCAGCGATGTTTTCTCCCAAGAACACTCAGGTTATGGAACGAGCTCCCTGCCGAGGTTTTCCCAAGAGACAACAACATGGGGTTCTTCAAAAGGGGGATAAATATATTTACTGTATATACTTGAAGCGGGCATATTTGTTAAATTAAATAATCACATGTTTACAGAAGCAAAAGAGCAAATACAAAGAAGCGCAAGATACCCTAAAAAACCTAGTGACTAATACAATTCCTAAAACAAGCCATTTATTAAGAAATTCCTATATGATGTGTTTAAAAATCTTTAACAATATACCTACGGATATAAAGGAACTTTTATTAAATTAATTTAAAATTGTATTACGTAAATGGTTACTTAGCAAAAGCTTTACTCTGTTGACGAATTTTTCAAGAAAGAATAGATAAATATCTAATATAGTTGTCGGGGGGGAAAGGGATTGTTGGCAATGGAGTTTGACAGTCCCATTGCTAGCAATATGCCTTATTAGGTCGATCTCCACGTGGTTCCCCCTGGAAACCATCGTGAACAATTCTTGTTGAATTCGTCACGATGAACTAACTGACCTACTCCTTCCTCACCTATCATCCTTCACTGGTGCACCGCCGGTGTATACCGATAGCGCGGGTGGGGTTACTATTCCATTATCATATATATATATATATATATATATATATATATATATATATATATATATATATATATATATATATATATATATATATATATATATATATATATATATATATATTTTTTTTTTATGATGACATATATATATATATACATATATATCGTCAGGCGTTCATAGGCATAAAAATATATAATAATAGTATATAGGATATAAAAATATCGGATGATATTAAAACAATAGTCGAAAATGCCATACATAGTGTTTTCGCAAAATTTCCGTTATGCATGTATATAAATGTATTGTTTTTGATATTTTTAATGGATGATAATGAAACGGTAATCCCGTCTGCGCTATCAGTATAAGCTGGAGCGGGGCACCAGTGAGGAAGGTCAGTTAGCCAATCGTGATGAATACACCTAGAACCAGAGGGAGACTTTGTACAAAAGTCGATTGCTTGCGTAACTGTCCCATTCGTGTTTCTACCGTGAAGCAGTTGTCTTGCATGGCTGTGTTTCGGTTTGAAGGGTGGGATATGGCGTGAATTTACACGGTACAGAGGAATAACATCTGAGTCCTCAAGAATGATAACGCATGGGGGTATCATGGGTGAAACAGTATACTCTGTTATGTCCGTGGTACTGCTCATATCTATTGGTGACGGTTACCACTTTCCATCAGTTGGGCCGTCAGCTTGTTTGCCTTGTTGTTTCGTTTGTGAGTGTGCCATAGCAATACAAAATGGCCACAACTCAGTTTATTGCTTCGCCCTTAAAAGAGCGAAGCACTGATATTCTGTTGCGGCCAAAGGGAATAGGGTAACAATAAAATAATATTACCAGATTATCCGTACAATAAAAAAAGATTAATATACAGTAAACAGACAGATATGACAGTCTATCTAGCAAACAAATGGGACATGGAGGTAACTTGCAGGAATGTCTAACTTTTGCCTCTCAATTAAGAATTTTAGGAAATGAATTTTGAAACTGGACTTAGTGGCGATCAGTCTTATGGGAGGTGGTATATTGTTCCAACATTTTGTGGCTTGATATCGGAAGCTACCATTAAAAGCTGCCGTTTGCTTTGGCCGCAACAGAATATCAGTGCTTCGCTCTTTTGAGGGCGAAGCAATAAACTGAGTTGTGGCCATTTTGTATTGTTATGGCGCACGGACAAACGAAAATTGTACTTGGCTTTATGTATTTTTGTTAATCATTTATGTTAACTCGCTTTTTATGTATATCTATATATGTAAGTAATGTAAATAAATCATCTATCCATCTATCTATTTGTGTAATGAAATGAAATGAAATGAAATTTATTTGTAACAAAATTAACATACAGTTACAACATCCGTATTTTAGTTAATTACCTAAATAATAATATAATTAAATAAAATAATTAATCTCAATCACTCAACCTACATAACAGGAAAATTCCTAACGTCATTACATCATTTGCTTACGTTAACTTTTCAGACCAAAAATAGTTTTCCTGTACAATGCTTTATTTTTAACATTTCAGCCATTATCCGTTCACTGCTGTACTTAAACCACCCCCATAGACTGCCATAAACAACGGTCCTGAGCCAACTGCATCCACTGACTCCCTGCAATGCATTTCAGGTCGTCACTCCATTTAGTGGGGGGTTATCCTGCACTGCGTATGCCCGTACGCGGTCGCCACTCGAGAACCTTTCTTCCCCATCGGTTGTCGGTTCTTTGAGCTGCGTGACCAGTCCATTACTTCAGGTTCACTTCAGCTTGCTTATCCTTCGGACTATGTCGGTTATTTTGTTTATTTGCGGATATCCTCGTTTCGGATTCTATCACGCAAAGAGACTTCGAGCATAGCCCTCTATTCTTGGAGGGAAAGGAATTGTTAGTAATGGAGACTGAGAATCCCATTGCTAGCAATATACCCAACCAGGTAGACCTCCTCGCGGTTCCCCCTGGAAACTATCATGGTTAATTCCTGATGAAATCATCATGATAGGCTAACTGGCCTGTTTTCATTCTCATCTATCACCCTTCACTGGTGCTCCGCCAGCGTATCCCGTTAGCGCAGGCGGTGTTACCATACCATATTCATCTAATAAGAAAAAAAACATACTACGTAATGATAGACTGGCAATGCAAACACAAAAACGAGACAAGAAAGTGATTACACTAGTGTGCGTGTTTTGTAAATGTGTACACGTGACACGATCTGAATTTGTATGGAATTGAAGTCGCAAAAAAAGCAATAATTCACGTATTTGTTATAATTTTAATTGCGATTCTGGAACGTTCATAAATTTATTTGGATTTAAATTAGATACTTCTTCTATCAATTCTTGTACAAAATATTTCGGATAATATTGCAAAAGGTAAGTAGGTAAGGTAAAATATTTAAAGCGTATTTACATGACAAATGTACAGTTTCGTGGTGTATTTTCCTGTTTTATTTTATATTCAAGTACAGCACATTTAACCATTTTTGAACCCCAATTGATGCTCCCTGTCGAGGTTTTTCCAAGAGACTACAGCATGGGGTTCTTCAAAAGGGGGGTAAAGAGGTTTCTTCAGGGTCGGCAACGCGCGCGCAATACCGCTGGTATTGCAGGTGTTTTATATAGGCTACGGTAACCACTTACCATTAGGTGGGCCGTATGCTTGTTTGCCACCTCAGTGGTATAAAAAAAAATATTTCAATTGTCCTGATCTGCTACTTCGACTCTCTCTAAGTACGTGTCCCAACCAAACCATTAAGATTAAATACCACCTTATTTCATCCATTTGTTTTCACTGACGATAGAAAATATTCATATTTCTGACGTGCAAGCGATATCATCTTGAGGAGGGGGGAAAGGGATAGTTAGCAATGGAGTTTGACAGCCCTATTGCTAGTAATATGCCCTATCAGGTCAACCTCTACGTTCCCGGTTCCCCCTGGAAACAATTCTCGTTGAATTCGTCACGATGGGCTAACTGACCTACTTCATCCTCACCTATCATCTTTCACTGGTGCACCGCCGGTGTATACCGATAGCGCGGGTGGGGTTTTTATTTCATATCACCTATTAAAAAAAAAAACCGATATCATCATTTCCTACTTTTATCCCAATTATTATTTGGGGTCGGCGTAATGTGGCTTTATTTATATTACTAAAGGATTTGGCCTATAATTTTACGACCGGCCGCCTGCCTGACGTCAACCCTCTTTGGCGTGCAAAGGATAAATTTAATAAAATATCTGGAGATCTCGATTTACATTTATTTAATTCTAAGATAGAATCCTAAAGACGTGTGCTGAGTCAACGGTTCTTTGATGGTTCAGATTTGAGCGTGTGATTTCATCTTTTTATTTTGTATAACTCCCTCCCTGTAATGTTGTTATTCTAAATTTAATTTAGTTGTTTGTAAGTATTAGTGACGTCATGTGCATCTTTTTTACAACACAGGGGGCAAACGAGCGCCTCACCTGCGGCTCACTTGATGGTAAGTGACTACCGCCGCCCATGATCACCCGCAACACCAACGGCATTGCAGGTGTACTGGCGGCCTTTTAAAAAGGAATATGCTCTTTTCTTGAAGGTTATGTTGTCATATCGGTTCGGAAATACTGCTGCTGGAAGTTGATTCCAAAGAGTGGTTGTGCGTGGGAGAAAGTGCCTTGAAAATCTTGTATTTATTTGTGAAAACCCGTAATTAGCTTTTTGTCTTTACTGTTTTTTTTTATTATGAAATTTTTTAGCTGTTGGTATTTCTTTAAAAGTAAAGTAATTAATAATTAATTAAAATTAAATTACAGTAATTAATATAAACTATGAGTATATACTTGAAATAAAAAGATTTATTTATTTATTATTATTTATTATTTTCTTTTACAGGTAACAGATCTCCCCAATTACTGGATCTGGCACATCTGTAGGTTGTTTGATCATATTTAGACTTGGAAAATATTACTTCCTTCAACTCCCCTTGTGCGGTACATAACCTACAAATGGTGTGGCCAGAACGTACAATTGGTGCACGGACTATCCTTGGCCACTGTGGATCATCAGATGGACGTACACCTTTCCTTAATATTACGTACGAAAACAAGTCTGCCATTACTTCAGATTTACCAGAAATTGGTAATGTTTCAAACTTCATTATGAAATTACATGGAGTTTTATGCTCGAGGTATCGTGGACATACATTGTCATTCGGACACGGTGAAAATGCATAACCATTATTTTGACCTTTCGGAAGGTTTAGGATAAATTCTCGTGCTTCATTAACTATTCTAAAGCCAGCATTTGTTCCATGTTCGACAACTATTAAGAAGTCCTCAGTTTTATTCCACAATTTTTGTATGGTTTCTAATCTCGTTTTCATGCTCGGCATTTCAAATAATGTGAACGCAGATAACACAATACTGTATTTCAGATCTGTAGATGCGGGCAAGAATTGTCTCTGGAAATAACTTTTTAAAGGAAACTCAACATTGTCTTTGCCCTTACACAGTATTAAACGGGCCAAATCGTGCATGTGTTGGGATGTATCTACACAGAAGTACTCAAATATATCACCTTGCCAATAATTGTTTATTGCCCATGTACCTGTACCAACACCAGAACCAAAATCGAAAAAACTATGGGGTTTATAATCTGGATATTTTTTTCTAATTTCGTCAAGCACACGTACCAGGACCGCATAATCGGGAGCGGCTCTCGCCATTAGATATTGCAAACAGGTTGGTTTGTCGTACGAAATATTACCCCATCTGTATACATTCCTCTTTAGCACATTAAAAACTGAAGTCTGTATTTTCTTCTGATACTTTTCGTCCTCGTCTGGAGTTAATTCTTTGTTGACATTTGAAAGCACTTTTTTAGAAATGCTATTGTAGATTTTAGCTGCCTTTACGTTGATATCGTCATCTTCTGGTGGTAGCAGTCTTGAACTGAGATAATTGTTTAATTTTATACTATCCTGTATCATAGATTTCGCTCCGGTGTCTTCTATTATTATTTTTATAGCCTTTTGAATGTCTGGAGGAATAGCAGCTATTTTCACCCGGGTCGTACCTGGGTGTTTCTTAGGTTTGAACTGTTTCGTATCAAAATTCTCTTTGATGGCAGCATCTATTGCAACTCTAGTGGAATAACTTACGTTCAATGTGGATATATATGTGAACTTTAATTTTCTATACATTTTTTAGGTTACTACAATAAAAGTGTACAATATAACCTAATCACTGGTTGGAAAACAAAAATGATAAAGTAATTGACTGTCTTACGATCACGACAATTAATCACTTAAATATTTTGCTTTACTTTATATTCTTTTCCTTTTTCTTTCTCTATACGTTTTTATGTTTTAAGTAATAAAACGATTAGGTAAATCAAAATAATAAATATGTCAAAATAATTCACAATTTGACAATACACTGACATAACATTCTTTCCATCTGTTCTTTCTCTATCTATGCCTGTGTGTGATTCCATCATAGATATAGATTCCATCCGTCGTTAATTATAAAAAACATTTTTTTTTTTTTTATCAAATAGATATATAATCATCATATTAGCCCTTAACTGTTTACTGCTGAACATAGGTCTCCCCCTTAGGGGTTTAACCAATAATATTATTATTTATTATAATAATAATCTAGATTATTAGTGATCTGTGAATTATTATTAATACTGTCAGTAGGGGGGAAAGGGATTGTTGTAAGGGGGTTTGACAGCCCCAGTGCTAGCGATATGCCTTATTAGGTCGACTTCCATGTGGTTCCCCCTAGAAACAATTCTTGTGATCGTGAACAATTCTTGTTGAATTTGTCACGATGGGCTAAGTGACCTACTTCATCTCACCTGTCATCCTTCACTGGTGCCTCGCCGATGTATACCGATAGCGCGGGTGGGGTTACCATTCCATTATTAACCATTAAAAAAAAATTACTGTCAGTGTCAAATTTTTAATCGATTCTTTCTTAAACTGTTGTTTGGCGGGAAACATAAAATTTGGCTGTCGAGTTTTTCTGAATAATTTATTTATTTTTATTATAATATCGATCAGATAAGTTACAAATAGCATTGATATTAGTTTAATTTTGTATATATTAGTTTTGTGTAATAGTAGCTGTAAACTAGGTAAGTTTTTGTATATATTTCTTTTTAATATATGGACCCCCCGGATGATCCCGGGGGCACGGTCCCCGAGGTCGCTCTTCATGTAATTATTAGTAATAATGAGGACTCTATGGACACAGATTGCTCTGTTAATATTTCTGATAATTCTGGAACAAAACGAAAACGTAAATCAGTAGCCGGCAATGTTTGTAGGCATTGCAATAAAAAACGTAGGAGGAATCGAGGAGGTGAAAACAATAAGAATAAATTTTCATGTGAATGTTCTCAATTCAACGAGGAAAAGCAGCAACAATCTTCTAACAATAATTTAATAAAAAATCAGGAGAATGACTCATCTCGTCCACATAACTTTATTAGTAGAGTTTATTATGAACCTCATGATTCTGCTCCATTCACCGTTCACATACAAAAAGTTTTATCATCCCTGGATGATAATTCTTCACTTCACCCAATAGCCTTTGGTCGTTTCCTTCAGAGAAATACTTTCAAAAATGTAATTGATGGTAGTCTGAAAAAGATAGGGCGAAATAGATTATCATTAGCTTTCTCTAATTATACAGATGCTAATTCTTTTATAAATAGTGTGGATTTAAAATCTCATAATTATAAAGCCTTTATACCAGCATTCAATTTAACAAGGATGGGAATAATAAGGGGCATCCCAACTGCCTGGTCTGATGAGGAAATTATAGAAAATGTTTCAGTTCCACTAGGTTGTGGCAAAATTTTGAAAGTTAGGCGTTTAAAGAGAAAATCTCTTGTTAACGGTAAATCTGAATTTGTAATGACTGAATCTGTTGTTATAACTTTTGATGGTCAAGTGTTACCTAAGCGAGTTTTCATTTGTTATAATTCATTGCCTGTTGATTTGTACATATATCCTACCATTCAGTGTTATAATTGCTGTAGGTATGGCCATATTAAAAATCAATGTAGATCTGTTCCACGTTGTTACAAGTGTGGTCAGGGCCACTCTGGCGAATCCTGTTCTGTCCAAGAAGAAGATTTTTACTGTTGTTTATGCCAAGGTGCTCACCAGGCAAACAGCAAAAAATGTCCAGAATTTTCAAGGCAAAAGGCAATTAAAGAAACAATGGCTAAAAGTTGCATCTCCTATGCTGAAGCAAGCAAATTGCATGCTCCTTCTATTAAATCATATGCTGACACTCTAAGATCTAATCCAGTCATTGTAAATAGTACAGTAAACTCAAACCAGGATGGAATTCATAATGTAATTTCTCCTCATTCTAATAAATCTTATAAAAAAACCATCATAGAAAAAATTCGTCGTCCTCCAAAACCCTCCTATGGGTTTGATCGTAGTGAATATATTACTTTAACAAGAGACTACAATCTTCCTGCTCCTGCAGATGGATGTGGTTATAAACAGCAAGATGAATCTAAACAATCTATTTCTGAAATAGTAATAGCTCTTTTAAATTTATTAACACAATTTAATATCATTCCACCGTCCAACGTTGCTTCTCTTTCAAATGCATTTATTAATATTTTAAATAATAAAAGGAACGGACAACCAAGCCAAAGTTCTGCAGTGGAACTGCCGTAGTGCAGTTAGTAAAAAAACAGATTTAATCTATTTAATAAACATGTACAAACCTCTTATATGTGCTCTTCAGGAGACATGGTTAAAACCCGTATCTTCATTTAGGATACCTGGTTATGCCTGTCTCTGTGAGGACAGATCTGATGGGTATGGTGGTGTGGCCATATTGGTCAGACATCCTTCATCCTTCACCCATATTCCAATTTTAAACCATAGTAATAATTTCTCATTAATTGCTGTTCAAGTTGATAATATTTGTTGTCTCTGTATACATTCCTCATCCATCTTTATTAATATTTAATGAAATTAACAATATTATTTCTACTCTTCCCAAACCATTTTTAGTTTTAGGTGACTTTAATGCTCAACACCAATCCTGGGGTAGCTCTAATAGTAATTGCTATGGCAATGAAATCTTAGATTTGATAGATTCTCTCAACCTATGCATATTAAATACTGGTTGTCCTACCCGTCGCTCAATGCCTAATGAAGGCAACAGTGCTCCTGATTTATCCATATGTACCCCTAATTTAGCTTCTTCTCTCACTTGGCTCACATTATCTCTATCCTTTGGTAGTGATCACTTCCCTATTTTAATTACTTTTCCTTTCAAATTACAACCAACATCAAATTATACTTCAAGTAAGAAGTATAATTTGAATAATGTGGACTGGGACCTGTATTTAAATTATATCAAAAATAAAATTCCTACTCTTCCTGTAATATCTACAGATAATGAAAATGAGTGCTCTGATGCTTTTATAGCATTACTAACAGAATCTGCAGACCAATTTTTCCCTAAGATAGGTAACTCAAGAAAAGGGATCCCATCTCCACCATGGTGGGATAATGATTGTACGGTGGCAGTTAAAAAAAGAAAAGAGGCTGAGAGAGCATACAATCTGAACTCCACATGGGATAATTTTAACAAATACTCTGAGATTCTTAAAAGTACTCGTAAACTCTTAAAAGATAAGAAACTTGCAGGATGGCAAAATTATTGTTCTTCAATTTCTCCTAATGTTAACCCTTCAAAAGTCTGGAGTAATATTAGAAGGTTTAGAAGTGCTTTTAGAGATTCTAGGTCAAATGTTCTTCTGCCCTCACTTATAGAACCATTTTTAGATAGGCTGGCTCCTCCTTATGTGCCAGAAAAAGGTTTGTTAATTAACTCTTTAGATATTTCCCAGTTAGATAACACAACACTTGGTTCTCCTTTCACTCTAGGTGAATTTAAGGCAGTATTATCTAAGGTTAAAGATTCTGCTCCAGGTGAGGATGGAATTCCATACTCTTTCTTTACCCATCTTGACAATCTTTCCCTCAATTATTATTTAGATTTAATTAATTCTATTATGATATCTGGTAATATCCCTAAATCATGGAAGTCACAACAAATAATCGCAATTCTCAAACCAGACAAACCTCCTTCAGATACTGCATCTTATCGTCCTATAGCCCTTTCTTCAGTTTTAATAAAATTGGCAGAACATTTAACAAAAAACCGATTAGAATGGTTCGTTGAGTATAATGAATTACTATCTAATAGTCAGTATGGTTTTAGAAAAGGGAAGAGTACGCTTGATAGTTTAAGTTTGCTGACAACTGATATCCGCTTAGCTTTCACTGAAAATAATTCAATTGTTGCAGCCTTTCTGGATATCAAAGCTGCTTATGACAATGTCTCTATATCTCTACTGAAAAATAAACTTATTGCTCTAAATATTTCACCCATCTTAATTAATTTCATCATTAATATTTTAACAGAACGGTCAATTAGTATTGATAATATTGATGTCAAACACTCAAGAGTTCTTTGGAAGGGGCTTCCTCAAGGATCAGTGTTAAGTCCCATTTTGTACAATATATATACACATGATTTAGAAAATTCAATAGTCAATGATTTTAAATTTAAAATTAACATTTTACAATATGCTGATGACCTTCTTTTTTATGCCATTGACAGTTCTGTTCAGAAATGCTGTACAATTCTTACAGCAGCATTAGAGCGTTTAAAAATTTGGTTAGATAAAAATAGCTTAGAGTTGTCCGTAACAAAAAGCTCTATAGTTCATTTTTCCAGAATGCGAATGCCCCCTCCAATTACAATTTACTTTAATAATAAATTAATTCCAGTTAAATCACAAATGATCTTTTTGGGATTAACTCTAGATTCAAAACTTTCGGGACTTCCTCATATTGAAAAAGTTGTTCTAAAGTGTGAAAAATTACTAAATATATTAAGATGTTTATCCGGTGTCTGGTGGGGTGCCCATCCATATTCTTTGAAACTAATCTATAATGCCATTATTAGAAGTATTTTAGATTATGGTACTTTTCTCTTAGAACCGTGTAGTGCGGCTGGGTTAAGAAAATTAGATTTAATTCAATCTAAAGCGCTGAGAATTATTACTGGAGCTATGAAATCGAGCCCAATAAATGCCCTTCAAGCTGAATGCTGTGATCCTCCTTTAAACCTGAGACGTCAATTTCTTTCAGATAAATATTTATTCCGTATATTTCAATACTCTGAACATCCACTTTTTTCTAAATTACAAAAGTTAACTGAATACTGTGAAAACATGGATTATTGGCGTCATAAATCAACTCCTTGTCTGGTAAAAAGTTTTAAAAAATTTTCTTCTCTTTCTCCTCTTCATAGTTACCGTAAATTCCCGTTTTTCTGTGCAACCTATGAAGCATTAACTCTCTCTCCAGAAGTTGAATTAAATATTAACATAACTAAAGGTGATCCCAATGCAAGTGTCATTTTTAACTCTTACATGTTTTTCAATAAAAAAGACCACCATCATATTTTTTGTGATGCATCTAAGCATGACTCATCTGGATGTGTTGGTGTTGGAGTTTACCATAATCAATTCAATATAGTTCAAAAAGTTAAACTTCCTCCTGAGACATCTATTTTTACAGGAAAATGTTTTGGTATGTTTAAAGCCATTGATTACGTTCTGACTATGAAACTTAAACAATCGGTAATCATCAGTGATTCCTTAAGTGCTTTACAATCACTATTGCAGTCTCCATTCAAATCAAATAAAATCCATCCGGTAATTATAGAAATTAGAAGGTTATTGCAGATGTGTCTTTGTAGAGGGTATTTGATCTCTTTCGTTTGGATTCCAGGCCATTCTGGTATTCATGGAAATATGACCGCAGATAGACTTGCTAATGAGGCTATTGGGTGCGGTAATATCTTTCCTTATAAAATCTTCAGTCATGACTTGGCGGCTTTGCCTGGCTCCTTTCTCCGAAATACTTGGAATGAGTCTTGGCCTATTAGCTGTCAAGTTAAGGCCCATCATTACTTTAGTATTCAGCCTATTATTCCTTGTAAACCATGGTTTTACCGTATTAATAATATTAATAAACGTGCTACGTCTTCTCTTATTAGAATGAGACTTGGCCATGTGAGTTCCCCTTCTCATTTGGCTAAGTTAAAAATTGTGAATAATAATATATGCAATTGTGGCACAGATGTGGGTGATTTGAATCACATTCTCTTAAATTGTCCTCTCTATGACCATTCTGTTCTTTTCAATTCCCTCCTTTCCCTCCGTATTCCCTTACCTACATCAGTTCCAGTATTATTATTTCTTGATAATTTAGAAGTATATAATTTGATTTCATCTTTTATTCTTATCAATAATATTAAGTTGTAAATTATCTTATTTTATGTACTTTTCATATACATATATATTTTTAAGGTTAAATATATTGTAATTTTTATTTAGATATCTGTCAACTTTTCTGATCCTTATCCTAAACTCCTTCGTTCAAAACTCCTTCCCTATAATGCTGTTTCCCAAACTTTGTTTTTGGCGGATGCACTTTGTGCCGTGCCATAAGAAAAGAAAAAAAAAAAAAAAAACTGTTGTTTTTAGGTTATGTTTTTATGGAATGTATTTTATCACAATTTTTAAAAAATAATACACAAAATGACTATAACACACCACGATAAGGTTAGCGATGGTGACGACGACCCTGTTGAATCGATGCTCAAGAGGACTGGTTGTTTGGAATTACATTATAAAGTACAAGTAATGAAAACATCTAATTTTTCCTGCAAATTTCCCATTTTTATTTTTTTCTTGGTGATAGCCTGTACTTAAACAAGTATACTAACAATCCGCCCCGGCTTCTGCGGAATGCAATTTATTACAGTATATTAAATTTATATACTTGCATAAATGTTTAAAAACGATTTCACTGACAAGTGATCTTTTTTCATATTTTTAAAAATATCGTATTATAAGCTTACTAGTATAGATTACTACCATTTTTATTGAATTAGTAGCAATGAATTAGTAGGTCTTAGGAGTGGTTATTAGAGTTAGGATGTATGGATAAGGGCACTATTGAAAAGCCAAAAAAAATTTTTTTTTTACAATGTAATCTGTATCAAGAAAAATGTCGATAACTTTTTCGATATAGGGATAACCCTTTTTAAATAGTTTTTATAATAATAATTTGGCATATATTTTAATATATTACTATTTTTATCAACAATTATCACTGATTACTTAGTTTTTAAATTGAAATATATTCTCCCTATTATAGTAGCTTTTCACTCACTACTTTGTCCACTTAGAAAGTGGGAAACCAATGATATAGACTACTTTCAGATATATCAAGATAAAACATACACTAGATTTTAAGATAGATATTCAGAAACACAATTGTAATAACCAAATCCAGTATTACAGTAGGTATATTTGTATGATGCGAGAACAAACAGACAAACAAAATTTGTTTAATTAAATTCAAATCATCTTTATTTAAATAGACTTGTTTACAAGCACTTATAAATATTTTTTTTTTTTAAATCTACTGCAAGGTTCGGAAGGTTGTTATCTGTTGTGAAGAGGCTGCAAGAAACTTAATAGTTTTTTAAATCTCTGTTAACATTATGTGTATTTATAAAAATGGGCTTTTAACAACGTAGCGTGGGCTTTTAGCAACGTAACATGCATGACTAACACCATGCACAGGGGGAAAAGGATTTTTAGTAATTTCCCCTGGAAACCATTGTGCTGAATTCCAGGTGTATGCATCACGATGGGCTAACTGACCTGTCTTTTCATTCTCACTTATCATCCCTCACTGGTGCCCTGCCAGCATATACCGTTAGCGCAGGCGGAGTTACCATTCCATTATCATCCATTAAAAAAAAACACCATGCACATTTGTCATTCAAGTAATTGTTTAGTGTGTAAAAGGCTTTGTTCAATAAATGTTTTTTTTCATAACAGTTTAAAAAAACAAACAACAGCAACAATAAAATATAAAGAAAACAAAAATAATATATATATTTCAATAATATGGGTAATCAATCTGTTTATTATTTTTTATTATTATTATTTCTCTTTTTTTTAACAGTTTTAAACTTATTAAAATGTGTTTCGTGTTTCAACCGTGAAGCAGTTGTGTTTGCATGGCTGTGTTTCGGTTTGAAGGGTGGGATATGGCGTGAATTTACTGGGTACAGAGGAATAACACCTGAGTCCTCAGGAATGGCAACGCATGGGGGGTATCATGGGCGAAACAGTATACTCTGTTATGTCCATGGTACTGCTCATGTCTATAGGCGACGGTTACCACTTTCCATCAGGTGGGCCGTCAGCTTGTTTGCCATTCTAAGTTCTATAAAAAAAAAAAAAAATTAAAATGTAGATCCAAAATATCCTTCCCTATCAAAATGAATAAACCCCCCTTATATTTATTTTTATTTATTTATATATTTATTTAAGGCAAACAAACAGCTAAAACAATATTTTGATATAGTCTTGTTTTTTTTATTATATTATCAAGATTTATAGATACAATTTTTTAATAAAATTATTTTATGATACCAGGAATGCATAGCTACTACGAAGGACTGGAGGAAGTGTCAATCGGAGGTGAATGATTTTAAAGACTGTATTAATAAGCACAAACAATTAGATGCGGCAAGAACTAAGACATGAGCAAGCAGAAATGTTGTGATTGTGTTTCATAGGAAATATTAGTGATTTATGAATAAATTGTTATAATAATATTATTTTATTTTTGAAATATAATTGTTAAATGAGTGTTGGGTTTCTTTTTTTACAATACGGAGCAAACAAGCATGCGGATCACCTGATGGTTACTACCGCCGCCCATGATCACCCACAACACCAACGGCATTGCAGGTGTGTTGCCGGCCTTTTAAAAGGGAATATGCTCTTTTCTTGAAGGTTATGTTGTCATATCGGTTCGGAAATACTGCTGCTGGAAGTTGTTTCCAAAGAGTGGTTGTGCGTAAGAGAAAGTGCCTTGAAAAACGCACGGTGGAGGACCGCTTTTTTTATACATATATAAGTTTTATAATATGGCAAGTTTTTTTTTCCTGTCACTTCATATGCATGATTTTCAGAAGCAGAAAATTCAATTAAATAAATCACTTTTAGGTAGTGTATCAAAAGATACATTAAATGCAATAGTTTTGTATGTTATTGGAACAAACATACAAACGATTGTACAAAATATAAAAAAATCATTATTTTGACATTTACTGCTTATTATTTTTAATTTACTGGGTACAGAGGAATAACACCTGTGTCCTCAGGAATGGCAACGCATGGGGAGTATCATGGGGGAAACGGTATACTCTGTTATGTCCACGGTACTGCTGATATCAATGTCCTTTTAAATTATTTGAATAATTTAAATTTAAATAATAATAACGTCCAACAGGACTGAAAATGGCGGGTACGAAATACTAGGCCTTTTCGAGACAAAGGGGTCCGACCGATTGTATGATGCGAGAACAAATAGACAAACAAAATTTGTTTATTTAAATTCAAATCATCTTTATTTAAATAGACTTGTTTACAAGCACTTATAAATAATATTTTTTTTTTAATTCACTGCAGGGTTTGGGAAGTAGTTATCTGTTGTGAAGAGCCTGCAAGCAACTCAACAGTTTTTTAAATCTCTGTTAACATTATGTGTATTTATAAAAATGGGCTTTTAACAACGTAGCGTGGGCTTTTAGCAACGTAACATGCATGACTAACACCATGCACAGGGGGAAAGGGATTGTTAGTAATAGGGAGTAGCAGCGACATTGCTAGCCTATCAGGTCGACCTGCACGCAGTTCTGCCTGGAAACTATAATGATTATTGTTGATTGCATTGGTCACGATGGGCTAACTGACCTGAGGGCCTACCATAATATGTTTTCAGAAATTTCGGAAACGAACGAAACAGAAATTTGATGTTAAAATTACATAATACATGCCGTTTGGAAATATTAAAAATGTTATAATATTGTTCCTTTGGACTTTTATGATAGGATGTATGACCAACGAAATGTTAAACTACATTTATTGTTCCGATTTTGATATAAACAACAAATTTCGGAATTTCATTTCATGGTAGACCCGCTGTTTTGATTCGCGTCTGTCATCTCTCACTGGTGCCCCGCCAGAGTATATTGATAGCGCAGGTGGGGTTACCATTCCATTATCATACTATAAAAAATAGTGGTCCACTCCGAAGTCTCCACCTGCGTTCTCCTTGAAGGGTGAAGGCAAAAACGGCGGGAAAATAAAGTTTATAATGATTTCTCACCTATCATTACGGAGAAATAGAGATGAAATTTGTTTACAATTTTATGTAATTGCGCACATATCGTTAGAGATAAATGCAGTAAGCTTTCCTATTCAAAATTTAGACCAAATTTTTTTATACAACTTAGAACGGCAAACAAGCTGACGGCCCACCTGATGGAAAGTGGTAACCGTCGCCTATAGACGTGAGCAGTAGCATGGATATAACAGAGTATACTGTTTCGCCCATGATACCTCCCATGCGTTGCCATTCCTGAGGACTCAGGTGTTATTCCTCTGTACCCAGTAAATTCACTGCCATATCCCACCCTTCAAACCGAAACACAGCCATGCAAACACAACTGCTTTACGGTTGAAATTACTGTTTTATGAACTATTATAAACTAAAATTAGAATAATTTTGACTTTTTTTTAGAAAATTAGTTCATATTAGTCCTCACAAATAAAGAATTCGCTGTATTATTAAAATCATTTTTTTAGAGATAAGAAAAATGGTGTTTCAGAAACGAGCTCAATTTACGAATCTTTTATTTCAATTCAATTAAAAATAGGTAAAATCTTGTCTCTTTTTTAACATTTTTTTTTTTTATTCTGTTTCAATATATCTTAAAGAAAATGTAAATGAGTTTTGTTCAAGTCATCACAGAAACACTCTCTCACTGAAATTAATGACAAATCGAAACTTTAAATCGATTAATCCATTTTTTATTTGCTCTACTATCAGACATTTTTGTTAAGTTTTATTTAAACAGATTACAAATTATTAACAAATTAAATTTGTCACACAACATTGAATATATTATTTCGAATCACAAAAATGATACTGCGCATAAAATAAAGGATAAATAAATAATAGACTTCTGATTTTGAACCTCTCTATTTATAAAAAAAAAAACCATAGAGGTCTTTATAAGAGAGATATTTTTTAATCTTTATTTAATTTGAGATTTTTAAGGCAAATATTACACTTACAAATATTTTTTTCACCTATATTTCCATTTTTAAAATATTCTATTAAAGTGGTTGGTCACACACAAACAAAATTAGACACGAAATACTAGATGGCGCTAATCGAGACTTGTGGTTTTTGTTAATTATTTTTTAATTAAAGATAATATGTGATATTTCTAAATTGGCGGGTGCATTTATTCATTTTATACCGATGTAGTAATAATTTATCATATACTTTGTCTTTGTTCTCTTGTATTGTACAACTTTGTTAAAAAACTTATACTAGTAAGAAACATTGCGATTGTGTGTGTTATAATTCATTCAGGAAGAGATCGCTTATCATCTGTCACATCACATTCATACATAATAATAAAAACCGCTCGCCAATTTAGGAATTTTACATCGAATCAACTTTAAAAACAAAATAATCAACAAAAACCACAAGTCTCGATATAGCGCCATCTAGTATTTGCTTGTCTAATTTTGTTTAGTGATCAATAATTTTAAGAATTCCTGTAATATTACCATAATGTAATATACCACAAACATGTGTAATACTTCCTTTATTACTAATCAAAACTAAATTCATTATCACAAGTGAATCTTAAAACAGGATTTTAATATTATAAAAAAATTGCAACTAGAAAGATGTCTGTAAATGTGTAATATTAATAAATAATTAATACGAAGGGGGATCTTAATAAGACTAATAAATGCCATAAAAATTTTTAAAACATTTTGCCTGTCTCTCTGTACGTTTATTCTGGCATTACGTAAAAATTACTGTACCAAATTGGATGCTCTTTTCTTACTTGTACACCCGAATGTTTTTTTTTTTTTTACATTGTACCTGATTACTTTATTTTACTTGAAAAGTGTTTTTACTGATAGGGCCCCATCAAAAGAATTTCCCACAGGCCCCAAATGGTACAGTTACGCCACTGAATACTGGGCCCAATTTTCATATCGGATTGAAACGTATCTCTCAGATTTGAGCACGGGCCATCCCTTCCTTTGCAGGTGTCGTAAGAGACTAAGGGAACTTAATGGTTGAATTATGGGTGGAAGCGTCTTAAAACATTTTTTTTACAACACAAGGGGCAAACGAGCATGCGGCTCACCTGATGGTAAGTGACTACCGCCGCCCATAATCACCCACAACACCAGCGGCATCACATTAGAAACGTCTAAACTTGTCAGTGTTCCTCTACAATATTATGCATGTATTATACATATAAACCTTCCTCTTGAATCACTCTATCTATTAAAAGAAACCGCTTCAAAATCCGTTGCGTAGTTTTAAAGATTTAAGCATACATAGGGACGGACAGATAGCGACAGCGACTTCGTTTTATACTATGTAGTGATACACGTATACAAATAAGCATACGGCCCGTCTGATGGTAAACGGTTACTGTAGCCTATGAACGCCTGCAACACTAGGGGTGTCACGTGCTCGTCGCCGACCCTGAAGAAACCTTAATATAGCCTTTTTGAAGAACCCCATACTGTAGTCTCTAGAGAAATAAAGCGTTATAAATATTATGTACTTAGTACCTACGTACACAATCTATCTTACCTACTCATACACAGCAACTAAGACACATAATCTATTTAGATAGATCATTTATACATTATTTATTTTGTCTATATATATATACAGTGGGGTCAATCCTGAGGTGCCAATATTTAATATTTTAAATAAATAATTTTGCAAAATTAATTTTATGGACGATTTTAAACCTACCTACCTATTCATAAAAATGTTCGACTTCCCGTAATCAAATGATGGTTTCCAGGGGAAACCGCGTGGAGGTCGACCTAATAGGGTTTATTGGGGGGAAAGGGATTGTTAGTAATGGAGACTGAGAATCCCATCGCTAGCAATATACCCAACCAGGTCGACCTCCTCGCGGTTCCCCCAGGAAATTATCATAGTTAATTCCTGATGAATTCATCATGATGTGCTAACTGGCCTGTTTTCATTCTCATCCATCACCCTTTACTGGTGCACCGCCAGCGTATCCCGTTAGCGCAGGCGGGGTTACCATACCATTTTCATCCATAAAAAAAATAGGGTTTATTGCTAGCAATGAGGTTGCTAATCCCCATTACTAACAATCCCTTCTCCCCCCATAATAATATATTAGGTAATAATACTGATTAATAGTAGCGGAATTAAATAATTCCCTTTTTTAACTTTCGCGTTGTTTACACATATTGTAAATACACTATCGGCAGGACAGTCGTGTCGTAACCACAACTTGGTGCAATCCACGTCGAAACGTCAGCAACAAAGAAGCAGGTATGTAGGTACTATTACGTTTTAGGTGTATTTAGTTATAATCAAATAAATTAAATCCAAATAAGTTAAAACCAATTGGAAAAATTTGTTCATATTGGTCCTTATAATTACTATATTATTTAAAATGTGTAAATGTGTGTGTGTGTGTGTCTGTGTGTGTGTCTGTGTGTGTGTGTGTGTGTGTGTGTGCGTGCGTGCGTGCGTGCTTGTTTGTGTGTGTGTGTGTGTGTGTGGGTACGTGTATGTGTGTGTGTGTGTGTGTGTGTGGGTACGTGTATGTGTGTGTATTATGTATGTAAATTTACTAATATTCGTTTTAAGAATACTGTTACTAATAAATATTTTATGGACCAAAGAAGTCCGAAATTTTTTTTTTTTTTAATTTTTACAAAAAATCACATCTCCCCTCTTAAGTAGAGATGGCAAACTAACCCCCGGCAGAAGCACAGTCGGCCGGGGTTCAGCGCCCCAGGGAGAAAAACCGGCGTACAATGCGGGCAGAATCTAAGAGCACCGCCTTCTGCATCTTTCCCGGGAGTGTATTATTATTATTATTAATAATAAAAATTTCGTTTTAATATCAAACTAAAATTTTAGAGACAGGTTTAGATAGACAGATCTTCAGAATCGACCCCACTGTCCACATAATATGTAATATGTACATACAAGTGGAAAAACTAAAAGTTCTTTTTCAGACCACAAACAGACATACGTTCCATAATGTTGGTCTTAATACAAAAATAATTTAAAACACTGCTTATCTAAACACGGTTTAACCCTTAAACATCTGAAGTTTCAAATTTGACACCGGGGTTATATATCGCATTGGGCGCCTACAATCGATTTTATTTTAATATTTGGCTGTTTACATGTTACCAAACGTTTCTTTCAAAATAAATATAGAAAAATATCGTTTTGATTTTTTTTTTTACTATTTTTCCCCATTAGTAAACACAGTAAAGGGTACACTTGTATATTTTTTTAATTTGATTTAAATAATCAGGCTTTTAAGGGTTAACAAAACTCTAACCCCCTTATTCATACAAACGTCAACCCTCTCATAAACTTATTTTTTGAACTGTTTTGTCTCTTTCTTTTACACTAAATTCTCAATTTGAAAGCTAGTGACAAATTTTTTTAATAGGGGGGGGGGAAGGGGTTGTTAACAATGGAGTTTGACAGCCGCATTGCTAGCAATATGCCCTATTAGGTCGACCTCCACGTGGTTCCCCCTGGAAACCATCGTGAACAATTCTTGTTGAATTCGTCACGATGAGCTAACTGGCCTGCTTCATCCTCACCTATCATCTCTCACTGGTGCCCCGTCGGTGTATGCCGATAGCGCGGGTGGGGTTACCATTTCATTATCACTCATAAAAAAAAACTGTGTAATAGTTAAAATAGGTTTGTAGAACGATTTATTTTTTATTAATATGGCGGGTAAGTGATTAAATATTGTTTAGTCTGTGTTATAGCATTCACGTATATACATATATATATATGTATATATATATATATATATATATATATATATATATATATATATATATATATATATATATATATATATATATATATATATACATATATATATATGCATAAATATATATATATATATATATATACGCATATACAAATAATTTTATGTATCAAAACTATATGATAAAATTACATTTAAACACCTTTTATTTTTATCAAGACAAACTTTATACACAAAGAGATGTTAAACACTCTTTTGTAGCAAGGCATCTAAACATGTGTTTAACACTGGTCTATCGCAAGTTTAACTTTTCTATGATAAAACCTATTCATTATGATATTTTGTTATCAAATGTAAAGTTAATCACTAAATAAATATTTCTTTCTACAAAAAGTAGTAAGACGTTGTCTTTCGTTTGTACAGTCCCATAACCGTTCGACCTTGACCTTGAGCCCGACGAAACGTGGGCGGCATCTATGAGCTCGCCTGGATGCGTAGTGATTTATAAAAAAAAAATCATATTTTAATATAATTAACTACTCTTCATCTGATGTGAACTCGCATGGTACTTCAACCTTTGATTTGTAGTGAATTCCTTTTTACACACGCCACATGAGAAAGGTTTAATGCCTGTATGCACATGCATGTGGTACTTCAAACTCTCACTCCTTGCGTACTCCTTCTGACACACTTTGCAGCTGTACAGTTTTTTCCCCGTGTGTACCTGCATGTGATGTTTTAAATGCTCGCTCTTAGAAAAACATTGTTTACACACATCACATGCGTACGGTTTTTCGCCCGTGTGTACCCGTTTGTGATGTTTCAAATTCTGGACTAACGCAAAACTTTTATCGCACATATCACATGTGTAAGGTTTTTCACCGGTATGTATACGCCTGTGGTTTTTCAGGGACCGTTTAGTTGTAAATGTCTTTTCACATACTTCACATGTTATAGGTTTTTCGTCCACATGTGATAACATGTGATCCTCCAAGCCTTGTTTAGACAAATAACATTTTTTACACACGCTGCAAACGTGTTTATTTTCTTTCTTAGTATGAATGAGCATGTGCAGTTTTAAACTGCCGTTTGTTACATAATTCTTTTTACAAAATTCACATGTAAAGAGTTTTTCCCCAGTGTGAACCTGCATGTGACACTTCAGGCTGTGCCTGTTCGCGTACTCTTTTTTACACACCTCACATGTGTAAAGTTTTTCACCTGTATGTATATGCATGTGATGTTTCAAGTTCTCTTTTCTGGCGAAAAATTTATGGCACACATCACAGCTGTACGGTTTTTCCCCAGTATGCATTTGCATGTGATTTTTCAAGTTCTGCGGGCGATTGAACCTTTTATTGCATACATTACAACTATAAGGCTTCTCACCTGTGTGTATCCTCAGATGGTATTTCAAACTGAGAGGTCTGGCAAAGGTGCTGTTGCAGTAATTACAACTGTACGGCTTTTCAGTAATATGAACCACCATATGTTGTTTTAAGTTTTGTTTTCTCACGAAATATTTGTTGCACTGGTCGCAGCTGTACTGTTTCTCGTCCGTCTGTGTGTGGTGCTCGCTGGTGTGCACCAACACGTGAGCTTTAATTAGACTATGCGTTGTGAACATCTCGTTGCAAATATTGCACGAGTACTTCTCGCATGATTCGCTTACCTCCTGCGCTCCTGACTCGTCGTCATCACCTGAAATTTTTTTTTGTTTATTTTTTTATTTCAATAGGTACACATTACAAAAAGTTAACAATGTTACATTAATTTATATACAGTACAATAATGTTTTGTGTGTAAGTGACGCAAACAAAGTCACAGGCAAAAGCTAGTAATTTCTATAACAATTTTCTCAATGTTTTTTTCATTTGTACAAATGAAACTTCTGGTTACAATTTTTCTATATTAGCAAGATAGCAGTATTTATAATTGGTATATATCAATAATTCAGTGTCAGTATTTTTCTAGAACTACCCTCATTCTTATTACTTCTTATGGGAAAAGCTATTATGTAGGGTACTAAGGTAAAGACTGTCATTATGTGTAACACATACATAGAATATCTCCATACAGATGCTTTGAGAAAAGCAGATCAACTTTTTCATACAATTTTGCATGATAAATAGTAATGTCTGACCGAACTTTCAGTTTCGGTTTCGGCTAGTTTCGGCCAGAAATTCTACTTTCGGCCTTAGTTTCGGTTTCGGCCAAAAATTTGCTGAAACTTTCGGCCGCGCCGAAACCTTGTGTGTGTGTCTAACTGAAAGTTGTTTTTTTTTATGTTTACTTTCAAGAGTAAGTCATAATTTTAACATGTTTTTACATATAAATATATATGACATATTTGTTACATAAATTAATTAGTGTTTATTATTACCCTTTAACTATCTGTGTGTTTGTGTAAATAAATGCATTAAAAATACACTAGATTTCAGTATAGAAGAAAAATTTTAAATATGTTTTAGTAAGTTTCGGTATCGGAAACTGAGACCAAGGCCGAAAGTTCAGTTTTGGTTTCAATTTCGGCTGTAAAACCTGTTTCCGTCGGACACTAATAAATAGTTATGAGTGTTTCCTTTATAACTTCTATATTTGTTTTATAATTTTTCCATTTTTTTAATGTGTAAAACTCTTTTTATTTATTAATTATTATAATTAAATATAAATATGTCAAGATACATTATATGCATAAGTATATAGAACACTGATAAAAAAATGAGTCAGCTTATTTTACAATTAGCTGACAAATAGTTGTCCCATTTTTGAGATTCAATGCTCTATCTATATAATCTAATAAAAAGTCATGATTAATTTATGCTGTTCCTCATTTGATTTATAATAATAATGTTGGGGGCAAAAGGATTGTTAGCAATGGAGTTTGACAGCCCCCATTGCTAGCAATATAACTTATTAGGTAGACCTCCACGTAGTTCTCCCTGGAAAAGATCGTGAACAATTCTTGTTGAATTCATCACAGATGGGCTAACTTACTTACTTCATCCTCACCTATCATTCTTCACTGGTGCCCCACCACTGTATACCGATAGCCCGGGTGGGGTTACTATTCCATTATCATCCATTAAAAAAAATAATAATAATGTTAGTAGAATTAAAAGAATTACATGTAAAAATTACCTGATAACTCCTCATTAACCCCACTTTCATCACCACAAGTTGTAGATTGTTCACCAAATGAAGACAGATCTGCTGCCTGTATTTGTGTCTCCCCAATATCCACAACCTTTGTATCACGGTTACTAAGTAATTCCTTTGGCTTAATCTTCTCCTCCTTTTCATACCAGTTTGATAATTTTTTATTATCTGATGAATATTCACCAGTACTATATGAGGCTTGTTCTACAACCTCCTGTTTTATTACACTGTATTCATACAAGTTTTTAGAAGTGTATATATCTTCCTTTTCATGGTGTCCTGGTACCTCCCCACAGCCATGTCCTATTTGGACACTTTCATATCCCACATCTATACTTTCATCCCTTGGTTCTTCTTTAATAAAGACATTATGAGGGTTTTCACACTTAATTTCTATTTCTATTTTAATATTTCCTTCAACAATTTTATTTCTATCATTTTCTACATTTTTTACTGTGGCAATTTCTGCGTGTGAGTCTGGCAACTCTTGCTTGATCTGTACGTCCTCTTGTTTGATTGGTAGTTCATTGTTTTTATTAAATCCTTGACTAATATTCATGATTCAAAATGATATATTCTTAAATTATACTTTTTAATATTTGCAAATGCAAGTTGGCATTAAATTTTTTTCTAAAGCGATTTCCTCTTATCTGTAAATAATTTAAGAGCATATTAAAGTTTAAATATGGGAAAGAATATATTTTATTATCAAATTTATGACAGGTAAATGTGTATTTCAGACTTATAAATATCTAAGGTACACAATGTATTGCTTATTTGCTACCTTTGTCTCTTAAAAAAAAACAATTGACCAAAAAGTGTATCCACTGACTTAATTTTTTTTTATTTAAAAATGAAAGTGTAACTAATAAGCAGGTTGACTTGCATACTTAAATACTACAAAAATAAAATAAATTAGCATGCTATCCTATCTGATATGGAAGAGGGAGATTTTGTACAAAAGTTGATTGCTTGGGTACCTCTGTCCCATTCGTGTTTCAACCGTGAAGCAGTTGTGTTTGCATGGCTGTGTTTCGGTTTGAAGGATGGGATATAGTGTGAATTTACTGGGTACAGCGGAATAACACCCGAGTTCACAGGAATGGCAATGCACGGGGGGTATCATAGGTGAAACAGTAAAATCTGTTATGTCCATGGTACTGCTCATGTGTATAGGCGATGGTTACTATTTTCCATCAGATGGGCCGTCAGCTTGTTTGCCATTCTAAGTAGTATAAAAAAAAATTGGTAAGTGGGTAATAAGGGTATTATTAAAAAAATAAAACTCACAAATAGTTAATCATGAAAGTCTGGTGCCTATACTGGTTGATACACAAAAAAAAACACTGTACCTGAGGAAACCGGCATTCGCTGGCTAAATGACCATGACTTCAGTTGGAAGTTCCAAACAGCCACTATTCAATGAAAATCGAAAAATTAAAAGCCGACAGCGATATTTGATGACACACCAGCGATTTATGTATTTTCAATGATGATTAACAAGTGGAAATCACTAGCTTTCAAGTCATTAGACCGATAATCAATATACAATTATAACTGCACATAGGTATTGTGTTAATTCTGCGCACACCAATTAGAAATCAAGTAATCGCTTAAAGATCAATTAAATAGGAAATATGATTATCAAAAATTTAAAGTAATCTCTTCCTTTATGACTTTATTTTACATAAATGGATAATTATATGTAAATATATTAATTTTAACATAGTATTTATTTATTTATATATATTTTCTTTTATATAAAATACAAAAAGTATTCTTTTATCAATCCAACAGACTGACAGTTTGATTGACTGACTGACACACGAAGAGTTGACAATTTTGATAGTAAATTAACACCATTACATATCTAAGTCCAAGAAATTTCAATTCCGAAATCTTTATTAGATACAGACAGTAAACTAACGACTCCATAAAAGATCTTAAATTTAAAACAAAGATGGAACATAACAGCTTTGGCTCTATCCAACTAGAAATCTTTCACTACAAATTATATAGAATTATTACGTCTGTGGATATAAAACAAAAAACAAAGGCAATAGTTGATCGTGTATCGATCATGAGTTCTGTTAAAGGTGTTTAACGTTATAGAAAAGTTAGTGATTTAAAATATTACTTTTGTCGACCGAAAAAAATGCAGTTAAAGAGGATGATGTTAAGAGAGAATAATATTTGTAAAATGTAAACGTTTATTAATACAGTAATAATAGTAATATAATTGTAAAGAAGGAGAACAATAGAAAATATAAAAAAGGTATAATATTAAGACGATATGTGTGCCGTGGCGCCAACAACAACATTCTTTGCATATACGCATGCGCGGCCTGCGCGCGCAACCCGCAGTCGCCGAGCGCCTGCGCGTCCTGCGCGCGCATAGGTACAACAAACAAGCTGCGTGCGCGACCGACCGTATTACATATATATATAAAATATTTACGCTTGTTGCGTGTTTTTACAAAATAAATAAAATATATAATTTTATAAGTATGCTACACAGTCGTTTTAAGAAAACATTAATATCTCGTATATTAAACTACTCATGGCTATAGTTTCTTTCCAATATACCCACTATAGCTTATTTGAGACTTATAGTTTACCGTGGTAGGTACCCCGCGAGTGTGTACCGATAGCACAAGTGGGGTTACCATTCAATTCACCCAAAAAAAAAGTGACACCCTAGTGTTGTGGGCGCCCATAGATTACAGTGACCGTTTACTATCAGACGGGCTGTATGCTTGTTTGCAACCTTTATGCTATAAAAAAAATATAGTATAATAAAACAAAGGCAAAGTTACAAAATTTCATATATTAATATAAATAACAATAAATTTCTAAACTACGCTAGGATCTTGCTTTTGTTGCGGAGAGCGACGTACGCAACAAGTATCGAGAGGCCGGTGGCCAGGATCTCGGAGTTCACCCAGGGGCCAGAGTAACCTGTAACACAGAAACTTTCAACTTTAAAAATATAAAAAAATTAAAAAAAAAAACAATAAAAAAAAACATACTAATTGGCTATTTAAAAATCAAGTTTATTTGAATCATAGACTTAGTGTAACATACCTACTCGTATATGTTTTTTATTTGGCGAAAATGGTATGGTAACCCCGCCTGCGCTAACGGGATACGCTGGCGGGGCACCAGTGAAGGGTGATAGATGAGAATGAAAACAGGCCAGTTAGTCCATCATGATGAATTCATCAGGAATTAACCATGATAGTTTCCAGGGAGAACTGCGAAGAGGTCGACCTGGTTGGGTATATTGCTAGCAATGGGATTCTATCTCCATTACCAACAATCCCTTTCCCTCCAATTCTAAAAGTTACAATCTCAAATTTTAATGTGTACTAACTGCCAGGATGTTGAAGCTGAATAGCCAATAATGGTGAAACAGTGGCAGCAGGGTCAGCACGGCGAGCTCGTCGTAGAGATGCCCATCCCTCCTCATCGAGAACATGGATCTCGTGGATGCCAGCACGAGCTTTCGCTGGCTCCTCAGTCCATGACACCTGTAACAAGAGATCACTTTATTTTTCACCATAAAATAGGAAATAAGCTGACTGCCCAATAGATGGAAAGTGGGATGGATTAGTAATGGATTAGGAAAGGATTAGTAATGGATTAGGAACAGATTAGTAATGGGAATTAGTAGCTCCATTACTACCAATACACCTATTAAGGTTGGTCTCTTCTCAGTTCCCCCTAGAAACCTTTATGCTTAGTTCCAAGTGAATTCATCATGATGAGTCAACCTAACCTGAGTTCATACTCAGCTAACGTGACTCCCTAGTACTTCGCCAGCACTATCAGTATATGCTGGTGGGGCACCAGTGAGGGTTGATAGGTGAAGATGGAAATAAATACAACTGGAATTCAGCATGACAGTTTCCAGGAGGACCACATGGAGGTTGAGCTAACAGGGTATCTCACTAGCAATAGATTGGTAGTCTACATTATTAACAATCCCTTCCCCCTACTTATTGGGTATTACTATTCCTGAGGACTATGGTATTATGTCTCCATACCCTGTGATGTTACCACTATATTCCTTTATCCTAGAAACATAAGTGGTACAGAGATACCCATGCAGTAAAATTTTATTACTTATCTTTTGGTTCAAAAACTAACTGAAATTCAAACCTGGTTTTTTTTTTAATGGATGATAATGGATGGTAACACCGCCTGTGCTAACGGTATACACTGGCGGGGCACCAGTGAGGGATGATGGATGAGCATGAAAGCAGCTCTGTTAGCCCATTATGACGAATGCAACAAGTATTAGTCACAATGGTTTCCAGAGGAAACCGGGTGGAGGTCGACCTGACAGGGCTTGCTAGCAATGGGGCAACTAATCCTCATTACTAACAATTCCTTTCTCAACTTTCAAACCTGGTTATTTCAAATGACAAAAACCAAATTAAATCTATTTAAGGTTATCTACAATACTAAATCAAGTAATGCAAATATAAACTCCTCACTAGAAGGAGACTTTGTACAAAAGTAATTTGCTTGGGCATCTCTGTCCCATTCGTGTTTCTACTGTGAAGCAGTTGTGTTTGCATGGCTGTATTTCGGTTTAAAAGGTGGGATATGGCAGTGAATTTACAGGGTACAGAGGAATAACACCTGAGTCCTCAGGAATGGCAACGCATGGGGGGTATCATGGGCGAAAGTGTACCCTCTGTTATGTTCATGGTACTGCTCATGTCTATAGGTGACGATTGCCATTTTCCACCAGATGGGACTGTCAGCTTGTTTGCCATTTTAAGTTGCATAAAAAAAATCTAGTTTTATTTAGAAAGCAGTGTCGTAGGTGAAAAATTGGTATTCACTTTACCTGATACTTGTTTTCACCGATACGAGCTGCAGTCAATGGTTTGCCTTCTACTTCGGCATACAAAGCGTAGTTTTCAGGCAGAGGATTATCACATTTGAGAGTAAATTCCGTAATATAAGCTATTTGTGTCACAACCGTCGCATCTAAACTGGTGAACGAAGCGGCTTCGACTTGAGGGTTCTGGCAACTATCTGCAAGCGAACTGCTGCAAAAAGCGATGAGGAACAAAGAAATAACGTATTTTGTGACCATTTTGCAGTCTTTTTTTTTTCTAAATTTGTGACTTAAAATTAAATTTAAACTAAAATCCAAAAGGAATCACAGTACAAGATGTAGAAAGTGTTTTAGGTCACGTTCAAAACTCAGAACGTCGGAAGTGGACGGAAGTAGTTTTGAAAGTTAGGTAATAATTATTTCATTTCGACTAACGAAATATTGATAATAAATAAAAAAAATATTTAATAATCCCTTTAAAATAAAGTTAGTGATCACCGAATTTTGATATTTTCTTGTTAGTGTTTAATAATTAAAGGTTTGAAATAAACTCTTCCATTGAATTATATGTTCAGAACGTACTTTTAAACGTCGGCGGTGACGTGTGTACAAAACGCCAAAATGCCAAATCGACGTGCTGCGTTCGTTTATTACATAATATTATTAAGAATGCGTTCATAGAATCGGTTAATTATAAATTTTATTATAAGCTAAACGTTTAATAATTAAATGCATAAGCATCAGATTATTAATTTGATATAGGCGATATTTAACATTTTCTATTAGCACTATGCGCTAATATGGAATAGGGCATTAGGTTATCTTGATTTAAAAGATAGCGACAAAATGATCTTAATGCGAGTCCGAGAGTGTGCGAGAGATTATATAGTGTCTCCATAGAAATGCTTCGAAATAAACGGTTCAACTTTTTCATACAGTTTTGCGTGAAAAATAGTTATGAGGGATTCCTTTATAACTTCTATATTTGTTCGCGACATTGTAATCATTTGTATAGTTATAGCGATATTTTATAGTTATTTGTTAGCATAAGTCCTTAGTTTTAATCGTTTTTAAATTGTTAATATTACATAGATTTTTTATTATGTATCTATAGCTCGTAAGTTGAATAAAACATTTTTATTGTGTCTTATCATTATTACCCGTAAATAGAATAAGAAAGAAATTGTAAAAATAATAGGAATAAGAATAATTGTACAAATAAATAGACGCCGAAACGGTGCCACTCTGAAGAGTAACGCGTCCCTCTCACACTCGCCCCGTCCCGCTCGCACAGACTCGCTAATGTGAGTTGGTACATGTTGTCGTGCGACCGGGCGGGTATAAAGATAGGCCGCCTACCGTCGAGCGGCACGCATTGACGCACTGCACTCCCAACCGAGAAGAAATAGGATAGAACTCTTCAGAACGGAACCGGGAGCTTCAGAAAAGGAATTATTGTGTTTCTCTCCAGCCTGAACCAGCGCCCCTACAGTCCACGCTCACCGAACGGTCAAGGAACACCGTTCAATATTTATTTTGTTTTATAATATTTGCATATTTTTAATGCGTAAACACTCATTTTATTTATTAAATAATACGTCAAAATACATTTTATGCGTAAGTATATAGAGCACTAATAAAGAAAACGAGTCAGCTAATTTGTCAATTAGCTGACAAAAAGTTGGCAAGTTTTAAAGGCTTGATGCTCTATCTATATAATTTAAGTAGATTCCACAACACTACTAAATTCGAACTTAAGAGATATATCTAATGATGATTGGTAACAAACCAAAGCTATTAAGCAACTTAGGTAAGCAAATATTATGTCTGTATATAGTAAGTACTTAGCCCACAATACAAATGTTAATGTATTACCTTCCCATAATCGATTATTAATTAATTTACTTTGTTTATAATCATTAAGACAGTATAGACTTGAAAATTACAGTCATGAAGTCATAAATTTAAAATGATTTTGTTTATATTTGTAATTAACGATGATGTAGTCATGTAACGAACATTTTAACACGAAACGTAGAATAAAAAAAATATTTATTCAAACAGATTTGTTTATAACCTCTTTTAAGTCACCATGTTTTTTTATTTTACTATTAGGCTTGGAATGTATGTAGCCGTCTGCATAGAAGAATTCGCAAGAAACTGAAGTCACTTATAAAAAGTAAATCTTTTTTTTAAGACACAGTTCAGAACAAAGTATATATTCATAGTTGGAATGCTATATTTTTATTAAGTACCAATTTTCATTTACGTAAGCAATATGGTATATTGACGAGATGTTGAATGAAGAATGAGAATACTTTATTTGCATTATACATACATACATATCTGTCACGCCTGTCTCCCATTAGGGTAGGCAGAAACAATGAAACGCCAAACGCTTCGATTCAAACAAACCTCTTTCGCTTCTACCACATTCATCAATCTTTTCATACACGCTCCCCGGTTACGGGCACTTTTAATTTGGCCCTTTTTCAGCACGTCGCCTATTTGGTCAACATACGTCCGTCTAGGGCGGCCCCTACCGACATCTCCATTCGTTCTTGCTCGATAAATCTCTTTCGTAATTCTTCTTTCATCCATCCTCTCCAAATGACCAAACGAAATCAAACCAACGCATAATTCTTTATATTGCATACATGCATTATACAATATAGGGAATAAGCAAGACAATTAATAAATGTAACGATACAGTTGTATAAGTACAGTGAGGCGGTCTTATTGCTGAGAGCAATCTTTTTAAGCCAAACTTAGGGTAATGGAGGTAAGGTATTGTTAGTAATGGGGTCAAATGACCATTACCCATTTTAATGGATGATAGGTGAAGATGAAAAGGCAGCTTCCTTAGCTCATCGTGATGAATACACCAGGGTATATTGCTAGCAATGGGACCAGAAGGCCGCATTATTAACAATCCCAAGTTGTCAGGTGTCCCGATTTACGCGCGATGTCCCGATTTTCAGAGGTCTGAGGACACATCCCCTATTTGTACCTGATCGGGACGCTAAACGTCCCAATTAATTAAAAAATTAAAAAGGTTTTATTATATATATACACCAGAGGGACACTTTGTATAAAAGTCGTTTGCTTGGGTACCTCTGTCCCATTCGTGTTTCTACCGTGAAGCAGTTGTGTTTGCATGGCTGTGTTTCAGTTTGAAGGGTGGGATATGGCGTGTATTTACAGGGTATAGAGGAATAACACCTGAGTCCTCAGGAATGGCAACGCATGGGGGGTATCATTGGCGAAACAGTATACTCTGTTATGTCCACGGTACTGCTCATGTCTATAGGCGACGGTGACCACTTTCCATCAGGTGGGCCGTCAGCTTGTTTGCCATTCTAAGTTGTATAAAAAAAACTTCTATAGCACCGACCTGTATTACCTTTCAGATAAAAAAATCCGGTCAAGTGCCAGTCGGATTTGCGAAACGGGGGTTCCGTACAAAATCATCAGGTTTAAATTTTCTGTGAAATAACTATAAATTTATGGTTTTCGGATTTTCCCCTATACTTGTGCTATACCATCGTGAACAATTCTTGTTGAATTCGTCACACTAACTAACTGGCCTGCTTCATACTCACCTATCATCCTTCACTAATGCCCCGTTGGTGTATACCGATAGCGCTGGTGGGGTTACCATTTCGTTATCATCCATTAAAAAAAAAAAAAACTTGTGCTACATGACTTACATATATTGCTTCTCGCCAAATTTCATGATTCCAGGTCAACGGGATGTACCCTATAGGTTTTGATTCCCTTTGCGAATGTCAAAATATTCGATATAAATGGAACATAAACAGCCGTATCTTTTGATTGCGTCGATTTAGAAGCTCGACTTTGTCACTGCTTCAAGAGATTGCAGACTTGAGTATTTAATATTAATTTAAACTTGATACCTCCACGCGTTGCTAAGAAAAAGGGTCTTGACAGACGGACGGACGGACAACGAAGTGAGCCTACAAGAGTTCCGTTTTTTTCTTTGGAGATACGGAACGCTATGAGGCAATAAGCATAAAAAAATACCAACGAAATGAGAACCCCTTCTTTAACCGACTTTAAAAGTTTAGTTGGTAGTTTAATTTTTAAATTAAAATAATTTTTTTGTGGAAGACAATCTTTAATTATTTTGAAGTCTACTTGACTTCAGACGAGCTTAGTCCGTCACTGAAATTCTGTTGATGATGCAATGGAACGGGGACCTTACAGTGGGATTTTAAAGTGTGGGTTCTTGGGGGTTTCCTCGAAGGGGGATTTTAAGTTTTTACTAAACGCAACATAGTAACAAAAGGACCAATTATAATTTAATTTAATTTTTTGTAAAGTTTTATTTATGTATTTATTTATTTTTATATCTTGTACCAGGACCGCAGCGAGATGAGGCGGGTATCGACATAGGAGAACATGTTTTTTCAAGTAAACATTTGAAAAGTGAAAGGAAACCCACGGCGCGGAGTTTAAATTCTAGTTGGCTGAGGTCTTAGATTTTAAAGTACATAGATTGGCAATATACATATAAGAGAGAAAACATAATAACATATATGTTAGAGCGGGACAGACACTCATTTACACTTAAGTTGATTTGGTGACAGTAGGAATAAGATAAATTCTTATTATTTTTACATTCTAAAATGTAATTATTTTTAAATAAATATAGTTAGTTGGTTAGATAATAATATAAATGAGGGGAATAAACCAGAAAATTGTACATTTTTCTAGTAATTAAGTTTAATTTACATTTAACATATCCAGTGTTCGCGTTGCGAGTCGACAAATTGTACCAGGACCGCAGCAAGGTGAGGTAGGTGTCGTTATAGGAGTCCATATTTTACTAAATAAACATGCTAAATGGATAGGTAACCCACGGAGTGCGATCTTAATTTTTTTTTTAATTCATGTTTATTAGGGTTGTAACTTCACAAATAAAAGAGCCAATTATAATTTATCCGTAAAGGCCTATATTTATTTATTTATATTTGACATATCCATGTGCTCGCGTTGCGAGTCGACAAATTGTACCAGGACAGCAGCAAGATGAGACAGGTGGCGTCATAGGCGACCATATTTTTTCTAGTGAACATGTAAACTGGGAAACCCATAGAGTGCTGTCTTAATTTTTTTTTTATTCTTGTTTATTAGGGTTGTAGCTGCACAAATAAAAGAGCCAATTATAATTTATCCGTAAAGGCCTATATTTATTTATTTATATTTGACATATCCATGTGCTCGCGTTGCGAGTCGACAAATTGTACCAGGGCCGCAGCGAGGTGAGGCGGTCGTCGGCCGGGCGGCGAGCGGCGTCAGTGCGGGCCCGGCGGCGTCTTGGCGGGCGAGGCGGGCGGCGGCGCCGGCCACTCGACGCCGTCGCCCTCGTACTGGGTGTTCTCCAGCCGGGTGATTAGTCTTTCGTCCTCATCACCGAACTCGCCCCCCATTAGGGACGGTTCGCCCACTACCATTACGTCCTGCAATGGAACGATGCGATTTTTCAAATATCTGTACTATCGAACAATCTTAATATTAAATCTTCCATGTACAGACAGCGACTAGTTACGATGTTATTATATGTATTGATAACATATGTTTCACAGTCAAAATTGTTTTTAAATATTGACAGATAATTGCAACGTCGATATTAAAACATTTGAGCAATAATAATCTTTATTGCGTGTACATAAAGTCAATTTTCAGATACTCCGAAGAGGACATAGCCATCGCTAGAGCGGCCATGTCCAATATGGTTGGAGGCGGGGGGAAAGGGATTGTTAGTAATGAGGTTAAATAGCCCCATTGCTAGTAATATACCCTCTCAGGTCGACCTCCACGTGATTCCCTCTGGAAACCATCCTGGTCAATTCTTGTTTGGAATTCATCATGGTGGTAGCCCACCATGAAGAATTCCACTGACCTGCATTCATTTTCACCTATCATCTTCTACTGGTGCCTCGTCGGTGTATACCGATAGCGCGGGCGGGGTTACCATTCCATTTTCATCCATTAAAAAAAATAGTTGGAGGCATCGGTTACTTCTACGGCGCTGATCGTATCCTATCGCAGTATACCAGGGAACCAGTACCGTACTGGAGGACAGTAGCTGTATTGATTCTTAATTTGAACTATTTTCTTGTCAATTGTATATTTAACTTATATATATATTTATACCACTGAGGTGGCAAACAAGCATACGGCCCACCTGGTGGTAAGCGTATGTCTATTATATTATATCTATTAGTTTCATATTCGTTTGTTTTTATATTTTTTTTTCTGTGGAATAGACTAGATATAGTTAGAAGTGACCAGGGCGACATACCTGTGAGGCGAGGCTGAAGTTGGGTCCGGGGGAGCGTTTCTTGGCGGGCGCGGGCGGCGCGGCGTTCGCGCCCGCGCTGCCTTTGCGTTTACGCCGTTTGCTCGCCGGCCGCTGTGATTCTGGAACAAAACGCATACAGTTATAATTTACTAGCCTTTTCCCGCGGTTTCGCCCTACCTACTCGTGTATCAGAAATCATTCAAATCTGCTCTGTAGTTATTGTTTGAAATAGTAACAAATTTTGGCCTCACAAAACTGTCACTAGAAGGGTGAAAGGGATTGTTAGTAATGGAGACTGAGAATTCCACTGCTAGCAATATACCCCAACCAGGTCGACCTCCTCGCGGCTCCCCCTGGAAACTATCATGGTTAATTCCTGATGAATTCATCATGATGGGCTAACGGGCCTGTTTTCATTCTCATCTATCACCCTTCACTGGTGCCCCGCCAGCGTATCCCGTTAGCGCAGGCGGGGTTACCATACCATTTTCACCCATCAAAAAAAAATATTGGGGGCTTATGGACCCATTACTAGTCACTATTATTTATTTATAATCCCGGTATAGAATAGGTCATTCTCTTACTTTCATTTTACTTTCTCTTTCATTCTCTTACATTCTATGAGGAATTGCGTAAGAGATTACTGAGGAAAATGAGTGGTCGAGGAATGGGCAGCAGTAACTCTTTTAAAATATCACTAAAACTTAACGGCGATTGCCAATCCTTGCCAATTGCCTGCCAATTACTGTTTACAGGGGGAAAAGGATTGTTAGCAATGGAGTTTGACAGCCCTATTGCTAGCAATATACCTTATTAGGTCGACTTCCATGTGGTTCTCCCTGGAAACCATCGTGAACAATTCTTGTTGAATTAGTCACGATGGGTAACTGACCTACTTCATTCTCACCTATCATCTCTCACTGGTGCCCCGCCGGTGTATACCGATAGCGCGGGTGGGGTTACCATTCCATTATCATCCATTTAAAAAAAAAACTACTGTTTACACATAAAAACACCCATAAACCACGTTTACAAGTACTAGGCGCGCATAACTCACCAGGCGGCGCGACCATCCGCTGCCATTTTTGGAAGAGCGTCGTCTTGAGACAGTCGCGCGGCGTGAGCGCGTACGCCTTGTGCCGCGACATTAGTTCTTGCATTGGTTCTAAGATTACACATAACTGTAAACAAAAAAAATTGTTCGCGACATTATTTGTATATATCGTAATTTATAGTTGTTAAGACCTAGTTAATCGTTTTGTATTCTGTTATTTTATATAGATTTGCATAGATTTAAGATAGTGTAAGTTAAATAAAGTATTTCTTTGTGTGTTGTCATTATTACCTACGAATAGAAATAGAAATTGTAACAATAAATAGAATTAAGAAATTGTAAATTGCAATAAATAGACGCTATAGAGTACCGATCTGAAGAGACACGCGTCTCGTTCATTCTCGCCCCGTCCCGCTCGCACAGATCGCTAACGCGAGTTGGAAATGTTATCGTGCGAGCGGGCGGGTATAAAGATAGGCCGCCTCTCGTCGAGCGGCATTCGCTTCCGGGCAGCGACGCACTACACTCGAGAAGAAATAGGACAAGAAGAAAAAATACTCTCTTCAGACGGTACCGGAGGCTTCAGAATAGTAATCCCTGTGTTTCACTCCAGCCTGAACCAACGCCCCTACAGTCCACGCTCACCGAACGGCAGTCCACAACGTTCATCGTGGTCCTTCGAGAAGCCGGATTGCTGGAGGAACACCGTTGGTACATCGAGAAGCCGGATCGCTGGAGGAAGACCATTCTGAAGCCGGATCGCTGAAATGCCGACTACGAGAAACATGAAGTCGTCGCAACAAAAAATCGCCGTCACCGAAGCCACAACGTCCGCCGCCACCACGTCGACTACGGCCGCCGGAACGCTGTCCGTCGCTGCCACGCCGTCCGTTGCTGCCACCACGTCGTCTGCGGCTGTCAGAATGCCTTCTGTCGCTGCCACGTCGTCTACCGCCGCCACCACATCGACTACGAACACGTCCGGCGATACGACGACCACAGGAGCCACGGAGACTACCGAAGCCACAGGAACGACAGAGGAGACAGCAAGGAAGAAGGAACCGAAGCACGGCACGGCACGCACGGTTCGCACCACGGCCTCACAGAAGAAGAAGGCTCTGGCCAAGGCACGGGAGGAGCTACTTCGAAAGGAGGTGGAATTGGCTGCTGCACGTGTCGCCGCCCTGGAAGCCGAATCAGAGGACGACGAGGAAATAGAAGACGACGACGCTACCGTCAGAAGAGAACGAACGTCGGATTGGGTTCATCGAAGCACGCTAGCACTCACGATGGAGCCGCATGTACCAGAGATAGAAGAAGTCACCGGCAAGCGTCAGGGGTTCGTCCCATCGAGACCCGTTGAAGAGGATTCGAGAGCGCCGCCGCCACAGCCGAGCAGCGACGCACTTCACCGGGACCACGCACGCCACGTTGACCCACATGCCGCCATGCCTACGATAGCAGCAGCGATGCAGTCGATGAAGAAGGAAGAACCGGTGCTGAAGGTGGGCATCGATTGTAATGAGTTTGCGATCGCCATGCAGATGGCCGCTCGCAACATACTGCCCTCCACAGCGTCAAGAGTCACCGAATTGCCAGTCTTCAATGGATCGTCGAGCGAGTGGTTACCATGGAAGATGGCCTATGAAGAGAGCGCAAGTCAACTCACAGAACAAGAGAACCTAGCAAGACTGCGCAGAAGTTTGAAGGGGGCCGCAAAGGACGCGGCACGCTCCCTATTCGTCGGGTCTACGACCGCAGAAGAAGTAATGAAGATGTTAGCCGCGAGGTTCGGCCGCCCTGGAGCACTCGTCACAGCCGAACTGAACAAACTCCGCGCGCTACCACGACTCTCGGACAACGCAAGAGACGTCTGCCTCTTCGCAAGCAAGGTGCAGAACGTCGTCGCCACGATACGAGCGCTGAACAAGAGTCACTACCTATACAACGAAGAAATAGTGAGAAACGTCACAGAGAAGATGCCGTCGGTACTACGCTTCAAGTACTACGATTTCGCCAACGACCAACCGGAGGGACAACCGGACCTCATAACACTCTCTCAGTTCCTGCAAAGGACCGCCGCACGATGTGGAAACTTCGCCCCCGCCGAGGAGATACCGTCCGAAGACCGGCGGGAGTCCGCTCCTAGGAAGACGGCGAAGACATACACGACGCAGGAGAAACCCGCTACACCACCGTGCCCGATGTGTCGACGAGAGGGACACGCTCCATCGGACTGCAAGACGATGAAGGAAGCAGACACATCGGCGAGATGGGAGTTAGCGAAGACTCATAGGCTGTGTTTCCGTTGCCTCAAAGTGAGAAGATTTCGCCACGCCTGCAAGAGCAAGAGATGTGGAGTAGATGAGTGCACGCAGACTCATCACCCTCTGCTGCACACCACGCGACAACAGCCGGAGAATGAAGTAACAACACACGTCGTCGAGGACAAGTCCGCCGCAGTCACCGCATCGGCAAGGGAAAACGACAAGATCGCGTTCCTGAAGATCCTGCCGATACGAGTCACCGGTCCCACGGGAACGTGCGACACCTACGCGCTACTGGACGACGGGTCGACTTGCACCATCATCGAGACGACGGTGGCGGAGCGAATCGGTGCTACGGGTCCCCCCGCACCATTCTACATGGAAGGTGTGGCCGGGGCACGGATCAACGCAGCTCAATCGACGCGTGTTCACTTCAAGATCCGCGGGCGGAATTCACAAGAATACACAGTGGGGGCACGGACGATGGACAGACTGCAGTTATCACCGCAGTCGGTACCACGCAGCGTCATCAAGGGCTGTCCACATCTGCGGGACATAGAGAGGGAATTGGTCTATGAAGAGGGCAAACCGACGGTACTGTTGGGGCAAGACAACTGGCACCTACTGCTGGCCCACGAAGTCAGAAGAGGATCCGACACGCAGCCGGTCGCATCACTCACCGACCTGGGATGGGTACTGCACGGTACGAGTCGCGGCAGGACAAGACAGCAGGTGCACAGGATCAGCCACATAGTGACGACACATGAAGAGGAACAATCGATGGAAGAAATGATGAAGCAACATTTCGCGCTCGAATCGCTGGGGATCGCACCGAAGAGGTCTTACAATGAAGAGGAACGTCGCGCCCTACGCATTTTAGAAGAAAAAACTCGTCCGTTACCGGCGGGAGGATACGAGACGGGGTTACTATGGAAGAAGGACGACCCTGTGCCGCCGGACAACTACGAATCGGCAATGCGACGTCTCCAACTGGTCGAAAGGAAACTCGACAAAAACGAAGAACAGTGGCCGCGTGAAGATAGTTCAAGCGACGATAGTCAAGCGAAAACGGGAGAAGAACGCGTACACAAGCTACAGAACGCGACGCAGTTGTCTATAGCATTACCCGATCCGTCACGTTTTTCTAATTGGTTGAAACTTGTTCGCAGTTCAGCACGGGTGTTGCAGTTCATCGACCTCCTGCGACCGACCAGTCAACGCTGTACCGCCATCCGAAAGAGGAACAAGAAGAAAGAGAGCACCGACCCCACTTGGACCCGCACGAAGAAAGTCGATAGAGAGAAGACAAAGATGAAAATCAAGAACAGCAATAGTCCATCTGTGTGTTTCATCCCCATAGACACACACTACCTAGATCGCGCGCGACGGCTATGGATTCGCGCGATACAACAAGAGGCGTTCGGCGACGAAATCGCAGTATTGAAACAAGGGAAACAGCTGCCGTCATCCAGTCGACTCATACAGCTGTCAGTCGTCATAGACAACGACGACATTCTGCGACTTCGATCGAGAATAGCAGCCGCCGCCGATTTGTCAGCCGAGCAACGAGAGCCCCCCATCGTCGACGGAAACCACACCTGGGTGCGCCTATACATCGCATGGGTGCATCGGAAACTTCACCACGGCGGCTTCGGGATCACCACGAACGAGGTGCGACAACACTTGTGGGTGTTGCGCCTACGACACGCCGTCCGCAGTGAACTGAAGAGGTGTCAGCTGTGCCGCCTACGAAGAGCAAGACCGGCGCAGCCGTCAACGGGCAACCATCCACAGAGCAGGCTGGCGCATCATCAACGACCGTTCACGTTCACCGGCCTAGACTACTTCGGGCCTATGACCGTGACAGTGGGCCGCACTCACCAGAAACGGTACGGAGTGCTCTTCACCTGCCTAACGACGCGCGCAGTCCACCTAGAAATCGCCGGCAGCCTCAGCACGGACTCCGCCATAATGGCCCTGCGGCGCTTCATAAGCCGCAGAGGGTGTCCCACTGAGCTATGGTCCGACCAAGGCACCAACCTCAAAGGTGCTGACGTCGAACTGAAGAAAGCAGCCGAGGAAGCCATCCAAGAAGAGTCATCAGTCCATTTCATCCGGTGGCGCTACATTCCCCCGAGCGCACCCTTCATGGGAGGTGCGTGGGAACGGCTGGTGCGTAGCGTGAAGACCGCACTAGCCGCTACGTTGAACGAGCGGGCGCCCAAGGAAGAAGTCCTCCACACTCTGCTGGTCGAGGTCGAGCACACCCTCAATAGTCGACCGCTAACCCACGTGTCAACATCGGCAGACGACGACAGCGCCCTAACCCCCAATCACTTCATATTGGGCGGTCCGTCGCGCGTCCCACTGCCAGGCAGCTTCACCGAGAGCGACGCGGCGGGACACAAGGAGTGGCGTGCCAGCCAGAGGCTAGCTGATTGCTTCTGGAACCGGTGGGTGAAGGAGTACCTACCCGAGTTGCAACACCGGCGGGAGCCCCGAGCTACACACGGAGCCATCAAAATGGACGACCTGGTCCTGATAGCTGATGGGACCTTGCCTCGCAACACGTGGCCGCGAGGCGTGGTGGTGGCGACCTACCCTGGACCAGACGGCGAGGTTCGAGCGGTCGACGTGCGGACGAACAAGGGCATCCTACGGCGACCCACTAAGAAGCTGATCATACTGCCCACATCGACATCGAGCGACGCGAACACGAGTTAACTCCAGCTACGAGAGCTGCGGCGGGAGATTATGTTCGCGACATTATTTGTATATATCGTAATTTATAGTTGTTAAGACCTAGTTAATCGTTTTGTATTCTGTTATTTTATATAGATTTGCATAGATTTAAGATAGTGTAAGTTAAATAAAGTATTTCTTTGTGTGTTGTCATTATTACCTACGAATAGAAATAGAAATTGTAACAATAAATAGAATTAAGAAATTGTAAATTGCAATAAATAGACGCTATAGAGTACCGATCTGAAGAGACACGCGTCTCGTTCATTCTCGCCCCGTCCCGCTCGCACAGATCGCTAACGCGAGTTGGAAATGTTATCGTGCGAGCGGGCGGGTATAAAGATAGGCCGCCTCTCGTCGAGCGGCATTCGCTTCCGGGCAGCGACGCACTACACTCGAGAAGAAATAGGACAAGAAGAAAAAATACTCTCTTCAGACGGTACCGGAGGCTTCAGAATAGTAATCCCTGTGTTTCACTCCAGCCTGAACCAACGCCCCTACAGTCCACGCTCAACGAACGGCAGTCCACACCGTTCAAAAATAAACAAATATATACACACACGCTCGTCTTTTATTAAGTAGGATAGGTGGGGGAAAGGGATTGTTAGTAATGGAGACTGAGAATACCATTACTAGCAATATACCCAACCAGGTCGAAATCCTCGCGGTTCCCCCTGGAAACTATCATGGTTAATTTCTGATGAATTCATCATGATGGGCTAACTGACCTGTTTTCATTCTCATCTATCACCCTTCACTGGTGCTCCGCCAGCGTATTCCGTTAGCGCAGGCGGGGGTTACCATACCATTTACACCCATAAAAAAAAGTAGGATAGGTAGAAACAATAAAATGCACTTCTTTCGCTCCATATATGTTTATTAATCGATTTAAACCACCGCACCCTTAGATTACGTAATGTCTCCATAGAAATGCTGCACCAAGAACAGGTTAACTTTTGTTTCCATGTGTACGAGAATTGGTTTACCATAATGTACATTTATTACTTAGAATATGGGTGTATAATTATATAGTATTCTTTGTACAAAAGTCGATTGCTTGGGCACCTCTGTCCCATTCGTGTTTCTACCGTGAAGCAATTGTGTTTGCATTGCTGTGTTTCGGTTTGAAGGGTGGGATATGGCGTGAATTTACTGGGTACAGAGAAATAACACCTGAGCCCTCAGGAATGGCAACGCATGGGGGGTATCATGGACGAAACAGTATACTCTGTTATGTCCATGCTACTGCTCATGTCTATAGGCGACAGTTACCACTTTCCATCAGGTGTGCCGTCAGCTTGTTTGCCATTCTAAGTTGTATAAAAAATATATATATATATAGAAATGCGTTGTAGGGAGTCAGTGGATGCAGGTGGCTCAGGACCGTTCTTTATGGCAGTCTATGGGGGAGGCCTATGTCCAGCAGTGGACAGTTAACGGGTGATATCATATTAAACAATAATAATGAATATATTATATATTTTCGTTTCGTCATGTCTATAGCTGACAGTTACCACTTTCCATCAGGTGGGCCGTCAGCTTGTTTGCCATTCTAAGTCGTATATAAAAAAAAATACAATACAATACGAAGTTGGTCCAAAACTTTTAGCTATGATTAATGTTTTAATTAGAAGGGAGAGCACTTTAAAAAAAAATATTGGAAATTCTTAAATTGTTTTTGAAAATTGGCATAGTTACTGTTGAAAGTTCTTAATAAAGAGAACTGTCGAAGTTGTTTGTCGAATGGACAGGACAGACAGAAGTTGCATAAAAATGGACAAGACTGATGCGTAAGAGGTTTTTTTTTTGATGTGTGAAAATGGTATGGTAACCCCGCCTGCGCTAACGGGATACGCTGGCGGAGCACCAATGAAGGGTGATAGATGAGAATGAAAACAGGCCAGTTAGCCCATCATGATAAATTCATAAGGAACTAACCATGATAGTTTCCAGGGGGAACCGCGAGGTCGACCTGGCTGGGTATATTGCTAGCAATAAGATTTTCAGTCTTCATCACTAACAATCCCTGCGTAAGAGGTGTTATAGGCATCACAGCACATGCCAGACCAGAGTCCTTCCGTGCATGTCTATTGGCGACGGTTACCACTTTCCATCAGATGGACCATCAGCCTGTTTGCCATTCTATGTTATTTGAAAAACCAACCATGACGTCTATAGTGCCAATTTCTTTTAACACCATTACATTTTAAAAACTTAATGAAGAAAAGGATTTTACTTATGCGGAAGCAACCCTCGGATCGTGGAGCTGGCTCTCGTCATCGAATGTAGTGCATCGAAAATTGTATATCACTATTAAGGATTTTTTTTTTTTTTCTTGTCACTAATTTGGTACATTGGATTCTTGTTCTGTTATATATTTTTTTTTCATTTATTCATTGTTTTTATACTTGTTTATTTTAGTTTTTGTATTGTTTTCTTTTATTTTTTATGTAATATCTACATCAATATATATATTTGATAATGAAACGGTGCCCCGTGTAGGTGCAAACTGAAAATCAGCGCTGAACGAACATCAGTCCAGCAAAAGCTGAGTTTGTACCTATTGCCAGGCGCATACGATTAATGGACAATATATTGATTAATTAATTTATGTACATTATAATTTGTGAAGAATGGCAATAAATTTTATTATTATTATTCTATAGGTTTACACTGAGTGGTTGCCACTTTCTACCAGGAACTCATAACATTCTGTAATTCTAAAAGAAAAGAGTCACTCACCCTCAAGTAATTAAGCGTCGAGTTTGTGATCCCCTGGCGCGTGATGTTTTTTGTTAGTTGGTCGAGTGCCTGGTGGTCGGGCGGGTGCACCGCCTGCCGCGGTATGAGCTCCCGGTGTGCCCGCACGGCCATATGCCACGACTTGATGCGCATCAGGTCGTCGAACGTGAACTCCAGTATCAGACGGCCTTCTGTACACACCTGTAAGCAACCAGTCGCACTTTATGACACCCTGGTAATTTGGTAGGAACAAATGGAAGATTTACGACTACATTCTCAATAAGGGATCCCTCTTTTATCACTAATCACCAGTAATTATCTCTATATTCATCATCTTTCTGCCTTTGTCGTGTATTTATCACCATTTATACACCATTATACAACTTAGAATGGCAGACATGCTGACGGCCCACCTGATGGAAAGTGGTAACCGTCGCCTATAGACATGAGCAGTACCATGGACATAACAGAGTATACTGTTTCGCCCATGATACCCCCCATGCGTTGCCATTCCTGAGGACTCAGGTGTTATTCCTCTGTACCCAGTAAATTCACGCCATATCCCACCCTTCAAACCGAAACACAGCCATGCAAACACAACTGCTTCACGGTTAAACACGAATGGGACAGAGGTACTCAAGCAATCGACTTTTATACAAAGTCTCCCTCTGGTGAAATGAATTGGATCGATCAAACGAAAAGAATATTCAACGCTCAACGTTGGTAACATTAAGTTGGCTTACTGGCTCTTATAGCTTACAAATTTATGTAAAACTACTGGTCGCCCCACTGGGCGACCAGTAGTTTTACATAAATTTGTCCAAATTCGACCATAACATATTATATTGTAATAAATGAATTTATTATGGTTATGTTTCAACGTTCAGTAAGACTATACACAAATAATATTAAATGCAAACAGTATTAATCTATTCTCAATTCGACCACAGACTTTAACAATAAACAAAAGAGTATATATGCGTGTGTGTGTGTCAAATATATGGTAGTGTGATATAAACATACATATTATAATATAAATAATAATACATAAACATACATACATTAATATACTAAATAGATCAAGGTAAATCACACATAGTAAACGTCAAAGCAAATTAGAGAGGCAATGAGATTTTACCTGCCTCTTGAACGAGGCAAGAGAATGCGCTGATCTAATAGAAAGAGGTAAGGAGTTCCAGAGACGGATAACTTGGATAGTGAAAGAATAGGAATAGAATTTAGAAGAATGAATAGGAGTTACTACTAAACGAAGCATACCTGCTTTCCAATATTTATTGAAATACCAGGGGTACTTCTGTGGCCCTAGTGTTTATACCGTCAAGCGGATGCATTTGCAGGTCCGTTTTGGATTGAAAGTGTAATTTTATGGGAGACAAACACTAGTGTTCAGCAAGGGCAATGCAAGATACCATGGGCGACGGAGTATACTCTGTTATTTCCATGGTACTGTTCATGTCTATAGGTGACGGTTATGAAAGTGAAATGGATTCAATAATATATATGTTAGAGCGAGATAGATGATGAAGCAGGTCAGTCGGCCCATCGTGACAAATCTAATGACAAATCAATCACGATGGTTTCCGAGGTTGACCTTGGGTTTATTGCTAGCAATGTGATTTCTTCAATCTTCATTACTAACATTTCTTTCTAAACCCTTGCCAATCTGTCAGTACGTAGTAAATTATATGTCTATGGAGATATCAGTCCTCAGGAATGACCACACATGAGGGGTTCCATGGGCTTCACAGTGTATTCATCCAAATTCCTGATACTATTCATGGCATATGGCCATGGTTATGTCCCATTAACCAGGTGGATCATCGCTTGTTTATCATACAAAATCGTATTACAAAGTACCAGGCTGTCATGAGTTGTAAGGAGCTCTCACCTTAGTGAACATCGGTTTCCCGTGATGCGTGACCATAGTGCAGTGGTCGCAGTCGAGCGTGATGCTTGTGTTGTGGAAGGACTCTTTTGGCTGACGCATCGTGTAGTACAGTTCTGATACGCCACCTTCGTATATACTGCGGAAGTAGCGCGGTATGAGCGTCCTTCCTATTGCTGGAAAGAGAGAGAGAATGCGGCCATTAGAACGAGACAGGTATAAACAATGAAATGTAGATGATGCTTTGACTTACCAGATACATGCCAGAGGGAGACTTTGTACAAAAGTCGTTTGCTTGGCTACAGTTGTGTTTGCATGGCTGTGTTTCGGTTTGAAGGGTGGGATATGGTAGTGAATTTACAGGGTACAGAGGAATAACACCTGAGTCCTCAGGAACGGCAATTCATGGGCGAAACGGCAATTCATGTCTATAGGCGACGGTTACAACTTCCCATCAGGTGGGCCGTCAGCTCGTTTGCCATTCTAAGTTGCATAAAAAAGCTTGGAGGGAGGGGGAACACCCATTGCATACATCCTATCAGGTCGACTAGCACGTGGCTCCCTCTGGTAACCGTCGTGATTCACCCTGACCTTTCACTGGAGTTCCGACTGTTTTCACCATTAAAAAAACACATGCTTTGTTACAGTTTTATTATATTACTCCATACAAACGCTTCGAGAAAAACGGCTCAACTTTTTCATACAATTTTGCGTGATAAATAGTTATGAGTGATTCCTTTATAACTCCTACATTTATTTTGCCTTATATTTTCTGCGTCTTTTTAATGTGTAAACACTCATTTTATTTATTAAATAATACGTCAAGATACATTGTATGCGTAAGTATATAGAACACTGATAAAAAAAACAAGTCAGCTAATTTGACAATTAGCTGACAAAAAGTTGACCCGTTTTTGAGGCTCGATGCTCTATCTATACAATCTAATATTACTTGTTTTTTGGCCACTACGAGTACTTTGTTCGCGTGGAATTCAGAAGCAGGAGAACCAACGTACAGACAGACAGAGAAAAAATCTAAAAAATATAGTATGGATTTCTATAAATTTTTTTCAAACATGCTTGGTAATGTGAGCATCAATTTGACAATTTTCTTCGAGATAAATCAAAATTGCCGTACTGGCCAGATATATGCGGGCAGCGGCCGGCAAAAGTTGTATGAAAATCCATATCTGTCGTGTTTTGCGACCAGATAAATTACTATGTAAACTCATATCTGTCCTGTAATTTAAAAATGGAATGACCTTTTACTTCGAAATATGGCTACCAAGGAGGTAACTAATTAAAGGTTTTATTTAAATTTCGAACTGTCTTGCAAATAGAAAGCTGTATATTGAAAAAAAAAAAAATTATTTAATCTGTTATAATTGATTATTGTTATGACAATTACTTAGGTATTTTGCAATCTACTAATTAATATTATCTTATTTGTATGTGACATTCTTAATAATTATGTAAAATTGTTTTTCTCAAACTGGCCAGATACATGCGGGCAGCGGCCGGCAAAAATTGTATAAAAATCTATATCTGTCGTGTTTTGCGGCCAGATAAATTACTATGTAAACTCATATCTGTCCTGTAATTTAAAAATGGAATGATCTTTTACTTCGAAACACGCCAAGGAGGTAACTAATAAAAGTTTATATTTAAATTTCGAACTGGCTTGCAAATAAAAAGCTGTTTACTGAAAAAAAAAAAAAAAAAAAAAAAAGGAACATTATGGCGCGTGAAAAATTATTATTGTTCGTTATTCGTCATTGAATTTAAAAAGTAAAATTGTGTTTTATATTGCTGCGCATTGTTTGAGAAAAGTACTATACAAGCCTTGGCCATAACTAGGCATTGATGGACTCACGTATGTGTGCCTCGGCTACGCCTCGGCCCACATTTGCACGTTCGTCCATCAATGCCTCAGTTGCTGGCCGCTGCAGTAATGTACTATTTCTTAAATATCTCCAATGTACTAGAGTTGGGTAATATCTTATATCCATATATTGATTTCTAGATATTTGTGACTATTCATTTTTCCATTGCTAAAAATACACTCCCTATCAAGTCACTTACCACGCGGTTCTCCCTGGAAACCATCGTGTCTGTTTCGTCACTACGGGCCAACTGATCTGCTTTCATCCTCACCTGTCTTGTCTCCCTGGTACCCCGCCAGCGTATACCGATGGCGCAGGCGGGGTTATCATTCAGTTATCACTCGTAAAAATACCCTGGTACCCCCCGCCAGTGTATTTCGAAAGCGCAAGCGGGGTTACCATTCCATTTCGATCCCATTAAAAAAAAAGTACTCACTGTATCTCTTGGGTCCATCTTCTAGACAGAATGTGAGTGTTAACGTCGCGTCGTCCTCGAAGAACTCTGTCGCGAACGCGTCCCACCAAAGGTTATCTGACTCCTGGAAGTTATGAAAAGGTAATGTTTAGTACCTGCTTTAAAACTAATATATATATATATATATATATATATATATATATATATATATATATATATATATATATATATATATATATATATGGTCTACCTGAACAATCACATACACAATCCTATATCACTTATATTCAACAAGATGAGTTCTTTATAACTCATGCTGGCCTGGTAATTTTTTTATGTTACCGGGAACGACAAACAAGCTGATGAGTGGGATGGATGGGATGGTAGTAAATGGTAATCGTAGATCTAAATAGCACCATGGACACCATATTATACTGTGACACCCATTGCCCATGCGTGGGCATATCAAAGAACTAGTGTATTGCTTGCTACCCAGTAATTTCATTGCCATATTCCACCCTTCAAATCGAAACACAGCCATGTAGGCACTGCTACAAATATTATAATATTTAAAAAGTTAGTTTCTACAAATTGTAATGGCGTCATGACATTGTGAGGAGGTCAACCTTGTCATCAAAAAGAGGCAATGATTACCTAAACACAAACAGCATGCAGCAGCATGAAATGCAGGCAAGAGATATAACGAGTTATTTGACACGAAATTTCCCTGTCAACCCCGTACGGAAAGAGCCTTAGCATGAAGATACACAGCTGTACAAATGGAACAAAAACAAATTTTTCCACGCGCCGAGAACAAAGACACATAAATGTTCAACAGATGTCGCTGTTCGTAAAATTAAGTTTCTCTAAATACATAATAGATGGCGTTAGTGGTTCCGAGGTTTATAAGACAGATGCAATAATGCATAAATTTATGCCCATTAATAGAATATAAAATAGATTTAGCTTTATAAAAGCTTACAAGACAGATAAATAACTGTAAGAACACCAAAGAACAGCCATGTACAATACAGACTATATTATGATGTCTATCTCTCCTATGAAGCTCTCCTAAAATGCACCTTTGTACCCAGTAATTTTGCTGCCATATACATAATGTATTCTAGCCGTGTGGTCCTGGCATAGAATGAGCCACCCCTTCCTTACCCGTGGGACTTAATTATCGAGGGATTGGCAGCAGCGTCTCTCTTAAAACATCAAAGTTTAACAGCGGTTGTCGACCCGCGCTTGTCAAGCGTAACAGCTACTGGTGAAATCCCCAAAGGGGAGACCTACATTTAGAAGTGGTCAGTTAATGGCTGATATCATAAAAATACACCCACCAAAACATGGGAGGGGGAAGGGATAGTTAGTAATCAGATTCGGCAGTTCCGTTGCTAGCAATACTAACAGGTCGACTTCCACATAGTCTCCCGTGGAAACCATCGTGATTAATTTGTAACGAATTCATCACGATGGGTAAACTGAGTCGTTCTTGACCTATCATCCTTTACTGGTGCCCCACCAGCTTACACAAACGACACAGGAGATATTTTTTTTGATGGGTGAAAATGGTATTGTAACCCCGCCTGCGCTAACGGAATACGCTGGCGAAGCACCAGTGAAGGATGATAGATGAGAATGAAAACAGGCCAGTTAGCCCATCATGATGAATTCATCAGGAATTAACCATGATAGTTTGGGGGAAAGGGATTGTTAGTAATGGAGACTGAGAATCCCATTGCTAGCAATATACCCAACCAGGTCGACCTCCTCGCGGTTTCCCCTGGAAACTATCATGGTTAAATTCTGATGAATTCATCATGATGGGCTAACTGGCCTGTTTTCATTCTCATCGATCACCCTTCACTGGTGCTCCGCTAGCGTATCCCGTTAGCGCAGGCGGGGCTACCATACCATTTTCACCCATAAAAAAAAAAAAAACCATGATAGTTTCCAGGGAGAACCGCGAGGAGGTCGACCTGGTTGGGTATATTGCTAGCAATGGGATTCTCAGTCTCCATTACTAACAATCCCTTTCCCCCCAACACAGGAAGAATTACCATTCCATTATCATTCAACAAAAAAAAAAACAAACATGGTCGTAAAGTACAGCTGCTTAGAAACCAGAGACACGAATAGGAAGGGAAGAGACGTCTGTCATAGAGTAACACCATAGCAATCTTTAACTGTCCACTGTTGAACATCTTGGAGGGTATTTTCAGTAGTTGCCACGCTTGGCAGGCGGAGTGGCAATCGCAGTTAGGCTTTAGAGATGTCTTAAAAGGGACACTGCTGTCCATCCCTCGCCCTCCCTTAGTCGCCTCTTACGACACCCACGGGAAAGCAAGGGGCGGCCAATTCTATATCGGGACCGTACAGAGCTGAGCTTCTACCTTACTCATATTTCTACCATCAACCACACAGGACCCATGCAGTCGACCTTTATACAGTTTTCCTTTGACACTAGAATCAGAGGCAAAGTAAAAAAAAAAAAATATAGCAGAGAGAGCGTAGAGATGTTGCATCTCTGTGCATCTTCTACCGAATTTATCATGGGGAGTGCTCTGAAGAATTGTTCGGATTGATACCTGCTGCTGATTTTCACCACCGTACAACCGGCCATAAACTAAAATTTCATCCCAACCATCTGGACGAGTGGCGGTCCTCCACCGTGCGTTTTTCAAGGCACTTTCTCCCACGCACAACCACCCTTTGGAATCAACTTCCAGCAGCAGTATTTACGAACCGATACGACAACATAACCTTCAAGAAAAGAGCATATTCCTTTTTAAAAGGCCGGCAGCACACTTGCAATGCCGTAGGTGTTGTGGGTGACCATGGGCGGCGGTAGTCACTTACCATCAGGTGAGCCGCATGCTCGTTTGCCCCCAGTATTGTAAAAAAAAAAAAAGTACGAACCTCTGTCCTCTGTTGTAACCGTTTGTTCAGTTCGTAAACTCTATAGTCTGGCTGGCCGAAGTATGGCGCGTGCCTCCTGGAAATAGATAAAAATAATACAATTAGTGACAAATGACAATTTATGAAATGCTTGTAAACAATTTTGATGTTCGAAAAGTCATTGGCAAATCCTGTCCCAGACACTCGGATCATGCAAAGATATACACAGGTATAGATGTCGCAAGTGTCTCAACTTATAAGGACACGAAACTTTCTTTTTATACAACTTAGAATGGCAAACAAGCTGACGGTCCACCTGATGGAAAGTGGTAACCGTCGTCTGTAGACATGAGCAGTACCATTGACGTAACAGAGCATACTGTTTCACACATGATACCCCCCATGCGTTGCCATTCCTGAAGACTCAGGTACTTTTTTTTGATGTGTGAAAATGGTATGGCAACCCCGCCTGCGCTAACGGGATACGCTGGCGGAGCACCAGTGAAGGGTGATAGATGAGAATAAAAACAGGCCAGTTAGCCCATCATGATGAATTCAACAGGAATTAACCATGATAGTTTCACCCTTCACTGGGGCTCCGCCAGCGTATCCCGTTAGCGCAGGCGGGGTTACCATATCATTTTCACCCATCAAAAAAAACCCAATACATCCGCATTACTAACAATCTCTTCCCCCCCTCAAAAAGCAGGCCAGTTAGCCCATCGTGATGAATGGATCTGGAATTCAGCACGATGGCTTACGAGCTGAACTCCAGATGATTACTGATACTTTCTCCCACGCACAACCATTCTCTGGAATCAACTTCCAGCAGCAGTATTTCCGAACCGATACGACAACATAACCTTCAAGAAAAGAGCATATTCCCTTTTAAAAGGCCGGCAGCACACCTGCAATGCCGCTGGTGTTGTGGGTGATCATGGGCGGCGGTAGTCACTTACAAGCAAAGTCAGTCACGAGCAAATTGCGAAGCCGTACTGATTGTTAGGTCTTCTTGTCATTAAAATACGTATAGCTAATATACTGCGGCTAGTTCAATGATCTACGGGAAACAGAAATGGTATATATTTCTTTATACAACTTAGAATGTCAAACAAGCTGACGGCCCACCTGATGGAAAGTGGTAACCGTCGCCTATAGACATGAGCAGTACCGTGGACATAACAGAGTATACTGTTTCGCCCATGATACCCCCCATGCGTTGCCATTCCTGAGGACTCGGGTGTTATTCCTCTGTACCCTGTAAATTCACGCCATATCCCACCCTTCAAACTGAAACACAGCCATGCAAACACAACTGCTTCACGGTAGGAACACGAATGAGACAGAGGTACCCAAGCAATCGACTTTTGTACAAAGTTTCCCCCTCCCTCCCTCTGACAATTTACAAACACAACGATACAATTGTATAAGTACAGTGAGGCGGTCTTATTGCTGAGAGCAATCTTTTCAAGACAACCTTAAGGTAATGGACTATTTGTTGTACAAGTAGGTATGATAGTGCTGTATTATTAAAAAAGCATCTTTTGCAAATTAAAAATATATAAAAATTAAATATATTATATATATTAATCAAAAAATTATATGTTAAATATGGACCTAATACCTAATTTTATATAAGCATCCAGGAACAAAGGAGGAGAAAGAGAAGATCAACAATTATTTAGCAATGTAAAAAAGAAAGCTAGGTGTGACGTCATAATTTAAGAGGTCACTTAAGTCTGGGAAGACAAGAGGATACAAGAAAGAAGTATTTATGGTCATACAGTCACAATGATTCATAGGTGATCGCCGTGCTGGTCCCGGCATAGAGTGGACCGCCCCTTCCATTCCCGTGGGTGTCGTAAGAGGCGACTAAGGGAGCATATGGTAGAGGGATGGGCAGCAGCGTCCCTCTTAAAACATATGTTAAAGCCTAATTGTGGTTGCTAACCCGCCTGCCAAGCGTGGCAACTACTGGCAAAACTCCCCTTATGGGGAAAATGGTATGGTAACTCCGCCTGCGCTAACGGGATACGCTGGACCCCTTATGAGGAAGGCTAATTGTTCAGCAGTGGAGAGTTAACCCTGCCTGGCAAGGTACCAGGGGAACATGATTGGTGAGGATAAAGCAGGCCAGTTATCGTGACGAATTCACTGATGAATCAATCACTGTGGTTTCCAGGGGGAACCGCGAAGTCGACCTGGTAGGGTATATTGTTAGCAATAGGGTTGCTAATCCCCATTACTAACAATCCCTTTTCCCCATCCCAAAAAAACTTGTTTTATTTTTTATACCACTGAGAAGGCAAACAACGGGCCCACCTGATGGTAAATGGTCACCGTCAGGCCTATGAACACCTGCAATAACCGAAGGTATTACACGTGCGTTGCCGACCCTGAAGAAACCTCTTTACCCCCCTTTTGAAGAACCCCATGCTGTAGTCTCTCGGGAAAACCTCGGCAGGGAGCTCATTCCACAACCTGAGTGTTCGTGGGAGGAAACATCTCTGAAACCGCGCAGTACGCGACCATTGAGGCTGTAGGACATGAGGATGAACTGCCTGTCGACGGCGAGCCGTACGATGGTAGAAAGTGGCTGTGGGCATCATATTGAACAATTCCTCTGAGCACAATCCATTGTACATGTAAAATAAGTATGTACATTTGGTAGTAAAATTCATATAGATAATGCAATATGAAAAAAAAAAAAATTACGTCATTTCAGTTCCTACTTGCAAATTAAGTACCGTGTGGTTTTACTAAATTTATATTGTTATAATCGGATTTGATATCCATTGACCAGGATATGATGAGTCTTGAGAAGTTTACCTATAGTAAGGGTCCGGTATCGGGTGGTAGATCGGAGGTGGCAGCGGCGGCGGCGGCGGCGCATACTCATGGTATTGCAAGTGCTGGGGATGCGGAGGGTGGTGCGGCGAGAGATGGTGGCCGTACTCGCGGTACTCGCCCTCGCCGCCGAGCGAGCCCAGCGCCACCGGCATGTAGGCCACTTTGTCACCGCGCCATCTATCTGCCGTTCTCACTTACTAATGCACTTTGCCAAGTTCGAAATTCCAATTACCGCTCCTTTAATTTCTATGTCCCTGGTACTTTCACTTCAGTTTTTGTTTATTTTTTTTTTAAAATTCGACTTAGTCCGATTAATGTTTTTTGTATAAATAATAATTAATTTGTAAATATCACTGAGCACACCACATAAATATAATAAACACTAATATAAATAAATAAATAAATCTATAACTTTTTTTTTAAACACTGACTTTGGGCACTTTGGTTAGTTAGACTATTACTAGTTAGGTACTAAACATTTAGATAAGGCCTCTATCTCTGGAACAAATAGACTATTTTCAAATTACGAACTGTGTATAATCGAGTGAAAACTCGCTTGGAAACGGCGAATTCATAAATCATAATCGGCCACGAAAATCTACGAACGACGGCGTCAAGAACGCGACTGATAAAAAGCATTTCGAATTTTTCGCGCGGGAAGTGCGACGACTGCGAAATGAAACGTCCCATGTCCCTTATATACTTTACAATGCTACACGAATGTCGTCCTAATGCGATCGCATTAGAGGCGATAAGCGTTTTAGATACCGATCCATGGACGGAGGAGCGGCAACGTCGCGTCAGCTGGCCGCGCTAGTAACGAGGCGCGTTCCAAAAGGTCAACATCGGTTACTATTTTTTTTTTATTCAGCCAGCTATTTTCGTTGGCTTTGTTTGTTTTTTTATCATTCGTATATCGATTTGTATGACATTTGTATGTGTAAATACCGATTCGGCGTTTAAAATATTCTACCTACCGTGGTAGCTACTACGTGTTTATGACTCTGGTCATTCAATGTTGATAGGCATTTGTTTGAGAGTTATAACGCAACGCAGGTGTATTTAGGTGTTTTGAGTATAAATTACGTATACGTACTTACAGAGAAGTTTAGAAAGTCGAATAATAATACCGACAACATATCCCATAAAAGAGACAATAAACATCCACTTCATAATATATTTATGACACGCGAATCGTGCTATAAATATACGAATTAAAAAAATAATCCTCGATTAACATAGTATACTATGCATATATAAATTATTCAAAAATAATAAAAAGACTATTGTTTTCACCGCGGCAAGGCTTCAGAACGCACGCGACGTTGCCGCACCGCGCGTTCGCGCCATACTTTTTACTGTTTCTTAGCACATAGAGCGCTCATTACGCTGGCACGCACACAGAGGCGGCCCGCTGATATTGTTATATCCGCTGTACATACGGTCTACATAGTGCAAGATGTACATAATGTACATTCCGCGAGCTACGAACGTAGATATGTAGGTAAGCTACGACGCTGCGCGTTACACAAATCAAACAGTACGTCTATAAATAACTGAAGAGGCCGTGTCCGTGAAATTTCTTGCACGCGTCAACTATCAAACTCATTTTTGTCTCGTTTAGGCAAAGAGAACGATTTAAAAATGTTTATTTTGAATTTGGAACGCGGCGTGCGGCAATAGTGGCGTGCGTGAGAAAGTTTCGAAATCGACTAAGGATTTGCATGTCTCATTACACGCCCAGCAACGATTGCAACGGTGCGCATTCGAGACAATCGAATCGAAATATTTGTACCGGCAGGTGCCTGTACAAGTTGGAATTTTCAATTAAGAGTGATACTCTCGTAATGTATTATCAAAGTGATATTTTACAAGTGTTACCCATAAATGCATGCGTAGACTTAAAAAGTGAAAGTCGTTGCATAAAATAACAATTACTTCAACTAAAGCAGATAACGTCAACACCGACTATGTTTGCTCAACAGATATTACAATATTTTTTATTGCGCTATGCTTTACGAGCGAGATAAGGATGAGTTCCCAACATAAATTATCTGTACACGATCGCCGATACGAGTTATGCAAACGACAGATACTCGAAACAAAGATATAGCAAAAAAAAAACAATACGAATTCGCGCACAATCGTCAATAACCGGATATCTCACGAGTGGCGAGATCGTCGCGGGGCCGTCACGTCACTATCACGCCCAGATATACCTTGATAACGTTGCAAACAATGCAAGCG